ACCTGTATACAGCAACACTGCCAATTGTTCAACTATGTATATTGGTAGAATAATATATAATGACAACAACAAATTGTTATTTAATTATTATTATTATTATTCATAGCAGTACAATTCTTCAATGAGTTATAAGGAGAGCAATTAGATTTACATTATGTAGGGCCTAAGGCTTAATCGATGATGAACCATTTCTTTTTACAATTTGAAAATAGATGATCATCGATCTCTCTGTTACAATGAAACGTATCATGATGACTACTCTTCACTTTCCTCATAATCTTCACCTTCTTCCCATTCGCCTTCATCGTATTCTCCTTCTTCATAACCTTCACCTTCTTCCTCACCACCGCCTTCTTCAGTTTCTTCTTCAGTCCTGTTAGCCACCACCACAGTGGAAGCTCCATGAAGTTGTTCCAACACGCTAGCATCATGTTCAATCAATTCCTTATCTAACACACCGTCCTCAGTGTTCACATAAACCATCGTTTCATCTCCTGGTTTTCCATAATTGAATTTTCCTCCTCCTTGTTTTTTCTGATTGGTCACAAATCGGTGAGGTCTTCGATCGTGTTCATTCGAAACTGTGCGATGCTTTTTGTGTTGTTTTCCAAGATCTTTTGGCTTGGGAAGCATGACATTGATTTCATCCATCTTGTTTGAAAATGTTGTTTTCTTTGAAAAATCAAGCGTTAGAGAAATGCTTATTTACAAATGTGAAGCTTTTTTTTAGTTTTTAAATTGCGATTTGTTGCATCGCCTTTTAATACTCTTGCCACCTGTGTCGAATGCTTTTTGACAAGCAGCAAAATAAATTCGTGTTTTTTCCTTTTTAGAAATAAGTTAAAAAAGGCAATTTTGATAAACCTGCTGGTTGTCAGAGAACGCAAGTTTTCTACTTTTGTTCGGTAAGGGAGCACCCGTTGTATCTTCCTTCTTCTCTTATCCTTTCCAAAGAAAACACATGTTCAGGCCCACACGTGTTAAATTCAACATCATCAATCGACAAACTGGAGGTGGTGACTCTACTACTGTTTCGCTGAAGTTTCGAGTAGACAGAAGCAATTTTTTACTGTGTTCCTGCAAAAACTCGATTAAAAAACCAACCGAAAAAAAATGTACCCACATCCAATAGCAACACCCGCTACAAAGAGAAAAGTCACAGAAACAGACAAGATCATGGAAGCCATTGATAACACTGATCAACAAGCAGACACAAGTGTTGTCGACAGTAAAAACGCTCGCACCATCAAGGAATACAAGAAAAAGTACGAGCTATATGAGAAGTATTGCGAAAAACACCTTACACCATCATCAAGAACTATGTTGAGTGTATTCCGGACACAAAAAGGGACGTGAGATTTTGGCCAAGAATTAATGGATCCACTATTTATAGATCTAGAATTGGAAAAGACACACTTTCCAAAGATATGAAGTCCTTTTTATTGGAGAACAAGCATTGTCTACCATCAGACGTGCAATATGAAATTGATAAGAAAGGAACTTTGGAGAATTCTAAAATAGGTATTGATAGATATACTGGACACTTTTACCAGAAGAACCTCAACAACAATTTTAGCAAGTTGCAACGGAATCACTCAATCCGATATTAAAAGACACGGTAATTGGAAGAGCAATTCCGTACCAGACAGATATCAAGCAGTCAATGCAAACACAGCAACCAAAACTGCCCTCAAAATTGGTGAAAAACTTGTTGAAACAACAAACATCCAACAAAAGCAGAGGGTCAGTTTGAAAATACAAAAATTAATCCATGCAAAATGTTCACAAATTGAATGTTTAACAATTGCACAATAAACTTTTAATTCACTGCAAAATCATTTTAGCCTTGTTGGATTTTTTCTTGATCTTTTTTTTGGAATGAAGGATTTTGTGAAATATTTGGGAGCTGTGGTATTTCTTTGATTGTCATATTCATTCCATTATAATGGTCTGTTAAAGGAATATCTGGAAGAGAGAAACCTCGAACTTCATCAGAAGCATGCAATATAAGAAATATACAATATTCACCTTGGCAAAATTGTTTAACGGTCGCATGTGGGTATTTGCCTCTTATTACAGAGAATAATAGTTCTTCATAATTGGTGGTAATACAACTTGACTTGAAATTGGGATGATGAGTAGCGAGATGAATGAAACTATTTAGAGTATACAAATATTTTTCGTTTTCTTGGAATAATTTGTCAAGTTTTTGAATTGGGTTCTTAATTGCGTGAGCTTCTTTGCAACATGTTTATCATTATCATTAATTGCATCATATATTGCTCTGGGTAATGATAAATATATGGCGATTTCTTTAGCTTGATTGGTATTAATATCGTTCAGAGCTTCAATTATTGCAAGACAGGTTAATTTAAGACAAGGCCTTAATGCCATTATATCTGTAGGAGTAACCTCTTCTCTATCGAGAAGTATAAGTTTGGATATTTTTGCATAAGTTCTACAATGGTTGTCATTGAAATCAATTCATTGGTTATTTTACTATTGAACAACACATTTCTTTGATTTTTGAGATTGTGAACTTAATCATTCAAAAAAACAAAATCCTTATTGGTTTTTTTGATTTCTTGTTGAACAGTAGAAGCGTCTATTTCACCATCAGCGCAACCACATACTATTTGTACCACATCTTGAAATGAGGTCATAATCTCTCGGAATTTTAAGATTATATAATTTGAAACATTTGTTTCAGCACAAATTGGAAACCATCCTAAAGGAATATGCTATGTATTATCTATTGCGTCATTGAAAAATAGAGCATCTCTTCAGCAATCTGATGAATTCCAAAATTCTTGACATCATCAATTGATTTGCAAGTCCGTTCACTTCCAACAATTTGATCACCCATTATGTCAAAATGTTTCAAGACTTTCATTCCATCAACAGATATACAGACTTCTTTGCATTGAGATTGAGATAACTGACTTGTCAGCATTGATTTTAAATTGGGAACAAAACCAATGCATCCTTTGGGTGTCCATTGTTTGACCGTTGATAAGCTTGGGATGATGAGATTGTAATGCAAATGATTATGCCAATTACATGGAACATATTGATTCCGAGCTCCACCCATTCTCAAGAAGAATTGTTTACCACAACAATACTTTGTCACCAACCAAAACCGATTTCCTCTTCAGAATATTCATGGTGATGTGGATCTCTGCTGTAATTACGTAATTGATTCAGTATGAATCTCATGAAAAATGTTTCTTGGAAGGGTTTATAGGAAGGAAGATTAGGACGAGCAAATTGAGGTGAAACAAAATGATCACATTTAGGTTTTTTTGTAGATTGTTCGTCAACAGATTTTTCTTTTTTCTTCCAATTTAATTCATATGCATGATTTGTATTTCGAAAGAGTTAGAGGATATTCTTTTCTTGATTATTGATGGGAATGTGTGGTAAAACAATATTCAATAATTCATACATTAACAACGGATATTGAAGCACTTGTTTAGGCTTTTGCAATTCTCCATTTTTGACTTTTTCAGTGATTGATGCTTTTTCATTGATGATTTCATCAAGATTTGTTTTACCTTGGTTGATGTTAAATGATGATTTCACCTCTTTCCAATGGAATAATTGTTTTTGATCATCGTTTATGTTTGTTGATCGAAACTTTGTCGGAGGGAGCTCTTCCTTGGCCGATGCATTGGTTGGAACGGGTGCTCCGTTTGTTCCTGAATAGAGAGGATTGTTTTTAGTGCATTTCAATCATTGTTTTAAGTTGAGGACTCAAAAGTACTTAAAAACCTTTATTCGATGATTACACGTATCAACAACAAATAATTTCGAATGACTAAAGCTTAATGCCATTCCTGTCGGGTACTGAAAGGAATTAAGGTCTTTTCCGTAGAATCCCATTTCAATTTCGCCATCGCGCGATAGAACATGTACTTGATGGAAGTCCCAGTCGGTAATTATGAAAGAACCATTACATTTATCGACAATAATTGACTCTGGAGAGATGACGTGCTGAGACTGATGATGATGGCATTGGAAAGAATTAAGGTAGTTTCCAGATCTTGAAAAAACTTGAACTAATTATGAACATCGCCACAATTGGTTGAAATGGTTTAAGATAATTCATTCTCCGATAAATCCAAGAATACTTACTTCGATTGTTCCCATTGTCACACACTACTAAATTATTCAAATGATCCAAGTCTATTCCTCTTGGATATAACAATTGTCCAGGGTTGCTTCCTTCTGAAGAAATCGTATATTCAACTTGTCCGTTTTGAGACAATACTACTATTCTATGAGAAAAACAATCACAGACATAAATTCTCCCTTCAAAGTCCACACAAATTCCTGTAGGCGCTTGAAAAGGTGAGGACAGTTTCCATAGTTGTTTTCCGTCATACGAATATTTGTAAACATATTCCCTAGATGTAATGAGCAATGTGTTGTTCGTATGAATTGCCATATAATTTGGTTTGTCACAAATGTCAATCACTTGCTTTAGAGTTAGGTTGTGCAAGTTAAAAATCTTCACTCGCTTATTGTCGTGGTCAGAAATAAATAAGAGTTGTGAGAAATGATCAATAACTACATCGAATGGATTATTAAACTCTCCATGGTTGTTTCCTTGGCTTCCGATGATGGTAAGCAGTTCAAACTGTTTCTTCTTCTCTACGTCATTCGAACTACTGGAGAGTATGCACGAAGGTGATGTGTTAGAATTTTGAAAAGAGGCTCCTAACAGGAGAGAATTTTCAAACTCATCCTTCTGCAAATTGTGTTTCAATTTTTTTGAATTTTCTAGCATTAATAAGGGGTTATTTACAATGGTGGTGGTTGGATGCTGGAAAGGATGATTGCAACCTCCGTCTGCTTCGGAACAGACAAAAGAGTGTTCCAAAAACGTTCGCTTCATTTTGTGGGTGCGTATAAACTAAATTTTGTAATTATTATATTAAAAATCTGTGTGTTGGGTACAATTCATGATCATCATCAAATTCTGAATGATTCAAGCAAGAAATTCGTTCATAGAAGGCATAAATATTTTTTTTAGCAAAAAAAAAGTATATTCTTCTTTTTGCTGGAGCGAAGCAGCTGCTTGACAACCACGATTGAAACCTTTCATCCTTGCCAATTTCATTGATAAATGTTTTTAGAAGCATAATCAATCTGGCCCATTATTTTAACAAACGGTCAATTTCCTCAACAACAGGACGAATTTCGGAAATATTTCTTGTTGGATGCTATCAAATTTGATCCTTTTGTTGTTATCAGAAAAGAAAAAATTTGAACTAATATCGACTGAAAAGAGATCGCAAGTGAGGAAATCATCAACATCCAAAACAACACTAACAAATGGTACAACCACCCAATTCATCACCGCCATCCCTTCGGAATATAAAGAGTAAAATATTTACGATAAGGACGTTTTACATTTTGGTGTTAGCGTTATCTGTGATTTCTGTGGTGGTTTTTATTAGTTCCTATCGGGGAGAAGCACCAACTGTAAATCAGGAGGAAGAAACATTGTTACATGAAGGGCGTGATGGTAAAAAACATCATGATATATTGGAGAAATCGGATAGGACAGAAAGATCTTCGTCATCGGATTTGGAACATGGATTTCGTCCTTCGGAGCAGCAAGGTGAAGAGAAAGGTCTTGAAGAACAAAAGAAACCTGAAATTAAGGAATTAACAATTTGGTCGACAAGTTTTCGTAGGTTTCAATTTCATGAGTTATTGAAATTATATATTTTGTGGATCAATTTCATTGTCGATTGAATGATTGAAACTTCGATGAACTATTTCTTTATATTAATTTCATGATATTTCCAATCATAATATCCATCACTCACACCCCGAATCAAAAGACATTTCCCCAATATTTTGTTTGAGACATTTTATGAAAAACATTTTCGAAAAGAAGACAGGAATTAAGGTGAATATTATTGAAAAATCACTGAGTGGACATTGTCACTTAACGGGACATTGTGCTAGAGATTTGAGAGTATTAAACCATGACAGTGCTAAAGGAGAACATGGATGCACTGTCCCAACAGCAAAAGCCTTGTACGAAGCTTACAAGTCAGATCCAGTTTTCAAAAACGTGGATCTCATAATGTGTGATCACAACATTGCCATGTGTGAATTATACATGCCATTTGATGTTCCAATGGTTCTCTACGCAACAACAAGGTAGGTTTGGTTCAATTTTTGGTTTGCAATCATTAACACTCTTTTTAATGAATTGTTATGAAATCAGATATGAACTCTGGAGACATGATCCACATAGATGGAAAAATTTAAACGAAAATATCAAGCTTATTGCAAGTAAGAAACAACATACAGTTGTCGCAAACAATTTGTATGATGCCAAATATTTGAATTACTTTACTGGAATGTATGTTCCAGTACTGGACAGCTTTTGTGGTTATTCAGCAGATGAAGGAACATATAATCCAAAGAGGACTGAAATTTTGATTGGTCCCTCAAGACTCTCTGTGAACCTTAACAATCTTTTATTGAACGAGTTTTACGGTTATGCTAAAAAAGATCAGTCCTCTCTCAAGTTATCCACAATTCGTGAACTTTATTCTCATTACAAGTACTCGGATTTGGCAAGCCATCCAGCTATTGTGGTCATTCCTTATCAATTATCTGTGATGAGCTTTTTCGAATATTATAGATTGGCTATTCCAATCTATTATCCAAGTGTGGAATTATTGACTCAATGGCACATGCAACATCATATTTTATCTGAGAAAACATGGCATATGGTTTTACAGAGAAGACCTGGCCGAGGATCTCCTATTGAACCCCATCCAAAATCAAACATTCCAAAAGAAATGGATCCTAACAATGAAGAAAATGCAGCAAGTGTAAAATATTGGAATGAATTTAGCGATCTCTATCAATGGCCTCATGTCATTTACTTTTCATCCATTGAAGATTTATATCAAAAACTTTCTAAAGCTACCCCAGACTACTACAAGGAAATTAGTAACAAAATGCAGGAATATAATCAACAGTTACAGGATCATCTCATCAAACAATGGACTGGAATTGTTGAACGAGTGGCAGAACACAAGCAACAAGGAAGAAAAACATTTCCCAATTTTAATGAGGCAATGAAAGCGCTGTGGAATAAGGAATCTAAGTGTGACATATAAAATATATGCTCGTTATTTCCACAAAACCTTCTTCATAAATAAATTGATCAATCATCATGAACACAATATTGCAGGGGTGGAAGTGGAAAAAAATGCCCATTTGTTGTAAAATCAATTGGTTGATAGAACGGATTCTTTATTCTACGTCGCATATGTCACATTTCGCGTATACATCTAGTTTGGAGGTGAATAAATAAGATTTGCATCGACTCCGTCACACTTCAAATTTTTTGAAATTTCATCTTACTGCCTACAACATTGGTGGTACAGATTTTTTAGTTGAAGCATCCTAAGCTGAGGTTTCGTTTCAATCTTATCAATCATATCAAAGGATAAAGATTTAAATACAAGTTGTCTAACTCGTAAAGAATCTGTTTATTCGTTGAAATCGCGGTAACAACCTTTTTCAGGCGAAGGAGAATATATCGCATAGCTAGTTCGTCTATTAAGAGAGGTCAATGGAAATTCAACTAAACATATTCCTATAGTATCCAATAACCTTGATTAGTGTCTATGTGAAGAAGTTCTGAAGTACTCTCGTTTACAAGAATATTTAGTCGCATTATTGTTCATTACCGCTTTTGGAGCATTTTAGTGCTGGGGTACGTTCAGAGTTGATTTTCTTCATTATTACAGTTTAATGGGAATTCAACTGTTTATATTTAATAAGAGGTCCTTCGGATAGATCCTTTTTATGTTTGATATATATTGAACTGATCTCGTTTACAAGAATATTAGATGGCATTACTATAACGTTGAAAATATCTAAGAATTTTTGACCAAAATGGTCTCTTTCACATTGTGTTCTTAAAATTTTTCTTTAGTACCTTTTGTTCACAATTAATAGGGCTCCATGGAGATTCTTCCAACCATATTCAGGAGGTGTCCAATGAGTTTAGGTATATCGATGGTGATGTACATCTGATCTACTATCCTTTTCTTGAATATTGTGTTGTTTTTCTTTTCTATTAGAATATTCAAGCATTTTTTGGAAGAAGATCTTTCTGTGTTGATTTTCCCAATTTGAAATTCAATTGTTTAATTTCGATACCATATTTTTGGATCAGATGGATTTATGTACTAATTACCGACTGTTATACTTTAATTTTCTAGAATATTAAATAGCTCACATGCTGTTAAAACACTTGTTTGATTTTCTTCATCAATACAACACCATGGAATTTTGTCTCTCAAATTTTTGTATGTAAACACTGCTATGGAGTAGTCTTTAACACGAGAAGGTTTGAAATTCTTTCATTTGCTTAATAATATCGTATTGTTAACATCTTGTTGATAGGCAAAGTCTTTAAAACCGACAGAAAAAAAATGCCAAGACAACGCCAGTCAAAATCACACTCTTTCTCACTAAAACAGGTTACAATCCGATCATTGTGGTGGTGAATTATGCAACTCTCATGGAAGTAAATTCTATGCGTTCAAAAAAGAAATAGGACATAAATCGCCTCGGGATTGTTATGGGAATAATGTTGAGTGATGAGAACAATCTTGTTTGTGATCATGATCATACCAACCACAGCAAGAAAAGCAAGGTCGAGAAAAATTGTTGTGGAATTTCTCTGCAAGATTATGAACAATATTTGCTCAACGACAAAATTTATGATTGCACAAACCAAGTGATAGGAATACCGATCAATAACAGAATTTACTCAACGAATGTAATTTAATTGTTTCAAAAAACAAGGATCAAAATGTAATGCATGTAGAACTCTTGCAAGAAAGTTGGGTAAATGGAAAAAAAATCATACATATGAAGACTTGTGTTCGAGTAAGTTCCGAGGGCGGGACCATCTTCAACATCCAACAATCATTGACAACCATATCAAGGCTTTACGAAGTGAATTATAATCAATGAAAAGCGTACCAATTACTGAACTGGAAGTATATGAAAAATTGTTCAAATGCATCCTCTCAAACAACAAAACCATATCCTCCTGAGGTTGCTTATTATTGGGAATCTATACGTTTCCATTCATCTGAACGAGTGTTACAGCTTCTAAAAGGGAATAATAACAACAGCAATATTCATGTTCCTCATCCGGATTCCCTTAAGAATTGGTCAGGACCCACCTATTTATGGTCACCTATACACTGACGAAACTATTAAGAAACTTCTTCATCTCCAATTTGAATTTTTGTAATTTTGAGCCTAAAATATCCATACAATAATTCAAGAACACTCAACCGGTTGAAAACTGCTTTTTGAGAACGAAATAAATTTCAAACTCTTTCTCAGCCACCCAAAATGGAATATGAACGGGTATGCACGACTAGAGCTGACTTGATATGTGAAAGTATATTGTCTTTGGTAAATTTCCAGCCAACCTCAGAATTGGTGTTGCTGTGAAATAGGGTGTTCAAAGGATGGAAGAATTGGCTTTTTCACTTTTCATAATATTATTAAATCCAAAAAGTCTCAGAGGCAGCATGTTCATTTTTGCTTTTTTTCTTTGTCCATAGATTCAAGTGTTGGAAGAAACTTGGAAAAAAGTATCTCCTTAAAACCTGAACCTAATAATTTCTCAATTTCTTCTTTGCTACATAAAAAGGCAGCATTTTCGTAGTTTGGGTTGAATTTTTTTGGCTCGAGAGAAATGTGAGGATGTATAATGATTGAGAGCGAGTGGTTAAATATCTTCATAAATTCAGTATAATTTTTTGACCACCATTCATATGACTTCGGTACTGATAAGGCTTTTGATACAATAATGTCTTCATTTCTGTTAAGCTTTTCTAGTGGTACTGACTTATAGTTGTCAAAATAAAACAGCTTATGATGAGTGAATTTATATCCTTCGTCTAAATGTAAATCCTTTCCAATCAAGCACTTAATACTGACTTTCAACATAAAAAGTGAAAGCTTATTAGATTCGTCTTCAGAAGGTCTTTCAAGTGCTAATAAACAATCCACATGAGCCGTGTTACTGGGTCTGAATAATATGTTCACAATTCTTTCAGGGTAATCTCTTGCATAATTGAAATACAATTCTTCTCCGGTGCAATCTGATTCATCCCATCCTTTTTCTTTGCAATATTGTTTGTATCCATTTGATGTCAATACTCTTTCGCATGTAAAAATTATGTCTTCAATATTTTCGTTGGTTTTCAAGTTAGAAAGTAATGTACTCAATACCAAATTATGTAATGATGATTTAATAGAGACTAGAGTATTAGGATTGATTGAAAACAAACGATAAACCTTCTCTGCTTGCTTCCGCTTTGATTGGCCCAATAAATTGCTATTGGCTCGACTTGTAATTATCTGTACCACGAGTGACCCTTTCACACTATGCAATATCGGTGGCAATTTAAAAATAAAGAACAGATCCAAAAAAAGAGAAAAAATGCTTCAAAGAAACAATTCTCACGTTCCCGATTCAAATATGATGAGCGATGAGACTCAATCCGGGCTGCTGCCTTCATCGTCTTATTCCTCTCTGATTCAAACAGGAGATATGATTACCATTCAAGTTCCTGTGCAAGGCGGACTTCAAAAGCCTTCTCATTCTGTTGGTGGATCATCCTCCGAATCGGGTAGTTGTGAAGTGATCAGCAAGAAATCATCAACTAGGAACAGCACAGTTGCTCATGCTTCATATTATCACTTGTTGTATGATTGTCCTGAACCTGTTTGCCCACCCGATTTTGTGATTAATATTAAATTAATTGATATGAATATGGCCAAGGTTCAAATCAAGGTTCATAAAGTGTTCTTGGCCGTAGAATCGACATACTTCCGTGTTTTGGTCAATTCGGACTTCTCAGAAAATCAAACATCAGAAGTAGAGTTTGAGCTTACATCCATTGAACGGGATGTGTTTGAACAAATTATTTTGAAATACATTTATGGAGAGAGAACTTTAATCATCGACAAAGGGTTGCCATACGCTTGTACATTATGCCTTGCTCACTACTTACAAATTAATGCTCTAGAATGTCAATTGTTGCAACAAATGACAAAAACAGCCAAGTACACACGGCAACATTTAATTTATTATTCTCAATTACGTGATCACACCATGCTAGCTATCAACTCTAGTTTCCTCTCTCAATCTTTGATCGCGTTTGGAAAAGACATTTCAAAAAAGAAAGACGAGGTTATCAATTTGCCGGTTGAATTTTTCATTTGGCTAGTTTCGTTGGATAATCTTAATGTCAGCAACGAAGACGAAGTCTATGATTTGGTGAATGAATATGTTGAAAAGAATGAGCACAAGCTAAGCACTAGCAATCTTTCACACATTGCAAACAATTCTAGCGATACAGGCGGAGCAGGTGATTCTAAAAACTCTATTGAAAGTGTTTGGATGAATGTGAGAGTTCCATTCTTGTCGGATCAAAAAGTTTTAGATTTCATGGACAATAGAAGGATTTCTACTGAGTTGAAAATATCATTACTCCGTAAAAGACAAGTCTATGCCATATATCGAGAGAAGTTTAAAAAGAAGGCATTGGCCTCCAAGCAACACCAACACCAACACCCAGTTCCACAGCCACCACAAGATGGCCAAGTGAATGCCAGCATGTCTGTCGAGACTAACAATGGAAGTGATTCTAAACCCGTAACCGATATTACCCCTTCTGCTTCGGTGACTGCAGCATCACTAGCTGAGGATTTGATGATTGATTTGGATGACCCTCAATTTATCAAGAGAGGAAATATTGTCGAATATCTCATCACAGGAAGTAAGGGAGTTATTCAAATATGGGACATCAATAACAATGAATGTCTTTCCTCCTTCCCAACGGATTCATTCGTAAGATGTCTCGCACTGTACGAGCGTAATTATTTATTGAGTGGTGGTCATGATAAGAAGATCAAAAAGTGGAATTTGAGAACAAATGAATGCGAACTGGTCTTGAAAGGTCATACAGACTATGTCCTGTCATTTGCGTTAGTGGATGACAGTTTATATAGCGCAGGTGGTGTTGGTGATTCCACAGTAAGTTTGAGTTTTTTTTAGATATTTTTTTCTTAATCTTGTTTAGGTTAAAAAGTGGAATTTACGTACCAACCAACTTGAGGCATCTCTGGAAGGACATCAGAAAGCAGTTCTTTCTCTCATTGCCTACAGTGACTTGTATGTATTTAGTGGAGGAGAAGATTCTACTATTCGTAAATGGAACGTAAGAACAAACAAGTGTGAACTGGTAATCACAGCTACAGCACAAAGCGATGACAAATTATGGTGTTTAGCCATCTACGGAGATGCCTTATTTGCAGGAGGTTCTAAGGGTAAGATTTACCAATTTAATGTCAATGACGGAAGATTAGAAAAAGAATGGACTGCTCACGAGAATATTGTGTGGTGTCTTCTTGTTCATGAAGATTATTTGTACAGTGGATCTAAGGATAAGGTCATTAGAAGATGGAATTTACTGCAAACTCCTGAAACAGTCGTATCGTCTGACTCTCAAGTTGCCGCTACTAACACTCCTTATGTGTGTGATGCGGTATTGAAGGAGCATACAGATAGTGTCAGAAGTTTGAATGTTTATAATAATTATTTGTACTCAGGAGGAGGCGATGAAAAGATCGTAAAGGTAAGTGAGGAATTTGATATTCACACCATTTGAATTTCAAGCCGTATTATTTCTGTTTGATGTTGTACTTGTATTTCAACCGCACAGTGGTCTTTGCTTTCTTTAACTAAGGAATCTGTCATGACGGCTGAAGAATATATTTGTTCTGCATTACTGGCCTAATTTCCAACATTGAGAATCACAAATAAACTGGCCGTGACTTTGAAAGTGTGCAATGCTTTAATACCTAGCGAATTGGGCTTTAACATTAATTTGGATGGAAAAGCCTTGTTGCATTCTCTTAATAGCGTTGCTTTTGCTGAAGCTATGTTGATTATTGACAGAAATTAATCCATTCATGAAATATCCAAAGGTCATATGCATTATTGGATTTTCGATTTATCAAGCATTCCCTTAATATTTTCAATGACTGCTTCGGGATTATCGATCGCAATATTATGAGATGCATTCCAAATTATTTTCCATTCGGATTGAGATGACAATTTTAGAACGTCTTTGGCCAACTCTTCAATCACTTGTGCATTACTCGCCATGTATTTCAAATGATCCTTGCATTCTTGGGAGTCATCTGAAAAGTGATTTTGGGCGCACGTGCCATTAATGCTGGCACCTGCTGTTAAAATCATGAGGGGCAAGTTTCCAAAGCTCTTCTTGTTTGCGAGAACTTGTTGTGCGGAGGTTGTAGCAAAGTGAGAACCTTCCGAATAAATCACATTCGAGTACTTATTGGAAAGTGTTGAAAATCGAAGTATTTTCCAGTCATTGGCAGTAAGATTTTCCTTATTAAAGGGATTTAGAACTCGATCAGGCTGAATCAATGCTGTCAAACGGAGCGATCCTAACGGAGCTAAAATTCTTCCAGTATTTAAATAAAAATTCTCTTTTGCTAAATCATTGGCTATTGTCTGAGGGTCGATGCTCTTGTCTTGTGCCAATCGAAAGGCAATGGTTTGATTTTCATGAGATGGATCAATGAGAATGAGGCCAGAAACCTTTTCTGGAAAAATGGAAGTAAAGAGACGCATGTTCATTCCTCCAAAGGAGTGTCCAATTAAAAGTAGTTTCTCAGTTATATTGTTTGTTGTTAAGAGATGGTCCAATTCGTTCACAATTTGTTGTGACGTTCGAGGAGAATATCCGGAATCACTAAATGAGTAACCAGCTCTATCATAAACACAAAATTTCGTGTACTTGGAAATTTCGTTTTGAATCGTAGACCAATAAATGGATGACGAAGAAACTCCAAGGCCGGAATCCTGTTGGTGATTTTTCCAATCCAAGTTGAACATGTTATGCAATTACAGCGATCCCATCATTTCAATAATCAAATAATGCAAAATTGAAACACCTACCACTACGATTGTTGGATAATTATTGGTTGGAGTGCCTTTGCAGTCCATATGAATTCTGTATGAACTACCATCCTTAGGATTTGTAATTGTGACAAGTTTTCCTGCAGGCATGACTTCATCCACTGCATAACCAAAAGATTGATAAAGGAATGCTACAGAAAGTGCGAATGGAAGTACGAATAGTAACACGCAAAATATTGATTTGCATATCGTGTTGAATATGCAATATTTTGTTGCTTTCAAACTTTCCTTAATCTTTTCAACCATAGAATTAGATTCATTATTGAGAGATGATTTTGAGTGTCGTCTCATTAATCCAACATTTGCATGATCTCTCAATTCTTCATCGTAATAAGTACTATTTTCATATTCATGTCGATAATACCTAGCATTTGTTCTATAATCTAAAAATCCATCATCTTCTTCCGATCGTGAAGATCGAGGTCTTAATAATTTATCATAATGAAATATTTCAGAGGTACCTCTCAGTTTGACCCATTTGTATTTGAAAACATTCATCACAAGACTTAAAAACCCAAGCGCAATCAATCCTAAAGAGCAAATACCTGCCACGTATTCAACCTCCGCAACGCAAGCATAAGTAATAAATGCTATAAATCCAATAATTATCATCAATGAGGATAAGAGACATCTCAATATTAAAAAACACTATTAAACAAGTTGTTAATCATCAACAAATGAATGATTCATCAGTAAAATTTGTCGCAAGATCAACACATAATTGGTTATGAACCTCTACCTACAGTTAGCGAAGGAAATTGCTTTTGCATATTCCTACTGTCCAAGCATGATTTTATCAATACATCAGAGAACCCATCCAATAACACCAGCACGCAATAAATAAAACAAATCACTAAAATCCAAACAGAAGAATAGGAACTATCATCATATTCATCATTATATTCCAATACCCAACATGAACAACCGTCGTGGATCACCACACAGACTCTATTATTCGTAATAATACTCACTTTGTAATTGTATAAAACCCTTCCAACTCCGATTGAACAGAAAATAAAATCCCAACTCCGAGAGAAGGTAATCCAACCAGGAACAACACGAGCGCTGAAGAAACGAAAAACGCGAATCGATGAATTTTATGAAGACGCATTTTTTTCTGTTGTTGGTTGGAAACACTGAATTTGGAAAGGAGGAGCTTCTGGAAAGGATCTTATTTTTCGTGCAAGAATTGCAAAGGGGTGATTGAAGAGTGAGTTCATTGATCAAAACGAACAATGATGTTCGGTTCCACCAAGTATTAATGGGTATGATGTTCATGAAGGTGATTCAAGAAATTTTGAGTGAATGAACCATCTTGTTTTCCTCTTGACACGCAAATTGGGCAATCCAGTGTGGTCGAGTCTGAGTCGTGACATGATTCACAATGTTGAACAAGCTCAGATTCAGTTAATTGAGGGAAGAGACAAATTGGACAATCCCAATTCCAAACTTGTTGTTCATAGATAGTTTGTCCACATATTAATCGATGCTCATCATAGAAGGCTTTTGCAATATAAAGTCCACAACTGGAGCAATAAATTGTTTGATTTACGCATGTTGTTTCGTGTTCATGTAAATCGCAGAATGCAAGAGCCAAATCACAAAACTTGCAAATGACAATTCTAAATTGACACTCATTTTGCATGTGTTCTTCAAGATGTGCTTTGTCCATCTTTTCGTGACATTTAGAACATTCACATTCTTGATGGAACTGTGACTTTCTTTTTCGCTTAATTTTACAACATTGTTGCATTTGGTACAATTGTACACATTTCTTTTACAGTGAGATAAATGCATCACATAAGTTCTCTGTGATACAGCTCTTTTACAGTTTTCACATTCAATCATATCAACATTATCAATGACAACAGGTGGTTGAGACGTTGCGATGGAGGAGAATGTGGTAGACAAAGATGTTTCAGATGGTTTTTCAGTGGTCTTGCTATTATTGGTGGTTCGTTTTTCTTCTTCATCATCAAAATCCAATGCAGGAGCAAAATCCACCTTAATACTAATAACGTTAAATAACGCCTGATGATAATATTTGAGAATCTACTTACTCAAGATAGTGATCACTAATGACACAAATAGAATAATCGGGCTCGCATTTAAGTACCTCAATAAAGTATGATTTTCGTCCATATACAACTGGAATAGACATGCCTTCATTGAGGGTGCTGAAATTTCGATATGCATTTTCTAATAAGGACTTATGATTTTGCATCTTGTAAAAGTCTTTTGAGTGTGGTTGCAATTTGATAAATGTGCCCTTATTCAGTGAAACGCATCTGATATTTAATTTCACTCCTTCCTTAATAAATAAACATTTCATAATCCAATCTGGTAATATCATGCACGAATCTGGAGCTGTAAATTGTTGGCAGCCGACATATTGTTTCACTCATTTTCCATTGTCAATTTCAAACATTAGAGGAAAGTGTAAATCAGAGGAATTAAATATTGTGTCCGCAGCAGAAGGTGGAAGTAGAATACGATTTCCATATTCAAATGTGGATGGAATGGTAAACTCATTTGCGTATAATTCTTTAGCATATGTGGCGCTGTAGCATCCATCACTAACAATTTGGCAACCACTTTCATGTTAGAAAATGGAGGATACGATGGATCCATTCAATGTTATCAAAATGACAAGAGTACTTTTTCTGTGGCAACTATCACCTCTGTAACTAGAGGCTGTCATTGCGTCATAGTTGGCATATGTTCTCATGTCCACACGAGCACCGTTATCAATGAGTGACTGTCTAATGGACAATATCACTGTCTCCATTGTAATTGATTTTTTGCCTGACCATGTATTATTGTTGAGAGAATCAATGCAGAATGTACCTCCAAAACTCACTTGTCCTGTGAATATTTCAAATCGAGGTCGAATGACTCGAATAAAAGGTGCTTCGGATGGGAAAGTCGCTGGGAATTTGACCTCCAGAACAACATCTGTATTGTGGGTGTCAAATTTCTTGGCATGCTCAACGAGATCTTTGCCCAACAGTGAATCTTCAGGAAATCCAAATAATCTCACTTCCCAAACAAATGGATTGTCACCAATAGGACGAACTGAAAATCCTGCTTTCTTTGTGTTTTCTTCATTCTTTATAATTTTGTAGAGTTCTTTCATAATGTATTTTCTCGAGTCCATGCTCAAAGGCAATGATCCACTGTTATCATCTCCCCATACCATCTTGTAAAATTTAAGAGCTTGTTGATCATCTAATTTTGAAACTGGAGTTGAAGTTGCATCTTCTGTCTTTGGCTCATCATCGGCTTCACTTTCATTAGAAGCAATTTGTAAATTCGAAACAAATGGATGTTTCTTATCTTTAGAGTGTGTGGTTGCAACATTATTGATGTAGCTTTGAATTGCCTTATTCAACAATACAGAAAATGAATTGTGTGAAATATCATAACTTAAATGTGAATTCACTTCCATGATGAACTTCTTGTAGGCTTTTTGAGCATTATTTGTCAATTTTTGCCACAACTTTTCATTCTTCTTGTAATCAATTTTCACTCGGAGACGTTGATTGGTTTCTCTCCATATTTCGAAGGATATGACACATCAAAAAAGAAAGTCTCATTGTCAATGGAGAAATGAACCAGCTTTCCTTCTCATCAATTCCATAATATTTAATATCAGGCTCCTCTACAACATCCATTATTGATGGTTTTTTCTTCTTACTCATTGAAGAAGAGGAAGCATTAAGATTCTTTCCTTGCATTGCCTGGCTGAAAATGTCTTGAATAGATTTCAATTTGGGAGTATAGATGGGTGAAAGAGGACAATTCGAATCATTCTTACAGGAGGACAACCAAAGCCTTACTTCCCGATCAATAAAATCTTCCGTTGTTTTAATTTCTCTCTTAATGCTTGTTTGGGTGAGATGATGATGCAAGGCTTCACCTGAAGACACTTCCGATGATGAAACAGTGTTTGCACATGAGGAAGAAGAGCCTTCCAATGTTCTTGATGGACTGGAATGATCACTCTTTTTCAATTGATCTTCTTCCAATGTTTTTACTAGAATTTGTTCAATCTCTTTGAGATCTCGTTGTACTTGTGATGAATCTTTCTTGGCATCATCTCCCGATTGAAACCAATGACTGGGCCAGAAACGACTCTTTCCGAAATTGTGGAAGATGGATGAGGCTGTTGGGTGGGAACTTGAAGTTGCAGAGCTAGAGTTGGAATGGGGCGAATGATTATGAGGCGAGGAATCATCAGAATTGCGGTGGGGTGATGGCTGAGACATTTTTTTAATGGTGAACAGGAACTTGATGTGAAAATAGCATGCTTGGTTTCATGAACTCGAAGTGTTATTGTAGGTGCAAGGTGGAGCAGAATTTTATTGAATTTTGTCCAGGAACCAATCGACATGTGTCACTTGTCATTCTTTTATTCAAACATCAAAAAAATACCATTACAACTTGTTTATTTCTTTCTGCTTCATCGGATCATCACACTTGATTCAATCATTACAAAATGGCCCTCACGTCCAACACCTCTGTAAAACGAGATTTAACTGAAGAATTGCGAGGTGAATTCTACTCGAGTACTTATCGTAAAGTGTTCGTTCCTGCAAAAATTCCTCTCTATTACCGAAAAAGAGTTTGCAACATTTTGTTCTCCATCCAGGAAGGATCCGGATTCAAAAAGAAAACTTCACGCTTTGATGTGTCATTCAATGGAGGAATGAATCAAAATTATCCTGTCACTGAAAACAAACAAATGTCAAGTCGTAATTTAGAAGATGCGCAATGGATACCTAAATTTGGACAGAAATTAATTAGATTTCAAAATATATTAAATTTAGAACATGGAGCTCAAGTGAAAATATTATTTTTCACACCCAATGAACAAACCAATAGTGGAGAAGTGCAGTTGGGAAGAGTTTTGATTGATTTGTTTGATAAAAATGTATTTAATGAAAATACGTCAAAAACCAATGGTGACACGATGGAAACAAGAGCTACCTATGATGTATTGGATTATGAAAATAAGGTAGTTGGAAGAGTGAGCGTGTATATTCAGGCAGAAAATTTAATCCAAAAGAAGTAAATGGATGAATTTAGAACTTTTGTAAAATATTAAATGACTAGAATTTTTAATGCCCATAACCTTCGATCCTTTCATAATCAAAGGTTTAGAGTCATGTATTCTGCCGGCATTGTACAAAATCAACATTGTGTCTCTTGCATTTAGTTTCCTTATTTGATTTCAAATTCAAAAAAATGTCCACTTCCGAACAGGAAAGAAAGCTTGTGGTGTTTTTATTTAAACAAATCATGAAAACATGTCGAACGTTTGACCAGTATCCTCTCTTGAAGACTTCTTTGATTAATCCATCTTATACAAAATCCGATTCCATCATGACAAGGTAAGAATTTGCGTGGAGATTATCAAAGCGATAATGATGGATTCGGAATGATGATGCTTAATGCACTGATATTAATATGTTATAATATCTGTTTTTTAATTGATCAAACCAAACCGATGTAAAAATTATAACCCGATGATGAATATTATGAACTTTCCAATACAATACAATTTCAACTGATACTTGTGATTGAACCTATGAAAATGGAATAAATCAGAGGCTGGGCATATACAAAAGTAGGAAAAGAAGTCATTGAAAAGATTTACGGGAAATATTCTGGCTTAATGTACGTCCCGAGATGGAACAGTGCAACACTTCATGAAACATCCAAGTTTACTGATATTTGTAAACAAACATTTCGAAATCCAAAGTTTGTTGAAGATGAAAAAACGAGAAAGGAAGGATTCGAAGTTGGTTTCGGAATATTGAGTGAATTTAATTCTCATTTAGAAAGAGTCAAAACAATGGAAAAGAAAGAAATGATTGAACTAAGAAAATTATCACCCAATATTCAGGTTCCAATTAAGGTATTGGACGAGGAAATGACTGAAACTGAATCGGATGTGTTTAGAACAGCAAGTGATTCCATGGCTGACATGAAGGACGATGAACGGCTGCAAAAATTCTCAAGTCAGACACACAACCAAGACAAACTCGATGGAAGTGACATGTATTTGGTATTGACAGAGAAACCACGAAAAAATCATCTTTTAGTAGCTCATCCTCTGCTGGAGGATACACGGTTTGAAAGAACTGTTGTGCGTATGGACAATGACAAACAAACACTCGGATATATTATTGGCAAACTAACTTTTGAATCAGAACAAGACGAGGAAGACAACAATGACAATGAAGAAAATATTGCTAAGTTGATGGGAGAGGACTCTCTGGACAAAGAATCAAGTAGAGACACAGATCATGTTATGGACGCCTACAAACAGTTTTCCAAAATGTTTGCTCAAGATGCGATTGAAAATGAACCAGAACGAATAGGTAAATGGTATGAAGGACAGCTGGAAAATGAAATTAGGGATGGAAAATGGATTGTTGTTGAAGCAGATATGGAAAGCATATTACCCTTTGGTGCAGAAACTCCCTATTACCAGGTTTGGGAATACATTGTGAAAAGATTATCTGGTGAATATCTGTCATGGCTTGATTACTTTTCACACAAGCAACCAACACCTTTGAAACGTCCTAATACTTTTCCAAACGTGAGAATTATTGTACTCTAAGGAATTGAGTTAATGGTGAACAATCACCATCGCTGTTCATGCTGCAATAATTTATTTATTCAAACGGCTTATTTAAGGGTTACACATGCTCTAAATTCCCAACCACTTTTACTTGTAAATAAAAACTCCAGCTTGATTGGCATAAGAGTAATCACAAGGATTACAAGAGACAAGCAACTCGCCATCCAAAGGATTCAAAGCCAAACACAACCTTGCATCAAATCCTGTCCATTCTTTTTCTCCACTCTTTCCACATTGATTCCATTCCTTCTTTTGAGTTCCATTTGTCTTGATCGTGTGAACTGCTTTTCTTGAAATGAACATGATAATTCCAGTGACAGGTTCGACCACCATCTTGTCGACAAGTCCATCCTCATTCATTCCTCTTGTAATCTTCTTCAAGATCTTTCCTTTCAAGTTGATGGTCATGAAAGTGCCTTCATGTAGTCCACATGCCACCACAAGATTTCCTTCATGATCAAAGGCCAAAGCATGTGGATATGATAAGATTGAATCTCCACTTGTACTTTCACCAATTTCTCTCAATACAGATCCATCTTCTCCTGACAAGACGGTAACGACATGTTTACCATATTGAGAGAGAACATAAACAGTGGAATCACTTGGATGAACACACAAATTGCTGGCATTTCCATCAATAAAGACTTTCCAAAATGTAGTGGAACCATCGTTGGAGATTTTGACCACACTTCCATCATAAATGTAAAGCAATGCATTGTCATTTGGATCGACAGCAAGAGTGGTAATGTAATATCTGTGTCCTTCATTCAATTCAAAGGTATTTTTGAGTTTTTTGGATTGTAAATCAAACACATAGACCACAACAATGTCATTGGCCTTCGTGTCAATGACATAAATATTCGAATTCTTAGTGTCGACTTCAATGGCAGATGGATTTCTAAAGTTAAAAATCACATCTTCATGATCACCCAACATTTCAGACAATTTGAATTGATTACTGAACGGCATTTGATTACTTCCGATCATTTTGACCAAATTGGAATGAATGGAACGAGATTTCAAGGAATTGTGAAGAGTCTTGTGAATATCACACATCGTGACTTGACATTCCGAACATTCGTAATGGGCTTGTATTTCTTCTTTCCATTCACGACGACAAAAATCACAGAGTTTGGAATTTAAAGATTTCACTTGTGAAGAGTGATCCTTCGTTTTGGTTGCTTGATTGTGAAATTGCAAATGCAAAGCACAATAATTTAATTGACAGGTTGGACAATGATGAGTGGCTTCGGTGGTCTCATCGTCGACTTTGCATTTGTCGCACAGTGGAGAAGAATTGATCATGTTGCGTGATTTTATTGTTTGTTGTCAAGCTCGAGGAACAAGAGGGAAACAAGTAAAATAGATCAAATGAATGTGACATTTGGGCCCAAATTAAGAAAAGATGATCAATTCTGTACACATGGCTAAATAATCATGATATTACTACTTTTACAGTTTTAAAGTTTTCAGACATTGTCTGACCACTATAAAAAACTGTAAATATTGGAACGTTGGTCTTTGTTCATTAAAATGTCAACTGTCAAAGATCTTCAAAAAAAACAAAAATCAACAATTCTGTCATCATGTTCTTCTCAGCCAGCGAAAACTCTCCGAATGACACGTTGCGACAATTTGCTGAATCAAAAGCTAAAAAACAATTTGCTGCCTTCTTAAGTTCAGCCGAAGACGACATTCTCGAATATCCTACCACTTGTTCAACTCTCAATACAACCTCCGGAGTTCTCACTTCGAATACAACAACAACTTCATCGCTAGATCCTTTCAAAGAATTTGAAATTCGAAAATTGACTATTGTAGCAAATTCTAGAAAATCTCTTGCCATTTTGGATTATTATATTCAAAAATTACATTTTCAAACGGTGGATGTCATTTCAGCAAGTAGTGTCGCGGAAGTGGATAAGCTGTCCATGAAGGAAAGAGTTTTGATTAAATCGAAAGTGTCACAAGTGGCAAGAGATTTCAATATTTTAACACGTTGTTGGCATGCGATCGAAAAGATGGAAAAAGTTGAATTGAAACGAATGCGTGACGATTATGCTCTGTTGGAAGAAATTGTCAAGAATGTCTCTGAAAAGAATACAGAATTGACTGAAGCTCGATCTCAGACTGCTCGTTTTTCGACTTGCACTCAGGATGAACCAAAATTAAAGCCATTAGAAGAAGTTCTTCCTTCGGTGAAAGGAAAATTGGATTTAAATCTTGGAGTGCAGTATTATCTAACAAACTATGATGAATTGAACCATTTGGTGAGCACAATGTGTGAAAAGAAGAAGGAACAACATGAAGCACATTTGCATGAATTGGGCCTCTTGCAAGATGAATATCACCTTGAGTAAGAATCAATTCGACGACATGTGTTTCATGTTTGGCAAATGAATTCTTCTTTAGATTATCATTGTATTTTATTAATACGTAAATGGAAAGATTAATAGTAGCCAATGTTTCTACTTTGTTTTTCAATCCAGCCCTTTTCATAGCCACATTTCTCTAGGCAACGTTCAAACTCTCTAACCGTCATGAGTCGTTCTCTGACAAGGCCTTTCAAGTGCCTCAATAATTGATCCTCAAAATTTTTCTTCGCTTCATCAATGCCGAGCGACATGGCCAATGAAACGCATTCAATTAACTCAAAATCAAAAAATTCCATTTGTGTAAGTTGTTTTTCAGATCGTTCTTGTAAATCATCAATGCCAAGTCGTTGAGACTGAGAAATCAGTTCAAAAACGTTACTTTTTGTAATGGTAATATGGTTTGAATAAAGATAACGAAAAATATCCTCCAATACATCAAAACTTGAACATTGAATTTCTATGGTAGCCATTTCGTTTCGAGCTTCCATTTCTCTAATTGCCTCAGCTTCTATGAAATTGCTATTGATCAAGACATCAATGTATGGGCATACTTTCATTACAAATGACTTGTGACACAAAATTCCATCTTCGCTCTGCTCAGGATATTCGGAAAATTCGTTTACCTCTTGATTTTCATCAAAGTCTGGAATTCCTTGTTTGATTCTCAGGTTACAGAATGATTTCCTTAATTTATCCAACTCTCTGGTTGGATGATCACTTTCTTTAAACAAGCCTGATGCCAATGAACTCGCATGTTCATCTCTCAACACTGTCTTGATTTCTTTTGGGTCCACAGTAGACATACAACTATAAGGTGTAAACGTCGTCACATCGCTATATTGCAAAATAGTTAACATGTTGGTCATCCCTAAAGTCTCAGCTAAACATAACAACTCATTCAAATATTCCATCTCTTCTCCAAAAATCATCTCCCTGATATTTCTCTCTTTGTAATTCTCTTCTACGTTCACTAGTTGACTCGTGTATAAAAAGTAAATGAAATCATCAAACACATTCTTATCAAATGGTAATGGACCCAAATCAATGTGATGAATAACAGACAGAGGTGATGACGGGTCTTGAATTGATAATTTTGATCCCTGCAATGCTCCACAATATTGTTTTAAAACATTTTCTAGAGCCTCCATTCGATTTGCATGCATGACGGCACCATTTCTCTGTCGATTGACTTTTTCTTTTGAAATTGCAATTTGTTCCTTCAAATTTTTAATTTCTTTCCGAAACTCGGTTTGAAGCATGATTTTATCATTCATTGAGCAATAATATTTTTCAATTTCCTTATTGGTGGAAAGGCTTGCTAAAACGACATCATTCTCTGCAATCCAAATAACTTCGCAACGCGAAAGAGGTCTCTCCAAATTGATCAAAGCATATTCTAACAAGAGAGGCCATCGTGCCAGCATAATCCATGCATGAGTATGGTAAAGTGTGGGTTCCTTTTCATCTCGAAAATGAACAGAAATAGTGAGATCGGAATCATCACGAAAAGAATTTAATTCTTCATCAAGAATGGCGTTATGTTGGGAATGTACGGAATCACTCAATGCCGCTCGGGCGAATTGAGAAAGAGTTTTCAATAAAAGTGATGGTGGTCGTGTGTGGTCCTCATTCGATCTTTCCAGTTCATACGCATTCATGTTTCGAAACATTTTTTTGTAAGATTTTGTAAGGTTTCAGTTCATCTCCAAATTGAAAAGGTCAAATCATCGAATGCACTCAAAGTTTGCGCTTTTTGGATTGGCTCGGGTCAATTTTAGGAGAGGTGGTAGAAGTTAAAAGATTTTCATCGATTTCAATTGTTTTTTCTTCTTCATCTTCAAACCAAAGTTCATCCAAATCAATAATTTCGGTGTCTTTCATCATTGTTGTTCTCTTTGCCACAGGTATCTTGGGCGAAAAACTAAAACTTGAAATTTCTGAATGTTCTTCTTCTTCATCTACAAACTTGAATTCAAATTCTTCTTCTTTCTTTTGTTTCTCTATTGAAGAAGAGTTGTGTGAAGGCAATTGTGATGTATTGGAAAGAGGATGTGAAGTGTTTTCTTCAAAATCACTTCCTCCTATCCTTTCTGAATGAAGAGTTGGCATGCCACTTTTCAAGATGTATTGTGAGGCGTTCATAAAAATTGAACCCATGTTGTGGCCCTTAGAGGGTGCTGTACTTGAGGATGAAGCAGTATTATTTACTTCACTACTGGCAGAAGTAAACAATTTCTCAACAGATAAATCCCTCTCTTGTCCTTTCTTTTTTTCTGATTGTTTTGAAGATAAAGTGTCATGACGATTGTTCACCACTTCACTTCCTGTATTGGTCGTATTATTGTCTTGTTCCAATAATAACTTTTGACTCTCCATATAATTCTTCATGAAGAGAGACAAATCTTCTGCCTGTTCCATTTGATTGGTAACTGCTCTTGAAATTGGTTCAAAGTCAATGTATGGCTTTTTAGTGAGATTTCTCAGCCATGGTGTGCTCTCGGCCATTTCAATTCGATCTTCCTGTGCGAGTTTGGTCTTGGTGGTCAATAGGTACATTTTCCACTTGGCTCTTGTCATGGCCACAAAGAGTAATCTCTTTTCTTCTTGTTCCTCTCTAGAACTTCCCTTCGATCGAAAATGAGGGCAAATGTCATCCACAAGGTCTGTCACAAATACGTACTCGAATTCTAAACCTTTAGAAGAGTGCATGGTGAGAAGGGAGACACCATTTCTAGCACCACTACCACTTTTAGAGGCCTCATCTTCATTGATTTCTTGGAGGAATTTCGAGAGAGTTTCACTGTTCTCTGCAATTCTCAATAATTCCTCAATATCTTTTTCACACATTTCATAATTGGATGTGTATTTTTGTTTCAAGTAACTTTCCACACCAACTCTATTTAGGATGTATTGGATCAGAGAGGAGACAGAGTTTGTCATTTCATTCATTCGGTTTAGATGATTCAAGAAAGTAATGACTGATTTCTTTTCTTCGTTATCCATTGCGATTAAGAAGGGAATTTGACGTCTTAGTGTTAAGGTGATTTTGTACTTGACTCTTTTCTCAATAATGTCAATAAGCTCAGAAATAGAGATACCATTAGAGAGACAGTCTATTAGTGCTGATTTTGTCTCTGTAAAAATTCCTCGATCAGGAATATTTGTGATGTGATCTAGTGATCTGCTATTTAGACTACCTCTTGAAATGCTATCGACCGTATCCAGATATGAAATTAAAACTTGAATCCATGCAGATTTTAAAAAGCTCTCACTCTGTTTGGACTCGAATGGTATACTGTGCTTTCCTAGCTCAATTTCATAGGGCTTAAGAAGGCTATTTAGTCTAGATAGTATTGCAAAATCGCCGTATTTCCTATTACTGTTGTTACTTATTTCTTGTTTGATTGTTTCTACTACAAAGTTAATTTGCTCCATGTGAGTCACAAATTCTTTGATGGTGACTGTTGGTCCATTTCCTTTCTGAGAAATAAGTCTTGACTTGGAATCATCCAGTATAATCGATTCAATGTTGGGTTTGGTAGAGTTGTTAGAGGTATCTTTGGAGTAGTTTTCGAGTAACATGTCAAAACTAGCATTTAGAATATTTGATGTACTTCTATAATTTTGTTTGAGAATGATAATATCGGCATTGGGAAAGTCGTAAGCAATATTTACAAAGTTATGTACATTTGAAAATCTCCAACCAAAAATTGCTTGTTTTCTGAATTTTTCAATGGTGTGAAATGAATGGAGGACATGATTCACTTAATACTTACGAATCTCCCACACAAAATATTCTCTTGTGCTTATTCACCAGCAACTTGGTAAATTCATATTGCAAGTCGTTTGTATCTTGATATTCATCGAGAAGTAAATATTCAATGTCGTTTGAGACTTGACTGAGGAGAGAAGGTTTTTCCTTCAATATTTTTACAATTTTAAAAATTAAATCTTCGTGAGTTAGAATATTCTTCTTTTCTAAAATTTCCTCGAATTCTTGATAGAATGGAGCAAAATATCGTAATGATATATTCAAATCTGATGGTTTCAACTTGGAGGTTACTTCATTTGGTGAAATTCCAGAGTTTTTCACAAGAGCCACGCAATCTTTCATTTGACTCGGTGTGCATTCTTCAGTAATTTCATGTTTTGCTAAATATGGTGATTTATAAGCAAGTATGAGTGGGATGATACATGTGAATGAATATTCATGGAATAATTTTTCAATCTACATACCAATGATGTCAGACATTATAGACAGGATAGTTCTATCATCTGCAATCTTGTAAGATGATTTCACAAGTTTATATTTACGTAATAAAGCAAGACCTTTCGAGTGAAACGTGCTAAATGTTACTTGATTTAATCGTTCATCCAATCGACTCGCTCTCTCTTTCATTTCATTCGCCTTAATGATGTATTTTCATATTCAAAAGTAAAACATTAAAGACAATTTTAAATTAATATTATGATTCTAGAACTTACTGCTGCCTTGGAAAAAGTAAGAGCACAAATTTTGCTTGGGTTTACTTTCATTTCATGCACCAAATAAAAAATTCTTTTCATTAGAATTATGATATATATTATTTGTGTAAATTTCAAGTGTTATTTTCATCAAACTCACCTATAGGTAATGACGGATGTTTTTCCTAATTAAATATAAAAATTTAAAGTTCATGATTTTGATTCACAATATGGTTGTCATTGTGTTTCTACTTGACAATATATTCATGTAAATTCCACCTACCTGTTCCTGGACCTGCCATGACAATCACTTGATCATTCCGAGAACTAACCGCTCTCTTTTGTTCATCATTTAATTTACTCAGTAAATTATCTACAATAGAGGACGAGCTCGGGATACTCTTTACGAGAGAACTTGCATTCGTGCTGATGTCATTACTACTTGACGTTCCCATCGTCATCATCATTGGTGGTCGTTGAGGCCTTTTCAGACGCACGGTTGATTTTCCTGTATTGCTTCCAGATGTGTTTTTAATGTTGTTGTTGTTGTTTCTTGTGGCCTCAAGATGAATTGATTGGGACCTCGGAAGAGGTGGAAGAAAGTCATTGCTCTTCTTCTTGTGGTCATCCTGAGCGTGTGAAGAGGTCCTCGGATTGAGCATTTTTTTCTCCAGTCAGTGCAAGAACTACTGTGAATGCGAAAAGTGAGATGGAATTTCGTTTTCACTTATGAAAAATAAATAATCCGTTTTATTGTACACCCCGCCGTTTTACACACAATCACAAAGATAATTTTGGCTATGACATCAATATTTTTGAATTTTGATATGTTCTGAACGTAGTGAAGGGCATGAATGTTTCGATTGTAAACAATTAAAGAGTTTGGTTGAGCTTGAAAAATTATTTCCATGCTCAAAAAATTTTCTGCATATTAATGATTAGTCTCTTTTTTGACTTCCCACCCATTCGCACTCCCACCCACTTGCTTTCTTAAGCTTATTCAAGTACCTTTTTCGCTGATCGGAATGTTCTTGTGGTAAGGAAGAACATTGTGACAGTGCACCACCTTGATTCGAACCTTTTCGGCAAGGATTTTTTTGAGCTAACTATATAATTTTGTTATTTAATTTCATTTATTTAATTCATCATGTTTTCATGATATTCATGGATTTATCAAGTTATTATAATTTTCATGGATTTATAAAGCAATTGTTTAAATGTGACCTCATATCATGGAGCCCAGGGAAGCGAATAAGAGACTCAAAGCGCAATTGAATGAGATGTGTGTCCAAATGGCAACTATTATGCAGAGAATAGGGAAGATGGAGCGCAACAACCTTCAAGGTACTCCAGTCATTAATATTGCGGAAGAAAAAGATTAGGAATTGAAAGCGAAGCTGAAAGAAGCAATTAATGAAATGGAGATAAACAAATATATAGAGAACAAATTTAACCCTTTACATACTTCAGATAAGAATTTGTTAACACAATACGAAACCTTAAAAGGAGCAGCGAGAAGTGTAATAAGAGTGGCAATCAAGTATCCAGAAGATAAGGATTTACTGGAAAATGTGGCCAAATTGGAGAAACAAGCCACACAATTACATGTTACTGCGTTGAACCCAGTTCTAGGGGAATGTTATAGTATGATTCAAAACAATCGTACTTTAGCAGAGAGTATGTCAGATATTCTTGCGGTAAACAAACTGCACAAGATGTTAAAGAACTATGGTGACAGTAAGCAAACAAAGAAAGAAGGTGGTTTTTATGGAAAGAATCAAGTACAAGGATAGGCTAAATAAGAAAAGAAAGATGGAAAAAGGGAATGGAAAAGAGACGAAGAGATTTTTTGTCACAAGTGTCAGAAAGCGGGTCACAAGGTAAGAGATTGCCCTTCCGGAAAGAGTGCGAATAAAGCCCCCACTTCAGACTACCCGCCTTTCGATGCCACTGCAGAACAATTAGAAGAGAGAAAAAAGGCAATCCATTCCATGTCAGACAAATGGAGCGAGTTGAGAGGTGCTTCAAAATAAGTTGTGGAGATCTATGTGAAAATTTCTCGAAAATCGGTGTAAAACGGTGAGGGTGTACAATACCAATTTATTTTACAAATATTTATTTAAAATGCTCAGTAATTATTTCTGTGGCTTCTTATTCACATTTACATTGATATCTAAATGAATTCGACCATATGGAGTTCGGATGGAGTGATGACGTTGACCATTTCCAGTCACCTCTTGTTGTGGTTCCCTTGTTGGAACGACTGCTGGTGATTGTTGTTGAGGCACGGATTCTGGAGCTTGTTGAGCAGTATTGTTTGCTTGTTGTTGTTGGGATTGCTGTTGTTGAGCATGTTGTTGTTCCTGTAATTTTTGTTGAGCTTGTTGAACTTCAGACTTGATATCCATACCAGTGTCTGCTTTCACAGTCTCCAATAATCTCTTGCACAATCTCTTATAATTTTTACAAATGAATGCAACGACAGCAGATGGGCTTTGTTCGTAAATTGCAACTGGAACCTTGGAGAGAATTCTCTGACGAACTTGCAACACTTCTTCTGGCAAGTGTCTCAAGTATTCAATTGGAACTTTTTGGACGATTTGCTTTGGAAGTCTCTTTTGCAACACTTCTTTAGACCAAACTTTCGTATAGGCATTTTCAGGAATGACAAGGCTGGTGTCCTTATTGTATCTAGATGGCAAGTGTGCAATGAAACGTTTGAAATCTTTAGGTGGCAAGTCCAAGATAGTGTTTGGAATCTTGGCTCTATCCTCCATCTTGAGGTGGAAGTATTCAGATGGCAAGTGACGAAGTTTCTCAATACCGACATTAGCAATGACTTCTTTTGGTACGTGTTTCGTCAAGAATTCACTGGACCAAACCTTTTCTTGTTGAACAGTGACTGGAGCTTTGAGTGTTTGTCTGCCTGGTTTTGGTGGAACAATTGAATTTCCATTGAGTGGAATTCTTAAAGCATGAGGACCAAAGAGTGGCTTGTATTTAGTGGTCTTCTTAACCCAATTTCCAAGTCCCTTTTCTTGAGCAACTTTGGTCAATTCTTGTGGAGAGTCGACCTTTCCATTGGTCACGCCTGGATCTGGTTCTTGATAACCTGGTGGATTGGTTGGTGGAGCATTTGGACTCTGTTGTGTTTCCCCACCTTGTTGTTGTGGTTGTTGTGCGTTACTTTCTTGTTGCTGTTGTTGGTCATTGTTGACAGGTGTCTTGGAGAGTTCAAGTTTCTTTGAATCATTATCAGATGGCTTGTAACCACCAGCTCCAATGCACTTTTCGAAGAGAGTCTTGACAAAGGCCTTTGTTTGAGTTCTAAAGAAACTCCACTCTTTCGACCATTTCATTAAGGAAGCGGTCAGACCAACACTGAATTCAATTCCGTCAAGTTTGTGTTGCAACATGGCACACAAATTACACTTCTCAAATGCCAAACGAGGAATGATTCTATATGTGATGGTGGCCCTCAAATAAACTCCAACTTTGGCAACAGGAATTCCTACATTGGCACTTCCAGTCACACTCAAAGAAATGTATGGCTCTACTGAAACTGAAGCTTCCAATCTTTCCACACAAACACCATATCTAAGTTCAACTCCCATGTTAAGACCAACGTTAAAGTTAAAGTGGACAGGAACTGGACCAATTTGGAATTGATAACTCCAATCAATAAGCTTAGGGAATCGCTTCTCAACCAAAGGTTTAGTTTCAGAGAAACATGCTTCAATAATTTCACGAATACGATCTGGAACGAATCTCTTGTTGATGAAAGTGGTTTCAAAGACCTTAACGAAAATATTATCATTGATTGGTTCATCTGGTCTCTTTGTCAATTCACCAGCTGCATCAATCACAATGAATTGTTTCTTGAATAATTTGGCATACATGTTGGCCTTTGCAATCAAGACAAAGTCAAAACTAGTTCGTTCTGTAGAGCATTCGAAAGTAGCACCTGCATATACAAGGAATCCCAAGTACATGTGAACTGCATTGGTACCTAACAACTTTTCAAAACTAAAATGTTTGGCCTTCTTGATAGTGGACAAGTCACCTTGCTTTCTGACAAAGTTAATCATGTTGGATTGATACAAACACAATTGATCGTTTGGATTAACACTGACTTGCATGCATGCCTTTTGATTTTCAAACTTGGCAGCACTAAAGTAATACTTGATCTTTTCCACAATCTTCTTGACAGCATTGATCGCAGCAAGAATTTTGTCCTTGAGCCAATTGACTGCCTTAACCACACCCTTAGCAACGGTCTTGGCAATTCTTACAATACCCCTTCCGACACGATGAGCAATTTGACGCAAATGACTACCCACTTTTCGGAAAGCATGGCCGACTCTTCGGAACGCATGGCCGACTCTTTGGAAAGCTCTTCTGAAGGCATTTCCAATACGTCTGAAGAATCTAATGAAAAGAACGTTCTTTTGTTCCATACTTTCAAAGTTGTCCAACAATTCAAGATCTTCATGTGATAATAAAGATCTTCCAACAAGTCCATATGTGAGAGAGGATCTACGGCGACGATTGTTACGTTGTTTCTTTCGTTTCAATCCCATGGCTTTGGCAAGAGCTTCACCAGACTCATGGGTGCCACAAGTGTAGAGGTAATTCTTTGCAGCTGTACTAATTTCTTCATTCTTGCTTCTCTTGTGAACACGGTAGACATGTTTAATGGAGGTACCTCTTCTCAAATGTAGTTCTCTTTCACTTTGAGCATTGATGAGTGAGGCCTTGACCAGTGGGCTATAACCAGTCGATCCCAAAATTTCATGAATCATATCGTCGACACTCTTCTCATCCCTCAAACGTTTCTTCAAGTTTTCAACAATCAAGACCTTGATCGAGTCAGGAACACGATCATCAGCCAAGAACATGTACAAGATTTCAACTTGAACACCTTTACCAGCATTGTTCAATGCATGGAAATTGGTAGTGAGTTCGGTAAGGTCTTTTGATTTACCAATTCTTGTGACAATTTCCTTGACAATCATTCTTTGCAAACGAACATCCCTCAATCTATTGGCAAGGTCAGCATAAGCCATGAATGCATTCTCCTTGACTTCGTTGTTGTAGTCATCATCAATCTTGTACTTCTTGGATCCACCACGAGCAAATGCCTTAATACCTTGTGATTTCAAAGTCTTCAATAAACTAAAGACGGATTCAGTTGGATAGGCAATCACAATAGAAGCATAAACGTAGTTACTAGTCAAGTAAGGATGCATGGTTGATAATTGAATCAACTTTTCTTGGACACGAGAGGACTTGACAGTGGCACACAAGTTTTGAATACTTTCCAAGTAATTTTTGAGAGCAGTCTTGGAAGTCCTATCCAACTTGTTGGTATTCAAAGTCTTGATACCTTTTGAGATTTCAGCCAACAAAATATCAGCACTCTTGATTGGATGTAATTTGCTGTACTTGGCAAGAGCGGTCAACACTTGATTTGATTCTCTCGAAAGAGATGGGTCTTGTTTGACACCATTCAACAAAGTACGGAAGAATCTTGGAGAGAATTGTTTTCTTTTCAATGACAAGGTTGCCTTTCGATCAAACTTGTTCACGCTGAATGAATTTTCGAACGCAAACTCAGAACCCAACTTGGCACCACGTCCATTCTTTTCCAAATTCACGATGGTTTCTTGAATCTTTCCATCGAAACTACCTCTGGTTTTTCTAATCTCTTCCAAGTTGATACTACCAATGAATAGAGTCTCCAACTCACTAGCAGAGTGAGGTTCTGGATTCTTGTCTCTCTTTGACTCCTTGGTTAACTTCTCAAAGGCTTCAAAAGCATAGTGTCGAGGGATATCGCTGGATGGACCAAAGGTTAACTTGATCTTCATACTGGCATGAGTTGGAACGTGCTTTTTCAATGAAACTCTCACCAAATGAGAGGCATCATAGTGTAAGTGTCTCTTTGAGACTGGCATGGTTGAGATAAAGTCATCGTGAGAGAATCGTTGGTAGATACGTAAGGAACGACGAGTCTTGGTAAACTTGCCACGAGTGAATCTCTTCTCGTAGTTCTTGTAGTATTTTCCTCCAAAACCATCGGTTTGAGAACGAGCCTTCTTACGGGTTTCAGTGGTGAGCAAACGAAGGAGACCCTTCTTGATGGCTCTCATGTAACGACTCTCGGATTGTCTGAACACCAAGCTTTGAATATGACCACTCGTTGATTGAACAAACAACATGGGATATTGATTCAATTCTTTGGTAATGTCCGTGGAGGTCATCAAGCGACGATATTTACGTCCACTCAATCCACGAGATCTTCCTTGATATTGAGCAAAGAATCCATTCAAGAAGGTAACAAGAACGACATTCTTTTTACGATCTGAGTCTTGTCCGGATATTTGCAAAGCCTTCTTGGTGGTACTTTGGGAAGGGCAAGTTAAAATCATTTTACCGTACATCAAAGTCTCGGCATTACCAGCTGTACCCTTGCGAGAATTCACGAGACCTCTATTGCCAATCAATGTGGTAGCTCTGAAGCGATAGAGAAGGGATTTTCCCGGAGGACAGTTGACCTTGACATAGTTATTGTTCTTCTTCTTCTTGTTGTTGCTAGTTGAAACTTTTTGTTTGGCAGCATGCATGATGGCATCTACATCGACGTATTTACGATGTACATTGTTTCTGGGAGAAGATGACGATGACTTCTTGGATTCTACAACCGCAAGTGTCAACAGCAAAAACAGTGCGAGAAAGACAGCACCAACAACAAAAGTGGATGATGAAGACTGGCCGATGTGTCGCACCATTTTGATGTCAAAGTTGTTGATGGTGTTGTAGTTATGATAACGTGGTTGTTGTAGTCAAACTACGACACAAGAGTTGTTTTTTTGTTTTCTGATTAACAGTGATGTTAAAATAAGCTCTCACTGTTTCGGGTCTGAGATGACCACTGAGATGACTATGAAATTTGTATTTTTTCAACTGTGTGAGAGCACTTGAAAATAGACCAGAGCAACAAGATTGTGCGGGTCACTGAAGATCAAAGTTTGACAGCTGAAGTTTTGGACCTGATGAGATCCAAAGATGTCTAAACAACAGTCTGTGAAATTTCTGTTGAATGCGGATGGCTTCCTTGATTTCAGGGGCTCTTTATATAATCATTGTTACACCGACACTAGGTCATGGTTGGTGAGAATAGGAGTCGTCAGACTTTTGTAAATGGTGCAAACAGGTCTGAGATACCATTTTCAAACGATCCGTATCTCCGTCTTTTTTAAGGCTATTGCCTTTTTGTTTTGAGGAATACAGCTGTACAAAGGAGGTGGTTGTAAGGACGCCCCAAGTAAGACAGGAAAGTGGGGTTTTTTGTTGAGGAAGTGTTTTGAGATCCAGCTGCAAAGGATGAAGGACCGCGCTTGAAGCAAGTCGTCATTGTAATCACTTGAACCGTAACGGTAGACCAACTCAAAAAAAAACCACCCTCAATTCTTTATCTCTCACTTTTAAGCCCACTCAATATGGACGCAGGTGTAGTCGTTGATGATCAATGTATTAAGGAATTCAAGGCATTCCACTCAAAGGACAGCAAATGGAGATGTATTCTTTTTACCGTCAACGATAAGGGAGATCGTGTAGAGGTTGCGAAACAAGTTGAAAAGGGAGGAAATGCCGACACTTGGGATGGTTTCTTGAGCTCTGTGGTCGAGGCTGATTTCAGCGATAAAGGATGTTGGGCTGTGTATAACTTGGAGATGACCAAGGAGGACCAAGGAGTTGAAAGACAAATCTCCAAACTTGTTTTCCTTCACTGGGTCCCATCCAAGACCAAGCCAAGAGCAAAGATGTTGATGAGCTCCACCAAGCAATCTCTCTTCAGCAAATTCAATTGTTCCATGGTCAATATTGAGGGTACATCATTGGGCGATATTGCCGAGAAGAATATTTTGGATAAACTCAAGAGCTCTCTTTAAAGAAGCACAAAGGTTTCATGGTGTTCTTGGTATCCTTTCGGATTTTCAATGAGCCACAAATGTACCAATAAAGCTTCCTCTCCTCAAGATTTGGATCACCATCATTGAAGTTCACTCTTCCTTTCAAAAAAATTTAGATTTTCTTTTTGGGTCTGCTCTTTTCTGTTTCGGCTTCTGTTTTCTGGTTCAAACTCCAGATTGCAAATACACGGTTTGTTGCACAAACAACTGTTGTGTTTTTGTACACACAGAAACGTGGGAGTGAAGGCCTGAAAGACTCGTTTCTTGGGAGGATCATTGTTTAAAAACGATTATTAATTGGAAAATGGTCCGTCCATCCCATCAGCATAAATCATCATCAGAGTCCAACGGAAAGATAATTCCATGTCATCATCAACACTCTTCCGATATTGGATTTATGGATGTGTTTGGACCAGTTATTGTTCATAGAGAACCAAAAGAGCCTTTCCATTTCAACAACAACAACAACAGCTTGCCAAGTCAACGTAATACCGATACAGAGAGAACAAACATCAACTCCTCCCGAAATCACAAGAAAAAATTAAGGGGAGGCAACAATGAAAAACATCACCGCCAGCATCATCACGGCAAGAAAAATGAGGTTTTGAATGAATTTTGTCACGATTTTGCTGGAAAGCCACGAGGAGGCAACAATGAAAAACATCATGGCCAGAAACATGACAAAATTCATTCGAAAACCATGTCAGACACAACAAAGTTTGTGGCTAGTGACGATTTATTCAGCGTTCCAAATATTGGCGGAGCTACTCGAGTAAAATCGGTTGACGAATGCAGCCGTGACAAAAGAGCTTCAATAATTATGGACGATTCATTGTGGAGTTTTCCTGGAGAAATACATACCTTACCGCACGCTGGTGGTGACAGTGATGATGATTACGAGGATGAAGAAATTTCAAATGGTGTTCCAATTACTGCATCCCGCACAAACAATTCATCATCTAATCCATTAGGAATTGAAGAGAATTCTAAGATAAGCTCTTCTTGCACACCTCCCTCTTCTTGCTCTCCTCTCTTCCAATTCATGATGCAACAACAAATGCAAAGATTGAGAAATAATCAAACGGCATTAACTTCGAAGAGGTCTTCCAATTCTAACAATATCTTCTCAAAACATGGAAATACTAAACAACACTCAAAAATCAACGACAAACTTCAACAACATGAAGATGAAGATTTTGAGGATGTTGAAGAGGAGCCAAGTAGCAACGTATTTATTGAACATGGATCTACTTCATCTTCTCCACCTGTTCCTATTATCCCTCGTTTTCATCAAAAGAGCTCAAGACGATTTTCAGATGCTCACAAACTTGTAGCTTTAACAGAAAATTCTAATACTCAAAGGATTTCTAAGAACAATATTTCACTTCGAAGAAGCAGGAGCTATGGCGGTACATTATCAAACTATAACAAGACCAAGAAACAATATGGAAATAGAAAACTTGACGAAAACACTCTTTCCAAGTTCAACAAACATAAAAAAAGGGGGAAGAACAAACATAGAGAACAACATATGAAAAAGATGGAGAGGAGTCGTGCTGTGCCTGGCATGGTTCTATCTGGTGAAGAGTCTGATATGGCTACAAATGAAATTATTTTCGATCCAGCATTTAAATCCAGTAGTTATGAAGAGGATATTTTCGATTCCTCTCGAAATAAGAACAACAAAACTGATACTTGCAGTTACAACAACATGTATGACGAACCTATCACTCCAAACAAAAGACATGTGGTACAAGACGATGACTTTTTTGCAATTCCAAAGCAAGAAGAACATAGCATTGAAAAAGAAGATCATACATCCAAGCCATCAAGAAATCGCTCATCTTCAACACTTTCGAACACATCTTCATGCTCCAATATATCCTTAGATGGAATGAGGCCCACAGCCATCATTGAATTTCAAAGATGTAGCACTTCTTCAACGACAACAGACACCACTTCTATTCCTTCAAGATCACAGTCATTCTCCACAAGTGTTATTACCTCTGATAAGGAAGAAGATCAATTTAATACCAGCAACATTTCTGGTTTACAAGGAGATGATATATTTGATGCGATTCCGTCCGTATCATCAACATTGTACAATGATGATGAAGGCCTTCAAAGTGACAGCATTTTCGACCTTCCACACTCGACCTTCGAACATAAAGAACAAGTGAAAGTCATGTCTTCTGTAAGCATGCTACCTAGCATGGCACATGAAGACACAAATAACACTCCTAAAAAAGCATCTGATACCACCAAGACAAAAAAACCCAAGAAGGATAAGAAAAAGCACATGGTTGGTAATCTCATGTTAAATCTGTCCACCCAAAATGAGGAAGAAACGCCCAGACTAGTCAAGACAGAAAAAGATGTTAGAGATTCCGTTCGGAATATTGTACAGCCAAAAATTACTGAGAGTGGAAGTTTTATGCTTTCTGATAGGTACAAGGCAAATCAAGATGGAACCCAAAGAAACGAAATTTCGCCAGAAAGTGCTCAACTTACTATCGATTCTGCTCAATCATTTATTAATGCATTTAATATTCTTTCACTGAATTCTACAAAAGGACCATTCCTTCAGCGGCCCAATCAGCCACCAAATAACAGCGAATCGGAAGCACAACGCCTAAGACAAGCGCTCTCTGGAAATACATCAATCGCTCCTCCAGTAATGGCTACTGTCAATAGTTTCAAAATGCCTGTCAATAGTGCAGTCCTATCCACTAGCAAAAGTGTGAAGACTGAAAAGAAAAAGAGAACATTGAAGAGATTTAATAATGAAGATTTCACATGGAAAGATTTGATCATGCTGAATAACTTGGGAAGCGGGTTTTCCTCACAAGTAATTAAGTGTAGCAATTCAAAAACAGGAAAACACTATGCTTTAAAGAAAATTGATCTATCGATGAACGATACGAAAAATTCTTCCAAAATGATCATTACAGAATTTAATTGCTTGGCTGAATGTAGAGACTGCCCATACATTGTTCGAATCGTAGACATTTATCATTTTAAAGAAGAAAAAGAACTTTTCTTGCTCTTAGAATTTATGGATAAAGGTACACTTAAAGATGTGATAGAGAAGACTAAAGGATCTGTATCTGAGGAGTTTATTAGCTTGGCAGCATGTCAATTGTTGTTAGGCCTTGCCTATGCCCACGAGAAACAAATTATTCACAGAGATATTAAGCCAGAAAATATTTTACTCAACTCGGAAGGGTACGTGAAACTAGCCGATTGGGGAATGTCTTGTATCATGCGAAACAAAAGCCATACTCATACTCATCTTGGAACTGAGGTATATATGAGCCCAGAAAGGCGTGTTAGTTCGGATAACAAACACAGCTATCCTTGCGACATTTATGCACTCGGTCTTTCACTACTCGAACTCGCTCTTGGAAGAGTACCAATTCTCCAAGTATGGGATTTTAATGATCTCTATCGAAAGCAAACAAGCGAAGGATCTTTTTGGTTAGACGCGTTTATCCCATTCTCGCAATTTTCTGACGAATTTTCACAATTTTTGAAAGCATGTCTTGAAAAAGATCCTGAAAGTAGAATGTCATGCAGTCAGTTATTGAGACTTCCTTTTATTACTCGATACAACGGTCACAATGAAAAAGAATGGGGAGGTGAACGAGATAGACTTACCGTTTTAGAATTCTTGAACGGATAGAACTGGATCAAAACCATCGTTAAGATTTGATTCAATGTATTGTTAAGGAGCAAAACTCGATAAAAGAGTTAGAGAGATGAAGCAACTTCAGGTTTATTGCAATTCCAACCAATGTAGGTGTTAGAAGAACCTGGACAATTCCACACATGTAATGACGTAATCGTCACATTCGAATAATATCTCATTAGGGTCTTTGTAATTATGAGGTATCAAATAACAATTTTGAACATTGTGTGATGGATGTTTATGGTTAATTATACAAGATTGTGGAAAAAAAAGACTTTGAGCAAGGACATTCCAATTAAGCATTCAAGTCGAGATGAATGTTGGTCAATTTGGTCAAAATTTCTTCTCTCATTTCCTTGCTTGGGAATTTCACTTCCAATTCCATAGCAGGTGGTGTTTGTTTAGATTGTTGTTCATCTTCCAAAGTCATTGACAAACCATCTTTATCCATATCTGCTGCCTTTCTTCTGATTCTGGTGTATTTCAAATTGAATACGTGGACCTTATTAGACATTGGTCCTTTCTTTCTCTTAACAATTGCATAATCGCTCAAAATATGAAGGGCAACAAAATAAGGCGCCTTATTCTTTGTGGTTGATTCTTTTCTCTTCTCGTAGAGATAACCACGAAGTTTCTTCTCAGTGTGGATCCATTTTCTTCCTGAGTTTTCTGGAAGAGTAAGTTGCAACTTTTCCAATAATTTTGATGCCATGGCCTCAAACTCAACACCTCTTTTAGCTTCGTTGACAAATCCTGTAATGGATTGAACTTCATTAAGAGCTCTCTTGAGAATTTTATAACCTGTAGATTCTGTACTGTCACTGTTTTTCATGAGATCTGTGAGAAGAAGGTTGTAACGAGGCAAACGTTGGACAGGTTGCTAAATGTCATGAGGGTGTGACATTATAATTAACATGACCATGGTCACATGAAATTCACAATGAGTCATACAAACATGAGCGCTTGTGAAAAAAAACTTACAATCAAGAAAGATCCCAAGTCGGTCTGACGAAAACCTTGATCCAACAATTCATTTGAAATTTGATCCAAAAAGTCAGCAAATGGCTTATACTGCTTAATACAAGCAAACATCATTGCCTCAGCTCTGTCATAATTATTCACAAAGGAGCAATAGGTCTTAAAACTTGGTGCATACGAAAGTACCAATTCACCAATCTTGTATTCCACATTTTCCCACAATTCCTCTTCATTTTGGAATAAGGCCTTAAGTTTTGTTAAAAATGCATAATTGACCTTATAAATCAAATCAATATCTTTGAAAATGATGTCAAATTTTTCTTTTGGAAGAATTGTTTTTGGTGACGTAATAATTCTTTCCATATAAATCTTTCGACAAGTATCCAAAGCTTTCACATAGGATTCCTCTGTGGAAAGTAATTCACGAGAAATGGCTTTTCTTTTGGCTAATCTTTTTTCCTTCTTCTTTTCTTCTTCTTCTTCTTCTTTTTGTTTTTCTTTCATTTCCTTAATTCTCTTTTCTTTACGTTGTAAACGTCTCTGTTCTTTACGTCTCTCTTTTTCTTCATTCTTGATACGTTCTTCTTCTTCTTTACGTTTGGCTTCTTCCTCTTCTTCACGCATTCGGCGTTCCATTTCTTGTTGTAATTCTAATTCTTCATCGAGAACAGATGCTTCGAGTTCTTCAGGTTCACTCTCATCGTCAAGTGCTGCAGGTTCTAATTCTGTAGGTTGTAATTCTTCTTCATCGGCTGGTTCTAATTCTGTAGGTTGCAATTCTTCTTCATCTGCAGGTTCCAATTCAGAGGCCAATAATTCTTCATCATTAGAAGGTCTGAGTTCAGTCATTTCATTATTCTCTTCTTCTTCTTCGTCCTCTTCTTCGTCTTCCTCGTCTTCATCATCATCATCATCATCAAAGCTTGCCAATTTGAAGGCATTGCTATCAATGGGTTTAAATGAAGCATTATCATCATCAAGAGCTTGTCTAATTTCATCTTCAGTAGCTCCATTATTTTTCATACTGAGAATTCTGTCACAATTGGATAAATCAATCATTCCAATCATGTCTGTCATGTATCCCATAGCACCTTCAATACTATCAATGTAATCTCTAATTTCATCGACATTGTACAAGTTATAGAGAGTTTCACATGAACTTTTTCTAATTTCAAAATTTTGACGAGTAGGTTCTTTCATAATGACACGTAACATGGTATCAACAATTCCAGTATCTTTCAATTCAATAGCTGACATTTTAGTTCTAGCAAAGTTGGAAAATAATTTCAAAAGAGCCATCAATATTTGAATTTCGACTGGTGACACTTCTTTGATTTCTATCATTTGGAAGTATCTGTCAAATGCTTGAGCACAAATGGAAGCAAAGTTAATTTCACTCAATCTTTCTAAAAGTGTTCTCGAGTTACCAATATAAACACAAATGGCAACTGCATTGAGAACTAATTTTGAGCTTGTTTCTTGTTTGATAAATGCAGAGAGAATGGAAAGGATTTTCTTGGATGCCATCTTGACCAGTACAGCAGGATCACGAACTGTTAAGAGTCGTTGACATGTGAGAGTTGAAAAGTTGAAAAGGACATTTTGTGTAACAACAACAATTCATCCATTAAACACAATCGAAAGGACATGATGATTTCACAAACTTGTCGTCACACACTCCCCAAAAAAACACTTACCCAAATTTGAGAGTGCTCCAGTCGATGGTTCTAAAATTTGCAAATATTCACTCTCCAACAATCCAATCAACAAGTCAGGAATTTCAGAATTCACAAATGGAGGAATATTTTCATCGTCTTCTGTTGCTTCCCATAACAATTCACATGCCTTCTTTTGTTTGGAAGGAATTCCAGATTTCAAGTCATTCACAACTCCACTCATTGATTCTTCATTCAATGATTGACTTTCTTCTTCATTTGAAATTAAATGTGTTTGTCCAATAATGTGTAAAACTTTAGAGGCAGCTTGTGACGCTTCTTCAAAACAAGATTGATATAATCCAAATAAATTTGATAAAACAAGATGAGATCCTGTTTCTACCATTGTTTTGTGGTTTGCATTTGAAAAGTGACATAAATATTGATACAATTGCAGAATGGATTTCAAGAGACGTTGAGCGCTTTGATTGGTTTTTTCTTTAGCTTCTTGTTGAAGAGTGACATCCGACAAGATGGTTTTTAACAATGAAATGACATTGAGAGTAGTTCCAACCATAAATGCTAATTCTGCATCATCTAATGAATCCAAGGTGATTATATGATGATCATCATTGATTTCGGAATTATTATTGTAAAGGTGATCAAGATCATCATGATGGACAACAAGGGAGATATGATGATGATGATGCAAACCATGATGATGAAAACCATGTTAGATGTGATTTCCAAAAAAACTCACAAAACACTCACTTTTCACAAGTAATGCCAAAATGGCACAACAATTATCCAATGCAAATTCAGCTTGTTTTACATTCTTTAAATAATGAGCGAGTAGAGTCGCAGCCATTTCGTGACACTTGAATCGAGTGAGAGTTGATTTGTTGTCCGCTGTACATGACAATTATTATTATTCAAACATGTTCACCATCAACACACCATTCAATTTGACATTAAAAAGGACATTGATGATTCATTTTCAATTTATAAAACACCATCATCATTGGTTCGTCATCATCATAAAACATCATCATTGGTGGTTCATCATCATTGGTTCATCATCATCATCATCATTCAAATTGAATGAACACCATCATCATTGATTCAAAGACAGAGACTCTCTCTCTATTCGCACACACAAACACAACAAAAACCTCATCATCAAACACACTTACCAATCAATGCAGCATTTCTCAAAAAGGCAGTGACATCTCTCACAGGTTGAATCATATTCTTGTGTTCACGAGCCATTGAAATCATTTCATCCACCGTATCCGATCTCTTCACAATTTCCTGACACAATTTTGGATTCAAACTTGCCACAGTGGCTAAAATATTCACCACAATAAATTTAAAATTCATTTCCTTATTGGAGAGCATTAAACATAAATCATCGAGAGCTTCGGAAGCAGGATCGAATAATTCTTTTTGAAAATCAATGGAACGAGCTTCTCGAGTCATTTGAACGAGAATGGAATGACCACTGGCAATGTCTCCCTTTTTTTGTAGATCGAGAATTTGTTGGAGACGAGAGGAGATGGAGGAGGAGCTCATGATGACAGTAGGAGTTTGAATTTTTTTTTTGAAAACTGTTGGAATTGTCAACTGTCAAAAAGTTGTCTAACGTGTTAACACTTTTCATAAAAAAGAATATTTACACCAATATATACGAGTACATTTTGATAATGAATTTATTAATATTAAATATTACATGTTTACAACATGGAATCTCTATTTTACAACCCCATTCATGAAAATTACTATAAAAATTAAAAAAAATGAAACAATTATTACCAATCATGTTCATGATGATGGTGTTGAATGCCTTCATCCTCTCATCAAATAGTGTTGTATATGCTTCATCCCGATCCGAACTTACTTCTCTCCCGCTCTTGCAAGGAAAATTTTCTGAAAAGCAATATACTGGATTTGTGGACATTCCGAGCTCTACACAACCACAAAAGAAATTGTTTTATTGGTTTGTAACTGCAAAGAAAGATCCTCTCCGATCTCCGGTGGTAAGTCATTATTATCATTGAGAACTATTATATGATATTCAATGATTCATACATGATTTTTGATAAATTTATATTTGAAATAGGTGTTATGGATGACTGGAGGACCAGGTGAGTAATTGTTTTCTAGAAGAAATCCACGAGAATGAAAGGATTGATTTTTAATATCGTGAAAAATGGTATTGAACGATGGCAACCATTGATTGCCACTGGGTTGATGAACATTGAAATTTAATGAAAATTGCAATCTTCTCAATATGAACAGGATGTTCTGGATTGTTGGCATACATGACTGAGCATGGTCCCTATCAACTCAACCAAGCTGGAAATATGCTCATTGAGAATCCATATTCATGGAATCAACAAGCAAATATTATTTATTTGGAACAACCATATGGAGTACGTACAGTTGGAGTTTCATTAATTGTAATCTCTTATGATGAAATGGTGACAATGAAACGTACGATGAATCTTTCATGATTTTTGACATGACTGTCTTTGATCTGTATTGCGGGATTGACACATCACGACAATATTTTCCCTTGAACCTAATCCAACTGTTCAGGTTGGATACAGTACTGCAAATCCTGTCAATTCCACAAGTTATCCTTCAGGTGACAAGGAAAGTGCAAGAGATAATTTGAGTTTTATTGTGACCTTTTTATTTGAACTTTTTCCTGAATATTCTAAAAATGCATTCTTTGTGAGTGGTGAGAGTTATGGTATGTTTTTAGTGTTCACATTTAGTGCATAGATGACAACGTTATTGTGCATATTTACATATACAATGAACAATGACTTCATCCCAAACAGGTGGTAATTATGTTCCACTTTTAGTTAGAGAAATATTGAAATACAATGCTAATCAACCATCAAAAAAGATCGCACTCAAGGGCCTCAGTGTTGGTAATCCAACCATGGATGGAAATTTAGATGCCAATGGCTATTTTCCATTCATGTATAATCATGCATTAGTTGGAAGTGAAGAATTTTTACAATATCAAAAAGAATGTCCAAATTTTCTGACTCCCTCTCAGAAATGTCAAGATATTATCAACACCATGAGAAATAATATTGGACCAATTAATCCATATAATATCTATGCCAAATGCTTGGGAAAACCATCCATTGGAGGAGCTTGTTTCACACATCAAATGGTTTACTCTTCACAACTCAAGAAGAAAGTACCACGACGAGTGATGGATTCTCAAACTTATATTCCTTGTATTAATGTGACCACAACTACCAATTACTTTAATCGAAGAGATGTTCAATTAGCTATTCATGCCATTGGAGCTAGTGAGAACACAAAAGAATGGGATGTCTGTTCGCCTTATCTTCAATATAATGATATTGTAGATTCTATGATACCAGTTTACCAAGAAATTTATCAATTGAATCCTTCTTTATTGACTTTAATTTATTCGGGAGATGTGGACAGTTGTTGTCCTTATCCATCGACTGAGCTTGCTGTTATGGTAAGTTTTTTTTACACCCAATAGAGTAGTAACATGACGATTGATTATGTGTGTTTTTCAAATGGTACAATAGAAATTTGGATTTTCCATCTCCATTCCTTACCATCCTTATTTCTTGGACAATCAAGTCGTTGGATATATTAAGGGATATAACACAGAAAAAAACATTTTCTTCGCGACAGTCAAGAATGCTGGACATATGGTATGTTTCAGTTTTGTTTTTTATATTCGAATCAAGTCGTAACTATTTTGTGTACTCGTATTAATTTCACTTCAACAGGTGCCTACTTATCAGCCTGAAGTGGCCTTGAAGCTATTCAATGCCTTTTTGACATGTAGCTTGTCGTCACTCTAAACTTGTTGTACATCCATATGATTAAACTTTAAGTCTTGTTGTTATTGATTATTTTCTTTGGTTGCACTGTTTGAAGGGCAGGAAGACGTATTGGATTCACTTTCCTGAGAAGAACTCTCTTGAGGTACAATAATTTTCTGTAATTTGATCTTGCCATTCTCAATCGTTGCCTTAAACCCTTGCTTGGCCAATAACTCCTCTGTCGATTCATCGAGACTCTCAAGTTTAACACCTGAAATGAATTTCACATTTTCTTCATTATTCTCACACAAATTCCTGACACAAAAAACTCCCCATTCCCGTAAGACTGAATTTACATTCATCGTCAAGAAAAGTTTCAACAATTATAAACTTACATGGATTAGGATCCTGAAATGCACAACAGCTAAGTACCAATGGAATTCCTTGTTCCTCTCGAATATAATCCTGTATTTCTCGGGTTGCATAGGTCAGATTGGCGAGTGATCTCACTAGAAGTGTTTTATATCCCATGAACATTTGATCTTCATCACTATCGACATTTCGGTCATCATTTTCCCTTGTCATCACGAGTAAACCTGTCTGATTAAAAATTTCTGTAAAGACAAAATTTTCCTCTTGTTTGATTTCCTTGTTCACACATGACAAACTCAAGAGGGCTGTATTTCGAATCATATGTGAAATGAGTTGATGACAAAATTACATGAAAACACTTACTTAAGCACCATCTTGTGCATTCTTTTCTCAAGTCAACGTATTGAGATTTTTCCTTAGAGAGATTAATGAGTCCGCTTAAACTTGCCAAACATTCCAGGCACACAAAAAGGCATTCAAATTGAGTGAAAGTAAACATATGTAATGTGTTTTCTGTAGATGGATGAAATTTGTTCTCAAAATGACCAATCAATTTTACGCAAAACATGAGTAAGTGTTTGTAGGTTTCGCTGGCCCGTGCAGGCTCGGCAGCTTGAGTTTCTTCTGAACAAAATTGATCCATTATTTCCAATAGATTCAATAATGTGTTATTCTCGTTGACAGTGTCAATTAAATGCAAAAAATGGTCCTCTTCCTCAAAGAAAAAGGGTTCATCTATTTCTGTCATATAGGCCTTGCTTAAAAAATATTTCTTATAAATTAAAAAGCTTTTGTGGAGTGTAAAATGTTTTCTCTTGTTTTTCAAAATGTTAGCTCAGTTTCGAACTTACATCCATTCTTTTGTTTGCTTTGTTTCGTATAAGTAATCTAATAAATCTATCATGAGTTGTTTGTTGGTGAAAATTTCTCCTCTAAATAATTCACGTCATAGAATAATATTTTTCATCAAACAGATTTTCATAATATTTCATCATCATTAATTCTACTTCTAGAATTGATAAAATAATTTCATACATACTCAATTTGTAAATTTCCCTTTGCAATGCTATTGTATATGCTCATACAGGCAATATTAGTCATATTCTTTCCTTTTGTAAGAGCTTTCGGTAAAATTTCCCTAACAAATACATGATCACAAATTTCATACAAGTAAATTTGAATAGGTTTGTTTGCTGTCATTGCATTTGCTAAAACTTGAAGCAAAATTAAAACCGTCTTCCTAGAAGCGTACTCCTCCCATTCCTCATCGTGCTCAAAATATGACTTGAGAATGAGCAAGCAATACATGAGTATTCCTCCATCTCTTAATTTGTTCTGAAACTCTTCATTATTGACACAACCATTTCTCCATTTTGTTCCGATATCTATGATTTGTTCTTGAAACTCTTTCAATGATGATGGAGATTCATGGCACTTGGAATAACTAGTATTCTGTTGTTGTTCCATAACCCCAGACTCTGCAGCATAGGCATGTAAATCCTTTCCGAACAAATTTACCACCTCATCCGAAAGATTGATCTTGGTGGTGGAATGCTCGGAAGGACGACTAGTCTTGTTCAACATTTTTTTAATTCTGGTTTTGGGTTCTCGAACACATTCATCAAAAGCGTCATCTGATTCTTGTCTCTCTCAGAATTTTAGGACAGATTTCTTCTCTCTTTTCGCACGTTCCTATTTACTTCTTCTATTTGTTCAATTTTAACAAAGATAAACTGCTTCATTCTTCTTTCAGAGGAATGATTTTGCATCAAAGTCGACACATTCAATGTGGAGAATGAAAAAAGATTCGAAAGCGCGGTCAAACATTTTGCAGCTCCGAAAGATCTCTTGACGAGTTTTTCTTGTTGTTCAATTTGAAGTCCACTTTCAGTTTCTTCAAGGATTCCAATTCTTCTTCCAAAATAAAATTTCTACAAGAAGTTTGCTTCCACGTACGAATCAAATAACAACCACCACCTACAACAATAATACATTTCTTCTTTCATCCAAAACAAAACAATTACCAGACTCCACTCCGATCAAGAATACCTTCACTGTCATCATCATGGCCAATAATAATAATAACAAGGACGAATATCAACATTTGGAGGAAGAGGAAGAATATGTTCCAACCACCAATGCTATTGAACAACAACAGCAGCAAGCACACCAACAGCCTCAACCAACGGCGACCACCACCACCACTGGCAGCGTTACCTATCAATTACCTCCTCAACAAACAGGACAGCCTGTGCAATACTTTTATGTTGTTCAACCTCCTCCTGGTGCTTCAGATCAACAACAACAAGGTGTTGGTCAACAACAACTCTATTACCCCCAGGTCTACTATCCTCATTTGGTGATGGGCCAACAACAACAACCAACCAGATTGCCTCCACTTCCTCAAGTCTCTCAGCCACAACACGCCAATATGCCAAATCAAAACAATTATGCCTATCCAACAACAAATGCGACTATTCCAACAACCATCAGTAATACCACCCAAATTCCAATTACTCAGGAATCCTATGTCAATGTTCAAGGAGTAGAGCCTATTCTTATTTTGATTTGTAGCTTTTTGATGCCTGGATTGGGTCACCTCGTGATGGGTCAACAATCCAAGGGTGCCATTTACTTTGGTGTAAACTTTGTCATTGGTATCATTATTGCTGCCACAGCATGGATCTTTGTTGGTTTGGCATTCATTCCATTCGCGTTAATTTATGTCATGCTGATCATGATTGATAGTTATGTTCTTGCTGATCGATTGAAGAAGGGTTATCCAGTTTTGAAAGGAGAATGTTATTTCAGAATTACATCATGGGGAGTTTCATTGTTGGAAAAGAAGTCTCCTGTCTTTGTTCATGGAGTAGATGAACCACTAGAATGGCAACAAAAGTGTGAACAAGTGAGAAGACAATTGAATCTTTAATGTCATCCTTTGTTCTTGCATTTGTAAATAAGTTGCTTGTTGTTGCTGTTGACAACAAGATCAATACAGACATTATCGTTCCTATTGTTGCTGTTGTAAAAAGAATTTGAATAATAAAAATTCTGATTCTCTCGTCCGTCATGGGCCAGTCACCAAGTTTCACGGAAGGTTTGTCTCAAATGAAATTCATTCGAGAATTATCTTTATGACGTACAACATTAATGTCTCTTCATTGAAATTCTCAATAGATGCTGACAATGACATGGAGCGAATGAACACTTCCATGGATCCACCACTGAAAAACAATCAACTAGTCGTAGACCCCAAAATCTACTCTTCTCTCTCTCTACAGACCTCCAACATTGAATTAACCTGCTCCGAAGATTTATTTGGTCCTATCGAACAAAATATTTGGGCAAATTTACCACTGGATGCGATTCGTTATATCTTTGAATTTTTGTCCTTTCGCGAAACTTTCAACGTGTCCGTTGTTTGTAAGAAATTTAATGCGTTGTGTTGGAAGCATTTGAAAGAAATTGATATTTGTAAAGAAAGTACAAGTGCTGCAAGGGTAGGTCAATCATTGTGTGTGAATGATTATTTCATTCACATGGATTTGTGAAATGTTGGGATTCATATGTTCAACAACGAATGTGAATTCATCTCTTTTATATTATTCGACCATTACATGCGAATTCATTCTATGAATTCTGCTGATTATTACTTTTCAGGTAGTCACTGATAATATTATTTTACGTGTCATATCATTAGCCACGAATATCGAAAGTTTAAGCTTGTATGGTTGCAGACTGTTAACAAATACAAGTTTGAGTGCTATTGTCCATCAATCTGAAACGTTGACAAGTTTAGATCTTTCCTACACACCACGTTTGAATGCTGAAACTCTTAAACTCATCTCCAAGAAATGTACAAAATTGAAAAGATTAGTTTTAGGAGGAATATATAGTTTCACATACGATGGTATGAACCAAACCTTGAAAAATTCCTTAGAATTTCCTAATTTAGAGATTTTTGTACATCGTCGAGCTCAGTATTTTGGACCTGAATTTATTTCATATTTGAAGACTCATGAAAAAACATTGAAAGGCATTAATTTAGGACGACCTCAAACCACATCCTATAATGATGCTAAACTTTGTGATTTTATATTTACTAATGAAATGTTTCAACTCAACTTGGTTTTTCTCAATTTGGATGGTATTTTAGAGCTTGGACCATCCTTTGAATCTCTTATTGCACTTGCAAAATTTAAGAATTTACAAGGATTAACACTTTCATCATTTGGACAAAATTTAAATGGCGTAGAAACTGTATTGAAGAGTATTGGAAACAATTTGAGGTATTTTGTTGTAACATGTATGGATCTCAATGATGAATTGTTAGAAATTCTTATCAAGATTGGAATGAAGGAGTTGAAAATTTTCTCAATGTCACATTTGGCCTTTCCATATGGAGGTCATCCGAATCGAGTCGAGAATGTGAAAAAAGTATTGAAATGCTCATTACAAAAGAAAGCTTTTCAAAATTTGGTTTGTTTTGAATATTCATTGCCACACAATACCAAAGATGAAGAATTGACAAGTCTTGTTTCACAATTTAAAGAGTTGAAAATGTTAATCACATGGAAAAAGAGACTTGAATTTGAAGATTATTAATTCTCATCATCATCATGAACACACATGAAAGGTGTATTCAGCATGTGAATGGAGAAAAGAAATTGTCTCATGTGAAATTATTCGGTGGAATGAATGCTCTCTCTAACGATGTAGCATGAAGATGGTGTAAACCTTCATATTAAAATAATGATTATGAAATTCATTGCCTCAAATTTAAAGCAACTTGACTCTCTTCTAGAGAATGAGCCAACGGATTCTGTTATTCATTTCCATACCAACACCAATCATCCCAAATCGAAGCATCTTGCCATCAACAATCATCAAGCTCATCATCTCTTCCATCACTAATCAAAAAAAAATTTCGACATGTGTAAGTTGATGATGAAATTTTATGTTGATTTCAACAACAATCACACACCAATCTATTTTCAATAACAACAACAACATGAATACTCTTCCAATTAATAATAATAATAACATGAACTAACAACAATATTACAAAACTCTCTTCAACAATCCTCTGTGTTGTTGTTGTTGTAATAACAACAATTTATCAAAAAATTTTTCACACCACCCTCTCGACCATGAATCACCATCATCAAAATTTACCGATGAATGATGTGTCATAAATCATCATCACCATCATCACCATGCATATGTACATAATCATCATCACCATCCTCGATCATCATCAGCTGGAGACGTCAAAGGAACACTTTCCAAAGTCAAAAGTGGAAATGTCTCGGGTCGACTTGCTGCCATTGGAGCTCTCTTCTCTCTTGCCAGTGATGACGATATTCGAGAAGAAATTAGAGAAATGGGAGGAATTGGTATTTTAGTGGGTTGTTTAGATGAAACTGCTGATCCACGAATTCCACGTCAAGCTTGTGGTGCTTTATTGAATATGGCCAATGATGACAAGTGTCGTGAAGAAATTCGTGATTTTGGAGGTATTGAATTAATTCTCAAACTCATTGAAAATCAATTCAAAGATAGCACTTGTTTAGAGTATGCCACTGGTGCTCTTTTGAATTTATCCTCGGATGATGAAACGAGAGAAATGGTTCGTGAAGCCAATGGAGCTCCAATTCTTGCACATTGTTTGAAACAAGCTCCAAGTGATGAAGTGTTGAGAAATTCAGTTGGATCGGTCGCTTCCTTGTGTTTCGATCAGGAATTTACTCGTCAATTGGTGAGTGAAGGAGCATTACCTTATATTATCAATGCATTGGAATCAAAGGATGAAGAGACACGTTCAAGAACAAGTGGTTGTATTTGGAATTTGAGTGTCACTTCTGATGAAACACGTGAAGCATTGGCTCGTGAAGGATGTTTAGAAAAATTAGTGGATTTGTTAAAGCATCATGAAGAGAATAATGAAGATGCTGAAACTGTTGGAAATTGTGTCATGTGTCTGTCTATTTTGAGTTCCAATGATATGGTTGCTGAGACTCTTCGTGAAATGGATGGATGTTTTGAAATGATTGTCAAGTTTTTGACAAATTCTGATGCAACCATTGCTCAGAATGCTGCAGCTGCTATTTGGAATTTGGCTCATAACGATGAGAATAAGAAAGTTCTTTCCGAATTGGATACCATGGCTGCTTTGATTCCACTTTTGGATGCTTTCCATTCAGAAAGTCAATGGGATGCTTTGGAAAAGGTTTTGGGAGCTGTGTTGACCTCAAGTACGAATGATTCCATGGCTGGTCAGGTAAGTGTGTGTGTGTGTGAATATGTCTATGATGAATATATATATGTGTGTGGTCATGTGATGATGATGGTGAATATGAAAATGCATGGATTGTTGTTGTACATGGTCATGTGATGATGATGATGAATATACATCTATGAATGATATAATTGATGGGATCCCATAGTTCCGTGAAAATAATGGATTTCCTCCTTTGAAAGCCATCATTGAAGGAAAACTCGATCCAACCACCATTCAAGACGATCAACACAAAAAGTGTGTACTTTATGGTATCATTGGTTTTGCAGTGTTGGCTTACAATGACAAGAATAAGGATGAAATTCGTGAATGTGGTGCTCTTGGAGACTTGGTTGAACTTCTTCGTTTGGAATACGATGATGATTTGCTCGAGAAAGTCACTGCTGCTCTTCTCAATTTAACTCATAACATTGAAAATCGAGTAGCCATTCGTAAATTGGATGGTATTGCACCACTCATTGAATTATTGTATCACCCCAATGAAACCATTTCTATGAATGCAGCTGGTTGTTTGTGGAATTTGAGTAATGATGAGAGTTGTAAGGCTGTCATTCGAAGTTTGGGTGGTTTGAAACCCATACTGACCATTATTGGTGGTGGAAAAGTGGCGCCAAAATCCAAAAAAGATCGAGCCATCAGTAAGGAAGCCATTGAAGCGGCCAATCGTCTGGTGAATGGAGGAGATGATGAACAGGAGGAGTCAGAAATGTTTCATGTCGTTGAATTTATTGAAGAACAATTCAATCCAAATAAGGAATATGAACACTTGGATGATCAACCATTGTTGGATCAACCATTGAATAATCAACCTCAATTGAATCGAAATGGTGAACAAAGAACAACAACTGGAGCTGGTATTGAATATGGAGAGGAAACTGGAATGACTCCAGGCAAAATCATTGTAGGAGCTGCTCGTATTGACATTAAAAATCGAAGAAGACAAGCTGAAATTGAACGTGAACAGAAGGAAGCTGAAGAAAGAGAGCTCAGAAGAAAGGAGGCTGAAGAACGAGAACGTGCTCGAAAGAAGAAGGAAGAAGAAGAGCTCAGACGTAAAGAAGAAGAGCAAAAGAAAAAGCAAAAAGAAGAAGAAGAAAGAAAACGCAAATTCGAGGAAGAAATGAAACGAAAGGCTGAAGAAGAGGAACGTCAACGATTGTTGGCTGAGGCTGAAAAAACAAAAAATCAAGCCAAAGAGGCATTCGATGCCAAACATAAGAGAAAGAATGTCAAAGATGAAGACATGGATTGGGATGAAATTTATGAGGATGGTTTCACACCTTCGAAAACCAAAGAAGAAGCAAGGGACAATTTCCAAGGTCAAATTGATCAATTCACCAATTTAATTGATCCTTTCAATTCAAATGGTGTTCGTGATCAACTCACTGAGGATGATCTCAAATTCATTGAAAGTGAAATTGAGAGAGCGAAAAACTTTTTGGAACAACATCCAAATGCCACCAAGGAACAACTCGATGATGTCCGTAAGGAGTTGGATGCCAATGTGAAACCTCTCATTGAAATAGCCAAAGCAAAAAAGGTCTTATCCGACATGACTCAAAACATTCGTGATCGTGTAATGAATGATTCCGAATTATTGAATAATTTGACTCCTGAGGAGAGACGTGAACTCGAGCAAGCATTGGCCGAGATGGAACAATGGCTTCGCGACCATCCAGATGCCACCCAAGAAGAAATTGAAGCGAAGGAACGTGAACTCTTGTCCAAGATTAAACCCATTCTTGCAAGAGCCAAAACACGCAACGATTTGGAGAATTATGCTCATGATTTGAGAAAGAAAGCCTCAGGCGAAGAAGATGAAGGTTTGGACTATGACTTGTTATTGGGTGATGAAGATAAGAGAAATTTACACGATGCCATTCGTGAAGTTGAGGACTACTTGTTGGAGCATCCTCATGCCACTGCTCAAGACTATGAAGACAAGTTGCAAGAAACCAAGAAACGAATCGAACCCATCTTGAAGAAGGCTCGTGCCAAGAAGGAACTCTTAGACTATGCTTCTGGAATGAGAGATCGTGTACAAAATGATCAAGACTTGAAGAAACGTATCAGTCCTGAAGAGAGAAGAGGTATGGAACAAGCCTTGGATGACTTTGATAAGTGGATCAAGAATCATCCCAATGCCGACTTGGACACTCTCGAGAAACAACGACAACGTTTGAAACAAAAATTGGAACCTGTTGTTTCCCGCGTGGATGCACACAACACGTTGGATGAGTACATCAATCGTACACGAAAGAGAATTGATGATAAGGATGACTTGGGTGATTTATTGGATGATATGGACAAGAAGACTCTCCAGAAGGAATTGAAAGACTCGGAAGACTTTTTGAAGAAGGTCGAGAAGGATCCTTCCAAATTCAATGCCGATGACATTTCTCAAAAGAAGAAGGATCTCAAAGAGAAGATGGCTCCACTCTTGGAGAAGGCGAACAAACGAAAGGAACTCAAGGATCAAGCTCGTCGAGTGAGAGATGTGCTCTCATCGGATCATGAACTTTCTCCATTCCTCTCACCAAAGGAAAGAAAACTCATCGAGAATGAGACTCAAGACATGGAAGATTGGATTCGAAACAATAAGAAGGCCACTCCTCAACAGATTGAAGAGAGAAGAAAGAAATTCGAGGAGAAGGTGCAACCTGTGTTGAGCAATGCTGAGCAACGAAAGGCACTCTCAGATTATGCTCAAAGAATTAAGGATCGATTGGAGGATTCTCAATTTGTGGACAAGTTGAAACCAGAAGAGAAGAAGGCTCTCCAGGAGGCTCATGATGAATTGAAGAACTTTTTGGCCAAGAATCCTGAAGCTACTTCTAAAGACATTGAGAAGCAACGTGATAAGGCCAACGAAAAGGTTTTACCAATTTTGGAAAGAGTCCGAGAACAAGCAGCACTGGAGAACCATGTCAACAATGTGCGTGATAAAGTACGTGACGATCCACAATTGAGTAAATTCCTCTCAGATAAGGAAAAGAAAGCCATTGAGAAGGCTGTTCAAGATGTTGAGAAAACTCTCAAGAACAAGCCTTCCGTAGCTGAATCCAAGAAGGCAAAGGATCAATTCAACGACACTGTGAAACCTCTCATTGAAAATGCATTTGCTAGAAGCAAGATCTCTGATCATGCTGGTGAAATTTTGAAGGAAGTTAGTGAAGATCCTCAAACAACTTCAAAGGATAAGGAAGCTGTCAAGAAGGCAAAGAAGGATTTGATTGATGACTTTTTGGCAAAGAATCCAGATGCCACCAAAGATCAAGTGGAGCAACAACGAAAGAAATTTGATGATGCTGTGTCCTCTGTCACTGATCGTATTCATAAGAAGAAGGAATTAGAAAGAAAACTCAATGATCTTCAAAGAAAATTGGACGATCCAGAAAGTGCTGTTTGTACTAAATCCACACCTGAAGAGAGACAATATTTGGTTTCTAAATTGAATGAAATGAACAAATTCTTGGATGAGAATCCAAGTGCCACTAAACAACTTGAAGATAAGCTTAATGAATTTAATTCACAAGTTGAACCAACCATGAAGACTTGTGAAAAAAGAGCTCAATTAGATCAATTCGCCAATAGTATTAGAGATCGACTTGTAGATCCTAACGATGATTTGTGCAAGCATTTGAATGAAAAAGAAAAACAACAACTCAGAGATGCTACCATTGAAGCTTTGAACTTTTTAGAAAAGAATCCAGGTTGCTCTGGAAATGATGTTACCCAAGCAAAGAAGAAACTTGATGACAAGACTAAGGAATTGCTTGAAAAAGCAAAAGCAAGAGGTGGTCTCTATAGAAAGGCTGGTGGTTTGATTAGTGACGTATCCAATTATGGTGAAGGTGGTCTTGGAGGAAAATTGAGTGCTGTTGAAAGAGCTGAACTTGTTGACAAGTGCTATGAAGTTATGTCCTTCTTGGACAAGAATCCAAATGCTACTGCCAAACAAATCAAAGACAAAGAGAAGGAACTTAATAAGGTTGTGAACCCAATCTTGGACAAGATCAACGAAAGAGAAAATCTTATTGATTTGGTGAAGGGCATTCGTGATCAAGTATTTGACATGGACACTGGTCTCGTTGAAGATGAAGATGAAACTAAGAATCTTCCCTCAACAGTTGAAAAGGATGCTGCTGATGAATTGGAAGATTTGTTGAATGGACCCACACGAACATCCAAATCTGCAAAGGATGAGAAGGCACGTTCTGAGAAGTTGGGTAATTTCCTCACTGAAGACGAAAAGAACAAGATTGATGCTGCCATGAAACATGTGTTGGATCTCGTGAATTCAGATCCAAATCTCACTGTCTCTGATTTGAAGGAACAAGGAAGAGTTATCAAACAAGACACGGATAGCATTTTGAAGGCAGCCAAATCTCGATCCGATCTCAAGGATTATTTGACAGGCTTTCGTGATCAACTTCGAGATGAAAAGGATTTAGCAGCCAATCAATTGAGTGAGGCCGATAAGAAACAAATTGAAAATGCAGTGAACCAGGCACTCGATTGGTTAACCAAAGACGGAGCTTCTGCCTCCCCAGATGCTGTCGAACAAAAGAAGAAGGACGTCATGAATCAAATTGAACCTCTCCTTCAAAGAGCCAAAGAACGAGGAGAATTAGAAACCATTGCTAACAAATTGAAACGTCGTTTGGAGGATGACGTGGATTTGACTTCTGCTCTATCAGATAAGGAAAAGAAGACTCTCGAAAATGAAGTGAAAGAGGCCTTGGACTTTTTGGCCAAAAATCCAAATGCCACAGCTGAACAATTGTTGGATCGTCGTAAGAAGTTTGATGAAACTGTTTTACCAATTTTAGAAAAGACAGAAGCAAGAAACAAATTGAAGAATTATACCAATGAGCTCCGTACTCAACTCTATGATGAAGATGATCTCGGTGGAAAACTCTCTGAACAAGACAAGAAGAAGATTGAGAATTTCATTGATGAAGCTGTTGACTTTTTAGAAACCAATCCTAATGCCACAAAAGAACAAATCGATCAAAAACGACATGCGCTCGAATCCAAGGTTGCTCCAATCCTCAAGAAGGGTGATAAGGCAAGAAAGGCTGAAGAACTTGCCAATGATATTAAGAATCGATTGGAGAATGATTCCACTCTGAGAGATGCATTGGCTCCAGAGGAACGTAAGATTGTCTCCGACGCCACCAAAGATTTCTCGGATTGGCTCGAAAAGAATGGTGCTCATGCCTCGGAAAACGAAACCAAGGACAAGGAACGTCAATTCAAAGAGAAGGTCGATCCAATTTTGAATAAGGCTAACAACCGAAACGCTCTCAAGGAACAAGCCAAGAAACTCCGAGACAAGTTGAACCAGGATCCACAAGTCTCTGGTTTAAAGTTCTCCGATTCGGAAAAGAAGGAACTCGAGAAACACACTCAAGATGCCATTGATTATTTGGACACAGTCGGAGCCAATACCTCAACCACTGCCGATCAAATCAAGAACAAGATTCAAGACTTTAAGAATAAGACCACCCCCATTGTCGAGAAAGCCAAACAACGAAGAGCCTTAGAAAAATATGCTGCAGGTGTGCGCGATAAGATTCAAAACGATTCAGTCATCTCCTCACGACTCACTCCCGAGGAGAAGAAACTCATTGATCAAACTGCACAAGAAGTATTGGATTGGATCCAACGTCATGGTGATGAGGCCTCTCTTCTCGATTTGAAAGAAAAGATGCGTGAAGGAAAGAGCAAGATTGAACCAGCCATGCAACGTGCAGAGAAGCACAAACAATTGGAAGAGCACGTGAATAAGATTCGAGACAAGACGAACGGTGAGTTGAAGGATTGTCTCACTCCCGAAGAGAAGAAGGTTGTTGAGGCTGAAACTCAAAAGACTCTCGATTGGTTGGGTAAGAATAAGACGGCTCCAACGAGTGCTGTTGAGGCTCAACAACGTGCTCTCGATGGAAAGATTTCAAGCATTATGGAGAAGGCTCAAACAAAGAAGGATTTATCAAACTTTGCTCATGCCATTAGAGATCGTTTGAAGAACGATAAGGAATTGGATCAATTACTCACAGCCGAAGAGAAGAAGATGATCAATGATGCCGTTCAAGAAACATTGGATTGGCTTGCAAAGAATCCTAATGCCTCTCTCTCCGATCTCAAATTACGAAAGAAGAAGCTTGAGGATGTCGTGAATAATGTATTGGGTGACAAGGAAGCTGCTGAAAACTTTAGAAATTATGCTGAGAAGATTCTTGAAGTCTTGAAGAAGAACAAACAAGTTCAACGTGATTTGACTGATGAAGAGAAGAGAGATGTTGAATTGTTTGCAGAGACAGCGAAGGATTGGCTTCATCAAAATCCTAATGCTACGGCACGACAAATTCGTATGGAAAAGAAGAAACTCGAAGAAAAGTTAGGAAAAATCAAAAATTTCAAATTCGAGATTCCTAATGCGACCTACATTGGTAAATTCTCTGAAAAACTACGTTGGGGTGATGAATCTAAGAGAACCAAAGACATTACTCATCTCATGGGTTCGTATATCAAGAAGGGTGATACCACCAAGTCTTCAAAGCCAATTCAACCTCCAACCAAACAATACAAGATGGTCATTCCACAACGAAAACTCACCAAGGAAGAAGAGGAGGAATTGAAACTCTTTGACACCATGAAACATAATAAGGGAGGCCTTATTGAAGCTAAATTACAAAGTTTGATGGGAAGTGTCAATGCTGGACATGGTGCAGGCTTTGCTGCTGAGGAAGATCTAAATGCTGAACCTCCTGTAGTGTATTCATATGCAGAGTTAAAGAATAACAAACAAAAGAAGTATCCTGCTGGAGTCGACGTCAATAAGAGAGAACAATATTTGAGTAATGCTGAGTTCTTCCAAGTGTTCAAGATGACTCGTGAGGAATTTAGAAAGTTGCCTGAATTTAGACAAACCAAGGCTAAGCGTGATGCAGAATTGTTTGCTTATGCCTATGAGCTTTAATCGAGTGTATCAAGCAAAATAAATTCAAGTCTTAAAGATCTTTGGAGTTTCAATGGTTGGTGTTGGAGATGTTGTTCATTGGCCACATTGCATTTAGAGAGAGTTCCTTCATGGAAGAAGTATTTAATAAAGATAAAAAGAACGACTTGCAAATCTCTATTGAAGAGATAGCGATGGGAAGAACACTTGGTCACGTGGTAGCATCGATGATAAGGGCCTCGAAACCAGAGCTGTCATGTTTGGTAATTATTTATAAACAGATCTAATAGAAGAAGAAATTGATGTCAACAACAACAAATCCGTGTGTTTTAATGAGCTTAATTTCTGTTGAGAATAAATGACAGTAAGAGCTCAATTTATCAAACGACATTGACAATGTGACAGTAAAGATGTCAACTTTGTTGTCAAAAGGTCCATAGTGATTCTTTCGTCCACTATCGAGTCAAAATTACTCTTTTGATGGAGCAAGGACATGTCATTTCCATGCCAGAAAACAAGGATGTCAAAAAGTCGTTTTCTATCAAGTCAAAATGACGTCAATTCTTTTGTCGGGAAAATCATTACAAAAAAATGAGCAAACCAACAAGCGCTCAGAAGGAAGAAAGCCAGAATGACCTTTCGGAGGAAGATCTTTCCATTGAAATTGTAAATGTACAGAAAATTGAGAGAATTGAAAATGCAAACTCTCCGAGTAGTATCAGCAACAACAGCGGCATAGGGAGGACCAGTACCGATCATTCATCACCATTGTCATCATCAAGTAGTCTTCACTATCTAAATGGTGATGATGAAGATCGATTTCTAACACCACGAGAGCGTATCAAAAAGTATTACTCTTCATTTACATCCTATAACAATATGGATTTTTCATCCGTGTTGAACGATCCAAAGGATGTTGCTTCCAACTCATCACCACTTCTTTCCTTGTCAATGATTTCATCATGGTTTTCATCATCTTCTCATAACAGTACGGCATCAAGTTCTTTAAAAAACAATGTTGATGAAACTGGAGATGAAATTATTCGTGGGATTTCTACAGAGGACTATGCATTTATTGATGCCCTCAATGAAAAGAATTATGACTCAATTCAAGTTGACAGGAAATTTCATCCAACAAGTCAAACAAAGAAGAGTAGAATATCAATCAGTCAAACGCCATCCACGATCGGAAACGAAATTTCGTTGTCAGACTTTAAGAGTTATTTTGAAATGTTAGAAAAGGTTTGTGAAATATAACATTTCCATTTGATAATATTATTATAATAATTAACTGAATGTTCGAACCAATATCTGTTCACTTTGAAAATAATTTTGTAACAGTTTCCCAACAGAGAAGATTTAAAAAAACAGCTTTCATATCGGTCTCTAAAAGGTAAATACCACATTACTCAAATCATATTAATTTACATATTTTTAAAGAATTTTCTTCCAATGCAAGTTTGCTAGAATCCATGACTAAACGAGAAGGTATTCCTGCTTACTTTTTTGATGGAAATTTTGATCTGTCAAAAGCAGAGTATTTCAATAAGATTTTTAATACAGAAAACGAATCAGCATCATTATTATTGCAAGAAAAATTGAGTTATTATCTGGACCAAGTTGAAAATCAAGTTCAAAAACAAGTCAATGATCGATCATGTGAAATATTTGACTCGATGATCAAGTATGATGACTTGTATGAAACACTGCTCCAATCACTTCCTCTTGTGCAAGAACTTCGGAAAAAAATTTCAAAATATGAACAAGGTGCCGTTTTGCGGCCCTTAGAGGTAGCAAATTTAGTTCGAAAAAAACAAAATTTGAAAAAAACTTTAGAATATATGAAAATTATTGAATCTATTCATGACAGTATGGAGGCTGTTAAATTATTAGTGTCACAGAGAGGAGATTTATTATCTGCGTTGGAAATTTTATCAACCATTGAACACACATTTCAGAAAAATATTGAACTTTCCAACATCTCATGTCTCAAGCACATTCCTAAAGCAATTAATATTGAACTTCAGGTTATTGATGAAACAATTAAGCAAGAGTTTGCAGACCTTATCACTGAAGTTATGCATGACAGTGAGTCATTGGAATGGACTTGGAATTTATCTTCTCTTCTTACTGCCGTGTTACATAGAGATTTGTCCACTTCAGTAATGTTGTTTACAAAAAAGCATGTTGGTACAATCCTTTCGGAAGTCTATGAGAAAGTATTATCTCCACTCAAAACAGATGCATCAGAAGATGTTAAATTAACTTTATCAAAACTTGAACCTCAACAATTTTGTGATATGGTAAGTTCTAGTTGTTACACGAGGTTTATTAGATTCGGTCATTCACTCTCTGAAATCATTTCAGTTTGAATCGTTAACAAAGAAATGTTTGGAAAAACTGGAGAGGATTTCAAATATCTCACGCGCTGTAGATAAATTCTGTAAAGAGACCAATGAAAAGAGTGATGTAAATACAGACAAAATTGTAGTGAATAGCGTCAAGCTGAAAAATTTAAATCGAGAAACTCAAAAAATTTTACTGTTCATGAATGAGAACATTCAACAATATTGTGTAACAATATGCAGTGCTGTAGATAATACTATCATCAAATTTTCAAATGCCATACTTTCTCGGTACATGACCATTGGAAACAGCTTTATTGAAAGTTGTGACAAGTTGTGCAATCAGAAATCATCCATTTTAAAAGGAAAATTCCAATCTCATGGTCAGATTTATCTCGACCAATTCCACAACATTTATGTACAACGATTGAAAAAACGTTTGGCTCGTGACAATTGGGAACCTGTGCCAAGCATTCCAGAAAAGTATCAAAAAGCTGCCATCCAACTTTTGGGTACAACCACTTTCGATACTTTCTCAACATCCTCACAAACCACCACTCCTCCCAAAATTTCCTCTCCAGTATCTTCAATGCTTCGATCCGATTCATCTCCAAGTCTTGCTCAAACTCATGCAGAAGATAAGACCTCATACATTCTAGCAAACGGAATCAAATTTAAACTTTCAACAAGCAGCTTGTGTCTTCTCAAATTCATAGCCAAATATTGCACATTACTTTCCAAGGAGTATGTCTTCATCAGCGCAGTGGATTTGCATGGAAGAATTCTCAAACTCATGCAAGTGTATAATTTAGAGTTGAGAGAATTGGTGCTCATGGCAAAAGCACGAGAAATTAATAATTCCATTACCACCATTACTCCAAAACATTTGAGTAAGTTTCATCGAATTGATTGTAGAATTCGACTTTGGATCTTCTTCTAACTCTCAATTCAGTTCTTGCATCAGATTGTATTCACTTTTTAATCATTCTAATTCCTTACATTCAATCCAAAATTGAGGATGCACTCCAAGAAGGTCAAAAAAAACAACTGATCAAATTCAGCGATTTCGTGAATGATTTGTTAGAACATCGAATCTCAATATTCGAGAAAATTATTTCAATTTTAATAGAGGCTCTGAAAGCTCAATGTGAAGGCATTACAAGCTTTAATTGGAATGACAAGTTAGACCAAAAAACTCAAACACCATTCATTACCATGATTAAGCAAACCAATAGTGTTCATAGAACTCTCAGTTCGAGCTCCTTTCTTTCTTCTAATATAATGGAATTACAGAAATATTCAACACGAGTTTACGATTTGCTCATTGATAAGATTTGTGAAGCCATTCAGAAGGTGAACACATCATCAACACCCAATATTTTCAAAACAGAACCTATCAAGTCACGTGTGATTGCTGATATTTCACTCATTCAACGAGAAATCACAAAGAAGACAGAATCATCAACTGTTGCATTAACAAACATTGAAAAGTTGAATAATTTAATGATGATCTGAAGTATGAACGCGTAAAAGATTGGATGTGGTTAGGACCATCACCAGTCTTAATAGTTTTACAGCAGAACAAAAATAACAAAGTGGAAACAAAGAAATATATCGATTTCTGGACTCTCCGAACGATAATTTGACCCTAAAGGGCCATACCATTTCAAGCACACCTATACTTGAGAAGAACATCAAACTGAAGTTCGGTCCGAGCTATATCGAATTAATTGATGAAAAAAATACGCTTTGTGAATGAACGGAGGCTCTAGAAATAATGTTCCCTTAGTTTCGGGGAAAGGCTTGATGCTATTCATCTTTATATTCATATTTGTAGTGATTGCTGTGTCCTTTTTGTATTATATTCGATCGCTTAGTAGTTTTGAAAATGATAGGACGCCTTATGAACACTCATCTCTGATCAAAAGCCAACTCGAAGAAGAAAATAAGAGCCTTGAAAAGGAGGTATCAAGGCTTAAAAGAGAGCTTGAAAAATGTAGTCATGTTATTCCTCCTACAAAGAAGGAGAAAAGGGTAGTTTCTTTCGGATTGTATGGAAAAGACCCCAAATACACCATCGGAGCATTAAGAAATGCAGAACTTGTAAAATACATTCTTCCAGGATGGGTTTGCAGGTATTATCACGACAAAACCGTTCCAAAAGAAGTTCTTGAGCAACTAACAGAGATGGGAGCTGAATTAGTAGATGTTTCTGACTCAGGAATCACTGGAGATATTGCTGGAATGTTTTGGCGATTCCTTGTTGCAGACGACCCAACTGTCGACAGATACATTATAAGAGATGTTGATTCTCGACTCAACCCAAGAGAGGCAGCAGCCATAGAGGAATGGATTGAAAGTAATTATGCTGTTCACAGCATGAGAGATCATCCAAATCACAATTACAAGTTCAATGGAGGTATGTGGGGCGCTGTGAAGGGTGCAATCACAGATATGAAAGGAAAGATTTTGCAATGGAAAAACAGAAAAAACTATGTTGCAGACATGGACTTTTTGGGCTCAATTATTTGGCCCATTGTGGAAGGAAAAGTTTTATCTCATGACTCTTATCACTGCCATCGGTGGCCTAATTCGCGACCTTTTCCAACGAAAAGAATAATGAAAGAGCATGTTGGACAGGTATTTGATCAGCTAGAAACACCAAGAAAAACAGATATATTCCCCTTCCTGGAAGCTCATAATCCTCCACAATGCAGAAAGAAGGAAGAATGGATCTTTGGATAAAGTTCTCAAGACTCGACGAAAGGGGATATGAAATTTTTGCATTTTCGAGCCTTAAAAAATGAAACACTTTCATGCAGTGAGATTCCAACTGATGATTGCGGTGGCCTTTATGTTGATCATCATCACAGTATTTGTAGTTAAGACGAGTAAATTCTTCATGTGCCCTTCCCCCGCTACTCTCGACCAAAAACCAGAAGGGGTAGTTACATTTGGCTCTACATCCTGCAAACCAAACAACATTACAATTATTAAGGAATGTATCTCAAAAGAAAATGAAGACCCCTCAATGAAAATCATTTCGAACGGACGAATACAAGATCCCGAATTAATACCATATTTTAAAAGGAATAATCCCTTTACCTGTGGTACCGATAAATGGCAGTTTCATTACGCCAAACGCCATTCAGACGCTCTTACAAATTTCAACGAAACAAATAAGTATCTAGTTTATCAATGTCGGAAAGGGTCATGCGCCGGGTGGGGTGATCGAATCATTGGAATTATTACTACATTTTATTTTACCTTAATTTCAGACCGTATATTTTTGATTGATCACACAAATCCAACAGATCTGGAGAATTCGTTGACATTTAACGCAATAGATTGGAGATTTTCTAGGCAGAAACAAAAGCTTGAAAGACTCTCCTCCAAATATTCTGATGTTTATTTTTGCGTGGTTGATAAGCCTCTCAGAAAACAGTTCGAGTTTGAGGATTTTAGGAGCTTACTTTCTACGGACGTAGAATTTGTTTTATTCAACGAACGAGTCTACACTTACATGCATGACAATCCAAAGCTTAGTGAACGAAGAAAAGAACTGGGTCTTGATCGTATGAGTTTTTTTGACATTTTTGGTTGTTTATTTCAGTTTCTATTTAAGCCAAATCAGTCAATGAAAGACCTTATCCAACCAATTTATTGGAATAATTTTAAGACTCACCCAACACAAAAAGTTATTGGGGTTCAAATACGAACTGGTGAGGGTGTTGGAGAGCCACCACGACTTCTAGATACAACAAAATCGGCGTTCTGGTCTTGCATCGATCAGGTGTCTGCAAGAATCAAGCAAGCAGCACCCAACAACACAGAGCCAAAAATCTTTCTGACAACAGACAGCAATGCAATCAAAGAGTACGCTAGACACAGATATAAGGACAGGCTAATTACATTCAATACGGAAATAGCACATGTTGACTACAGTGCATCTAAAGGTGTATTTCAGTCGACCCTAGCAGAATTTATGATGCTCGCCATGTGTGACGAATTCATCATATCACGCTCCAATTTTGGAGAAGCTGCTTCAATGTTGAATTTCAATTCTCGATACAAAATACCAGGGGCAAAATGTGATGTGGATCCACCTGAATTTGAACTTGCTTCTGGTCATATCATAATCAAAAGCTTTAAAGCACACTAGTAGTAGTTTCTTCAATGCTAGGCCTTCTTCAAAACTCTATCCAAAGCCTCCAAAATTGTTTTCACACTGTGCTCCACGTTCACTCTCCAATTTCCCCAATTGGTTCCACAATTTGAATTGTTACTATTGCAGACTACCTGAACATCGATCGTAGAGTAGTAAAACCAATTTACATCTCTTAGGTCTTTAAATGAGGTGAATGGTAGCATATCAGGACATATATGAACATACTGAGCTCCCTTTTTCAAATAAATTACATTTGCCATGCCTGCTCCCCTTCCTGCTATGAAAACAGATGCTTCATGAACCATTCTCATCTGCTCAACAATAGGTATCTTGCTAAATTGCACAACAATAAGGCGTGAGTTCTTGGGAAGTCTAGCCTTGAGAAGTGCAAGAAGGTCCTCTTCGTTTTCTACTCGTTTGTTGTTTGCATCTTTTCGTGACAAATACAACACGTTATGAACGGTATCGCTGTTTGGAACAAGAGAACGTTCATGCTTTGAATTGATAATTCCGAAATATGTCAAAAAGAATGTTCCCATTTCAAAATACAAGTCAAGACACTTCCTTCGGTTGGAAGCATCTTTAAGAGTAAAATGGTTACCATCTAATACTCTGCATGAGACGTCCATCCCAACGAATATTTTGTTAAAGTAAAAGTTCAAATCTTTGTAATTGCTTAAATATTTTTCATCCACCCAATAGACATGTTCATAACCGCCTGTTAAGGCGTACAATAATTGAACAGACTGATGGCTTGGAGACAAACACGAATCCTTTTCGTGACATGTGTATTTCCTATAGCTGCAACAGGTGTTGGTATGAAGCAATAATGCCACTGACGATTTAAAGGAGTTTGAGGAAGCAGCTTCTTGTAGATAGTTTCTTAGAGTATGATAAATAAACACATAAAAATCTATAACAGAGTGCCACATATTCTCAAGGTCGAGAGGAACGGGATTGAAAACTGCAACGTCATAAATGAGGTTGGTCGAAGAGCTTTGGTTGGGCCAAGTATTGATTTCTCCCTCAAAGGAAATGGCTTTTGGTCCTCCTTCCACCTTCCACCATAGAGGCATGGATGGCTCTGGTATGGTTGAATATTTGTTGATATTTACAAAAGATGTATTCCTTTTCCAATAGCTCCATTTTCCGTTCAACAGATGAATGAAATTAAGCTCATAAAAGGAATGGTCATTGGATCTTGCTTCCGCTGAATGGTGCTTGATTACTATTGGAATATTGGGGTTTTCCTTTGTCTTTGACAAGCGGTCGCTAGTAGTGATTTCTCCGAGTGTGTTGGTGCTGGAGGTGTTTTCAGGCTTCAAATGCTGCTGCCTGTCTTTCCTTAGCCTATAATAATTACAGGATGCAGCATCAAACGTGTTGTTTTCAACAGGGGAAAATCGATGAAGAAGGGAATACCCTGTGATGAAAAAATAGATCATTGATGCTCCGACAGCCATCATCACACAAAGGATCACAGCACCCAATTTCTGTTGCGCCATTCTCTTCTTGAATGAAAACAATGGTCGTATTTTTTTTCAATAAGGCTTTGTGCTTCTTCTTCGTCTTGGCACTCCAATCTCTCTACCTTAACAACAAATGTTTCAGAATCCTATTGCCTGTGTATGGTCACAAGTAATAATTATAATAATTATAATAATAATAATTTAATGATAGAGAGTGAAAAATTTACATTTGTTGGCCATTCAGGTCCACTTGAATTTCTTGTTTTTGCTCTGGTTTGGAAGCAACCACGTGTTCTGCTTCCACTGGAATGAGCACTGGTTTCTTCTTTTTCTTCTTCTTGTCTAATTTACGCCAAATACTAGTTTTCAATTCTACATAGTTGAATAATTGTTCAGGTACGTTGACACCAGTTGCCAATTCAAAACCTTCAAAACCAGGCGAAGAATTAATTTCACAAATCTTGTAAGTGTCCTTATCAATCAAAATATCCACACCAGCAAAGTCCAATTCAACACTTTGTGCGGCACTGATTGCTAACCATTCCAACAAGTTGGATAGTTTCACAGGCTTGACATAACCTCCTTGATGGAAATTGGATTTAAATCCAGATTTGGCAACACGCATCATGGCACCAATAACCTTTCCACCTAAAACAATAGCTCTGATATCTCTACCCTTACTGGCAGCAATGAATTCTTGAATGATCATTGGCTTGGAGGTATCTAACATGTCTCCAAGGCCCTTAATTTGATCTTCATTTTGAACGAGTAGTACTCCCTTTCCTTGAATGTGTTGCATTTTCAAATGTGAGTAGCATTATATTCATTTGTGTGAGTATGATTATATTAGATATATATATTGTTGGTAAGGATTACATTATATTGTTGTTGATGAATGATTATTATTGCATTTGTGTGAGTATGATCATATGCATAATATATGGTGTAAATTTAATTTGATGGATTGTGAATGCAAATTGGTCTTTGAGTAAATCCTTACCTTGTGATCCAGAAGACTTTTTCAAAATGATTGGAAAAGAAAAGTGACGTGAAATGATTGAAGTGTCAATAGGGAATCGAGCAATCATGGTCTTTGGAATGGCAATTTGATCTTTTGCCAACTGTTGAAGTGTTTGAAGTTTATCACGTGTCATTTCAAGAGACTCAAAACCATTCAACACTAAAATATCCAACTTTTCTAATTGTCTCACGACAGCCAAACCCCAATAATCAATACTGTTTCATATATAAAGGTGGGAGTGTGGTGAGATATATGATGAATAGAGTGTGGTGTGTGTGGTGTATGATTCGTATAGTGTGATGATGAAATGTATGATTCATATAGTGTCGTTATACCATCATTATAATTCTATCACTACTACTACTACTACTACTTACTGTGCTCCAAGTCTTGGTAAGACAGCATCAGGGAATTCCTCTCTTGGAATGACCTCTCCATCGTACATGATTGAATTCGATCCGTCGTGAGCCACCATCATGTCAAACTTTTGAATTTCCATCAATTCGACTTGAATATTTCTTCTCCAAGCAGTCTCAAAGAAACGTTTTGCAGAATAGGTATAATAGGGTAAATTATTCTTCATTCTTCTTCCGACAATGAGAATCCAAACCTTCAACATGGGACTCTTTAATTTTCTCTGATAAAAGGTTGTGTTTTGAGCATTGTAAATTCGAATCTTTTGTTCTTCTCCGATCACTCTTGGTTTCAGAACATACTTTTCATAATCCTTTGGAATGGTAATTTGAATGGTACGTTTTGATTTGTTTTTGGCTTTTCCGTTACTGAGAGTTTCATCGGAGGAAGAGCTTGAACTTGTTCCAGAATGATTATTTTGTTGAATAATATCATCCTTGAGTGAGAGATCGGCAGAGATGGTTGTTTGTTCAGATGATTCATCTTCATGAGGAGGATGATCCGATGTGCTGCCAGTTGAAGTCGTTGTCGTTGTAGCGATGGTTGCTTGAACAAAGCCTCGACTACTACTACCACCACCACCACCATCACTACTACCAATAGTACTGTAACAATAACCACACAAGGTAGCAATCAATAATAGGGCAATCACGAATGAAACACTCTGAGTAACTCTCTTGTGCGTGGACATGGTCGGAGAAAGTAATTGCATCATCAAGCTTGTCATTTGTCTCTCAAAATAATGAAAAGGAAAAACGATCTTCTTTGAGAGACTATTTTTTTTTTGATTGAAATCAAGAACAGAATAAAACGACAGCCATTTCACAATACGTGCTCAAAGGGTGACGTCATGCTATCCATGATCGACTCCAAAATAACCTCTGGGACACCAAAGGCATTTAAACAACAATGATCTATTTCGCCACCAGTTCAGGTTCCTTTTGAATGAAATACATTTCTTTTTATTATTAAATTTAAAGAAAAAAGCTAATGTAAGCATGGTATAAATTATTGATTCTTCTTGCTTTGATCTGCCAATTCAAGAATTTGGTTATTGGCATTCATATAGACAGCATATGGCAAAGCAGTTGGAATGAGAGCCAACAAGAAGAAAGTAGCCCATGTTCCCAAATGAGAATCGTGCTTTCTATCATAATCGGCTTGAGTAAGAACTGGAATTGGAGGTAAAATATTGCTCTTTGCGAAAAGCTTCAAGCCGGATTTTTCATCCTTTTCGGGAGTCAAACGATAAGAAGCAGTGGCATGTTGAGTGGAGATCTCACCAACACTCTTTGGAACAATGGTGTAGGTGAAGGAAACTTTCTCGTTGGTACCAATCTTGGCAAATGTAGCCTTTGATTCTCCTTCGATTAAATCAAAGGAACTCTCTGGCCATTCATTGTCTTTCACTTCAACATCATAGGCTGGTTCTTCACCCAAATTGTAGAGAGTGATCGTGAAGGTCATATTGGTATTGATGATGGCTTCAGATGGAGAAACGCTCTTATGCAAAAGAAGTCTTACATTGTGTTGTTGTTGTTGTTGAGTAGTAGTACTAGAAGTGGTTGGTTCGGTTGTTGTTGTTGTATCATCTTGAGCCAAAACTAGGAGCGAAGAAACACACAAGACCAAGAGGACAGACAACAGGCTTTTGGCAATGGAGACTTTGAAACTCGTTGATGATGATTTTATCATTTTTTTTCCTTGTTGGTGGCAGGAAAAGCTTGGCACCTCCTCATTACAAAAACACCTCACTATTAACCACATGCCAGCAAACAATTTCTTTATGCCAATTCAAAAGTTTGAAACAAATCATGTTCTAGCCTCTCGCTGAATTATTGAATTCAGCATGTGTCATTAATTGTTTTCTGTGCATCTTTGTTCATCGTCCCTGACATTCATCACTTGCTCTTTAAACCCTTCTCGTTGCACCATCATCATCACTTTCTGGACACAAACCCATAGACACCAAAAAAATGAAGCAAAGCTCGTTGTTCATAAATTCCCATCGATGCCAGATTCGAGGCTTATCGTCCTTTGCACTCTTGAATCATCATCACATGATCAATCATTCAGTTTGGTTTCTTTGTACCTCTCCATTCCCATCAATAATTTCCTCTCGGGAATTTTCCAGCACCCTCTCACCCAACGTGGAAGAAAGGGACAAGAGATTTTCTCATACCATCTTGCTGCCAAAGACTCCTTTTAAAACAAAGATTTCTGTAGAGGAGGAAATTAATTTACAGAAAATATGTACTGAATATGCATATCAAAGCCAAAAAGAACAACGATTGAATCAACCCAATATCAAAACATTTACTTTACATGATGGACCTCCCTATGCCAATGGAAATCTTCATGCCGGACATGCTCTCAACAAAATTTTGAAAGATGTCACCAACAGATACAAGATACAAACTGGTCACTTGGTTCAATTTATTCCAGGATGGGATTGTCATGGCCTTCCAATTGAGATAAAAGTTCTACAAGAACTTAAAAAAAAGAAGAAAATGGAAGTGAGTGGAAATTCTGATCCTTCCATTAGAAAACTGGCCAAAGATTTTGCAGAACAAGCCATCCAATCACAAATGAAAGATTTCAAGCGTTGGGGTATTATGGGAGATTGGGACAATCCATATAAAACAATGAATCCTAAATTTGAAGCTCAACAATTGAGAATTTTCTTGGATATGCTTAAAAAGAAATACATTTATAGAGGAAAGAAACCAGTGTTTTGGTCTCCTTCAAGTGGAACAGCTTTGGCAGAATCTGAATTGGAATATCCAGATGTTCATATTTCAAAATCGTGTTACATTTTATTTCCAATAGAAAATAACACAGGTGCAGAGGTTGAGAAATATGGAGAACTTTTTGCTGTTGTTTGGACAACCACACCATGGACCTTAATGTCTAATGAGGCAATATCTTACAATAATGATATTGAATATTCCATCATTTATGATCAGGACAAACATCGGAGATTAATCATTGCCTCCGACTTGCTAAAAACTGTTTGCGAAAAAACAGGTATCAAAAATTACGTGTTGTTGGAGGCAAAGAAAGGACAAGATCTCTTTGTGAACAATGGCAGCAGTGTTTCTCCAATCCACACTACTACTACCACGAATGCTACTACAAGTGCTACTACTACGATACCATTTTCTACAAGAATTTCATCCTATCAAAATCCACTCACACTTAAACTAAAAAAGACACTTCTTCCATTCTTGCATGGCTCTCATGTCACGACAGAGGTAGGAACTGGTCTGGTACACACAGCTCCAAATCATGGTATGGAAGATTTTCATGTTGTACGGGAAAATAACATTCCAATTGGTCCATGTTTTGTCGATGAACAAGGTCGATACAACTCAGAAACACCTCTTGAAGAATTGAGAGGATTACCTGTTCTCGAGCAAGGTAATCTTAGAGTCATTCAAATATTTGAAGAAGAATTATCCAAGTATTTACTATTCCGAGAAGATTACTCTCATCGATATCCTTACGATTGGAGAACAAAAAAGCCTATCCTTATTCGAATGACTGAACAATGGTTTGCAGAATTGAAAGATTTGAAACATCGAGCAAAGGAATTTATCGATGAAACGATTGAAATGATTCCAAACACGGGTCGCAATCGTTTGAAAGCCTTCATTGAGTCGAGAGACGAATGGTGCATCAGTCGACAGCGCACCTGGGGAGTTCCAATTCCCGTTTTTTATCGGCGGCGAAATTCATCACCCGAAGAGGAATATCTCGCAACGAGTGAGAGCATTGGGTATGTCATTGGTCTGATTGAACAACACGGAACGGATTATTGGTTCGAAAAGAGTGAGGATGAATTATTGGCTCCACCCTATCGAAATCAAGGCTGGAAAAAAGGAACTGATACATTGGATGTATGGTTCGATAGTGGTACCACTTGGTTTAGTGTCATGAAGGCTTCTGGTATTCCTCTTCCTGTCGATGTTTATTTAGAAGGTTCTGATCAGCATCGTGGATGGTTTCAATCTTCTCTTTTAACAAGTTTGGCCTATCAAGGTGTTCCTCCCTATAAGAAAATTGTGACACATGGATTCATTACGGATGAGAATGGAAAAAAGATGAGCAAGTCATTGGGTAATGTGATTGAACCAGAGAATTTGGTGAGCAAGTATGGAGTTGATGTGTTGAGATTCTGGGTTTGTTTCAGTGATTTTACAGTCGATGTTTCTATTGGACAGAGTGTGTTTGAGAAGCTTTCAACGAACTTGAAGAAGATTAGAAATACCGCAAAATTCATGTTGGGTGTATTGGCAGATTATTCACCACCACCACCACCACCACCACCATTAACATTACCACCTCAAAAGATTACCATTCAACCAAATGGACCTCATGATGGTGAGACACAACAACAACACTGCTACTCCAATTTAAGTGAAGCAGATCTGTACATTATTGCACGAGTGAAACAATTTTGTGATCAAGTTACAGAGAGTTATGAACAATTTAGTTACTATAAGGTGACTCAGCATATCATGACATTCACCTATGAACTTTCTTCATTTTATTTGGATCTCATCAAAGATCGATTGTATTGCTCCAGTGAGGAAGTGAGAAGACCATGTCAAAGAGTGGTTCAGTACATTCTTGATTGTTATACCAAAGCTATTTCACCCATTCTTTGTCATACTGCTGAGGATATTTATCAATGCATGACCTATAAGAAACATAAGAGTTTGTGTGAGGAGGGTTGGTTTATTTCTCCTGAAGAATTCTTTTCAGAGATCTCACTGCCTAACGTTGAACAAACAGTAGAGAAATGGAACTTGATTATTGAGCTTAGACAAGAAATTTACAAGGTTATTGAGAGGGCAAGAATGGATAAGGCGTTCCGTACAAGTAATGAGGTGATGGTTCACATTGAAAGAGTTGATTGTGAAAAATTGAAAGAAGCCATCACACCTCTTCTCAAACCATGTTCAACGAATGACCCAGTATCCACACAACTGGATGAGATTATGATGGTGTCTCAAGTGAATTGGCTTAATGAGGCAACTTGTGAGTGCCTCTATTCACATTCATACAACACAAGTATTGATGGTTCTCAGGTCATTCTCTCCATTTCAAAGGCCAGCCATCACAAATGCCCTCGATGTTGGCGCTATACAAGTACAGTTGAAAATGAAACATGCCAAAGATGTGAGAATGTGTTAAATACCTCACTCAAAGCACCAATTATGTAGATTAATTGCAAGAGAGTGACGTTATCATTTTCATCAAGGCACCATCTTGAGTTGCTTCATGCTCATTTCATTTTACTTTTTAAGGCAGTTGTCTTTATTGAAATAAAATAAAGACTGCTCACTACAAAACTTTGTCAAGAGCACCGAAACGATCTTGTTGTCTTGTGCATGATACAGATCTATCTTTAAATTATTCTTTAAATTATTTAAATGTAGTACAGAGGACACGTTCTGAAGCATCTTTTCCTTCTCCAAATAACTCTTCATGTCACTTCGTTGCATATTTTCATACAAACAGGGACAGTACGTATTACATTTTGGACCATTGGAATGCACAGCTTGAGGGTGTTGGGGTGGATTCAATTTGTTTGTTACAAAGCATCCGCTGGCATTAACGTGAAAGAAATCGCAAGCGAGATAGGATGCCAAAAAAATTGAAGATCTGCAATCTCCAATGATGGGAAATTTGTTCTCAATGTATAAATATTGAACTACTGCTTGGTCATCGACTTTTTTAAAATCTATTCCATCAGGCATGACCGAAAGGGCAGTCTGGAAGAACTTCTTAATGTCTTTTTTTCTTCCTAAATACATTCCAGAGTTGAGGTAAAAAAAACCTAAGTGTCTTGGACAGTATGCCTTAACTGGATAACCAGATCGGTACTTAACCAAAAAGTTTCGATCAAAATTCTTTCATCAGTGTTTCATTCAATGCATGAACGATCTAAATTGGAACCTATAACCTACCTTTATAAATACTCCAAACTCTCCTTCTGGTGGCCATTTATTTCTCTCGCTGTTGAAAATAATTGGCCAGTCGAGTGATGCATTCAATTCCTTGAAATTTTCTTCTTTCAGATACTCCATGTAGCCATGGATCATATCCTTAGTATCTCCGGTAAACATTGAATCAAGTCCATCAAAAAAGAAAACGAAATCTTCTTCATGAATGTAATCGGATACTGAGCTCGTAAGAAAATCATTGACGCGAATAAACTTCTTGAAATGCGCTTCTTAAGTTTTAGAAAAGTGTCTTTAACTGATGATTTCATCACTTACCATATTCTTGATCACCATAACCAACCACAACAGGAGGTATCTTGTGGTCCAGATTTCGAGAAAAATAAGAAGAAATGAAGGAAGAACAAGCCACCTCAATATTTCTATTTGATACACTATCCTGATTTAAGAAATCAAAATTAAGATAGGTGATCGGGAAGACTTTTTTTTGAAGTAACAGGTCCGAGGGGTCGTTAGAAGTCTTCTTTGGCACAACAGAAGGATCTTCATCATTTGGTTTTTTGCGATTCTTCGAGGAAAGAGTACTACTCATGGATTCGTACGCGATCGTTCCTTGGTGGGCGATGTGTCTATTCAGAACAATATAAAACAAACCACAAGCTCCCCACACTAAAAACATGGCCACCCACATAAACCTTTTAGGCTCCATTCCGTTCATTTTTTAAAACTTGCGGCGGTTGAACAGCCTCACCATGGCGACGTCCTCATTCAAGAATGCATTGAGGCAAGGCTCATGGCATCCCCATATCGAGTTCCATATGGATCACCTTTCCGTGAACCGCCACCTTAATTATCTCCTCTCCAACTCGGTCTGAAAAAAATGAAAGGCCAACTCAAGACTCTCATCGCCTTAATTGTGTTCACAGGCTTGGGATGGACGATAATTCAAATGATCACAAGCTATTACAGGAAACAAGGAGCAACCGAATATTTAAAATCGGAATCAATTTCTACCATGCGAGAGAATGAAGTGGCTAAGAGTACAACAACATCCACTACCACTACCACCACGAACCTCCTCAAATCCATAACGACCTCCGACGTGGAACTCGTAGAAATATTTTCCGTTGAAAAAGGTATTTCCAGAAACAAGGCTTTTCAAATGCAAGGAAATCAATGCACAGCCACAAGAAATGCAGCAAAAGCAGCTTCTTCTCTCGAGGCACTCTCGACTTTTCAAAAAGAAAGTTGGCCTAATTTTTCTCCTTCCGAAAAGGAAATACAAAATGAAACAGATTTCAGAGAATGGATTTCAAAGAATATCGACTTGTGGAAAGGAATTGTCAACATGAATCACGGTGAGGAGTTAGATATGAAGAAACTTGAACTAAATTCTCTTGGTATGACTCTCAACGCTAACCTTAAACCTGATCAAGATCATATTCCTATTTGGTTACGAGTCTACAGAAGAGTTGATCCGTTAAAGCAAGTTCTTGATGCAGTGTGTCAAGTGGATGACATTAACAAAACCATTCTTTTCGTTACAGTGGACGGCGACAAGTTTGAAAATATTATTGATCTATTGTTGGGAGTGCAATGTGTCAAAATCAAGATATACTTTCATCCATATTTCTACAATAGAAAATCACTCCAACTCACACATATATCGAGCAAGGCTTTGGTGTTAAATATACATTACTCGTATGGAATGTTCATGTTAATCTCTCTATTCAAATATCCCTATGTAATCACCTTAGAAGATGATTTGCAACCCAGTCCTGACTTTTATCTTTTCCATAAAATTCTCTACAGAGATGTCTACGTGAATAACATCTTTAGAAATAAGGAAAAGATATTTTCAATTGGAGCATATACACACGGTCCTATTGTGGATTGTAAATTTATCACAAATCGATTGCTGAATGAGGGATCTTTGTGTAGTTTGAGACATTTGAATCAATTGGTGACTGAGTTCTATTTTCCAGGATGGGGGTCTGGTATTGAGAATTCTATATTTTGGGAATATTGGAGTGTTTGGAAGAACCATCCACATGTGATTTATGATGGTTTGTTAGCAATGTTAAGGAGAGATCGATTCACTCTCATTCCATGTTCACCAAGAATTCGTTTGTTGAGTAATATGGGTACCAATGGTCCTGCCAATCATCGATGGGACTTTTACTTGAGCTATTTTGGAAGATGGACAAGCAATGAACATCAACCCTACGAAATTATCAATTCTATAATTTCATAATTGACTCTATCATGAATGTGATGGTTTGAAAAAGACGATGGAAGGAGATTCACGATGGAATGATTGCATTCAAACTAAAGTCACCCAATTGAGTTACTGTAGGTAACATCCCAATGATTAGTTAATGCACTGTGACGACAATTTTATGGCTCGTATTTTTCAATGAAAATTGAGTTGGGTTGTCGTATTCCCAAAAAGAAAAATCATTTAAAAAAAACATTTTATTTTATTTTTTAAAAAGTAAAAAATCCTCGACATCTATTACGATGGTACGTGATGATAGAGATTTCCATTTGTACGAATAATTCTTTACAAATGTACCACTGATGCTCTCTCTGGAGCACCATCATCATCACTCCTATTATTTTCATCATATTTATATACTAACTCACTGATATATTGTTGCGACGATAATGATCATTATCTTTACCACATGCACCTCAACATTCATGGAACCTGACAACATTCATGATGGATTCATCATCATGTCTATCTCACAACCATGTGTATGTATATATATATACATACATTCAAAAACTCAATGGCTCTACTTGTCCATCATCACCACCTATCCTTCTTCCCACAACAACAACAACAAATTGACAACTATCGTGTTCAAATTGACTTGAACAACAACAACAACACTTGAACAACACTTTCAACACTGAACTCTCACAGGTTTATTGGCTCGTTTCAGTTCCCTATGAAGGTACATCAGAGAGTGATAGCAGTAAGACCTTCAAATTCATCAAGGACACTCTTCAACATCAACAACGAGTGTGTGAATGCATTGAATTCAAAGTACCAAAATTGAAAGTAGGAACTGTGGATCAATTATTGCAACTCTCTGATGACTTTAACAAGTATGATAGCAATTGTGAACAAATTACAATGAAAGCATTGAAGACATTGGCTGATGTTTGTAGGTTGATAGTTCCATTTTATATTATTCACTCACATTCATACTTCACATTCATACTCACTTCACACCTATTATTAACACCTATTATTAACACCTATTATTAACACCACTCTTCAACTGGACTTATTTCATTCAACACAATCACTGTACTTTTACACCACTCTTCAATTGTACTTTTCACCACAGCTGAACTCACTGAATCCAGTGATTTTGTTCCCGAAGTCATTCTCAAAGAAGATACAAGTGTTCCAGTTCAAACCTATCTTGACTTTTTCCAATGGGATGATTCACAATTTCTCATTAACAAACCCATTCGAGAGATTGCTGATTCCATTCACAAGAAGACAACCAAATTGGATGAAGAACTTCGTTTCAAGATTTCAGAATATACCAATTTGAAACAAAATGTTCAACAATTGGAACGTAAAACCAGTGGTAATCTTACTGTTCGTACATTGGATGGTATTATTAAGAAGGAACACGTGTTGGAGACTGAATATTTGACCACAGTATTTGTTGTCGTCTCAAAGTCTTCAATTAAGGAATGGGAACAAAATTATGAGAATTTGACTGATATGGTAGTTCCAGATTCTTCTGAATTAATTTATGAAGACAATGATTCTGCATTGTTCAATGTTGTGGTTTTGAAAAAGATTGCTGATGATTTTAAGAGTGCATGTTTGAAGAGAAAATTTGTGGTTCGAGAATTCACCTATGATGAAGATAAGGCTAATTTATCACACATGGAAAAGGAAGAAATGGATGAAAAGTTAAAAAATACCAAAAAGGAACTTGTGGATTGGTGTCAAATGGTATTCTCTGAATGCTTTACTGCATGGATTCACTTGAAAGTACTCCGTGTCTATGTAGAATCTATTTTGCGTTATGGTTTACCACCTTGTTACACTGTGACTCTTTTGAAGATTAAACGAAATGAAAAGAAGGTTCACAAATTCTTTAAGGAACATTATGGACATTTGGAAGAACAAATGTATGGAATGGGTGGTCAAGAGAATTCATCGGTGGATTTGGCTGGTATGGGAAGTGCTGCCATGATGTTAAATAATTATGGTATGGAATGGGCACCCTATGTCTTGATTACTATTAATACTTCTAATCCATTCCTTAAATTGGAATAAAGAGAGTTGAATTGAGTTATTTAGAGTTAAATGATCGAGTGGTGATTTTGGACTATGTGTTTCGATTTTCGCTGCTTTTATTGCTGTGTCAGAGATGAATTTAATTTCGTTTCGATCAAGAAGAAGGATTGCATGTAATGATCGTGTGATGGCCATACTACTGCTTTCGTTTGTAGATTTGCCACCTTGCTCCATCCTTCCCTTCGCTCATCAATTGCCACACAGTTCCTCCTGCCTTAATTGTTTTCTCAATTTTTTCAGTCTTCAATGTGCCAACATCATGCAACATCAAATATTTAGGTTTGCATTCTGCATCAATGGTTTCATATTCAGCCCAACCAGTGTATTCATTTCCATCAATAAGAACAGCATCAAATTGGATTGCCAAACACAATGGATGCAACCAAGGAACGGACTTTTTGGAGAGTTCAATATCTCGTTGATAGTACAATCGAAAATGCTCATCATGATTTGGAATTTCATCAGGTTTCAAATACTTTTCAGTGGGTACTGTTCCACCCAATATAAATCGTACTGGGAGATGAGCAAACTTTTTCCTTGCATACTGCCATGCAGGTTCATAGAGTTCAATGGTGTAGAGTAGTTTATCACTGCCTGATTCTTGTAATCCTTGAGCAATGCATTGAGTTGAACCTTTGATTCAAAAACATGTTTTCAACATTGATGGAAGAAATGAATGTTCATGGATCCAACATGATGAGGGGATCAGCCCGATGAAAAACTTACCTCCTCCGAACCATGTACCAATTTCTAATACGGTACGAACATCTTCCTGTTTTGCAAGATTGTATAAGGCTTTTCCAAACGTTGTTTTCATGGTTACCTGCCCATCATTGCCAGGAGGTGTATCCGATATTGAATAACATTTACATTCTTGAACAGGAGGACAAGAAGCCTTCAAATCAACAGGTGCCATGATTGAGGATACTTTTGGGCAATAGGGTATACAGGCTTTTTCGGAGAGATGTTGATTGCTGCTGATGCTGGATGAAGGAAATATTGTTGGTGTTGAGGAAGATAGGGATGAGGAAAAACTTCTGAGGTGATAGAACATGAGACCAATCATTGAAACAACAATTAAGATCACAAAGAGTCGTTGTTGCGGATGCATTTTTTAAGGGGTTTGGACCCTCATGATGACCTCACGTTTAGGTGGAATTATGTTCTTGATGATTTCATTAAAATCGTCCATTAACGTATTACTTGCTGTGTTGCTAATGTGGGAGACCTCATAGGCCTGAAGAGCAGTGGAGAGAACATATCCTAAATTATCATCCCATGAAGTGTTCAAACCGAGATCTTTTCTCAAATCACCGATCGCCTTTTTCAAGGCAGTTTCAGTGTCCCTCTCCAACTGAGAACTGTTCACTCTTGGTGGAATGAATGTCACAGGGTCCAATTTCCTCACAAGTGAAAGTTTCATTTGGCTCATACTCTTCCAAAGGGTTTCATTTTCCAAATCGAACACACAATCGCTCACATTGTCCGTTTTTTGAATATTGGCATAGTAAGAGTTATAAATACACATCCTACAGTAAGCAACTTGTGCTTGTCAGAGTGGTGCACAACCCTCGGATGACAATTTCCTCATGAGCAACAGCAGCAGCAGCACATTTGACCTTCTCCTTCCTTTTAAAGAGATGAGGATGACTTGGGTAAATGTTCAAGATGATCTCTTATTGCATGAATCACATCATCAGGAGGAATTTCAAGCATGGATGAGTGTCTTCCTTTTCCTGCAACCGTGGAATAACGTAATTTCAAATTCCTTGAAAAACACATATAGTCTGCTGGAAGAAACATGTCAGAATTATTGTCCCATGTAAACTCCACAATGGCTGTGACATGTGGTCTGCAAAAGATGATATTTCCCAAACTGATTGAACAAAAGATCGCAAACAGGGATGTGAATCAATTTCTTGAAAAACGACAAATTCAGTCGCTCATTCACTTACCTTGCTCCATGTGGTGATAGAATGATATCCGATTCAAAGAATTTCTTAGCCACAAGAATCATTTGTTGAGATTGTTCTTGATCGATAATGTAGTCTTGTACGGTGTGATCTTTAGAAAATACCTCTTGTACTCTTTTCAAAATGTCCTTGTGGTTACGCACCACTCGACTACCTGCTCCTAATCGATGTATGATCGTGATGACTTTGTGAGCAGTGATTGGAGGTTTACCAAATCTCTTCTCTAAACTCTGAATGAGCATTTGATTCAAATTCAAAAATTCGGCAATATTCAGGTGTGGAAAATTGTCATCATCCGCATGAAAGAGGTATAATTTACGAGCTCTCATCACTGTTCCCAATTGAGTTTCAACGAGAGGTCGAGTTCCATCAATCACTTCAAGATCCTTCATTAATTGATAAAACTTTTTAGCCAATGGGTTCGAAGGCCAAATCAGAGGTACTTGTTTTGGAATTTCATTGTACATTCGAACAAGTCGAGGAAGAATCTCAACTGGAAAATGTCCAGGAGCTCCTGGATAGACACTATAACCAGGAGATGCAAGAGAGTCAAAGAATCGAACCCTGGAAGAGGATTTCACTTTTGGAACCATTTTACGCTCGAGTTGAGATTGCACAATTTCACCCGAATCGGTCCAAGTGGCCCAATAAATATCCTGATGAAAACTATTCTCATCGACCCATGCACAATTAATTTCTAAAATCCATGCCTTTTGATTGGCTGTGTGTTTGGAAAAAGATGTTAAATAATTATCATGATGGTGAATGGAACGATGTTTTCAAAAGATTAAACAGTGTTTGATTGTTTCAACAAGGTTTGAATATGTGTCGAAATATTTCATCAATTGTTGTTGATGATGTTTTCAAAAGATTAAACATGTTTCGAATGTGTTTCGAAGTATCATTCCATGGAAGGGTTTGGAATATATCAAGTTTGAAAAAGTATTATTTTCATTACATCATTGATATTGCAACCGAACAACAACCACAATATAAAATTCAATAACCTACGCTTGGTGCAATAACCTCCTTCCTTAAAGGACCTCTTTGCTCCCACTCGACACTTATCGGTGAGCTCTTTGAGGTAGGGTCGAGTGGGCTCTCTGCAAAATATTTCCTCCGTCCAAGCAGAAAGTTTTGCTGGCTCCGAGACAGTTCGATAATAATCCATGTCTTCTCTTGACAAGATGAATTCTCTAAAAATTGACATTTCTTGAGGGATCCTTAATCGAGAGAAGACTCTTGCAGAACGTGAATCCTTCCATTGGGATTCCTGAGAGAAGTGATTGGTAAAATAACTCTCTGGAAATTTATGGTTGAAGGCAACTTTCAATGGTTCATCCAAAGGACATTCGGTTAGTTTCTTGTTTGAATAGGGTTGTTGTTGTTCCGATCGGAGTTGAATGAGAGAATTCAATCCATCCTTCCTCGAGGAATGAGAAGGTTGCTGTTGAGATTCAGACAAGTGCAGTGTCTCTGCTGAAGAGGAACCAGTTAAGGAGGATGGTATATTCCAATAAGGATGGGATGTTTTAAAAGCATCATCATCATTCTCTTCTCTTCGAAAAACCCCTCTCAAATTCATAATAATCCCTACTTCTAACAAGGCGAGAAGAAACATCACTGCCACCACGAATGCTTTGGTGTTGAAGGAAAGACTCATTTTTTGGTGCTTTCTTTGCTGCTGGTTGGTTGGTTCGAAAAAAACGCGCGTGTACTATTTCCATCCTCATGATAGAAATTCTGAACCCTACCCATATATTGTGATAGATTTAAATCCATCCTCACTCTGGCTATCTTCCAAGTCCTCGTTGCCCATACTATGGTTGGCCAATGTCACCAAACGACACTACTTGAATGCATACGGACAGCTCAGTGACTGGACAGCTCAGTGTACCTCTAGTATACCTCCATCACACTTCCAAAAGTTCTTACCTCAATTTGTTTGTCAAATAACATCTCACACACACCTCTCAATCGAAAATATTTTGCGAACATTCCCTTAGAATGGAACCCATCACAATAGTGTGTTGTCATCATCATCTAGCTAGCTTGCTAGATATCAAGAGTAATCTGATTTAATACGTAAGAGTCTCGTCTTTCCCATCATCTGTCAAAGTCATTGACAACTCAACACCAAAAAAAATGGGTAAATTTGAAAAACTCTCAGAACAACAACAAGATCAAATCCGTATTGGTAAGTAGTGGTAATTATTGGCTGTTGTAACTCATTCGTGTGTGTCTCTTGTAAACAACTTGTTTTCAATGTAATAATAATAACTCTATGATGATGCGTCTCTCTCCACCAATGATCATGTTCTTCTCTTTGATGGCGTGTTATGATGACCATCACGCGATGATGATGATGGACATTTAACAATTCTCTTACATGATTATGTTTGTCATCATCATTGTGGATATTCCAATGATGTTTGCGTCGTCAATGATTGACATGATTGTTAAATTGAAACTTTTTTCAAAACTCACAACTGACACTTGTTCTTTTTTGGTTTCACAATGATAATGATGGTATGAATAACCACAACCACAACAACAACAATATGGATTGCTTGTGTGTGTTGTCAATATTGAATCAATAATTTATGGATATCAAACACCACCACTCCTTTTCTCTCTTTCCACACAACAATTGTTGGTTAGCCTTCAAACAATGCGACAAGGATGGCAACAATGTCATTGATGTTTCTGAGTTGAAGGAAATTCTGAAGGCATTAGGTGAAGAAGGTACTGACACACAAGCCAAGGAATTGATGAAGGAAATTGATGATGACGGAAATGGACTCATCACTTTTGACGAGTTCAAGGAAGCGATGGCAAGCTGGATGATGCAATAAATAAATTTGTGAAAAATATCAATGACTTTCAAGTGTAGGTAGGGTGATCTGTGGTCGACATTCCAATTCAGGTGTGGTGTTCCTGGAGTGTTTGAGGAAGAGTCTCAATACGATGGTGGTGGTACTGGTACTGTCCCAGTTGGTAGAGTCTATACCACCAATGAAATTGTCGCATAAAACTTTTCCTTTTGAAAAAATCACACAGTTCGAATCGAAAGAGCTACTCTGATCGCCTTGTTGACCCCTCTTCTTCGATCACGATCAACGCGTTGACTCTGTTCTGAGAGGAGGAAAAGAGAGTCTAAAAATATCAAAAAACAGAATTTATTAAAAAAAAAATAATGCTCTCACTGCCTTCCTCGAAATACTCTCTCCGTGCGGGATCATCACTTTCAAAAGTCTTGAATACAGATTTCTCCCAAATTTCTATTGGACATCATGATGAAGAGGAAGATCTTTCAATCATGAATCCTATGGGTGATCTTTCTTTTGGCTTGAATGGTCAAATGGGATTTACTCTTCCTCCCGGTATGAATAATGCTGGTTTTCTCTCTCAAAAAGAAAAATTAGAAAAAACCTATGCCAAGGGTACCACCACTTTGGGATTTGTATTTAATCGTGGTATTGTCATTGCTGTTGATTCTCGTGCATCTATGGGAAATTACATTTCATCTCAAAATGTTAAGAAAGTCATTGAAATTAATCCCTATCTTCTTGGAACGATGGCTGGTGGTGCTGCTGATTGTCAATTTTGGGAACGTTATTTGGGTATGCAATGTCGTTTATATGAATTGAGAAATAAGAGACGTATTTCTGTGGCTGCTGCATCGAAATTGTTGAGTAATATTGTCTATCAATATAAGAATTATGGTCTCTCAATGGGTACCATGATTGCTGGATGGGATCACACAGGACCTAATCTATTTATGGTCGACAATGATGGCACTCGTTTGAAAGGAACAAGATTTTCTGTAGGTTCAGGATCATTGTATGCCTATGGTGTTTTGGATCAAGGCTATCGTCCAGATTTAACAGAAGAAGAAGCTTGTGAATTGGGTCGTCGTGCCATTTATCATGCCACTCACCGTGATGCCTATTCAGGAGGTATCATTAATGTCTATTTGATTCGTTCGGATGGATGGACCAAGATTTCGAGTACAGATATGAATGATTTGCATTATGGAAAGTATGCCCTTGAGAAGGGTGCCATTACTCCTCCCTTGTTGTTGGATTCGAATTGATGAGACTCTTCTGTCCTGAAACATTCAAAGAATTCTTGTTGTGACCCTCGTCATCATCATCATCATCATTACTACTACTACTACCACTACTAGTACGAGTTGAGGAGGACAACCATCATCACCACTACTACTTTGAACTCTGTTGTTGTATGTACAAAATATACATAAATGTAAAATGTATTCTTGTTGTTCCCACATATTAATGATTCTGATGTTTTTGGATGCCATGGATTGTCGACATATCGAGCAAGTTCACAATTCCATGTTCAACACGCTCAATGATTCATTCACCTTGTTCTCGAGAAGTGTTCCTTGTTCAGTGTGCTCTTTTTTAAAAAAAAATTCTTCACTGAAATTGTTCCTCTCCACCACATTCTTCGGGGCAACAGACTGCAGTCTTTGAGAAAACTCATTCTCGACTCATTATTTGTTGTTCCTATACACTGCGTCAATATATTGATTTGCAATATCACACAATTATTCATCTCTAGGTCAATTCGATTCTTCATTGATCATTGTGTGTGCGCTTGTGTGCGTGTGTGATCACTTTCATCATCATTTCTGACCATCAGTATTAATGATTCGTCGTTTTTAATACTCAAAATATTCACCATCATTAAATTTTCTTGTCATCATCATCATCACAACAACAACAACAATGGGAGTCCTCAACCTCGTTCAAAGATTCATTGTTGCATTCATTGCCATTCCAACGGTGATGTATTGCATTAAATATCATTCTCTATTGACTATTATTACTACCACATTATCCATTGTTGGTATTTATGAATTACATGGAATTTCAAATAGAATTACAAATTTATTATTACCTACGAGTAGTACAACTAGTAGCAGTACAACAACAACAACAACAACAACTAGTACTAGTACACCCAACAACCACACTTCTATGAAGAATGATGCTGCCACTTCTTCCACTATAGGAAATTACATTCCTCTCTCTCAACATGTTGAAATTCCAACTCCACAAGACTCTTCCATTCTTACTTCTTTTCATTATTATTTAGATGTGACTTTGACACTCTTTTTAACCTATATTGGATATTTCCATTCAGGTGTCAGTAGTAGTGTCAATCTCTTCAATAGTGGTAATTCCACAAGGATTGATTTTACTCAACACTTGTCTTGTGCCATGATTTTCATCTTTTTCTTTATTTTTGTATTGGATATGATTGCTTTCAGTCCATATGGTCAATCCGATGAACATCACACTCGAACATTTCTCAAAATATTTTTGAGAACATTTTCAGTCTTGTACATTGGTTTGGGATTCTCAAGTGCACTTTATTTGGTTCAAGACTATCGATTTTTATTAGTATTGATTTTATTTTGTAATTGGGCAAGTGATGCTATGGCATTACTCTTTGGTAAGAAATTGGGTCATTATAAATTACATCGATATCTATCACCCAATAAGACTGTAGAAGGTGCCATTGGAGCCATTTTAGGAAGTACTTTGACTGCTTACTTACTTTATTTGGTAAATGAGAGAGTGTTTGATTTGAATGAATTCTTTAGAGATGGCAATGATGATGTTGTCAATACATTCTCACAGAATGGAAGAAGACTACATTATATTCTTCCATTTCATCTTTATATGATTTATGGTATCGTATTGGGTGTATTGGGAATTATTGGAGATTTAATTGAATCTTATTTGAAGAGAATTGCCAAGGTGAAAGATAGTGGAACATTCTTTGGTGCTCATGGTGGAGTGTTGGATCGTGTGGATGGTTTACTTTTTTCATTTCCTATTATGGTAATGATTCACATGTATGCGGTGAAACATCATGATTATTGAAAATGATGAGTGATGTTATTTATATTAATATCGTTTGTAATGATGTTGTCAGTTAGTCATGTGTCTAGTACACAACAATATCACTACCCACAATGATTGCTCTTTGGAAATTAAAATGTTTTCATTCTTGACGAATATTTAATAATATTATTATTGAATGTTGAACTTGAAAAATTATTCAATATTTCAAGTTTGATGGAGTGGAATTAATTTCGAATAATTAAGCACACACTTTAAAAAAATGTCTCGAGATATAAACACTCACCCTCCTTCGAAGGAATGGAGTGATGATGTCTATCAGGTTTCCCTAAAGGAATTCCATAATGTCCACCTTAATCGTGATGATCTGACCAGTGATGTCATTAGTTATGATGATGATGAATATAAGTTACGAGAGGACTCATTGGCACCACCACCACCTCACTCTTCTCTAAGTTCCATTAGTGAACGTTACTCATCTCCAGGACAAGTTACGACGACAACAACTACGACTACTACTCCTAGTAGTAGTATTGGTGGTGGTATTAGAGGTGGTGGTGGTATTAGAGGTGGTGGAATTGGTACTCATGCCACCATGTATCATGATCATGAACCTTCCATACCATCTCGTCCATCACAAGAATCCTTTCCTTCCATTCCTTCCATTCCTTCCTCAACAACAACAACAACACCTTCCTCTATTAAAATAAGCCTTGCATCGTTGGTGAAGAAGGGTTCTCATCATCCAACAACAGGGAACACCACCAACACTGGAACCAACATGGCCACAAGCACCACCACTCTGACCAAAACCACCACCACCACCACCACTCTGACTCCTTCAAAGCAGGAATCGATTGTCGACGTTGAGTTCAATGTCTCAACAACAACAAGCTTGAGTCCGTCCGAGAAGATCTCTCCTCTCTCTGCCATTCATGTCCGAAAAGAATTTGAACAATTGAAAAGGACTCTCAAAGAATTGGAACATAAATTGTCCATCATTGAAAGAAATTATTGCCATCCAGTAGAAGTAGCAGCTTTGGAGGGAGATCAATGACGACCGCGCGCGTCTACGAGCAAAAGTTTGTACTGCATTGAGCTTTCTCTTTTCCCCGAATCAATTAAAATTTCTAAAAATACATTTAAAAAAAATTGATTCCAACCCTTGAATTATTCTCCATCCCGTTCTCCATCCCGTTCATCATCATCATTGAATCAATTCGGTACACACGAGTGGCTATTTTCTGTCTACAACACGAAGTATACTTGTGAACAACCACAACCCATAATGGACTACTTACAAAAAGATGTTGACTATTCCATCGAATTAGGAGAATCCATCCGAAATTTAAAATCCACCTCTCCCTCCATTTCTCCTTCTCGTTCTTCTTCTTCCAATTCATCATGTGCACAATATCATTTATTTAAATATAAATTTAAACCTAAAAGTATGAAAGGAATACATTGGGATGGTAAAATTGAAATTGATCCGAATAATGGAGTCGTAAATTTGAGTGTTAATAATCCATTACAAAGTAATAATACATCACAAAGTAGTAATAATTCAACAACATCAACATCAACATCGCTATTCAAAGGTACCTATGAAGAGAAACATCATAAACAACAATTACATGAATGTGTATTAATTTTTGATAAGAATACACATACCTTCCGATTAGAACGAATTTATGCATTGAGTGGAGGATTGAATAGTGGAACATCGAGTGGTAGTAGTGGTAGTAGTAGTAGTGGTGGTGTATCGAGTGGTGGTATTGGTGGTAGTGCATCCTCCTCCTTACCATTGTACAATAGCAGTGGAATTAGTATGGTCATTACACCTCAAACAAGTGGTAGTAGTAACAGTGGTGGTGGTGGTGGTGGTGGTGGTGGTGCAACAACACTCGTCCAACAACAACAACCATCAAGTAGTAGTAGTAGTAGTAGTAGTAGTAGTGGAAATACACAATTATTAAATCCAATCCAAACAACAGGAACCACCACTCTGACCACCCCCACTTCATCATTCAAATCCAACACCACTCCACCTAAAAAAACACCACCACCCTATTCATCACATTCTCTCGATTTAGAAATACCATCGAAAAAGAAGAAGGAAGAATCACCACATTCATCATCTTTAACTCAAAAGGTTCCAGTGGGTCTCTCTGGAAAACCAGTGGATTCATCCACAGCACTCGATAGTGATGATAGTGATTCCAGTGATAGTGACAGTGATAGTGGAAGTAGTTCAAGTGAAAGTGAAAGTGACAGTGATAGTGACAGTGGATCTGAATCTGATTAAGTGAATCAGTTCGTGAATACATATTTGTGTCTTCATGAACAACCTTTGGGAATGTTCATTAAATATTATCGTTCATTGTTGTTACAACAAGCAATTTAATCTTTGACAATCGTTGTTTTTTGCCGTGCTATTATAGATAATCTTTTCATCGCAAAAAACAACATGAGCTCCTTCAAAGACTTGAAAAAACGTACCATAAGAGAAGAAGAAAAATCCATTACAGATGAAAATGAACTCTTTGAAGATTTCAATAGAGTCTCCAAATTTGCTCCTTCAAAAGAAGATGATAGTAGAATTACATCCAAATAACTCCTCGAAATGAGGAAGAAGATCTTTTGATTGGAGCTCATTTTCATTCGTGATTGAAGGAGCTTGTGAATGATGTTGTGAATTCTAACAATAATCAAATCTTCTTCATTTGTAAAAACAATAACATGATTTTCATTTTATATAATTGAACAATAATATGATTTCAAAAAGAAACTAACAACATTTCTATATTCAGAATAATAGTTTCAATGCGTCTTCAACAATACGAGGATGATATTAGAAGTCAATATGAAATCGAATTTAATATTAGAAGACATCATACCTCCATTATATCATTATAAATAAATTTATATTTTTTGGAGGAAATAATCACAGAAATACTATAATAAAACACAAAATATGTTATAATATGTTATAACAATTTTTGTCATCACTATATATTATGCGATACTAAAATATTTCTCATCCCAATTATCGTTACATCAATTAAATCTAATTCTACATTTAAATTATGCTATTTAAGTAACAAGGTTTAATATTATGTGGTTAACTTATATTATTTACCTGTATTACATATTATTTGAAACTATTATGTAACTCAACAACAATTAGCTAATACAGATGGAAGTTTCTGACTCCTCTCCAAACTACCACTTTTAGAGATGGTGTATCAACTAACAAGCTTTATTTGATATACAGTTGTACAGAAAATAGATGATAGTAGGTTGTGATCATCGAGGAAAATCAGGAATGGGTGTTAATTCGGTAATAATGTTTGTTGGTGAAAAATAAATTAAGAAAAAAACACGTACTGTGATTCAATAATGCTAGTTCAATAAAAATAAAACGATAAATCGGCAAAGTTGGTCATTGTTTATTTAGAAATTTCGTGTTTACTTGTTGCTTTTATCGATCAAAAAAGAATCCACACTCTCAACACCATCTCTTAGGAATTCTACTTGCATCAATGAATCACCATAAACCTTAATTCTCAAATATCCATGATTGGTTTCTCGATATTCACTCCAATCTGGTTGTGGAGAATCCCATTTTGGATTTAACTCAAAACCAGCTGTTCCCACATGAATATGGATGGTTCCTTTCGACATTTGTTCCTGATTGAAATAGTATTTGTGGTGTTGTTGTTGTTGTTGATTCGTGTTGTTTCCGTCGGAATGATGGACACATTGAAAATTCTCACGCATGAGACATGTCCTTTCTAATCATCATCATACACCACACCATATACAAATACACCACACCAATCATATATATATACATGAATTCAAATGTATGAATAAATATCATACACCACTCGAACACTTACCATACGCATGAACATGTCCATACAATGCCAAATCAATGTTATATTTTCTCAATATAAATTCCACTTGAGTTCTCAATGGTTCATAACTTCCATGATTTTCATTACTACTATACATGGGTCTATGAGTATAAAAGATAACAAATGGTGTCTTGTTTCGATCTACTTTTGAAAGATCTCTTTCCATCCAAAGAGTTTGTAATTTAAAATCATGTTCACTACTAATGGCAATGAAATGAATTGGACCATAATCAAAGGAATAATATAAATTAGAAAATGTTGTTGCACTTGATTGAAGTGAACGAGTGGAATTGGTAAATCTTGATTTGTAGGAAGTGAAATTGGATGCATTTTCTAAAAAAACAAATGGAACCAAATTGGAAGAACATAAAATGTGGAGTTCAAATAGGAGTTGTAGTTCAAAAATAGAATTGAAGATAGATCGGTCGATACAAAAAAAAATAACTACTACAGTATTATGAACATACCATGATTTCCATTGCATACCACATAGGGTATCTTCTTTGTGATTGGTTCAATCATATCAAACCATCGCTCCCATTTATATTCATGTTCCGAGTTCCATACATAGGGAATATCACCCACATGAATAATAAAACGAGTAGAATCCCTATGATGTTGTAAAATTGATTGAATAGTTTTTTGACCATCTCCATAGATATCCATATCACCATACACTAGAAATTGGAAGGATGGTTCAATGGATGGAATTAATGTTGAGCTACTGCTACTAGTACTACTAATAGTACTACTAATAGTACTTGGAGAAGCATTTGAAATCTGTTGTGCACTTTGAATGGAACGTTCTACAGCATCTTTTCGATTTAAAATATTAAAAGATTCAATTGGAGTACTGTGTGTACTGGATGGATCATGATTGAAAAGAATTCTATAATAAATAGTAGTAGTAGGAGTAGTAATAGTTGTGGTTGTTTTTTGCTTGTTCTTCAATGAATCATCCATTCTTTGATTCTTTTCTTGACTCATTTGAGAAAGACCATTTAAAATAAATTCATGAACAGTCAATTCAGAATACATTCCATTCACTTGATAGGAAAAGTAATTGTGATGAGTAGATTGTATTTTGATTAATTCTTTTGAATTCTTTTTGATGAGATTTGATTTCTCTTGTTTATAATTTTGTAATTCAGAGTAGGAGGTGGAATAAATGACTTGATAATTTTTGAATTTGGCATTGGTGAAGAAGATGAGTGACATTTCATCATCGGATCCAGTCAATGCAAGATGGATGTGTCGTGGTGTATATTTTGGATCATTTTCATTGATTTTTGATTTTAATGTGGTATTTTGTTTAATAATATTACTTGTATTACCACGCTTTGAAAATTTAGTCTGACTATTACTACCACCAATACTACTACTACTACTGTCGCCACGAATTCCACTACTACCAATACTACTACTACCACCACGAATTCCACTAATTGTTGTTGTAGATGCATGAACGTGATCATCATGTGGTTGGATGGAAAGAGTGACAATCATCATCATCATCACCATAAATAACACCAGTGGTGATGATCGATCTCGTCGTTCTTGTTGTTGTCGGTTGTATGGCAGCAACAGGTAACGGCGGCGACGGCGACGGCGGTTGGCAAGAAGAGATTCAAACATTTTTTTTAGAGAGAGAGGATTTTTCCACCCTCATCATCAATGATGTCATTTATTAAGCAAATGGATCAACAATGGAGTCTTCGTCGTCTATTAGTAGTAGTACTGGGTCATCAATAAGGTCATCATCATCGTCTTCTTCTTCATAGTCATCATTCTGATCCTCCCCTTCTACATCCTCTTGTTGATCCACATTGGACACTGTTATTGGCTGTTGTTGTTCCTCATCATCATCGTTGTTGATCTCTTCTTCATTCCTCTCTGGATACAATGGTATCATGTCTGAATCATCGTCATCATTCAAAGTTGTTTCTTCTTGTTTCAATGATGATTTTTCCAAAGAGTGGTGGTGGTGGTGGTGGTGGTGGTCATTTTCCTCATGACTGACATTCTCTTGTTGTGGATCATCCTCATCCTCTTCTTGCTCTTCAGAATGTTTCATGAATTGTTTCATTAATTGTTTCACTCGATCCTTCTCTTCAGTGACTTGTTGTTGTTTTCTCAATTCCATCTTTTTCTTTTCATCGTATTTGAGTTTTCTTTTTTTTAAGTGAAGCAAATCGATCCAATGCATCGGCATCTTCTCCTTCCTCATACCAATGTTGAGGTATGGAATTCTTCATTTCAGTATACTTGTCAAAGAGTTCTTGACGATATTCATCTTTTGAAGTGAATAACGATCGTTTTCTCTTCATCATGTCCATCGATGTTGTTAATCCAACTCGATTCAATTCTTGTTTCAATTCATCAGAGAGTTGAATGGTAGTGCTCCCTTTCTCCTCCACAGTGCTGCTGCAAACATTAATACCACTCTGACCTCCACTCTGACCTCCACTCTGACCTCCACTCTGACCTCCACTCAATACACCCTTTTGAGTTTCTTTCAAACCACTCGTACCAATTAAGGAAGGATCCAAACAAATCATTTCGTGTGGTATCTTTTCTAACAAGGTTCTCACATTGTAATCTTTCACTTGTTGATCGGTGAAATAGGGATTGGGCATTTTAGAATCAAAACTTGTCGATCCTGATCCAGGTACCATTAAAGAAGAGAATCCACGTGAATGTCCAACTCCTAATAAATCTTCATAAGGACAAAATGATAAATCACACACTGTGGTATGAGAGGGTAATTTGTGAAGTAAATATAAATCCTTTCCAAACAATGAATGAATATGTGTGAAATGCTTATAAATAGCAATACAATGTTTGAGAGAGAGTGCAAGCATTCCAGTTTGAGAGATGGCAATACTGGTCACATGATCACCACTTTTTAGAGTTTGAGGAAGATAACAGGTGGAAGTAACAGGTTGATACGTATTTCGAATGTCCCACACTTTACATGAATGATCAGCAGCTGCAGTGATCATATACATTCCTGTTGGATCTACTGCCACATGTTTCAATGGTGCTTTTTCATGACAAAACATGGTCACTACAGGTTTGTAATCAGAATCACGTGGTTGTACCATGGAGAGTGTTCCATTCAAATGACCAACACACATAATTCCATTGTAATGGTTGGCAACCATACTCGTGATGGGTGAAGATAATTTAATTTGTGCCACATTTTCACCTAATGAAATGTCCTTATAAATGACTTGTCCAATGTCTACCCAGTGTGGAAGGTATGTGGTGTTGGGTATGTGGAAGGTGGGTATGGGATGGGAATGGGATGAGGTGGGAATGGGATGATGAGGTATTGGGAATGTGTGTGTATGTGTGTGTGATTGAGAAACATCATCATCAACAACAACAACAACAACAACAAAATAGTGAATTTCAATAAAGGTGAATCAAATTCACTTACCTTGTTTACCTGTGGCACCCACTAATAAAAAATGAAAAGGTAAATATGCCAAATGTTCCACTCGATGAAAATCTCGACACATGTGAATCTCAACACCTTGTTCATTATAGACATAGGTATAAGGTGATTGTGCCAATGCATACATTCCATCATCCATTAACCATTGTAAAGCTTTTACAGGTTCATTCAATACATTTTCATGAATCATTTCAAATTTTCTCCAATCCAAGGATGCAACATGTCCTTTCACTCCACCCAATAATAATTTCCTACCACTCAGACTATATTGTAATTTATAAGGTGAATATTGAGTTAATTCAATATCATAAATTTTCTTTCTTGTATTTTCATCCACACCTTGTAATAGATCCATTTGAGAGAGTTGACTTGTTTTTGTAAAAATATCCTTTTCAGGATCTAATTCAATACCACGTTCAACTTGAGAATGAATTCTTAATACATCGGATCGAGCAAGATTTGCTTCTGCTTTGGCACGATCTACATCGGACCAAACGATATTTCTAGATACTTCTTGCTTGTTTGAGAGTTTGTTTTTATATTGGAAATAGGCTAATTCTCTCTTTGGAAGAGGCTTTTCATCAATTAAGGATTTTCTTTTATATTTTTGGAGTGCATCTTTTTGAATCTGTAAAGTTTTTTGATAGTATTTGGATTTTTCATAGGTCTTTAAGAGATTTTTAGCCTTTTTAAATAAAAATTCATTTCTCTCTTTTCGTTGTAATTGTTCTTTTTTGGCTAATTCTAATTTTTGAGCTTGTTCTTGTTGTTGTAATTGATTGGCTCTTTCAATGTCTTTGTTTGTTACGAGAGGTTGATAGTTGGGTTGATCGTTGGCAGTGGTACGATTCGAGTGTTGTTGTTTCGATGATGATGATTTGGATCGATCGTTCGGACCATCACCATGATGACTCTCAGATTTTTCCGATGGAGTGGTGGCCGAAATGCCTCTATTGGCTTTTCGTTTTAATTTATCGCGAAGAAGGCTTTTCTGGGTCGTGGTGGTTGACATTTTTTTTGTTCGAATTTCTTTGGTCAAGATTCTTGTTGAACAAAAAGATGAGACCACCTGATGAATCCAAGATGTGATGATGTGAATCGTATGAATCGAGTTTGTTTAAGTGAGAGTTCGAGACATGATGCTTATACCAATTAAACCGATCGTGGATAGTTTCACTACCTCATTGTTATCAATATTGATTGTTCCAGTCAGACTGATCGTTGAACATGTCAAACTTGTCAAAAGAAAAAATTGAAATCTTTTCATTGACACACACACACTGTCAAAAGCACCACTTGCTTTTCTCCCAAGAGAGAGGTCATTGTGATTGAGAATCAAATAATCATCATTCACATCTGACTCTTAACATTTGGAAACACATGTCCGCTCGAACTCCTCCCACACCACTCTTCCTACGACGACAACAACAACAACGAGGTGGTAATAACAACAGCAGCAGCAGCAATTTCAACAATCCTTCAGAAGACTACAACAGTGAGATAGATAGTAATAATAGTACGAGTAGAATTATTATAAACAATTCACCCATTGTATTGAGGAATCCCTACGATGACTATGCTTCTTCCGAACATGATGAAGAGGAGGATGACCATTTCGGCGCCACCATCACCGACCCTACCTTCCCAACAATCACCAAAAAATTCTTCACCACCACCACCACTACTAGCACTAACACCACGAAGACTTTGTCGTCATCATTATCAGACGTACAGCCACCACTGCCACCACCATACGTGTCAGCAACTACCTACATTGTTCCACCACCGGGTATGAAATCAAGTCCAATTCCTACTACTAGTAGTAGTACTACTGAGAGAGGAGGAATAGATACTCCTCATCACCATCATCATCACACGAGATCCACAACTTCCGATCAGAGTAGTAGTAGTAGCAGCAGTAGCTCTCAACATGGTGCACCATCTTTCAACTCACATTTTTCAGACGTTCATGTTTTGGATGAAGACGAAGTGGAATTGAGAAGTGTCGATGGAGGAGGAGGATTGAATCATCATTTACGAGATTTAACCACACATCGTTCTTCTTCTTCTCATCAGAAACATGATTACTCTCGTTCTACTCCTCTCCACCATGGTGGTAGTGATGAAGATTTTCAAATGAATGATGAAAATGATGAGGAGGAGGTACATTACATTTCAGGAACCACTCACAGTGGTGGTGTTATGGTTGGTATGAACAATAATTCATTCTCCTCTGCCTCCTCTTCATCGTTTCATCCTCCCCGTGATGATCAACACCACCATCACCACCACCATCACTCTTTCAATATTTCTTCATCCACCTCTTTTGATCAAATCAATACTTTAAACATGTTAAAAATTATTGAAAGTGCACATAATTTTGAAAACAAAATGAATGAATTGAAACAACAACAATTGGATCGACAACAAAAAACAGCAAACAAATTATTTGCACATGGATTTAATTTAAAGAAAGCATTTAGAAAATATACTGATTTTAAGAATCAGAAATATGTTTGGACTTATTTATCTGTTTTAGGAATTGTTGGTGGAATGGTTGTGTTTTTACAAGATTTAGTTATTTCTTATATATTTTTAGGAAGAGAAGAATTAATAAGTCATTTTAATGGAATGGAGGTGAGTAGTAGGAATAGTAGTAGGAATAGTCCAAGGAGGAGGAGTGAAATTTTTTATTTCTTTCTTGGAATATTCACACTTGCATATATATATTCACACTTGCACATACTTGATACTCAACTCTATCTATTCACACTTGATACTCACCTCTATCTATTCACACTTGATACTCACACCATCGATATCTATTCTATTTTCACTTGTACATTCACAGAACCATGCTGCCAAGTTCACTGTTCAATTACTCATGTGGGTTCTCTATACATGTCTCTTTGTGGTTAGTGCCTTGTTCATCACTGCATGGGTAGCACCAACGGCTGAAGGATCAGGTATTCCACCTGTGAAAGCTATTTTGGTAAGTCATCTCTATGACTCTATTCATCATATTCTTATTCACACACACACACACCTCATTCACACACACACATTTGATATTATTCATCATCATATTCCTATTCACACACACAATCAACACCACAGACTGGTGTGGATTCTCTCAAAGATCCAGTCTCTTTCAAAACACTCTGTGTGAAGGTATTATGTCTTCCAATGGTTCTTGGTGTTGGAATGATGGTTGGCAAAGTAGGACCAACCATTCACATTGGTGCTGCACTTGCTGAGAATTTATTACAACTTTCAGTATTTTCAGGAATTCGAATGAGTAAGACATTGAGAGCTCAAATGTTGGCATGTGGATGTGTAAGTATAAAAGTATATATATAACCATTCTGAGAGTATTTATATATACACACATATACTCATCTATACCATGACAAATGAATGACCTATATATATCATGACAAATGAATCTATGAATCCAAACATGGAATAGGCACTTGGTATTGGTGCTAATTTTGGTGCTCCAGGTGGTGGTGTCTTGTTTGCTCTTGAAGCCATTGGAACTTATTATTCCGTGAGAACCTATGTCAAATCCTTCTTTGTTGCAGTATTGGCTGCTCTCACTGCTCGTCTCTTACACTCTGCAGTGTCGAATCAATTCACTTTTCTACCAAGTGTTTGGAATATTAATTTCACTCTACCAGCCTATACCATTCCTGATTTATTTTCATTTATATTTTTAGGAGTATTTTTAGGATTGATGGGTGTTGCATTTGTTCTTTTTAATGAATTCATGTTGAAAATGAGAGCACGAATTGGTCAATTCTATTTGGGATGTTTGAAGAGTTTTTGTTTTAATAGAACAAGTCAACAACCTCACTCTCAACAATCCTCTCAACAACACAAATGGTACATGTATCCATTTCAAAATATATTTTTATGGTCTCTATTGGTAGTGATTTTAACTGGTGTGGTGACTTTTCCAAATTTATTTGGTAAATTCATGTCATTAACACCTAACAAGACATTGGAAATGTTATTTTATGGAAAACCATTAAATCCAGAGAATGGTGCGATTGGAGATTGGATTAAGGTAAGGGGTTCATTTCAATGAATGTTCAAATTTGTTTGTAATATATTTATTTGGAATGTTCAAATTTGTTTGGAATATTCATATTTGGAATGTTCATGTTTGATTGGAATTTCAATCATAGGAAGGAAAATTGAATAGTCCTTCAGCATATGATGATTTATTTAAGAATTTGGGAATTTTCATGATCTTTCGAGTGATCTTGTCCTTTATTTCAGGTAGGTATATGAGAGTGACTTGATCATCCTTGTGGAATGTTGATACACCAACAACAATAACCTCAACAACAAATACAATGAATACATCAACACTCTGTTGGTTGTATTTGAATATATATCTTAAAAATAGTCTCATTACCCATTCCAGCTGGAATTTACGTTCCATTGGTGGTGATGGGAGCAGGATTTGTAAGTATTGTAATGATGACTCGTAGTAAGGACTCACCCATGTCTGTGATGGATGCACCATACCATTACTTTTCTCGATAAAATCCCCACTCAAATCTCAACCTCAAATCTCAACCTCAAATCTCAACCTCAAATCTCAACCTCAAATCTCAACCTCAAATCTCCACTCAATCTCCACACAGGGACGACTCTGGGGAGAATTTATTCATTATCTCTTTCAAAATGGATACTATGGCAATTCGACACCTCTCACCATCGTTCCAGGTGGTTATGCCATTGTTGGTGCTGTTGCCATGAGTGCCTCTGCCACACAAGCCTTCTCAACTGTTTTTATTTTATTAGAAATTTCAGGTGTTGCTGTGTATTTACCAAGTTTAATGGCAGCCATGATTGCAGTCATCATTTCAAAGAGACTTTATGTCTCTATTTATGATAGTATTATTAAATTGAAAGGATGGCCAGCAGTATTAGAAATACAAACAGATAATGATTCGATTACTGTGAAAGATATCATGTATTATGTTGATCAATTAGTTATTTTAGAAGAAAAGACAACATTGAGAGAAATTCAAGACATTTTGGAATGTGGTAAAGCATTACCAAAGAGTTTTCCTGTAGTGAATAATCGACAAGATATGTTCTTATTAGGAACTATTTCATTGAAGAGTTTACAAGATTTGTATCGAATTAAAAAGGAAGGTTTGGAACAGGGTATGAATCAGAGTGGTAGTAGTAGTGTTGGTAGTGTTGGTATGAATCAGAGTGGTAGTAGTGGTAATAATCAAGGTCATGGTGATGGTAGTAGTAGTAGTAGTGGTGGTGGTAGTGGTGGTGGTAGTGGAGGTATGAATTCACGTGGAGAGAGTAGCTTGACCATCAATAATGGTGATACCACCATGGTAGTCCTTTCGTATCAAGAAGAAGAGAATACAAGTGATCATGGTAGTCGTGGTCGACTGGTTCGAGAACACTCTCTCGATGGAGATTGGATTCCAGCCACTCATGGAACTGTTGAAAAGTATAGCACTTCTCAAAGAACACCATTCATTCACAATAACCTCAACAACAACATGGAACATGATCATTCATCCTCACAAAGAGATCATGAACAAGTAATGATTAATTATGTGACATGTCCTGTTGCTATTAGTGAAGATACTTCTGCTCTTATTGCACATCTTTTATTTTCTCAATTGAGAATTGATGATTTGTATGTGGTTTGGATGGGACGATTGATTGGTGCCATTCACAAAGAAGTACTCGTGTCAAAAGTAACCACGAAAGAAGATTGATGTCTATGAATGGATTCTGAGAGTAAATCTCTTCTTGATGATGTGAATATATATTTAACAACCCTATCACCACCACCATTATCATCACATTCTTTAAAAAGAAGAATGGATATACTCAAGTTCATTTAGGAGAAAAATGGTCACTCTCAACGCATGGATTAAAAGTTATCTGAAAGATTCAATGGCCTGTCGAATGATTCTCTTTCGATCGTTTTCAATGTCATTTAAAATGTAATGAATTCTCAATGGATTTAAGGTAGTACGAGTTGTTAATTGCTTCTTGTTTTGGGTAGGAGGAGGTGTTGCGATGGACTGCAATTCATAATTGATCCATGGATCCATTTCATCTAAAAATTCCTCAAATAAATATTTTGCAAATTCGTTGGATTGCTCTCCTTCTAGTTCTTTTTCTTCCATACCTATTTTTAGAGTTTTCAATTCGTGTTCTAATTCTTCTCTTGTCGATGGAAATTCATCAATCCGTGATGCAATAAATCTCGATTTCCATGGTGGTAATTGATGAGCATAATAATTTTGATAAGAATCATCCTCTTGTTGTTCAAGAAGGAGTAATTGTTCGTACTTGTCCATGATTGATTGAGTTGCACGTTGAGCCATTTCTTCAAAGGAATGAATTGAAGATGCAGTGGTGGTGTTGGTGGTGTTGATATTGGCAGGAGTAGTGTTGTGGGTGGTATTGGTATTCATAATGTTTGTGGTGATGGTATTAGTAGTAGTAGTAATGGTAGTAGTAGTAGTAGTAGTAGTATTGGTGGTGGTGGTGATAGGGTTGATGGTAGTAGTAGTAGTAAAGGTAGGAGGAGGGTTACTAGGGATCGAGTCATTGTCATGATGAGCACTCGAATTCATTTCCTTCTCTTCATTATGAGACAAATCATTGTCTTGATGTTCATCCATTGATAATACGAATGGTGTAATGGTGGATATCACTTGATGAAATTGGTCATTCCTATCTATCGATGGATGATGATGATGAATAGAACTCCTACGAGTGGTTGAACTCTTTTCAAATATCACATTTTCTAAAGAATTGATAAAAGATGCTCCCAATAATACATTTGGAGGTAATTTCAATGATGAATTTTCAGAATCTTCAGAAATTCTTCCATCTAAATAAGCCTTTGAAAAGATCATTAATGAATTATATACAGATTGTGGTAATAAATCATATTTAAATGATGAATATTGATATCGTTGTAATTCTCCTTTTTTGTACTTGTTGACCAAATCACTCCAATGCTGTAATTTTAATTTCCATTTTTTACTTTTTGAATTTAAATATAAATATTGTAAATATTGTACACCATATAACAATCCTAAATAAATCCAAATATTAATAAATGTTGAATATTTCTTTGGATCCAGATAGGTGGCAGTCACAAGATGATGTGTAGGTTGATCACTCCTTCTCCTCCGATTATTTTTCATTGTATTTTTTTTTGAATTTGTTTTACAAAAAGACATGTCCAGCAACAAGAAAGGAATTTTCAAAGAATCATTGAAACACTGTTGAATGCATTCATTTCTTTCCACTTGTTCTTATACAAACGATACCATCATAATGTTATGCAATAAAAAGACGAAAAGAGCAAGCCGATGACATTTCAAAGAGGTGAATGAACCAATGCCATTGTAAGTCATCCAAACTTTGAAATGAACCAATTCGGAAATATGGATGACGAGTCGTCATGTTTTTCATAACCACACACACACACACTCACACACACTCGATCAACGACATCCATCCTCATTAACATGTTGTGTGTTTTCAACCTCACTAAAAGGCTCACTCTGTCTCTGGCCAGTTTCGCCTACCTGATGATCTTTTTTGTGAGAATCATCTACCCTTGCGGCTTCTTGAGTGTGAGGCTCTTTCATCGCGCTCACTTTCTCAATCAAAATGATTGCAGCAGCAGCAGCAGCGATACCCTTCGTACATTTTTCCAAACATGATCCTCCACCAGCATTGCAAAAATTCAACGAAAAAGAACAGCCTTCTTGCGAATTCGCAAAAAAAATACATCATCATCACAACCTGTTGTTGTTGTAAAGTCTTTGTTTTCTTTCGTCTTTGAAATTATCTTTTTGAAAGAACAACTAGTAGTACTAATTTTTAAAAACAACAATCAACTTGCTCATTGTTGAATTCATTGCAACTCTCTGTTGAACACAATATATATACAACCATGTCCGAACATAAGAACAGAATTGTTTTCTTTGGTGCTCCTGGTTCAGGTAGGTGTTTGAAAGACCATCTCGAGTGTCCAACATGAACAATACTTGATATGGGTCCGATTAAAATCATTATTTGGAACCAATGGAATGAAAATATGTCATAATTCTATCATTATTTTCAATTATTACATAGGAAAGGGTACTCAAGCCTCTAAATTGGCTAAGGAATTTCAAGCTTGCCATTTATCTACAGGTGATATGCTGAGAGCAGCTGTTAGGGATCAAACTGAAATGGGAAAGAGAGCAAAAGCTAAGATGGATGCTGGTGAACTTGTCAGTGATGATATTGTCATTGGAATTATTAGAGATAGTATTGACAGTCCTTCATGTCGATATGGATTCATTTTGGATGGATTTCCACGTACTGTACCACAAGCTGATGCTGTAAGTAGTTTTAGAGAATGTATATTGTGTGTTCATTGGATTTATGATTCATTATGCAATTTAAAAACCCAATGACAACGATGGGTGACTGTGATGACTCTGTGTTGCAACAATACGTATTTGATTGAACTACCTAATGTGATGCTATTATAACCTTCCATGTTCCAAATTGTGAATGGCAACGACAACCACAATTGCCGTATTCACACCAAATATATATGGCCATTTTGATTGATCCCGAATGATGGGAAAAAATTCGGAATTTCAATTTTTTTTTCCTTCTCTCAAACTATTGAACTCTTTATGTGCGACATTGTTCGGTGGCACACCTTTTGAATCATCTAACTTGTACTAACAGTTAGACAAAATGTTAACAGAAAGATCCACTCGTGTCGACCATGTTCTCAATCTAGAAGTACAAGATGAAACAGTAGTGAAACGAATTGCTGGAAGATTAACACATCTTAAAAGTGGACGTGTGTATAACAAATTCTTTAATCCTCCTAAGGTAGACAATTTAGATGATGAAACAGGTGAACCTCTCGTTCAACGACCAGATGATAGAGAAGAAGTCATTAGGAATCGTTTGAAGACCTATCATGGATATGCCGATAAAGTATTGAATTATTATAGTGAGAGAGGATTACTAAGACGTATTGATGGTGAACAACCAATTGACAAGGTGAATGCCATGGTGAGATCTTTCTTTACCAAATAATCATCACCAAATCATGATGAAAACATTTGTGTCACATAAACTCGAGTTTAAACTTTTTGAGCCACCACGTGCCGACATACTACTCACACAACGATCACTCACACACCGATCACTCACACACCGATCACTCACACACCGATCACTCACATCCTCGAAACAACACACAAGTCATTGTCAATGCGTTTCTATGTTGTTTTCAACTCTTGTGCCAAGTCATCATCCTCTTGCTCTTTGGATTGTAAAAACAATACTAAGAAAAAAATGTCAACCGAACAACAAGCTATTTTCAATGCGGGTAGGTCGAATTCTGAATTCTTCTATCGATACTAGTCGTTACTCATCCATTTGAAACTTCACCTAATTTGAATCGGATCATGTGTCGTGATGAAAATTATCATGATGATCATCACGACGACTATTATCACTCGGATGCTATGGCAATGTTGTTGTTGATAATAATAATAATTAAATTCGTACGAATGGACCAACAATTATTGTTGTTTCACCACTACTCATTCCACCACCATGATGATGACGACGACGACTACAATTCTCGAACACATCTCACCATTCTTATTATAATTTGAATTTACTACAATCATGATTATTAGAATATGAGGAAACTCTCTGTACCATCAACACGGTCTATGTCTTTCGTATTCCTCCAAGAACATCCTCCGAGGGTTACAAGGCAGAGAATTGGGGAGAACCATTGTGGACTGGTCGATGTAAAGTTGTCGCTATTGGTGAAAAGTGTGAAGTGAGATTGGAAGATCCAGCAACTGAAAAGAGATTTGCTACTTGTAATGTCAATACAGATGAGAATGGCCCACAAGCTATTGAAAGAGTTTTGGATTCAAGTCGTTACTTTGTTTTGCGAATTGAGGATAAACAAAAAGGAAGACATGCTTTTATTGGAATTGGTTTTTCTGAGAGAAGTGATGCTTTTGATTTTAATGTTGCATTACAAGATCATCAAAAGTGAGTATTTTCGTGTCATGTTTTAAATGCATTTATTCGCATGTTGTTGACATTTTAAAATTATTTTATAATGTACAAATATATTCATTTCAAACAACAACAACAATACACGATTCATGGATATCCATCTCTTCAAATATTTGTGTGATTTTTAATTTCATTTAGGTTGGTAAAGAGACTGAAAGAACAAGCAGAAAATCCACAAGAAGAAGAAAAGAAAGATTACAGCTTGGGTGAAGGTGAAAAGATTAAAGTGAATATTAAAGTTAAGACAAAGGGAAGAACAAGTCAAGCAACTGGAGAAAGTAAGACTAGTGGATCTGGCTCAAACAGCGGCAGCGCTTTCGATATGGGCTTTTTAGGAGCACCACCTTCTTCTTCATCAAGAAAGAAGGACTCTGGAAATAGTAACAATTCTTTCTTTTAAATGTGACAAACATTTTCAACAATTACAACATTTTACATTAAATACAAGAAATTTAGAGCTTTCTCTTTTTTGTTTGGTGCTTTTGCTGGAATGATCTTCTTCGTCACTATCATCGTCGTCACTGCTACTCGAATCACTACTGTTATCCTCAACAGATTTCCTTACTTTAGCTTCCTTTGATTTGGTGGAAGAAGTGACTGCGGTCGAGTGGTTGAAATGTGAATCACCATTTTCAGTAATGTTTTCCTCTTGCAATGTTAATGATTGGTCGTTGTTGTTGTTGTCCGTTAGTGCATATTTCTTCGTCCATTCTCGAGCAGTTTTTTCAAACAGTGGTCGATTATTCCTAAATTGTTCAGTAATATCTGCCATTAGACCATCATCACCATTTGGTTCATCCATTAATAATTTAATTGAAGCAAGAAGAGTTGATAAATTAATACTGGGCTTCCAACCTCCTTTTGGAGGCATGTTTAAAAGATCCAAACAAATTCTTCCTCCACTATCAATATTTGGATGATAGATTCGGGTGATGAAACGAACATTAGGAGGAAGTGTGGGATATCGATCGGGAATGGTAATTTCTAATACAAATTCACCATTCTCGTATGGAGTGCCTTGTGTTCCTTGAATTTTAGCTTCCAAAATGTCAATAGAATCTTCACTCTTTGGATAGGCTGCAATTCCGTGAGGAGGTTGATTCATCAATAATTGAAGTTCTCCTTTCATTCGAGTTAGCCTCATCATGGAGGTTTGTGAAGACATTTTTTTTGTAAGAATTGTTCGAGCGTTTACGAGAATAGACTATTGTTCGAGAGAAACTTTATTCCTCTCCACACAACACTGTTGATCCACAAAGCCGACCTTCGTGAATTCACAGTGAGCACAATTCAGCACGATTTGGCTTTTTTGGAACCTCTCAACAGTGTTGTGTCAAGTTGAGGATCATCATTAGTGATCATTCGGAATTGTTGTTCATCATCATCATCTCCATTCAAGAATCTTGGACTGTCAAAACTACAATGAGCATTTCAGAAAGTTGTTGTTGTTGTTGTTGAATATTCATCATCATCATCACCACCATCATACCACGAACTACGAATATCGACTTACAGATTTTTTCTTTTCAATTCAACAATTTCTTCTCTTGTTCGAAAACGAATTCCTTGTTCTTGATCCTGACCACCACCACCACCACCACCACTCTGACCACCGCTCTGACCACCGCTCTGACCACCACTCTGACCACCACTCTGACCACCACCACCACGCATCATCGATGATTTGCCTCTTGCAGCTGCAGATGGAGGTACATCACATGCCATCACATGTTCTTCATTCTTTTTTGAGACCATTCCATTCTTTTCTAAAATATAATTTGGAATTTGTTCTCTCTCATCCTTGTACAATATCAAATCACAATCAGTGACAAACCATGGATCTTGACAAATTAATGATTCATCACTTAAATTGTTCAAATTCCAATTGAGTTTCATCATGTAATTGGTATCTCTAAGGTAAGAATTGAGTTGATGAGGAATTTTCACAAGTTTCAAATGTTCTTCAGAAATTTGATCATCCAATCCAAGAATAATTTGTTTCAATTGGAAGAGACAAGTGTTCTTTTGAACAATAATTTCACGAATGCAACTCATGCTCCATGAAGATGGTTTAAATCGAGCCACTCGAATCACAACATCCTCCAAAGTAATAATTGCTGTTTGATCTTGACGTTCAATAATTACTTGTCTTGAAGATCGAAGAGAGATGTTACTACCATTGTTGCTAATCAAAGAATAAAAAGGTTTTTCTTCATCTCGAAGGATACGTCCTGCGTAATCTCGATGTTCAAGACGTTCTCTCACTCTCACATTGTCTAGAGTATCTTTCTTTTTGATAAGATCAGATTTCTCTTCTTTGGCTTTGTTGAATATCAATTCCTTGATTTGTCGAACTGTAATTTCCTTATCGAGAGTTAAATCAAACAACTTTTTAAATTTGTTTCCACCACTTCTATGCATTATTGGTTTTCCAAATGAATCTTCAAAGATAATGGAATGTTTTTTCATGTCCTCTCCAATTTCAGCTTCATCTGCCAATTCTGGAGCATGTAACATCATGTTGTAAGCTGCTCTTTTAAGACCTCTTGTCATTGGTCTATTAGGATAGGCAGCAGCAGCACAATAGTCCACATCAAACATCATATTTCTGTGATCCAATTCAGCATCTCTTTCATAACGATTCGAGTGATGACCATTCATTTCCTCCTCCATATAGAAGGTCAATGTAAATGTTGGTTTTTCAAGTTGATGTTGTTCAACAACTCTCACAATACTTCCATTAAATAGATGGTAACTAATCTTATCATCGAGATTGTCAAGAATGTGCATGTCTTCACCTCTTTCTCCAAATGCCAATGTAAAGGTTTCAGCTTGCTTATTTAAAATTTGAGCAATTCTATCCTTCAATAAGAAAATTGGCTGTCTTCGATCAATACTCATTGAGAATTTTTCCCGATTCGAATTTTCAACAGTCAATGAAATGGTGTTCTGACTGATCAATAAATGTTCAAGAGCTTTGGATTCTTGATTACTTGTTGTATCCACCACACTCTCTTGAATATCATTTTCCTCCACATAGACATGATCTCCATCTTCAAGCACCAAACCATCATCCTCAGCCAGGAGAAAATTCTTAGGAGAGTTATTTACAAATTTTGTGACAATTATGGTTTGACGAGAGGCAGGAATGGAGGTCACAGTTTCAATGGATTGCTTGACATGAGTCAATGATGTTTGTTTGGTGACACTCAAGAGTAAAGGCTTTTCGAAACTGTCCTTGACAAATTTGTTAACAAAAATAGTAATGACTTGTTCTGGCAAACCGTTCTCTCTTGTTTCATTGTTGTCAACAACATCCTTTTCTAAATATAAATTCTGTCTTGAGTTTTTGAAATCCAAGTCAGAGAGGCGAGTCTCAAGATTGGAACTTAAAAATTCAGTTGGAATTTGCTTGGTCATATTAAAAAGTCTGAGTCTTGTTTTTGATAAATCCATTTGAGTTCCTTTGAAGAGAACATCTTTGCATTGTTCAAGTAGAGCAGAAAGAGGTCTTTCCTTCTCACACTCAATCTTTGCATGTTTCAAATCTCCATGAACATCATGAGTGTATACATTAAATTCTAATTTTGTCTTTTTGAATTCATAGGCTCTTTGTCCGGCAAGATATTTTGCATTTTCAGCGGCAATGACATTTCGGATATCCTTAGGAATTGTCTCTAGTTCTTGTTCGTCAGTCATTTCTAACAACTGTCGATGGACTTGGCTGATTGGTTCATCTCTAATATAAATCAATAAGTAACCATTGGAGTGAGAAGATGATGAGCCAAATGCTTTTTCAACTTGACTTTCTTCAATTCTGGTAACAGTGGAATCATTGAATTCATACCAATGGTTTCCAACCTTTTCATAGGAATAGTAATGTCCACCACCAGCACTTCCAGAGTGAATGACCACTGATTGAAGAGTGTAAATATTGTGCTTGGAGTCCAAAGATTCAATATCCAATTCATGACTTGTAAAACTCGCAGCACTGTTTAAATGTTTGTTCATATCCAAAACGTGAGGAAACACAAGTGGGTCATTCAACTTGATTCTTGAGAATGTTGCGTAATCAATATCAAACCTCTTTAAATGTAAACTTAGAATGTCGGGAGTTCTTAATAATTTAATTCCTTTCTTTGCATCCACTTTGCAATTGCACTTCTCACAAAAATATTGATTCACTCCTGACAAACATTCTTCAAATTGAAACTCTGCAATGGATGCATCCAAATGTTTCAATCTTCGAACAGGCAACTGCAAATCTAAAAACTTTGTTTTGCGACCTCCAATATTGCAACACTTGCTGCAAATTACGTAATCGCTATACTCTCCTTCAAATATTTCTTCAATTGGAAGCTTTTCGTTAATCAATGTTTCAAAAAGTACGCGCATAAACTCTCTACAAGAAGAAGTGTTAGTTTTGAACGTGTTGTTGTATTATTAATTATTATATGTTTTGAACTTATAATCACAACACCTTTCGTTGTTACTTACGTAGAGTCTTGTTGTTCAAAACTCTGAGACCTCTCCCAACCAAAGGATTTGGTGAGATTGACTGTCATGAGATTGATTTCAATGTCGTTCATTGTCATTATCATTTCAATAGTGTACTAAAGTATATTTAAGAGGAATAATCACTTACCAGTCTCAATCGCCTTCATTTCTGACATTCTTAATCTGGCAAATAGATGTTGCAGTTGCAATAAAATGCAATATTCTTCTTCTCCATGAATAGCCTTATCATATTTCCACTGAAAAACTATTCTTCGAAAGGCTGGGATGTTATAAAGCACTTGAATCAGTGAATTCAAATAGCAGAGAGCACCCTGATTTTTCAATCCTACAAAATGTTCCTTGTATGGATATTCATTGTAATACGATGGAGTAAAGGATGATAAGGATGATGATGATGATATGGTTCGTGGTGCAGCTTCCTGAGCACTAGGAAGGTTTTTCTTGATATATTCAGCCTCAGCCTCTGAAAATATATTGGATGCCAACTTTTTGAATTCTTCATCAAAACTCTCAATGGAATAATTCAACTCTACAAATGACTTGATAATGGTGTGTGCAGAGGTTTGAGGTGGTGTTGTTTTTGAATCATGTTCTCCATTCCTTTCAATTGCCTCAGCAGCTTCAGAAGCCTGATCGGATTTAGCCTTTTCAAGTTCTTCAACCACATATTTACAGAGTTGTTTTTTAATCTCACCTTGCTCAACAACGCTTGATTTAAACTTGACAATCAAATGATCTTCTGGACGAGGAAAAACATGAGTCTCAGTCATGGCTTTGAAAACTTTCTTCAGCCATCCATGAACTTTGGAAATAATTTTCCAAGAATCCAAATACGTTTCAATATTCGGAAGAGCCAGTTTATCATCTACTTTGAATTTTGGTTGGATAAATTGAGTAATAAAACGATCAAATGTTGTATCAAGGAATACGAGAATTAAATCCATGGATCTTGATGATCGCAAATTGTAAACACAATGATTCAACTCTCCGAAAAGAGAATAGTCATAGGATGACTCGGAACCTTTTTGCATCACATTGGTAAAAAGCTGATTGATTTTCTCTTCAAAAGTTTTAATGTTCTTTTCATTGTTATTCCTAGGAGTAGTGTTGATGATGATGAGGATGAGGTTGAAGATCATGAGATGGCATCAAAAGTCCGGACCACAACATACACATGGTTGAATCGATGAGTTCACCACTCTAAGCAGTTGAATTGTTGAATACTTACAGTAACTTGTTTAGATGACTCGTTACTTTCATTCTGAGAGATCTTAGGCCAAGTGTGGGAGTAATTATGAAGCGATTTTTTTTGAAGTGCTATTTTTGACTCCCGAATGATGTTCAGCGTGTCACTGGAACTTGAGAACATCAAAGGCTTCTCGAGAGTATTTACAACGGAGCGAAGCCTTTGGATTGGCTCAGAAATTGGCACAACACGAGTAAAATAACCTGTACGCAATCAAAAGAGAAAGACATTGCATTAGTTTCAACGCATTGAATCAATTGTATAAGAAGAACAACTGATTTATAACTTAACCTTTTTGGCTGTTGGTTCTACCTCTCCTTTTGTTGGTGAGGTGGTATTTGCCTTCAAACTGATTTGTAAATGCTTGTGTGGACTCAATGGCTCATTCTCATGAGTTTTTGGAATGTGAGTCACAGCAGAGCTTTCAGAGTAGACATCATCATACTCATCCTCATCTTGATTATGACTGCTCTTATGATTGGCCAGACTGAAAAAAAGTTCATCTTCCTCTTCTGGGGTTGTAGTATTGCTGCCAGTCGTTGTCATGTCATGTTCTGGAGAAGACTCTTGCGCAATGAGAGAAGTGTTATGTTGTGACTCTTCTTGAGTTTCATAACTGTCGTTAAAATATGCATCATCATCTTCAATGTCATGTTGGGACTCTTCAGTATTCTCATCCTTTTCCTTTTGTTCTTGTTGTGAAATTAATTGACTGAATGTTTCAATATATGTTACTTTCTCAAAATCACTTCTAAACCTTTCCACACAATATTGTTTTAATCGAGTGGTATTTGTCAGACGTGTCATCATGTCAAACAAATCAATAATGGCAGAATTTATCAGATTGTAGCATGTAGCATTTTTCCTCCAAATTTCCATAACAGGATCGAAAAGATTGTGAGTTAAAATATAATTGTGAAGAAGGAGATCGTTCTTTCCAATAATAGTTTTAAAAAATCTAATTACTGAAAGAATTAAATCTTTCTCCTTATATACATCAAGCAAGTGAATGGCTTTCGAGATCACGTCATGTGAAATTAAAAAATTCTTGCTTCGATGTTTGTGATTTGTGACTGCAAATGAAAGCAGTTCAAGGGAATGAATGATGCAGCTCACTCTCACAGAAACCTTCTTAAAGGTATTTATGGTCGTCTCAGGAGATAGAATAGGAGAAGCAACCAGTTCGATATGATGCTTATAAAACTGATCTATAAATTGATCAGAGTTAGATAATAGCGTTTCAGGGTCCATTAACAACTTGATGACTTCGGTCAGATTATCCTGTATACCTAATTCGGATTCACATACAATGGTTTTAATGACCACCCGTAAGAATCCAAAATCATTTCTCATTTGTCTCTGTTTGATTTCAGCCAAAAAGCTTAGATGAACTGTTTGAGCAAGAGAAATCAGAATTTCAGAACTATTGAAATGTTTAGGGCAATACAAAACAAATAAAAAAAATACATACTAAATATGTCGAATAGAAGCAATTGAGCTTTGAAGATATTTTTCAGCAACATCCAGCAGTGGATAATCTGTAATAAATTTCCTAATTTTGTAAAAAATTGGTATTGAAATTTCATCCTCTTTCAACTGTTACTTACTTGTACATTTCTAACCTTGTGTTGATGTGTTGATGTTTCATTAAATTGAAAAACTCTGAAAGGAATTTAGAAAGATCCTTCTGTTTTTCAACAGAAATGTCATTAGATAAAAGTGTGGAGAAAACTTTTGTCAAAAATTCTTGGTCATCTCGGATTGCTGTAATTATCGTAATATTGTTTCTTCCTATTATAGTACTAAGAGCAGCAAAGGTTTGATCGTCAATAATAGATGCGAGAATGGTTTCCTTAATGTATTGAATTCTGAAAGTTTGATGAATCTTTTCCAAGATGGTTGGATTATTGAATGGAATTACTTCCTTAAAAACTACAACATTTTGTAAGTAATTTCTGTGATTGGCTTTTTTAGTTGGTAAATCTGGATCATATTCAAGAACTCCGATAAGTTTCATAATATTATTCGGAGATAAAAGAATATCTAGAATGTCAGGGTCGTCCATAGAGATAATATTTGTGAATATCTTGAATAAAATCCTACAATTTTCAACACTATCAATGTCTTCACATTCGTTAAAAACATCAAATAGTTTTGAAATGTAATCTGATTTGATATATCTTGCCACTCTAAATCTATGTTCGAGAATTGTTGATAATATCGACGATAAATTCTTTACCGATGGTTCTGGCAGCTCAATTTTTTGTATAGTGCTTGATGTTGATGCAATGCTCAGAGAACTTCCATTTAAACCTATATTCACTAAATCGTCATCTGCATCATCTCCCATGTCGCCTAGTTCATCATCCTCTTCAGGTTGATTATTCCTTTCTACTATTTCCTTTCCGTCTGGTCGTTTTCCTTGAACCTTTCTTATTTGATTCCTGTTGAATGCAAAGACAAATTTAGTGCATGTTTGAAAATATAGAAAAATGACTTACCATATCATGACACATCCGTTCGTGTGTTGAAAACTCAAGGCCATGTCAATTTTCATGACTGGATCACTCCAAACTATTAATGTTGCTTTATTATATGAAAATATGGTAAAGTAATGTTATAATAAAAACATAGGAATGCAAACTTACAATTTTGTAATTGATAAATATCATCTGTAGAAATTGCAGAGTTCAAAATAACATCATCCGATGTTTCTGAAATGAGAACAAGGTTTTTTTCGGTGGAAGTTTCTTGTGATTCGCAATGGACATGGCCCGTTCCTTTGTCTATCCATTGTCCAGAATCACTTAGATGATATAATTTAACTCTACGAAGAGGATCTTTAAAATCAAGAGTCTCCTCTAATATCTCTTCATTATCCGTAAATGTTTCATCATGATGTGTTTTATCATCTTCTGATGTTTCATCTTTTCTTGAATGTTGACTGTTGGAAAAAATCTGACTACTTGAGGACATGACTACAAGTCTCACCTGATCCTATCGGAGTAAAATTGAATTACTATTTAAATGATGTTGGAAATAATTGATGCAATATTTGCGTAATGATAATACAAAGCCAATTCCGTTTTCTCTTCTTTCGAAACGTTGATCAAACAAAAACAAGAGAGAGAAAGCGGAATGAACGAGAGGTGTTGTTGGCTTATTTTTTAATGCGATATTTTTATAACCCATTCTACCAAATGATGGAGGGAAAACCAGAAAGCCTTGAATTCAATACCCAAACAATTTCGGGATTATGAAAAGAGATGTTCATGTTGAATTTAATTGGTGATTAATTTATTGTGTTTACATATCGCAGACAGTAATTTCAATTTCAACGTTTGGTTCCATGTTGATGGAAGTAATATCCTTGACAGTTGAAGCTGGAGCATGCAAATCAATGACACGCTTGTGGACGCTCATTTCGAACTTATCCCATGTGTTGGTACCCTCACCGCAAGGTGACTTTCTGGTGGTAATCTTCAACTTCTTTGTTGGCATTCTGACTGGTCCCTTTACTCTCTTGACCTTCTTGTTCTTGGCTTCTTTGACGAAAGCCTCACAGACCTTTTCGAGAGACTTGACATTTCTAGCAGTCAAGGTAATTCTGATTCTGTGAATTGGTTCCTTGGTTTGCTCAGTGGTTTCTGTCTTCTTTGCGATAGCAGCTGATGACATGGTGAGTTGTGGCGTGTATTTTTTTCAACGAATTTTTTAAAAAATTTGGTCATCCGAAAATTATAGTTTACAATGGCAAAGAAATTTTTCAACAAAGCTAGGCCTGTTTCTTTGGCTGATTTTGCTTCATCAATACAAAGAAAGAACCATGAATTACCTGAGCTTGCTTATACTGCCATCAAGACTTGGAATGTTATCTGTACGAAAGTGTATTTTAAAGCAAGATGATGATTATTAGGAACATCAAACAATTACAAACAAAAAAATGGATCCAATATTTCCCATCTTTAAATTTGTTTTTACTTCAATTCTCAAAGTACCCGACATCAGGCTTAAATTGCCAAGCGTATTCGAAAAGGGTCTTCCCAAAATGCTTGTATTTTTCCTTCTCTTTGCATCATATTTTGTGATTTGTTCTGGAGTTGTTTATGACATGATCAATGAGCCTCCGTCAATCGGAAGCAGGAGAGATGCCGATGGAAAAGTTAGACCTGTAGCTGTTCTTGAATATAGATTGAATGCTCAGTATGTCATTGAAGGATTTAGTGCTGGATTTTTATTCAGTTTGGGAGGATTAGGATTTATTTCTTTGAACTGGGCTGCTGATCCATCAGCAACATCCCGTGCCCGATATATCTTTCTAGGATTGGGAGCATTTCTTGTAATTTTGGCCTACAATGTATTAATCATGTTCTTGAAGATGAAGATACCAAATTATCTTCAATAAATTGCCACTTCTCGCTTTTCACACAAGATGAGAAATTCTCTTTCAGATCGGGTCATGAGTCGGCAATGTCTCTGAACCAAAAGTCATCATTGAACAACATCAAGCATGCTTTTTCGATTTCCAAATTTATTCCTGACACACTTATTTCAAAATATGGTTTTTGTACTTCTTTACCCACATGAAGACTTTCATTGTATTGTCCAATCTCTGTCCTTCCAATCTACGTCTTGCAGTTCTGGCGGCTCGCTTTGCCTTTTCTGCTTTGGTTGGAGTGTTCTCATCTAGATTTGACATGGTTCTTTCAATTCTATCCACATCACGGATGGCCTTATGTCTATTGAAAATATATCCAAGAGAGTCATCCTTACTAACAGCTCTATCAGCATAAAGAGTGAAACCAGTGGCGTGTCTTCTTCCAGTTTTTACACCCAGAATTTCTCTACAATACTCTTGTCTAGCTTCAATGAACGTTTGAACTACCGCTCTAATGGCTGAAAAATGATCGACTTCGTAACTTGGTTTTGCTAGCTCTGGTTTTTCTTGTGCCAAAATCATTTTGGTAATTTCTTCTACGGTTACACCATTTGCATAATTTTGAAGGACAAAGTCAATAGGAACAGTCTGTTTCTTCAAGATAGAGTCAGCAAACGTCTTGAATGCTTCTGGATTGTTATCGGCTTGTTTTTTAAAAACATTATACATTTGTTCCTTCTTGTCTTTCTCTGTTTCCAAAATGTGATCCCTCTTCTTTTGTTGTAAGTGATAAGAGTATGATTTTGTTAACAAATTAATCTTTCTCTCAACATAAGACATATTTTCTTCGCTTTGTTTTAAACCTTTAAAGGCGCGACGGAATTGGTCCAAAGCCATTCGTTCCGCATCCATTTCGTTCCTAATTTCAAAATTAGAAAGAGATATTCTGGGCTCTCTCAAACTCTTTTGCTTTAGAATGTCGTTTGCAAGTTGAGTATCCCATAAAATTTTGTCAATTTCTTCATTGGTTAATCCTTTAAGTAATTCATCAGTTTCCTTTCTTACTCTTTCTTCTAGGTCCTGGTACTGTTCTCTATTATATTTTAATGGGTATGAATGGCTCAAGTCCTGAGGCTTTGAAGGAGGCTGTATTAAATCTTTAAAATCTTGGAATGCACTTTCTAACGATTCAAATTGTTCAGTTTGCAAGCGTTCTTCGGTTTGGGAGGCAAAAAAGTTTTCAAGAGTTTCGTTGCGTTGGTACGAAGAGGCTAGGTTAGACTGTTCATCCTTGTTGAGAATCAAGTCAAAAAGACTTTGTGAGGCTCCCAAACCTTTTTCATTTGATGGAGTCGACTCGGTAGATTCCTTGGCCACCCAATAGGACCAGTCTGGTTGGTCTCCGGCATCAGTAGAATTATTATGAAGAGTTCTATGAAATTCTCTACGACGTTGATGATGGTTCAGCATGGCAAGGATATTCACCATCACGGGAGAGGCTCTGCTGGTGGTGATGTTGTTGTTGGTACAACTTTGGCTGAGATGATACTGATGAATCATTTTTTTTAAAGCACTTTACAACAATTTTTTTATCCTTTGTTTTTTTTTGCTCAACACTCTCACCGTTTTGGGGCATTCATGAGTTGGGTCAATACAGAAGCAACTCTCTGATGTTCAATCTCTGAGTTGTTTGCTGTGTCGACATTGTCGTCATTGTCATCATGAATACCACTCCCTAACAAGGCTACTCTTCTACGATGCCTATCTTGTTCATTTCTCATGGAGAGACATCCCAATTTGGGTAAATAAGAAGTGGAGAAGAACATGGTGGTCGATGTCAAATTTGAGTCTTGATGAGAATTTTTCAACACTCCTTCTTCTTGGTCTGAGAGAACTGTGGACCCCTTCTTCGATTCATCTTTCACTGACATCATGTTTGGAAAAGCCAATAAAAAAGGATCGTCTTGATAATCCATAAATAGTTCCTTATTAACATTTCGCATGAAATCATCTCGATATTTTACACCATAGAAATAGGAATGAACAAGAGATTGAAGTGTTTCATTTTCCTTTTCAATTTCTTCCATTGATTTTTGTGTAAATAAAGACTGTTCATATTCAATTTCTATGGCATCTTGTAATAATTCTCGATACATTTGTTGAATAAAATCAAAATCTTGAATGATATGAAATTCTTTCTTTTGATTTCGTTCTTTTTCTAATTGTTTCTTATATACGTGTAACATGATATCTTCATTCTTGCTTGTCGCGTTGTAGTTCAAATATTCACTTCTTCCTGGTGGTTTTTTTCCATTCAAAATTAAATATTGTTGTTCATAAATCCTTTCTCGAAACTTATTTCTTCGTTTTGCCATATAGAGATCGTGTTTGATTTGTCTCAATTTTCGTTGTTTTTGATTTCCAGATAAATTGCTTGAGGCTAACCATTGTGTTGAAATATTTGTTGAAAAGTGAATGTTCTTATTTAAATGTTGTAAATTTGTTATTAATTCTTGAATGGATATGGAGCTTAATTTTTCATTCGTGTTTTGAAAGGTTTGATGAATTTCTGAAAGAGCCTTCCGATCAAAATTAAATTTAAATTTTTGTGTCCTGGAGGAAGATTGTAATGGAACCCAACGAGGATCTAATGCAAAGTCTAACGTGCTATTTTGAACAGTATTCAAATGTTCATCTTTTGGTTGTTTTGTGCTAAACGTTTTTAGTGTTTTCCAAAGTTGCGGATTTAAAGTTTTTGAAAATAAATCATCAGGATTGAATTGAATATTATTTAAAAATTTCCAAATCCATTGAAATATAGAGTAGAGAGTTTTGATCAAGTTAGAAAGAGAGGAACGTGATGATGAGTTGTACAACGACGACGATGATGAAGGAAACATTTTTATTTTGTAAAAAAAAACAAATCAAATGGATGAACAATCTTCCGAGGCGATTATTGATGAAGATGATGACGAAAAATTATTTGCTGGCGAAGAGAATGAACTGAACCACTCTTCTTCTTTTACATCATCATTGGAGAATCAAAATGAAAAGTTAGAAGAAATGGTTTCAGAGGAGATGGCAAGAAATTCCAAAGATGATACTCCGAGCAATACCATCATCAAGCCTCAAAATGATTCTTTAGGGTGGTGGTCAGGCATTGGAAGCCTATTATCACCACTTAAAAACTCTGATTTTGCAACCCCTTTAGTATTGACTGGTCTTCTTTCCTTTGTTGCAGGGTCGCTATTGAGTTTTTCTTTTTCAAATTTGAAAAGCAGACAAACAAACGATGAAATGAAGAGTAGAATATTATCATTGGAAAACTCTCTGAAAGAAAAACAATACGAATTACATCTTGCAACAGATAGATTAAATAAGGAAATTCAAATATCAAAAGCAGCTTCTCAACACAATATTTCTCTGAACAAACAAAAGGAATATTTTGAAACACAGTTTAATATTCAGTCAAGAAATTTAAATCTTGCAAATCAACAGATTGAAAAGTATGAAGAAACGATTTCTAAATGTAGAGAAAAAATTGAAGACTTGGAAAGACAGATCGAGAGTTACAAGAATAATATTACCCATTTGGAGGGAGATTTGAAAGACCATCAACTCGTCATTCAAGATTTAAATTTGAAGATCAACCATCTTGAAAATCAAGTAAAAGAAAACGAGAGGATGATCGAAAAACAAAAACAAAGAATTGTAAATCTAAAAGAAACTCACAAAATTTTTGAATATGTCCTTACCAAAGCATCTCCACAATTGGCAGAAAGAATCATTAATCAAATTCATCGAGTGCAAAATATTGAAGACGAAACTGATGAGCCAAGTAAGATAGGGCGAGCCATAAAAGAACACACACCAGTGTCAAACAATGATCAACGATGAATCAAAAAAGCAGTTTTGGTGATTTATGATGAATGAACATGCCATGAATGGTTTCATGCACCTATTCTCTGGAGCTACAAATGTCAAGAGCACAATTATTGAGCGGCTCTATACACTTTCCTCTCTATTAATATTCTTCTGGTACCACCTTTCTTTGTGCCAAATATTCTCTCATATGTTGAGGAACTTCTCTCAAAGCATGCAAGGCATTCAATTCCATATTCTCGTTGAATTTCACAAAGGAAACATTTCTACAACTTGTTTGGAAGGACATTAAATTTTTAAAGAGAGACTTATTGCCCACTCCAACAAAAATAAATGAAACACCACAAAATTGTGATTGTTTCAATAATTGGAGTGTCAATTCAGTATTAATCTTTTCATCACCATCTGTAATGATTACACAAACAAAGTAGTGATTCAAACGTTCAGCAAATGCTGCAACTTCAGCAATAATTTTGGTGAAATTGTTGTCGAGACCAAACATGACTTTCTTGACAGTTCTGCGATACGTGTGAAGCATGGTCTTTTCATCCTTAATACCACTCTCACGAGCCACACGTTTCTTTTCTTGCATTTCAAAGACAATATTTGGATTTAAAACTCCAAATCCATACATTTTCATTTCACGTTGATGACCATATTGATAAATGGCACGCATGATACCAACCATGGTCACTTCATAGGGATTCAATGGAGTTGCTTGTTTTCTCTCTGCACTTGAGCCAATATAGTGAAGAGAACGCTTGTTGATGGTTGGTTGAATACCATTGGTGGATGTGAAATCAATTCCAAAACATAATCTCAACTCGTACCAGCCCAAATAATTCATGATTGAGAAATCATTCTTGTAGAAACGACAAGTGACACTTTTGATGTGCCCGGTCTTTTTAGATTTAAATTTTTGAGTTACATCTTCGACCATCCAAATACGTTCTTCATATTTCAAAACATGCATTGTACCACGGAAAGCATTGGGAGTATCTGGATTAATAATTTTAAATTCAATTTTACCATCTCTAATATCCAAAATGTCAGTTCGAACAATTCCAATGAATTCATTTCTTCCAATTTCATTAAAGTGCCACCATTCAATCAACATGGGTTTCTCCAATGATCTTTCACCTTCTAATCCAAATGAAAATACTCGATAGGTACCATTGAGAGTCTTCTTTTTCACTTCACTTGTATAGAGACGTTGTTTAAATTTCACACCATCTTTGTAAACAATGAAATAAGGATTTGATGAAGAACTTGAGAATCGATCCAATGCTGGACAATCTCTAATTTGTAATTTAAGAGTAATTGAAAATCTCTTGGATTCTACCTCACCATATTGTGAAATATCCTTAATAATAATGTGACCAGTTTCAGTGGTTTCTCTTTCTACCACATGATCACGTGGAGGTGGTGTGATTAATTTACAAATCACTTTTGGAAGTTGTGAATCTTTTTGTAATGTGTGATGATTCAAAAGTTTGTTGAATGAAATCACTCGAGAATGCATTCTATAGTCCATAATTTCTTGTGCAGTGAGATTGATATCTGGAACCATCATTAACAATTCAGCAATGGTGAATTCATCACTTTCACATACAATACGTTGATCTGTTTCGAGAAGATTTGAATCCAATTCAACTTGTGATTGTTGTTGTAGATTGGAAAAGGAGTAACTGAAACTTTGAGTCGAGTTGGAGAGAGAAGAGGAAGTGGTACTACTGAATGATCATCATGATCAGATTCGGGTGTGTGTTGGGAGTGTTGGTGTGATCCATTGTTGTTGTGTAGTATATATACATGATGATGATTGGATGAGTTTGTTGAGAGACAGGTGTGTGGTGATAGGATGAAACAGTGGTTCGATCAATTATCACACACACAATGAATGAAATATATATATAGGATTATGACACACAATGAATGAATGAAATATGACACGATCATTGACAATCATATTAAACATACCTCATCATGTGTTTTGCATCACTAGGTGACACAAATCTCACAAATAATTTCACTTTCTGTTGACAACCAAATTGTAATGTTCTTGAAATGGGTTTCACAAAATGATAATCTCCTAACATGATTCGATCATCTCGATTCTCTGTAAATATTTGTTTGACACATTCAGTCATACCAATCACAGAGTATTTTGATAAATTATAATTGTATTCAGCAACAATTATTTGAATGAAATGATCTTGTGGAATGTCTTGACAATAAAAAGGTTCAAGTTGAAGAGAGAGTTCAAATTTCAAGAGACGTGCTTGTTCATTGAATTCTTTTTCACGACGTTCTTTGATTTGTTGTGGATCAGTGATACGTTTAATTTCAGTGAATTCAGTTTGTGTTGTGGTGATTGAGCTCAACGACGAGTGGTTGTTGTTCAGGTTATGGTTGGCAACAGAGAGATTGCCCGATGATTGAAGGAGACTCATTTTTTTTGTGATGAAAATTGAGAGCTCTTGATTTGAAGTGACAGTTGATGATGGGTACAAATGTTTTTGAAAAGAGAAATTGTATTAATTCTATCTAGAAATGTCAATAAAGAACTCATTGCTATAGTTGACACACATTTCAGTGATGTTTTTTCTTCTTATTCTTTTGTGAGGCATGACTTGCTGTGGACAGACTCGATTGATTCACAAATTCCATGAATTGAGAACTCAGCGCTTGTCGAGGCATCAAATCCTCAATGAGTGGTGTAAAGAATTTTTCTCTCAATTCAATGGATAATTGAGAGTTTAACATGAATCTTTCGTATAGTTCAAGACATTCTCGATCGGTTTGAGCCATCTTTAAGAGAAGATGATTGTAGTCAAGAGCGACAGTGAGAATGTTCTCATTCTTACTGTTCTGAATTGGTTGTTGAGATACGAGTTGACTGACAATAATTCTATTCAAACCTTCGAAAAATCTTAAATCACAAAAATGTTGATATTGATAGTAGAGAATGGTAATCACATTCATCACATTGTTTTTCAATAGAGTTCTTGTACTGTTGCCAATGTCAACTATTGTTGATGAATAACATAGAGACTCTTCAGTAATCAAGTACAATAGATGAATGAAGTGATAGATGGACTGTGAATTCGAATTCTTATTCAATAGCAATATCAGGGTGGTGAGTCCATTTGCAATGTCATTCCAATCTCTACATGGACATACACAGTATAATTGCAATAATAACTCCATCTTTTCACTGTTACTCAAATAAGAGCATTGAACAATGGTTTGAATGAGATTTGAATTGAAATTAATGGTATTCAGTGAAATTAATTCCTTGAAATCATCGTTACAATATTGTAAAATGCAAAGAATTGTTTTCCATCCCATATTGGACAAGAGTGTTTCATCATTGAGAATGATATTGATCATTATAGGTATTTCACACAAAAGCAATTCTTGAACGTTTCTATCATTTTGTTTTCCTTTTCTAGATCGATAGATGGAACAGAGAAGAATCATCAACAATCGAATAATTTCAGTGTTTGATGATTCAATATTAGAATGTGTTGAACTTGTCGTTAAAGCATTTGTACATCTTTTGAATTGATTCTTGATCCAATCCAAAAGACCAAAATGTTTGATCAACTTTTCACTGGATTGATCTAGTCTCGTTGTAACATCAATCAAGACTCTTAAAATTGCTAATTGATGATACACATGATAGGATTTGCTGGATTGAATATGATCAAAGGACATTAATAAATGTTGAATAGAATTGTTCTTAATGTAGTGTTCCATAAAATCTTCGTCGGATTGGTATCCAAATAATAGAACTTTCAAATAGTTCAATCCAAAGGCATTGATAGATTTCACATGATCTCTATGAACAGGATAGGAATCGAGCTTCAAGAATGGTCTTTGATGTTCAAAAAATCTGGAAACTTCTCTTAGCAATACCTTATTAGTGGTATTTAGAGATAGAAACGAGGTGGTAAGGATAGGTTGAATGTGAGTGGTGAACAAGTCATCAGTGTTTGCATTTAAATGTTGCATGTAGTAATGTTGTGAATCCCGAAGTGATGTCAACACTGAAATTAACAAACTGGTCGCTTCTTCTTCATCTCCAAATGAGGAATTCGTTTGGGCATTATCAGTTTTCATTTCTGAAGCATCTTCATGATTGGTAAGAGTTGTGTGAGTAGCGACGGTCGAATCATCCTCGTCATCATGTTGGAGACCTTTTTCGCTTGACTTTAACGTTTCTGATGTGGATGGCTCTTCCGTCGTTCTCAAAATGGAATTCACGACAATGCTCAACATCATGGACCATGGAAGTGAAATTCTCATATATGGAGTTGGTAACGAGATTTTGATTTGTCTGAAAACCAACACCAGTACTTCATAAATATCACTCTCTTGATATCTATTGACATGATTCACAATAAAATTATAATACATTCCAATAATTTCATAAGCTAACATTCTCACATAGTAGTCATGTGAGCTGGTGCATCTAAACGCAACACTTAAATACAAACTATTCTGTCTGTAAATACTAGATTCAGGAAATAGTGACATTAAATACATAATATATCTAAGAAGATATCTAATATCATAAACATCGTTGTTGCAGATGAGATTTTGGTCATTATTCTTAAACTCAAATGTTGTGTGATTTCCATACAAGGTAAGATGATCAGGAATGTGGTGAATGGTGTTGTACAATTTTGTCTTGTCAAATTGTTGGTTGAAATTATTCCACTCCAAAGAGAGAAACTCTTGTTCTGTGAGAGCTCCATCGTCTGGCTTTTTAGTTTCTCTCAAAATTGTTCGTTTTCCAAATTGATAGTGATAGGAGGCAAGAGGAGTACTCAATTTAGTTTCATAAATGTTGAAAATTAAATATATAACCAAATCGGTTTGGTTCAATGTCGCGCCATAATGTGAAAGAAGATACTCAAAGATGGGCTTGTTTGAAATAAAACGAGCATTGGCATCATATTTGGTAAGTAAAGTGCAAATAAGATGAACAATGTGATAGAGAGATGAAGTGTCTTGCTGTGTCGCTTTGGTGATGTGCTCATAAAATATGGATGGATTTTCCAAATAGTACATTTCAAAGAAATATTGTGTCTTTGTAGAGGCAAATTTGGTTGAAATCACATCGAAAAGTTCTAGTGCTCCATTGCTCACATAATTGCCCTCAACAATTTTCTTCGACCATGCATTAATCATTTCTGAAACCTTTGAAGATTTCTTCTTATTTTCAATCATGTTTTCTAAATGAATTTTCATTTGCTTATTGATTGCATCGTTTTGGAGTAGGTCAAGATTTTCATTGTTCATCACAATATTATAATAAATATGGAATTGATTGTTCTGTCGTCTTTCATCCAACGAAAGGAAATCCATCAACTTAGACTTCACAACAAACGAAATGAAATGAGTTTCATCATAGGTGTAATTGTTTGTGAAATGCTTGATAATGGTTTTTGCTGCTGTAATAACTCCAGGATTAGAAGTACAGCTATTCACAACGCTCGATAAAAATCCGTCCAATCCATGTGATTCAAAAACTTTGAAAAGATTTTCAGGGAGTTTCTGTTGTGCAGGATAATACTGAACAATAGTTTCCAAAATCAAAATAATATTTGGATTGTTCATCAAATCGGGTGGAGATCTGAACAATTCTCTCAGACAAACAAAGTGATACTTGCTACTAAATCTACAGTACCAACAAAGGAGCTCAGTTAAGAATTGCTTTTGGTGTTCGTCGATCAACATGAAACTTTTTGAGATGTACTGCACAATTTTTGAGAGTACCGATGTAAATTCATCAAAATTCAACCTGAGAAATATTTGATGATATTTGAGACAATCAACTTCCATTCTGTTAGCTGTACTCAATACCATTCTATTGTTCACCATTACTGAAACAAGTTCTGCAATATTCACCAATCTTGTTTTTTCCTTTGTACTTTTAGTGAGAATGGTATTATCAATTCCTAACAGTAAATACAGAACAAAAGTTCCAAATTTTTCTACATTACTAAATACGAATTTAGCATTCTTCTTATTTCGCACAAGTAGATTGGCCAAGTGGTGTTGTGAAAACTTTTTGTAGTCCAGTACTTCAATATTTTCTAAAATGATTCGATCTATCATTGCAGCATCTGCGGTAGATGCTGTAATAAGAGTTTGATTAACAACGTTCATATATTCATCATAAATTATTGATCCATCGCTGGATGACTTCCATAGAGAAACAACATCGCTAATCATATTCAAGTTATCCTTCAAAGAGTGAGAAATTGAAGAGTCCTTAAATATCACATCCTTGAATGAATTAAATCTTTTGAGTATGTAACTCAGTAACTGACAATACAATGAACTGTAAGCACCAGACAACCATCTTTTCTTGATACAATTCACGTATTCAAAGGCATTCAAATCATCAAATTCAAACTTATTGAGAAAGTCTTTCAGGAGGTTGTGAACTTTTTGTGTTGAACCTCCGTGTAAGGAATGATAATAAAAGAGAATTGGGTATGGAATTTGATGGGCAATGCTGTCGCTCTCCAAGTCCTGTGTAGAAACGAGTTGGATATTGTCATAGAACATTTCATCAACAATGATTGTGCTCTTCTCTAACGAAGTGGAGCGATTTGATGGAATTGTTTCAAATTGGGTAAAGGACATTATCTTAGACTTGACAGCGTTGGACGAATCTTTCTTTAAAATTTGAAGTAACTCATTTCTCTTTGATTGGTCAAATGCGTGTGGTGACTGAATAAATTTGTGAACAAACACTCGGAAAATATAATCCACATTACTAGAATTCTCAATGCAGTACAACATGAACCTGGAAAAAATTTGTGCATCCCATTTGATCAGATCATCATTTTTCTTTGAAGTTTTTGCTGGCAATTGCGAACTGCTATTTTCAGTGATAAATTTGATCATCATGTCAATTAGGTGAGTACTCGATTGATCATTGAAGAAGGTCATCATAAACCAGTGCATGGAATCATATTGGCTACCAAAAACAATACTTCTTGATTGCTCATCCTTACTGAAAATATCTGTAAATAATTTGGCCTTTCTAATGTAACTAGTCGCTCCCATCATTCCCTCATAAATAGCCAAATAGTCAATTCCCAAAATCATATCTACCAGAATATTTCCAGTCTTGGTTGTGATGACAAGGTTAGGTAAAATGTCATGGTAGAAAGAAAGGTTCATTTCTGATAACAAATCAATATAGGCTTGAACTAGATTCTCACTAGCCTTGTATTCATCTGTTTTCATGCCCTTTGTATATTTTTGAACGATCTGAGAGAGCATTGGGACCAAGACACCAATGTTGTTCTTTCCCGTCTGATCAGGATAATATTTAAAATAAAATTTGAAAAGCTGAATAGTTATTTCCATTAACAATGGACTTGGATGAGTTGAGGTACTGTTAATAATCCTACCCACACAAATCTCCTTAATAAATAAAGAGGGAGGAATAGGAAAACGTCTTCTGAATTCCATCACAATATCCTTCTCATATTGATTGATCAATTCAGATGTGAGAGTACTTGCATCAGTCTCAGAAACCGCTAACCATTGTTTCTTTCGGAGATCATTTAACTGGGATAACATCCTTTCAAACTTTTTAAAAACATTCACGAAAACGTGAAGAATTTTTTGGATCACAATTAAATTCATCATGGACCCCTCTTTCTGCTCATTGAACATGTAATCGAGCTTTTCCTTAGAAAATAGAAGAGATTGTTCAAGTAGAATGGAAGAAACTATGAGTGGAATGCTCTTATCAGGCTGTCTGACATGTTCAATGGTTATTTGTGGAGTAATTGAATTTAGAAACTCTACACAAATGTTGGAGTTAAATTTGAGGAACATAAAGTTACGATAGCTAATGGCTGTAAGATTAGCTGTCTTGTCGTGTGTGTTTCCCAAAATCGTATTGTAATATAATTCTGCCATATACGGATGTTGCTTGAGAATGTTCAATACAATTTTTCCATATCTCTCTTGATCTGGAATTGAAAGAGTTTGCAAACAAGTCCAAATAACATCAGTATTAAATTGATAGGGTGACGTCAAAGCTTGTGAAAGCAAATTAAAAGGATCAATACTGTTAACATCTCCAGAAATTGGAATAAGTGAAGCCAAGTTACTACTTCCATTCTTAATGAAATTGAAAATAAATCGCTCCAGAGCATCTATGTAGTAGGTTGACTCATTAGGATGTTCATTGTGGTATTGAACATAGTATTTGAACATTTGGTTAACTTCCGATCGAATCACTTGGGATCTGTGTTTTGGAATTTTGTTCATGGTGAATTCTAAGGCAGAAAGTAATGGTTCTAATAACATCATATCCTGAGCATGCTCAAAACAGAACTTGCAATCGATTGGTAATTTAACTGATAGATAAGAATGACAAGTTTTCAATAATCTAAATAGCAAGTGATGAACTATCAGAAGTGTATGTCTACTTCTGAGAGGAGCATGTTTGGTTTCCACAGCTGATCTCATTAACCCAAAGAAAATATTTTTAAAACTGAGACTGGACATTTCGGTATTGGCCTTGTAGTTTCTATTGTCCACATCTTCAACTTTGACATTAAAATTAGATGCACGACCTCTGAGCAAGCTTCCACAAACCCATTCAGGTCTGAAAAAGGTGACGTGATAAATTGTGCTAAATAGAACATATAAGTGATACTCCCAAATAGCTTCGTTGTCTAGTAGCTCATCAGAGCGATATGAGTTTGGATCTTGTTCATCCTCTTCCTTAGTATATCTTCGTCTTCTTGATAGCATTTTGTCTTGTCGTTTTCTTCTAAGTATTTTGTCCTCTTGTCGATTTGCCATATAAGAATAATATCTGTAAAGATAAGGCAACACAAGATTAATGAACTGATTTGCTCTGAGAGTGATAGAAGCCTTTTCATTTTTGTCTTGAGGAAGTATGTATCTCATGATGTACATGAGTACTTGAAACAATTTGACTTGTAATAAAAGTGAGACTTTCTCACCGTATTCATAGCCCTTCTTTGGTAATTCATCAAACACATAGGTGAAAATGTTGGAAAGTATAACAAAGAATTGGTCATTGTAATATAATTGAAAGATATAACTTTTAGAATCGGAATCTCCTTTCAAAGACGAAAATTTCAATTCATGATTCAAACTATCATAAATATATCGTGATTGTCTATAAAAATTATTTGTAGTAAAATCGCTTGTTGTGTGCTTATCAACGAAAATTGGATGAGGAATAGAATAAGGCTGATTTGCAATGATGATAAATTTTTGATGACTCGTTTTTCGTTGAGAACTATTTCCCAACAAAACTAATCTCTCGGTATCATCAATAAATATTTGAAATGCATGTTGTAAATTCGGAGGCTCTAAATGAGTTAATAACTCAAAAGCATGAAAGAATGGAGGAAGATTTTTAAGTAAAGAAGGGTCAGTAGTGGATGGTTGTCGAGAGGATGCATTTTGCTTTTTTGAAGGCTTTGAAGAGGCTTGTTTCTTTTTTTTTGCTTTCAAAGTGTTGGAGGTTGATGATGAAGATGATGATGTTGTCTTGACCGAGTTGTGTTCATGACTTGAGCTGAGAGGTTCGGAATGAGATGATGATGGTTGCTCAATTTCTGTATTTGTTTCCTCGTTATTGTTGGTCTTGGAATTACTATCATGATTGTTGTTGTCCTTGTTGTTATTATTTGTGTTTTTTGACTTCTTTTTGGCCATCGTTCACTTCCGAAACAAGCAGCGCGATTGTTGTGTCGACAAATTTTTTTCAACAATCCAAAAATCTGTTGAACCCCTTAGCTGGTCTAAAGAGAGACATTCACTCTTTGGCCAAATATTGAGAGTTTTGTGATCTCCATTGCCAGATGGAACTCCCTCAAAACACGAACAATCTGATCACTCAGTCAATAACAATGGGAGAGATACCAACAAATGTGAAAGAAAACACTTCGATCAAAATTTTATTCTGTCATACATTAACAAGAGCAAACCCAGAACAACAAAAAGATAACACATAAAGTATTTGATGAGGTGATGAATATAGCTGGGTAGAATATTGTAAGGGAATGGAAGTGACGATGTGTCTTTGCCAGAGGCTTTTCTTAATTCAGAGGTGGCATCTTCCATGAATTGAATGGCTTGTTCTGTATTGCTATGGAAAAGTTCAACCATTTGATTTTGCTCATGTATCTTGGATTCAAAGACTGTCAACATTTCACTTATTCGAATAGCAGCAATTTCAGTATCGTGAGCGTCTTGGAGATCTGTGGAAACAATCTGCTGAAGTGAAAGGTTCATCATCATGGTATTTCTGTTCATGTTTCCTTCATTTTGAAAAAGTATTTGGTTCTCTGAAGATTCAGAGCTTTCATTGAAGAGAGTGTTTGTGTTCAATAGCTGTTGTTTTTGATTCTTTGCAATTAACATGGATAAATTATTCTGAGTAAATTCAATTTTGCTTTTCAGTTGTTCGCTCCATTGATTCAAAATTCCAATCACTGATTTATAATGTTGAATTTGATGTAATTCTTGGGTTGGATTATATTTCACTTGATCAATTAAAGATTTAAGTACTTGCAAATGACTCATAGCTTGTCTCAATTGTTTATCAATTTCATCACAATACATTTCATTCATATCCTCTTCTATCGTTGTTGGTGAGTTGAATGATTTCGACGATACAACGACGGATGAATATTGATTTTTCCATGATTCTTGTTTTCGTAATAGATAAATCATGTACGCCTGTAATTTATATTCAGTATTGAATAATTCATTCCGAATGCCCATGGCTGATTGCATAAATACAGAGAGTGATTGATTCCGATGAACAAACTTGTTTTTAGATGTCCTTGATTTATCATTCAATGACGTCATGTTGTTATTCATCATTATCTTTTGAAAGAGCTCCTTCATGAAAGGAGTTTGATCTTGCACGCAAACCATGATCGATCCTTCCAGCAAATATTTCAGTTCTCTATTTTTTATTGTTTGAAGTTTTGCAGTTATATTCGTTATGATGGCCTTCGATGAGAAGAAGCACAAAGGAGTTTCGGGAAGATTGGATGATTCGATTGGATGATTCGATTGGATGATGATGGCCAGCTCCAATCACACACGAAAAAATGTTCTTCTTGAATGAGAGGCCTTTGCAGTTTGTTACACCCAAAACAATCCTCACAACACTGTTGTTGTTGTTCTTCTTCCTCTCCAATGAAATGATTCATTCAAAACAACAACAACAACAACTTTCGGAAATGATTACGCCAAAGAAAACATCACCGAACCACCACCACCAACATCATGAACAAAATTTAGTTCTTGTACACTATGATGACCAATTCGATCTGAATCATGATGTACCGAATCAATATGGAATTTTACAAACAACACCAATCCCATCAATTAGGCAAGCCTGTTATATGACTCTTCCATCAAACTCTGGTATGATCATTGATGTATTACAAGCCTCATCTCCCATTGGTTATTATATAGTTCGACCTTCCAGTGATACAACAGTCACTACAAGCACACAAAATTCAATTACAGGCAGCGGTAACACAGAATATTATTTAGTTCAAATATGTAACCCAGTGACAAATGTCTCATCCATGTGTGGGAATGATTTAATCTATCAGTATAAAGCTGTGGCATATCTTGTGGATGGATCATCATGCAAACCATTGAGCAACACTGGAGGACCAACTGTGAAATTACTTCAAAATTCAACTCACACTCTTGGAATTTCTTTGGTTTACACACCTTTTGGAGTGAGCAACTTTCTGAGTGGTACAAATATTGATTTATATTGCCATCGATATACTCCTGTGAATACTACACAAGAACAATTGATATTTAAAAAGAAAATAACTAACGTGCTAACCACTACATATTATTTTGAAATGTATACTCGATATGCGTGTCCCTTTAATGGCACAGCTCCACCAACTCCATCAGGATTAGATTTAACGGATTTTTATCAAATGTTTTTGGCAATATCAATAATTTCTATAGTGGTGGTAGGACTCTGTCATTTAATAGTTAGCTTATTTTCATATCGAGTATTTAAATGCAATTTAATTACTATTTGGATACCATTGATATCTTTTGCTCTTGGATGTCTATATTGTTTGTTGGAGGTGGTTGTTTACAGTGTTGCCATTTCTGGAATTTACGTGTCCATAGGTATTAGCATGTCACCATTAGAGGTATCGATTTATGCAATAATTGCAATCGTACCACTATTGTTCAATGCAAGCGGTTTGTTCGCCAGACGAAGACTTGAATTCTTTTAAATGGATGGTTCTGATGTTGGTAAATCACTCGAACGCTTTGGAGGAGTAGTGCATCACTTGTGGATATCACTTTGGTGGGGTTTGATGTAAATATTTTCATCAATCCTTAAAATCATTTCATTGAACTCTAGCGACCTTTCTAAAATGGAAATTATAAGCTGAACTGGTTCAATAACTTGATTTTCAAGCTGGTCACAAATACCCTCATTATTAGAGTCAACTCCCATATGAGAAAGAGTCGTGGAACGAAGTTGAGATAAAACATTGGATGAGTCATAGCCCATGTTCTTTGACAACACCACTGGAATTATTTCTAAAGCATTTGCATATGCCTCTACAATTAGCTGCAAATTATTTGGATAAGATAATTTTCGAATACACTTAGATAGATACATAAATGTTGCTCCGCCACCTGGACATACCCCAAAAGGTCCTTCTCTAGAAGTATTGAGAATACTCATGCAATCATGAATGCTTCTGTGAATTTCATTACAAATTTCAATGCTAGGTCCAAAAATGTGAATGGAATTCCAGACATATTTAGGATGACTGCTTTTGTTATTCTGGATGACTTCGATGCTGGTTGATGTTCTGTTGCTTGTTACAGTTAATTTAGAAATAAATCCACAATTTTTTGGACATTTTAACGAGCTTGTTATGATACAATTAGTAATGACTGCTAATCTTTGAGCATTCTTGAAATCTAAAAAGCCAACACACAATATTCCCTTTTCTTTGAGATATTCTTGCGCAACCTTATGAATTCCAATTCCTATGTTAAATATGGCGCCAACATTCATTTCAATTAATTGATCACATAATTTGATGAGCTTCTTATAATCCACATGAGATATCTCGCTGTTGTCCAAATTCATTTTTGTATTGAAAATCCTATTTACAAAAGAGCCATTCAGTTCCTCAGATTTGCACATCAAAACTCGAACATCACTTAATACAAGTTGTGAATAGTTGATATTGGATATGTTGTCAATCACAATTCCATTGAAAATACTCGTCCTACTCATATCGTTACCAATGGAATTAAAGAAAAATAAATGAAATTCTTTTGCTGGATGCTCTCTCAATTGTTCACGCTTTTCTTTGAAAACATTAAAAATTAATTCCACAAATGCATCCTCATATTGAGCCATGATCTTTGATTGCATACTAGTTCTAATTAAACTCTTGATAGATGCATCATCATTGCTATTCAATAGATAAGCCTTTAAATATTCCATGCACTTTTGAGTCGCAATTTGAAAGCCTCTGATGATTAGTGATGGATGAATGTTTCTATTTTCGAGTAAATGTCTTGCTTGATTTAATAGCTCACAACTAAAAATTACAACACTAGTCGTACCATCTCCTATTAATTTATCTTGCAACAGAGAAATTCTTGATAATAAAATACAGCTTGCACTCTCAATCGGAATTGTTTTTAAAAGAGTAGCACCGTCATTTGAAATGCATTGATTTGAAGATTGTTGGGAAAAAATTGCCATATCCATTCCTAACGGTCCTAGTGTTGGTTCAATGATTAGTTGGCACAATTCAACACACTCGCGAATATTTTGCAGCAATGTTTGATGCGAGTGGGTTGACATTTTTTTCAGTTACAAAATGATATAACACGTGTTCTTAAATTAATAAAAAATCAAATGAGTGAAGGGTCTAAGAAGAGAAATTATTTCCAAAGATCCCTAATGTTATGGGTAACATTACTTTATAATTCAGTAGTTCCAAGAAAGCCTTTCAAGAAATTGGGCTGTTATCAATGGCCACGCCCAATCACGTTTCCCAACAAAAAAAATTGAAGTACCGAATCGAATCAACACACGACAACAGCGGCGGTTACAAGGCTTGTTGTAACTTGTGTGCAGAGCGTTGCAGCAATTTTTCTGTTATTCGTTTCGTTGCAACAATCACGATAACGCTTTCATCATCATCATCAAATCCATAACAACAACAACATAGCAGCTTTCATACTTGAAAATTCAATATCCTCCTTTGAATGTTCAATCTTCAATATTTTGTGCGGCTGGTGTTCCTCAGGCTATGGCTGCTCATCTTTAATTATCCGTTACATTTGTTAACGGCTCTCATCTCTATGATGGTCATCTATAAAGTAAGCCAAAAGGGATCTATTGTGGACCAGCGATTCAAAAAGAGACTAGTGAGAGAAGAAGAGGTGTCTACTGGGAGGATTCCAACAACAACAACAACCGAACAAACATCATCCAATACTCTCCGACAGCTGAATTTGGATAGTGAAGGCTCGGTAAACTCTGCTAACAACAAGACTGCTTCATCTTGTGTTGCAGCAGCATCGATATACAGCAGCTCCTCAGATGATGAAGAAGAGAAGGACAATCAATCCACGAGCACAGCCTCACGATTTTCTTCCTTCATCAATTTCGTTTTCGGTGGTGGCAAAAAGACAGACAAATCCTCTAAAGATGTCGTTGATGCCAATACGGAATGTAACATTACATCGTCATCAACAGAAAACTGTTCATTCTGCATGTATGACTATGTAGACTCAAACGATAACAACTTGCTTAGATGTCCTGCAAAACTTCTAGAAGATCCAATGAAACTGTTAGGAAGAACAGTTTTAGTGGTTGGTGGGTGTTGTGAAGGTGTTGGTTATGAGATTGCGTATGCTTTAGCGCAACTGGGAGCAAGAAAAGTCGTTCTAGCTTGTGCCAACGAGAAGGAAGCACAAGAGGCCATTGAGAACATGACTGATATTAGTAGAGGAGTCGTTGAATACATGAATTTAGATCTTTCATCCATCCAAAGCATTCGACAATTTGTGAATTTTTATCAAAATGTTATGAATTATGAGTGTCATGTACTGGTAAATACTGTACTTTGCACAAGACAGTCTAGAACTGGTAAAAACACTCCTAATCGTAGCAACAGTGAAAGAGATTTGGAAAGTTTGTCAAACCAAATGGGACCAAGATTTACTAAAGATGGCTTTGAAAGAAACTTCCAACTTAATTATCTAGGTAGAATTTTACTGATAGACATGTTGTCAGAAAATCTCAAACGAAATCATACAAGAATAGTGAACGTTGTGGAACTGCCTAATTCACAGATTCAACAAAAGAAACTGAAAACGATACCTGTCTATGATTTAAGTGCTAGCTCTTTCAAAAAAGCATACACTGAGCAAGACTACATCAACTTTTCAATGAGATGTAACTTGTTGTGGGTAAAATCTTTTGCCAACAAATATCAACAAGATGGTGTGACCATCTGTTGTTGTGATCCAGAGCTACCTGAGACTTACAAACCTCCTCTCCCTGAAATTATCAATCAACCTACCTCCACCTCCTCTCTTCTTTCCTCAAACACCTCCTCTTTCTTCATTGATGACCCTTCCCATGCTAACTTATCCATTACCAACGACTATGCAGAGGAAATAACCAATTTTGATAAGATCCAAAGTTTATTGTTTGGGTCCCTTTGTGACAAGCAATATTTTGACAATGGATCCTTTATAACGAATTACAGAGCCAAAGCTCTTCCTTCTTCCTTTTTCAACAAGAAAGACTTGGAGTCAAACTGGGAGACAACAGCGAATTTAATTATGAACATTTTGACCCAACTTCATTCACCTCCTTCTTCACCCTCTCCTGTTCCCAATTCCAAATAACAAAATAAACAACAAGTCATCCTCGCGGTGTCGAAACAGTATCACTCAGACTGAATTTGGTCCATCATCATCTCTCTTGGATGCCATCAAACATCACAACAAAAAAATTGCTTTGTGGCTCAGAGACTCCATCATCATCACCAACAACCTCGAGCATTACTCAGAGAAAGTGAACAGACAGACAGGTTGACAAATCCTCTCAAATAGTATTGATAATAATAACTTATTGACGAATACAACCTCATCATCAACCTCATCATCACCATCGTCGAGTCAATAAGAAGTTTGCTCTAACATTATCATCACCACTCTATTCCCAACCAAAAACTATTGACCATGCCACCTGCCACAACCACCATATTCGAAAAATTTGATTTTTATTCTCTCGTCTCTCCACAAGGACAAATCAAAACTATTTGTTCTGTGATCGAAGATCATGATTTTATATTTGTCGGATTGGGAGATGGACGAGTAGTCATTTACAAAATGAAACTCGATCAATTCTCAGCCATCGAAGCCGAGAAGTGTGTGTCATTGAATATTGACAAGGCACCCATCGAAGACATTCAAGTCGATCAAAAAAACAAACTTGTTTTTGTGTTAAATGAAGAACATAATTTATATGTTTTTGGTTATGATCCAAAACGTCCAACACAACAAGATTTCCTTGAAAGAAAAGCCGAATTGAGAGATAAACAAATTGCTTGTATTGCAGTAGATAAGAGAAATGAAAATCAAAGATTGATTGTCACTTATCGATCTGGTAAATTGAGAGGAAAGGCAACTATATTTTCTTACAAGGAATTGATTGAAGATGGATCACAAGAAATGACAGAAATCAAAACCGTTGATATTGAAGATTCCAATCAATTTACAAGCATTCATGAAATTTTATTTGTTGACACTTACTTTGTGTGTCTATTTTGTAAGGGAGCCAAATCCAGAGAAGTCATGTATTACAAGAGATTTAATCTCAATGTTTCACCTCTGAGAAAGTTCATTTCATGTCTTGCCATTGTCACAAAAGAAAGTGATGCTGATGAAATTCGAGGAACCAAAGGTGTCTATATTAAGAATAGTATGATACATCTCGAAGGAAAGACAGCTCTCTTTCGAAGTGGTTTGAAAATATGGAGACCTTGTTATTTGGATGGTGAAAAGTATTATGTGAGAAATACTTCATCGAATATATATATTCCTGCAGGAATTCATGAGACGACAACAACGACAACGACCACCATGTTGAGTGGTCACACACTTTCAGCAACAACAAGTGTGAACCCGAACACCGCCATCAACAACACAACCATCAATACCATCAATAATAACAACAACAACAACAACATGAATACCACCAACTCGAACATCATGAGTCACCATGGTGGTCTGGACTTCTCCTCCTCTTTGGAAGAGGAATTTAACACGGATAGAACCAACACTTCCATTCCCATGAAAGAAGAATTTAAATATGCCTATGTGAATACAGGTGGTGCAGAACCATTGAGTGTCTGTTTGTGCTTTCCCTATGTTGCATGTCTCATGAATGACAGTTTGGATATTTATAACTTGTATTGGAGAGAGAGTTCTTCTTCGAATGCCTCCAATAGCAACTCCAACAACAACACGAATAACAACACCTCTCTGACTGCCATCAACAACAGCACCACCAAAACCACCATGCAAGCCAAAAAAGTGTACTCTCTCCCTAATAATAGAGATAGCACTACCATCTTTGCAGATGAACATCGATTCTATGTGGTGACTGAGAATTCAAATGCCATTCGTTACTTGTCTCCTCCCAATACTGAAGTTCAATTGAGAACTTTGAGAGAGGAATTATTATCTCCACAAGCTCATCACTTGTTCAAAATGAAACAAGATAAGAATAGTGAAGAATTTAGAAAGGAATTGATGGAATTTCAATTTGCAAATGGTAAAGCGAATTTAGAGAGAGGTCGTCCCAAAGAAGCTTTTCGATTCTTTCTTGAATCGATGAAACAATCCAAATATTTACCAATTGATGATCGAAAGGACATTCGTGAAATTTTGAGATATTTCATGTATTACAGTGGTTCTTCACATTCACAATTTAGTTTAATTCCACCAAATTTCTTTCCTTCATCCATCTCTTCAGAACCTATTCGTGAGAAATTAACGCAAAATTTCAAACAAAAGAAAATTAGAATTGGTGTGGATGAGAGTATTGTGTTGAATGAGATGAAAATGAATTTTGGAGATCATTTCATTAATTTACTCATTCACAAGACATACATGTACTTGATGGAATTTTTAGAAATTGTTCACTCGAATCCAAGATACAAACCTGATTTCCTAGATCAACAAGCTGCTGTTGAGTATACTTTATTAGCTCTCTATTCATTACCTCATCCTGATATGGTTTCTAAAGAATTTGAAGATTCTGATCGAAAATCTCTCGCTTACTATCACCAATCGTGTTACACGAGTATTGAAAAAGTGGTCAAGAGAAAACATGAACCTGGATTTGAAAAATATATTGAACAATTATTCAAGGTATTGATCGATACCAAGTGTTGGAGACATGCTGCACTATTGGCTCACAATTTGGGACAATCCACTCAACAAGTGATGAATATTTTCAAAACCAACATTTCTCGTGACATTTATTATGATCAATTTGATGGTGTGGATGATGTGGTTGAAATTTTGAGTCAAATGGATGGTAATACTCTCTTACAAAATCCTTCCATAAGAGAATTCATTTCATGGGTCATTTCATTGAATCCAAGTAAGAGTGTGAAAATTTTCACAGCACCCAGAGCCAATCCTCCAATTCCTGATTTGGTATTAGAATTTTTAAACCCATTTCCACTCAACATGACCGTTCAATATCTACATCATATTATTTATGAAACAAAAGGACAAGGTATTTCAGATCGAGATTTGAATCGATATCATACCGATTATGCTCTCTCATTGATTGATTATGTCACTCTCATTTATCCCAACAATTTAGACAAGAAATTAGCACCACCAGCAGGAACAGAACAAGGTGATGTTGGAAAATATAGATCCTATCTATTGAAACACATCAAAGAAAGTAGTCGATACAATAAGGAAGCCGTGGATAAAAAACTCCAAACGACCAATTTGAATGAAGAAAAGATTTCACTCTTCCATGTGATGGGTAAACATGATGAAGCATTGACCGTTCTTGTCAAGACAGATCTTAAAAGAGCTGAAGAATATTGTGACACTGTTTTTGAAGAAGAACAAAAATCTTCAGTTTTACTTTCAAAGAGTGGAAATCAATCCAGTACTTACAATCCATATTTAATTCGATTGATTGAAATTACAACCAATCCAACTTTATTTGATGAATATGATGAAGAGAGTGCATTGCGTCGAATGATGAGTGTATTAAGTTTACTTCAACGAAGAGCTTCAGATATTAATATTATTGATGTTCTTTCAGTTCTTCCTGAACATGGTGAATTGAAACAATTATCCACATTTTTAACACAAGCCATTCAATTCACACATCATAACAATCGAACGACTCTCATCAAGAATGAATTGGCAAGAAACGCATCCATGCAAGTGAAAGCAAGACATGTGAAAGCCACAACTCGATCGGTCACTGTCACATCCACCACTTCATGTCCTGTGTGTGAACAACCCATTGGTAATGCAGTGTTTGCTGTCTTTCCTGATCAATCCGTTGTACATTATCGGTGTTTGTTGAGTAATGAAGATGAAAAGAAGGAAAAGAATAAGAATGTTCATCCAAAGAATGGAATTGATTTTAAAAAGTTTCCAGTGGATTTTTAATATTCTCAAGTAGTAAAATATATGTATCATTTAAATATTCATTGATCATTAAATATTCTTTTATCCTTTATGATTTTTAATATTATGATTTTAATAATTAATTTTAAATAAAATATTTTCAAATATAGTATTATGATTTAATCTTGTAATATCCTCAAAAATGTTGTTGCAAGGTGATGCCATAAATTTGTATGTTTCGTTTCGAACAATTTTGCAAATTCTGGATTGATGTATTTCATGAATTGGATCATTTTCATGTTTGTTTTTGGAATATAATGATAGTTGTCCAACAGGTTCTGTTATTTTATCTCTTTCACAATAAATACAATCAAAGGAACATTCCGTACGTTCTCCAGATTTTAACACAATCTCCAACATTGTTTACTCCTTTTTTAGTAATTGCATGGCAAGTGATTGGCATGAAAATCGTTGAAGAGGAGTCAACTTGAATTGTTGCTGAGAGTGATGTCGTGTCGACTCATTCTGCTGACCTAAAATCTCTTCACTTAATGGATTGGTTTCAGAATGACCTTCTTTCAAGTGTTCTTCTTCTTCTTCTTGTGGTCGATCGCAATGCGAGTAGAAATTTTCAGAAACTGAAATCCAATCCAAATGTTCTTGTAACTGTTTTGTAGAGAGTCCATGACAAGTCATCCGAATCTTGAATGTTAAATTCTCTCCATGGTCTATTGGATTGGATTCTTGTGAAACTCCAAACATGGTATGTAGTTCAATATTAAAATTTCGTAATTGCAAATAAATATTTGAAAAATCTTCTTCTGATATTTTCTTATTTGAATTATAATATTTAAATTGAAAGAGATATTCACAGAGAATGGTGCATTCCTTCATCACTTGAAAATAAATACAATCCACATGTCTATTTTTCAAAAATGGTTTAATAGAGAGTACACATTCATTGAGATAACTTCTCACTAATTTAGATTCACAAATAAACACCTGTTGATGTAAAAACAATGTTTTGTATTTCCGAAATAATTTTCTTGGATAAATGGAATGAATATAACACAAGGTGTGAAAAATACTTTCCAAAAATTCACACATCACATTCACAAAATCCAAATCTAATGAATTGGAGCAAGATGACTCGTTTTGATGATGAAACTCTTCGTCTTGTTGCATTCGATCCTCTGTGGAATTGCACTTCAACTTTTTTTTGATTTGCATCCAAAAAATATTATTTTTAAAAATATTAAAAAAAATGGGAGTGAATCGAAACACCATTCTCTCCATTCTTTCGTTCATTCTCGGAACGTCAAGTGCAACGACATCGATGAATCAAATTGTGTCTTCTTCATCTCAGAATCCTACGAATCAGTCATCTTCTTATTCTTCGATTGTTTACATTGATGGAAATTCTTTAATTCATCACAAATTACAAACAGCAATTCCAGAAAATGCAACCACTCACACTTTATTTAATGAATCATCGATGAAAAAAATTGTGGAACAAGTGAAAGATTCATTGTGTACGCAAATTGAACAAATTTATTTGAGCCATCGACCTATTGAAAAAATTGTTCTCGTGTTTGACGGTCCATGTCCTTTGTAAGTGTTTTGTGTCAAATATTCATTTCAATACTAATTTTGGTATATTTTATATATTTTTTAAAAAAACAGTGCTAAAAACAATGAACAGAGAAAGAGAAGATTTTCGAATGTTTCTAGCTTGATTGCTAGCCCAGGAACATTTTTCATGTTTAAACTATGTCAAGCGATATATAAATGGTCAACAGATACTTTTTATTCTCATGCAAGAAAAGGACTTGACATTCAAGTGGAATTTTCAGATTGTTTTGTGGAAGGAGAAGGTGAAATTAAAATTCTGGAATCCATTCGAAAGTATCATCGAAGAAATGATGAAAATTCATGTCGTCACATTGTATATACCAAAGATAGTGATTTCACATTGTTGTTACTTGCATGTTCAGAAGAAAATATTATTCTCGTGAATGATTATCAAAAAATTGAAAAGAAAACATTGGTCAGAAAATTAATGGATCAATTTGGAATTATCGATCAATCTCACACAACCATTCATAGAATCATGTTGGATCTTGTATTGATTTGTATCACCTTTGGAAATGATTATTTACAACCAATGCCTCATGAACAAAAATTGCTCAACTTGTTATTAAGGTACAAGAAGAAGAAACTGAAAGAAAAATATTCACAGAGATTTCTTGTGGAAGTGAATTCAGACCATGTGAAAATGGATGTGGATTTTTTGGTTAGAATTTTATTGAAATCAAAAGATATTCAGCCAAGTATGACAAGAAGTGTGAAGGAAGTTGATGAAACACGAAAATACCTCGAAGGTTTGATGTGGTGCATCTCTACGTATGAAACTGGAGTTTGTAAGGACTATAGACATTTTACAAATCAAAATCCTCCAATTCTATTAGGCCAAATGATTCAAGACATGCGAAAATTAATCGAAAGAAATGGTCACATTTTACAATTTGTTTCCATAGGGCAGACAAGCTTAATACCATTGACTTTTCTAATGTCGATTATGCCATTTACTGTGTTCAGACAAAGTATTCCGAAGACCATTCTAGAGGTTATTGAGAAAGATAAATCACTCATTAGAGATTATCAAAATCATTTCTTGAAGACAGAACATTTTGATCAGCTCAAGAAATTGGAAGAAACATTGTTGAAACAAGTCAGTTTGAAACCATGGCCTGAAAGTGATCACGACATTTGGATGGAAAAGTTATTGACTAAAAGTCTTCCATTTTCAATTTCAAAGAAACAAATAGAGTTGACTTATTTGAGGATCAAGAAAGTTTGGAATGCAGTGAAGAAATCGTCGTCAGACCTGTAGTCGAGAATCTCTATATTTGTAATAAAATAAGAGTGCAACATGGGAGTGTAATTTAGATGTTACCTTGATGTCATGAATGAGAAGTCAGTAATTTTGACGCTATGAACAAAGAGTCATGTCATGGGATCTTTGAAAATTTTGAAAATGGCGTAGAGTTTGGAATGGACAGGATTAGTTGTGAATTGTTCTTGGTTTGTTTCTTCATTCTCGATATTAGCCCATGGCACGAGTGGATCGTACTTCTGATCCAAAATATTGTCAATAAGGAGGTTCTTGTAGATATTTTGATTATGTAAATAAATATATGCATCCATGCTTGTTTTCACTCGTTGGAATATGTCATTAAATGTGGGATATTGATGCAAGTCAAATGAAGAAACAATATCAGTTATTTCTTTACGGAACTGATCAATCGTGGTCAAGTGAGTGAGAAATTTGATGAGCTTTCTATCTTGTTTTAACTTGTTCAATAAGCTAAGTATGAGTGGAGCTTCTTTGATAGATTCAATAAATGATGTTATGAGTTGTGTGAATTTCTTTTCACAACCATTCATGAGAATTAACAGTGAGTTCAAATTTTTCTTTTCGATTAACGGAACAAACTCAGAGTAAATCACACGAAAATAAATGTTGTAGAACTCGGTCTTATACTTGAATTTTTCAATCAATTTTGGGTTGAATTCTCCATGAGAGAGGAGCGGTTTTTTCCTCATTTCCTTAATTTGAGGATCATTTTCTAGAATGTTTCTGGAATCGGAATTCAAAAAATACAAATGAAAGGCCAGTACTGATGAATCATACATACCTATACATTGTTTGAACCTTTTCAAGAAATTGTTGTTTGATTTCTTCCTCATCCATAGTTTGGACTTCATCAATGTTGCAATTCTCTAAAGTTGAATATCTGACTTTTGAAAAATAATTTTCTTTTTCATGTTGAAACGCTTGCTCTTCAGAAGTGCCCTTCCACAAGAACGAAGTGAGGTCAATGGAGTGTGTTTGTTTTTGAAAGTTTCTAATGTAAGTGCAAAGTTTTTCTATAAGTCTGTTTAAATCAAGTCTTTTCTTTAAGGCTTCCTCTGCTTGTTTGTTGGTATTCTCCACATATTCTGTTGGAACACCTCCATAATTGCTTGTCACGTATAGAAGAGTTCTGTAGAGTAAAACTTTAAGTAATTGTTGTTGATTTTTGATGAAATTATTTGCAGTATCAATAATATAGATATCGGGAAAAGCTTGCCACAAATTTAGCAAATCATTTTGAACGGGAGCCTCTAAATGTTGATCCTGTAATAACTCTTGAATATAATTTCTATGGATAGATTTTGCATAATAGTTTTTAATTTTCTTGCTTTGATCAAATTCAATGTCTGAAATTGAGTTATTCTTCTTAACAGATTCCAACACTGATTTGTTAATGAGTAAATTCTCTTGTTGTGCCTCTGATTCTCCTTTTGTTGTGCTTGTTCTCTTTTGAAGAAGATTATAAGGAATAAGATATTGAAATACCTACATTCAATGATTCTCGTTCAAAAACTTCTTCAATCCATCGATACTTGACATATTCATTTAACATTAAATCCCAATACTCTCCAAAGCAAATATCTCTAATAAATTTAAAATTGCACTCCTGTATATATTCAATATATTCTTGCAAGCAATCATGAAGGATCCAATATTTACAAATTTCTAAAATATTATTTAAATCGTGATGATGAGCCTTTGTTGTATCATCAACATGATCCGAGCATTTCAAAATACTAGTTTTCAAATGCAAGGCACACCATTCCTCTACTTGAAATTTTGCTTGTCTTTCTTCCACAAGTTTTACTTTCCAATACTTTTCCCAGTAAAAAGCAAGTGATTCAGAATCTACATTGGATGATGATTTCCGAAATTTGTTTGATGATTTTTTGGAGACTCTCATCAATTAAAGAATGTTTGAGCATTTGGGAGAATTTTTTAAATGATGCAACTTAAAACAATCAATAATTATTTTTACTATTATATATATTCAATAATGTTATAAGATTGAATTTTGTCACAAGGTGAATTGAAATATAATCAAGTTTAATTAATAGGGATAATAATGTATAAATAAATAATTCTGAAATTTCAAATACAACATTTGTCAAATTGAATCAACTTGACACCAGACAGGTCTTACAACATGGAATAATCGTCACCTTGTCTAATTTCTCTTCTCGATTGTCTAAACTTGACAGGCAAGAACATGCAATTAACAATAGCACAAAACATGCAAAACATGATGGCCAATAACATGCTTCTAATAATGGCAAAACCCACTTGTCCTTTACGTGCAGCTACCACAATTGAGAGCGCCATAGATCCTATTGCCAAGAACATTCCCATCACAAATACAATGGTATACAACAATACAAGGAAGAGATGAACTTTCCAACGTCGCTTGGCAGCAGCAATCGTTGAAAACACAAGTAAAACACTCATCACCACCATGGAAGCGTAAAAGATCATATCCGTAATGTAATATGCAAGTACTAATTGATCATCAACGGTCGTTAATGGAAAAACCGAAGTAGAAAACATGATTGTATATTGTACAAGATTTAAAACACCAATTAGAAAGAAGAAAAGAGCCAATAGCAATGAAACAAGACTATTCTCCATCATGTAGGCCATTGATGAATACTTTTGTGTTTGATCCGATGATGGTGATCGGTAATGAGAAGAAGTAGAAGCCTCTTCATGTTGATGGTATTCGTCATGATCATCTTCTCGTCCTAAAAGTGTTTGTTGTTGTTGTTGAGACATTTTTGTTGCAGCTGAGACTCCAATAAATACTTTTTCAAAAAGTCAAGACAAGTGATGGTGTTGAGATGAGATGATTGGGTTAAGGTTGACATGTGTTCTTTCTCAGCACTTGTTCACCAGATCAACTGCCAACTTTGCTTGTTGACAACCAACAAAACAGAAAGAAAAAAATGATCATTATAGTGTCCTCATACGGAATGGAACATATCTAATCATTTAAAAATGTATAGATCAACACCATGGTATGGTCGGAAGAGAGAGGAAATCCTTTATTGATTTTTTGAAAACTGATTCGTACATGCAAAGAAAATTGAATCGCAAGGAATACTCTTCAAAATATTAATTTTTTTTGGATATGAAAGACATCATTCAGAAATTGGTTATATTATCCTACAGGTGGTTGTTAAGTCAAGGAAATGGTGTTTTTTTAATCTCTGAAAAGGATCTTGATTTCAATCGAGCATGGACCGGTCCATACTGTGGTTCAAATCACAACGAATTTGTTCAGTTCAGGTGTAACCCTAAAAAATAATCAATTTTGCTGCCAGCACGAGACCGCACGAGAGAGAGATGGCACCCGTTAGTGGCCTTAATTCCATTCTTCCAACATCATCCACCATTGTACACATTCAAGAAGAAGAAGAAGAGGCTCCAACGAGTAATGATAGCTACAAATATAACCAAGGTAATAACAATGGTAGAATTGGAAATGATTCGGGTCTTCTTTCTTCTTCCCGTAAACACAAGGGTGGATACATGCGATGTTGTTTCCTTTCATGCTTGATTTGTTTTTCTCTTCTCTTCTTTGTCCTCAATATATATTTACTCTATCACTCATTAGTGAGCGGTATCAATCATGGAGGAAGCTCTTCCAACAATCACCCTCATGACCAGCAACTTGAAATCACAACCAATGCCTTGCAACATGCTAAACAGGAATGTAAGGCTTTGTTAGGCTCGCTGCCTCCCGAAAATGATGCAGACCATACAAATTCATTGAAGAACAATGTTCTGATTCCTACATCAACAAACAACAACAGGAACGCCAATAACAAACAAACTGGAAATACTATTCGGAATTATCTGACCAAACTACCTGGTGGCTTAACAGTAGCCGAGTTAAGACAGAAAACATTCTTCAGGCCTCAATTTAGGGATATTACAAAACTGGATGAATCGTTTGTGGATCCATTCCGCCTCATTCCAAAAAGACCAACACGAGAGGATCCCTACATGATCCAGGAAGACACTACATATTTGAATCAGTATCATATCAATGACAAAGGATGTGGTCACACCCTTGACAGAAATTATTCTCTTAATCCTGTCCACGTTTATGGCAAATTTAGTGGAGAGTTTGAAGGATGTGCCATTCGTTGTGTGGGAGACGGAGCCTTTAATGCATCCCTCGAGACTGATGTATTTGTGAACTCGATTCCTCATTTGATGAAAGAAAAATGCCCTCACACGAAACTCTACACCTTCACTATGGAAAACGTGCCCATACAAATTGGAAGTACCGTAAAACTAGTTGGTTCTACCAAACTTAACACAGACGTACCAGTGCCCTACTATAGTTGGGCTGAGTATGACTTTATGAAACCACCAATTCCAAAAACAGCAAGTGCCATGATGGCAGTTTTCATTTCAAATTGTGGTCCAGAGAAGAGGTTAACGATACTTGAGGAGTTAATACAGTATGGAGTGACAGTACATTCATATGGAAAATGTATGAATAACGCAAAAATACCTTCCCAATTCGTTGGCGGCTATTTGGATCAAAAGACTGCCTTGACGGCAACCTATAAGTTCACATTTAGTGCCGAAAATAGTGAAACAGACGATTATGTGACAGAAAAGCTGTTTGGTACACTGTCCGCTGGAAGTGTGCCTGTCTATTTAGGAGCTCCCAATGCTAGAAAATTCTCTCCAAGCAAAAAATCTGTCATTTATGTTTCCGATTTCGAAACAACTGAACAATTAGCAAATTATTTAATAGAGCTAGATCGAAATCCTGAAAAGTACAAAGAGTATCTCCAATGGAAACATGAAGGTCCATCACAGGATTTTATGGCCTTAGTAGATATGGCTCTTGTTCACTCATCCTGTCGACTATGTATACGGATCGGCGATCATCATCGAGCAATGTATGGAAATAGAGTAGGCCATGAAGAAAAGAAAAAATCTGTTGAACAAGGAACGTTGTCATTGCAGGTTCGACCGAGAGGTGAATTCTATTTAAAGTATGTGTATTTGGAACGACATGAACAAAACATTGAAAAACTCAAAGAAAAAGTTTTGGAACTTTACAGGGATCATTCACCCTCTCCTGGGACAGTATACTCCATTTACAGGTTGTGGGATAGACTGCAAAGACCAATTGATAACAATGACTTTACAAATGGTGTATTGGAACAAGACATGGAACTGGAAGTGATATTCACTTATCCAAATCATCCAGGAAGGGGACAATTCACTCTATGGCAGCAACGCAAAAGCTTATTGGCTTTTTGATCTCATTAAGAGAGGAGCAAATTATTTACTTCTACTGGCTCGACTCTTAATATTGTCAATCTTCATTTTCTTTTGGAATGCTAGACTTTGCTTGAACCTGTGATGAGTATCACCCATCACCATGAATATTTCATGTTGAATTCCATCGAATAATGTTTCGGGTAATACTGGAGATTCTTTGGCAATCTCGAACATGACCTGATCTCCAAACTTTTTGTTAATATTCACAGGCATTGAGCCATTAATGTTGATATGTGTATCATGGATATATAGAGCGAGCACCCTTTTCTGCTTCTCGACCATTTCCAAATCTTTTTCAGAATACGTTGTGTTTCCTCTTTTTTTGTTCTCTCCTCCACTAGAGTTCGATCTGCTAGTGGCTGTACTTGCTGCATTGTCTTCCGAACCTGAAGTACGCATCTCAAAAAGAGAGGATTGAATTTCAAAACTCTTGTCACACAAGCTCTGATATTCTTGAATCCTGTCCAACAGGTAAAAGTTTTCCAAGCTAAATTCTTTCTCACAGTGCTTCTTAAATAGCTCGCGAAGTTTTGCATCAGACATTGTATCTTGCAGCATGATTGCTTTGGCTTTTTCAATTTTGGCCCTTTGTTGCTTCTCGTTATTGAAAGAGGCAATTAATGTGATCACCACAACAGGAAGTACTATAGCCATGAGAACTACCACCACAACCATACTTGCCAATGTCTCGTTGGAAATGGCGTCATCCTTTTTCACCTCCTCATTCTTTAGATAATCCACATAGGCATTAAGATCATTGTTGTAGTCATCTTTTTCGTCAGCATAGTGATCACTGTCTAGTATTGCCACTGCCTCTGCTTGCTTACCCTGTTTAATCAACTCAATGGCTGCATTCTCCATGACAACTGGTTCATCTTGAGTGAGATTAAACCTCTCGGAGGTTCTATTCAAAAGAGTAGTGATTACTTGTGGTGGAATTAATTCAAATACTTGATTCAACAATGAAATATATTGGGGGTAGTAAGTTTGATATCTCTCAACGAACATTGATGTGATGTTGCTATTTTTCGAATATGCTGCTAAACGAGCCGAACTTGATAATATTTCCGAGTACAGGAGTGCTTGCCCCCTCATTTCAACAGAGAGGATGCGTTGCTCCTTTTTATGAACGAACACATTAATGAGTAATCCGAGCAAAATGCAAAAAGCTGCAATGTTGAGAATCAATACAGAGAGGAGGAGACATTTCGTTGGAGAGAGAGCAAAGGAGGCACAACTCATTTCGATTTGAATTCCGCGCTTGTTAGAGAGAGAACTTTTCCTATTGGATAAAGAAGGATATTGTTGAATTTCCATGGGATGCTGTTTGACAGCGGCTGTGATGTTGGCCAAATGATGAGATGGAAATGTGTTTGCTCGAGGGGAAGTTGGCTCTTCAGTGATAGAAAGCATTTTGCCACTTTGGAGTTGTTTTTTTTGGATGGGATGCCAATAACAACAGCTCTTGATGTTGGCTATAGCTCTTTTCGTTAGAATTCCCACCTTTTACCAAAAAAAAAGCGCACCTATGAGAAATTTATTTGGCGAAGCATTTTTCAAATATATTCGGCTCCTTCCCACTTAAACATTCGTTTCTTGCGTCACATGGAATTAGTTCATGGAACGTCAAATGTCCAATATCTTGACATAGCAAGACTGGAGATATACTATCAACTAACAAAAAGGTGCTGATGATTTGGAACGAGATCTTTCAAGCCATGAGAATAAGTTTAGCCCAGAGGAAACTATTTTGTAACCATATCGGAGCTTTGTTATTCATTTCGAATACTTTCAATGTACCAATTATTTAATGTGAACTGTCTGGTAGTCATCTCTCTTGATCTTGTTGTAGTGTAGAGCATGAATCTGTGCAATAGAAGAGTAGGGGATGGTGTTCAAACCATTTTAGAAGGAGTTTGTGGTGTTGAACTTGAAGATGACTTGCCAGCGATATCGACTTTCTTGTCCAATGAACATGAACAGCGATTGAATATCATAGTCAATGGGAACAGGAAATATCAATACTTTTCGTAGGATGCTGGTGTCTCAAAGGAGAAGAATGTACAAAGCAGATATTTACTAAACAAGGTAAATTGTTTCATTATTGAACAAGCAAGTTATCAACATGATTCAATGTTCATTTGAAAAAATGTTGAAGACAACGTCCAATATTTTACTCATACTTGTGATTGTCTCCCTTCTGTTAGTGACGACTGTTTCAACGGGAGCAACGGTAGTTTCACAACAAGAACTGCCATCTTCACAACCTACCGTCACTCTTTCAAACGGCGCAACACTGAGAGGTGTATTCTCCGAGAACAATCAAGTGAAAGCTTTTCTTGGTGTTAGATATGCCATGGATACGTCGGGTGCCAATCGGTGGCAATTACCTCAACCTTATCAATATCCTGCAAATTCACTGAACGATGTGAGGAATTTTAGCAAAATATGCCCTCAGCCAGTTGAAAGTATCCTCTCCTCCTTTGACAAGCAAAGTGAAGATTGTCTTTTCCTCAATGTTTGGTCTCCAGTGAACGCTTCCATTTCTGGTAAACCACAAAGAGGAAAATTACCAGTCTTCTTTTGGATCCATGGAGGTCAATTTTTAACAGGTTCAGGGGCTTTCTATGCAGGTGGTTATTTGTGTGATCAAAGTAACATGATGGGTCGACCCATGATTGTAGTTTCCATTAATTATCGATTGGGTGCTTTAGGTTTTTATTCTGACACGTCGTCACAATTTAATTTCATGGGAAATTATGGATTGTGGGATATTATCGAATCCTTGAAATGGGTCCGTGCCAACATTGAAACCTTTGGAGGCGACCCACTTGACATTACCATAGCAGGAGAATCAGCAGGAGGTATTGCAGTCTCCATTCTCCTCACAAGTCCTCTGTTCAAAAGTAATGAACATCAAGTTGAGCAAGCTCATATTGACAAGTATGGTAGAATTTCGAAAGCCATCATTCAGAGTGGTGTCTTACCAAATAATATTCTTCAGAAAAGCCTCTCAGAAGCTCAGGTTTATTCCACACTCTTCAAATCAAGAGTTTCATGTAGTGATCCAGCTTGCATGAGAGCACTTCCTTTCACAACTATTGTGGAAAAACAAAATCAGTTACAAATGGGAGCAGTGGTTGATGGAATGATCAGTACAGAACCTATTCTTCAATTAATTGCCAAAAATTCTACGCTTCACAATATTCCTCTCTTGATTGGAACCAATCTAAACGAAACCAATCTGTTCCTTTGTCGTGTGAGTGGTGCAGACACGATGAATATTTTCCAACTCTTAGCATTGACAGGCACAGTGTTGAATTTCAAACTACCCACGGATAACCTGATTCAATTCGCCTCTAATTTGTATCGAGTGTATGGACCTGTAACCAACTACAAGAGCACCTTCGATTTCTTTAAAATTTTGACAACTGATGTCATGTTTCAATGTCCTTCCCTGTACTTGGCTCGACTCTCCACTGCCTTTATTTCATCACAAAATACGTTCAAGTATGTCTTTAAATATGTCCATCCTGCGTTGAATGATTGTTATGGAGCATCTCACGCAAGTGAATTGCCCTATCTATTCCCTTCAATTTTGGATTTTGTGGGTCGAGATCATGGAATGTTTAAAAACGCCAGTGCTGTCGTGACAGCAACCATGACCCCCACAGATATTGCTCTTTCAAAAATGATGATCTATTACTGGTCCAATTTTGTCAAGTATGGCAATCCGAACGGAATCAAGAATGAACAGAATTCTGATGCTTCTCGAAAAGAAGATCCAACCACACAGCACTATCCAATATGGCCCAACTATGAATGTTCTGCAGAGTCTCAATTGGTGATTGATACACCAGAGTTATCAATTGTGAACAATCATACCTTCACGAATGTATGTCAATTTTGGAATGGATTACTTGGATTCTCGACTGTTCAGAATTGCCCACCTTAATAACTTTTTTGTTCATTTTGAAGCAAATGACTTTCGAGATTGAGTAATAAAGTGTGATTTTATTTCAAGCAGGGCAACTCCTCTCGAATCTCTTCAATTCTCTTTTAAAGGAAGATTCCAAACAATACAGATACTAACACCAAAACAATTTCTGCTTTTAGAGAAGAAGCAGTTCCTGTGGATTTTGAAGAAGCAGTGTCTTTATAACGAGGACATGCTTCTGAACACACTGCACTTCCATTACATGCATTATTGGCAGTATTTGTCATTGAAACGGTATTACTTCCAATCTTTTTGAGAATCATGTTATCAGCTCCCATTTTTGTGTTGACAGTGTCATAGGAATTCAAATTTCCAATATAAAAAGAGATGGAGGTGGCTCCTAAACAAACACCTTTCACATTGGAAGTGATTTGAATCAAATTATAACCTTCATTGGTGGCCACCATTTGTCCATCCATACAACAACAAGTGGAAGGATTACATCCTGCTTGTACATTCCATTTTCCAGTCCAATAATTGGTGTAATCGACAGCTGACACTCGTGAATTTTCCACACGCACTGATTTGGTGGTGGTGTAAAGAACTCCACCATAAGTTAAACTTGCTCTCAACATCATGTCAGATGTTATGGAAGTTGAAATGGTCAATGCAAAGTTTGTGACACCATTCGTGTTTAGTGCCTCTTTTTATCAAGAGTCAAATCACGACATGTATTTCTTCACATATTCCTCAATTAATGGAAGAAATAAGGGTCCCTCACCTCAAAACAACATTGGTCATCCTCTCATTTCTTTTTTTGACACCTTGCAAAAAGATACACTGTCGTCTCTTTTCAAAAACATCAGTACCTGTCACCTATCAAAAAATGACGAAAGACCCAATTCCTATTGATTTTACTCTTCACCATCCCGGAAACGTAAGTGTTCGACATGATGAAACTCTCAAAATTACATCATTGTTTTTACATCAACCTCTCTCTCCATTGTATCATGACAATGATTTTTTGTGTAACACGTGTTGACACTTGATCCGATCTGATGGACCAACATTGACACAACAACACCATTCGACAACTCGACAACTCGACAACTCGACAATTGAACGTTCTCTCTCCAACTCCATATCCTGAAAACAACCACCATACGATACATTATCATTCATCGGAAACATGATTTGAAACAACAAATTGACCTTTTGATCTTTCTCTTGAAAATAATTTACAATCCGCCATCAACAATCTATATATGAACTCTCATCCACTACAACAACAAAAATTTAAACGGTTTTCAATATTATTGAACATCCTTTCGTCGTCATGTATGGATCTAAAACATCATCACCACCACCAACCACTTTATCAACTCTAATAATTGCCAATGATCATGATGATGATGATGAACAACTAAATAACTGAAACAACATGATGATGATATGAACCAAAACAACAACAACATTTCAGTTATATGAAGGGTTTCTGAAAAAGAAGGGTAAAAACCTCATCAAAAAGGCTCCTCTTCGTTATGTCGTGATTCGTAATGAAGCCATCTATTACTTTAGTACAAAAAAGGATGAAAACTCTCAGGAACAGCCAGATCTCTCTTCTTGCCTCGGATTTATTAACGTTAAGGATCTAAAAAGTATTACAGGAGATGAATCCGATCACAAAATTACCATTGTTGCTGAAAAGAAATCAAAAACCAAACAATTTGTCTTTTATACGGAAACTAAGGACTCTTATACACAATGGTTGAGTGAACTGAAAAAGTGGTATTCCAGAAAAGAGTTCTTCTCTTCAATGCCTTCTGCGGTGGGTGGATTGTCTACATTTTCAAGTGGTGTTTCTGCCATGTCAGGATCTTCAAAGAAATCAGGAACTACTGAAGAAGGTGTTTCACCATCCGTGGTGAGTAATAATTCAGAGATCAAAGCTTCATCGAGTCGAAGTCGATTCACTATAAGAAGTCACCAAGGTGGAGATTTAGCTCAAAATTTGAATCCAAGTCCTGTATTTAATGTCACATCTGGTGCTACTGCAACGAGTACGACGAGTGGTGGTACGAGTGGAGTTACACCAGTTTTATCTTCCTCTCCAACCAATCGAGAACTTTTACTGAAACCTTCAAAGAAACATGTAGTGGATGATGATGTCGGAACAGAGACAGTCATTTCCGATGATGAATCGGAAGAAATTGATGACGATGAAGATCATGACGATGTAATGAGCACAGGTGCAAAGAGTGGTAGTTCTACAAGATCCAGAGGCAACAGACGGAGTGCTAAAAAAGAAGGAAATTTATTGGAACTTCTCAATTCCAAGAATTTAGAAGATGCTAGTTTCCGAAGACACTCTGTCATGTTGGATAAATCGGATCGCTCCTCCTCTGTTGTAAAATTTAACTTGATGGAACAATCGTCCATCCATTCAGGAAGTAATGTAAGAAAGAATGATGAAGATCAATTTGACAAGAGACGTTTCTTGAATATCATGTCCATCTTCCCAGTTGAGAAGGAACACTCTCGTTATTTTGATGACGGTAAACGTGTCGACTTGACAACAACCATTCCTGAAGTGAAAGAATGGGAACAAGAATTGATTAACTTCGAAACAAAGAGAGCTCAAAAATCAGACAAACAAAATGGGAATACGATGGCCTTGTCTTCTCTGGTTCCTCATGATTTTGCAGATGCAAAAGAAAAATGCAAAGAAACATTACAACAAGAAGACAAATTCTGCTATTGGTCTCATGAAGTCATTTGGTTTAACCCAAGAGCATATGGAAAGAATCAATACAAGGAAGCATTATTGGTATTGGGAAATAGAAATGTCTACATCATTGACGCTAAAAGCTTCAAAACTGAAACCAAAGTCAGAATTAATGACATTTATCATATTGTCCAATCTGGCTATGAAGACGACATTGTTGGAATTATTCGAAAGGACAGAGAAGAACAATTTGATATTTTATTTCAATTCACTGAAACCAAGAGAACTAAATCTAGCGATGACACATCTATCACGGTTGAAGATGAAGAACGCATTCGAGGAAAGTCATTTGCAGATTCTCGCTCGGAGGCCTTCAAAGAACAAGAGAATGAAATATACTTGAAGAAGGTTGAATTCTTTGATTATATTTCTGCCGTCTATGCGTCACAGAGATCCTCTCCACTGAAAATTTTCTTTGTTCTTGATGTAAAATCTGTGTGCAGAACGGAAGAAAGAGAAGAGCCGTTCGATTTGAATCCCAAGAATATTTTGGAATCAACATCCATTTTGCAAATTGACAAAAGACATGATTTTATCAAACTCTATCAAGAACCCACAAGATGTAAAGTCATGAGTGAATTTGGTGACAAACAAGTTTTCTTTGCTGGATTGCTTGGAAAGAAGAACAAGAGAAACAAGTACCAAAATCGTACGATTGTCATTACAAACCGAGCATTGTATCTCTTTGATCCAAAGAAGCAAAAATCATTCAAGAGAAGAATCAAGTTATCTGAAATTTCTAGAGTTTACAGAAACAAGAAAAAGGGAGTCTTAATTGACGTTCCTAGTGAATATCCTCTTTGTTTAGTTCCCAAACAAAACATGGAAGTTTTTGAGGACTTTGTTAACGTCTTGTCTTCTCTCTATTTCGACAATGACCTCGTTCAACATGTAAAAGACAACGAATTTGATTCGTTCGACTTGGAGAAATCTCAAGTCTTTAAAGAAAAGATGAACGAAACTGAAGATGTTCTCTTTGTTCAAACTCAACTCAGAAATGCTATCTTCAACAAAGATGTAAATCAAGTGAGAGAATATTTGGCATATGCAGATGCATTGGTTGGAAAGAAAGATCAAACAGAAACCAATAGTCTTAGAGATCTGAGAATTCAAGCTAGTGAATTCTTGGGCGACATTCAACTTCAAGAGTTTATCAAGGAAAAGCTTCAAGCTGCTTTCATAAACAAGGACTTTTTGGAAATGAGTAGAATGTTAGAGCACATTGAAACTATTAAGAAAGAACGAGGCGAAGCTGAAATTTGCAAGTCACTCTCTGATTATTTGAAGAGTATCAAGACCGAGAAGGATATTGTCATCAACAAACACTTGTTGTTGACAAGAATTGAATTTTTACTTGAATCTGGAGTTGATCAAGAAAATGAAAGAAGAATCATGCATGCAGTTGATATTGCAAAAAGAGCAGGTTTCGTCAGAGAAGTTGAACAATACAAACAAGATTATGACAGAGAAAAACAAAAGATTTACATTGATCAACAACTTGCCGAAATTCTTGACAGAAAAGCTAAAAGTGCCAGTTTAGACTCTGATGCAGATCGTTTGATTTGCCTTATTGAGAATTCAAAATCTCTTGGCATCTATGAAGGAAAAATTCAAAAAATCTTTGAAGAAAACACCAAAGCATTCATTACCAACAAATCAAACAATCACAATTTCAAGATGGCCATCGAACAAACAAGAAAGGATATCGAAAGCAATCATGCCAAGTTGAAAAAAGAAATTGAGAAAGTTCAAAGTAATGCTGAAGGGTACACAAACATTGACAAGGCATTGGTAGAAGAAGCTAAACAAGTGATTCAAGAAATTGAAGAAATTAGAAAGTATCAACGAAAACTTCATGCAATTTTGGACAAGACAGAAAAGAAAAAGTACACTCTTGAAGAAGCTCAAGTCCTCATTGAAAAGTGTAAAAAGAAATTGAACCACAAACGAAAAGGTTACGGTGAAACTAAAGATTACAGAGAATTGTTAAAACGTACCAACAATACGTATAACGAGTTGAAGAGAGAACTCAAAAAGATTTACAAACATGAAGCTGCCAACACTGCAGAGTTACTTAGAAAACTTCTTGAACAACAAGAATATGGCAAACTTCAAGAAAAACTCAACCAAATTAATACTTTATCAATCAAGGCAGCTCTCGTAGCAGAATTCCCTGAACTTCAAAAAGTGATTGATGAAGTTGTTGACAATTTGAATACCTATGATTTCATGTCAAGGTTGAAAGGTGACAATGTCGAAGCAGCATACACTTACTTGGACGTTGAAAAAGTGTTAAAATTCAAAGATTTCGCAGAGAGAAATCCTCAATATCTTACAGAAGACCAACAAATGTCTTTGGCTAGAATTGAAAAGAAGGTTGCTACTGAATACAAATATTACAATGAAATTCTGGAAGAGAAGAAGAGATTCAAGGATATTTCTGCAGAAATTGTTAATTTCCAAAGAGTTGAAAGTCTTCTTGAGCAAGTTTCTGATATTCCTTCTCTTCACAAAGAAGCAGGTGAATTGGCAGATTTGGTGAGAAGAAAGAAGACATTCAACCAATATGTCAGAGATATTCAAAAACGTAAAACTCAAGGCAAGAATTATGATGATATTATGAGAAAAGCAAGCAAAGAAGATTTTGATGCCAACATCATCATTAGCGCTGTCATGACACAAAAAAGCAAACGACTCACAAATTGAAAATGAAATCAATGAATTAATTAAGAGAAAAGATGTTAGAAAGCTTCAAGAGCTTATCAGTAGAAATGCAGAAACTATGCCAAAGAACTTACTGAAAATTGCTAATGCCAAATTGAACAATTTACGACGAGAGAACATGACACCTTTGGAATTAATTGAACAAATCAACAATGCTATTGATGTGAATGCTAAGGAAGAATTAATAAGTGCTGTTGAAGTAGCAAACAAATTATTGAAAGAGGATATTGCTGAACAATCCAAATCTCAATTATCAACAGCTATTGAACGAGCCAACAGAACCATAAAGTCGATTAATGACAATGAAAATATTGTCAAGGTCAAACAATTCTCAAGTGAATTTATCAAACAAGCAATGCATTGTGACGAATTGGTGGATTTGGAACTCGAAAATGAAGACAGCTTCAAACTCACAAGAAAACTTCGCCAAGTGCAAGGCTTGACTGATTATTCCTCAATGACGCAAGAGGGAAAACAAAAGTATTTGTTTGAAGTATTCCAAAGTAAGAGTATTAACACAGATAATGAACTTCTCCAACGTCTCACTTATCATGTGAACAAATTGAGAGCGTTCTGTGAAGCAAAGGAAGGTTTAGGAGAAGAGGAAGAAAAATACACAGTCGAAAGAGACAATGTCTTTGGACAGAACTTGATTAAGGTCTTGTATGATATTCTTAATCACAAAACTAAGAAGAGATTCTTTTATCTGTCCAAAGATCCATATGAAATCTTATCTGGTTTGAAGAACAACAATGAATTTATCCTCAAGTTGGTTGATACCTTTGATTCTAACGATTTAGTGAAGCGTCTCAAGAAGGAAAAGAAGAGCGACGCACTGTCTGTACAATTCATTTATTATTTACTCTCTCAAAAGGCATTCATGTTTGTGGTCGAGCAATTATTAACTTCGGATGACTACTTGAAAGAATGTTATGAACTTGATTCTGTTATTCTCGACCGAAGATATAGAGATGATATTTATCCACTCATGTCACTATTGAACATGTTTAAATTCGAATTTACTTTGAGCTCTTCGACTGATGTACTTGCAGCCTCTCCAATCTCTAAATTGAAGGGTATTGTGAGAGCCATTGTTCATTACTTTGTTGCTAACCGAGCAGAAACTAAATCTAACTTGGAACTTAGCGGAAAAGAAACTTGGGAAAAGAGTCAGATTGGCATTCTGATTCGACAAAAATTGGTGCCAACTCTTGCAGAAATTTTAAATCACAAATTCAAGAGCGGATTCATTTCCAAGTATCATATTTGGCAATTTATTCAAGATGTTGCCGAACAAAGAAGAATAAGTGCAATTGATATTGGAGGTATCCATTTGCCAGCCGCTGTTGATGCTGTCAACAACAACACCAGTGACAGTCTTGATTTCAATTTCAAGTTCGAGATGTTTGTCTGTTATGCATTGAATAGAGGATTACTTGCAGAATTCTTTGAAAGTATCCTCAAGGATAGATCTTTCCTCAATAAGTACTACGATCAGTATGCTCTTGTTTTAGACAGAGATGTCATCGGCAATAGTGTCAAATATTTTGAAATTATTTCACAGTTACCCTTCGAACTCATTGAAGATTCTGCCAAGTATTACGAAAAATATCCCAAACAACAGTAAAATGTAAATCATTCTTGTTAACTTTGTTTCTTTCACATTGAAGCCCCTTGTTTAGCCAGGATATCCGCTTTCTCGTTGCCATGAATATTTGAATGACCTTGAAAAATGTCAACTCCTAAATAGAGAAACAATTCCATCACTTACCTTGTACATATGTAAATTTCACTTTTGTTCTTTTTTTGATTTCATCAATAAGCTCCAAAAACAAATCTAAATTTTGAATATCCTTATTGTCTTTCGTTCTCCAATTATTCTTCTCCCAAACAAATCTCCATGCAGTCATTGCCTTGATGACATATCTAGAATCTGTTAGTAACTCGACAAATTTATATTCTTGAGGTAGTCTTTGAAGAGCTATTACACATGCTTTAATTTCAGCTCTCTGGTTGGTCTGAATTCGTCCTTCAAGTCTTCCACTGAAATTTAGAGGGTCATTTTCACCAAACCAAACACCGATTCCAGCAACGCTATTTCCGGTGCCATTACCGAAACAGCAACCATCTGTGTAAATTTGTTTATAATTAGGTGGCTGGGTAAGTTTTACTTTCTTTGTTTCTGGCTCTATCTGTACTTCATTATTGATGTTGTTATTTCTTTCATTAATTTCTCCAACATGGAGAGTTGATGATGGTTCAAAACTTATTTTCTGATCGGATTCTTCTATTTTGCGTTTGCATAACGATGATGATTCATTATTTACGAGCTCTAAACCTGAGCTCAAATTATCTTGGTTTGTTCCTCCCTCCTCTTTTAAATATTCCTCTGCCATCTCCATGGTTGCAAATGATTTGTATTTAGCTCCCGAAAATCCCTTCACTTGGCTCTCACATTCGGACCATGTATTAAAAATCCCACATTTTCTTCCTTTGACAACAACATAATATTTTCGTTTAGTCATGATGATCCAACCAAAATTCAAGGCAAGAAAAAGGTGTTGATGGCTGTGGTGATGAAATATTTTGTTTTTTTCAAAAAGGTCTTGATGAGGCTTGATGATTGAATGTTGTTTTTGGAAAAAGGAAGGAAAGTTCTCATGATAGTGTTGGTAATGATAACTACGTAAAGAAGAAGAAACACTGCTGTGAATTCGGTTTAAACATGATGATGGAAGAAGAAGATGACAAGTATTGTGTCTTTTGAACATTTTTTGAAATTCCAAAATTCATCCATTCCGATCAAGAATGCAAAGAGCCCACGAATATCGTCACACGTGGTCCAAAAGTAACACTCTCGTTGGAACACTTTTCGATATTAATTAAAATTTATTATTAACGGGCCTCCTCAACTCTCGTATGGGCTATTTCAGAATAAGGCTGAGCTTTTACAATTCATTCGATATGCATGTTGAAACAACATCAAGATTGGAGTGAATTCATTCAATTAATTGCTTGCACACACTTTTAGTGGTGTCCTACGAATCACAATGAGAGACTCTCATGTGTGAGATGTCATTCATGCATCTTGTTGCCTGAAATAATCATAACACGAAACAAACCCAACCTCAAATCTCTGCTGTCAACTTGAGGTTCTTCTTTACCATAGAACTCCAAAATGGCTCAAAAATTATTGAAAATTGACACATTCAAGACACGCTCTTTATTGGTGTTATGAGTCTTGTAAATGAGGATGAGAAAGAATATTATTAATAAACACAAATTGACATTCGTTATTGTTGTTATTGCTGTTGTCTATTCATCTCTCTCTGTTCAATCAGTTGTAGAACACACACACACGTGGATGCCACATCATCCTACTCTTTGTGTAATGTTGGAAGACTTTAATGCATCTTGCTTTGACAAGCACTTGTTCCCCATAAAGACAATCGATTCCAAATGCCAAGACATCCATCATCAATCATTGACGTAAAAGCAAACATCAGAAAAAAAAGAATCAAACTCCTCTGTACAGAGCGTGTCGCGTACGTAGTGTCTCCTCCAAAGTGTTATTACCTGCCACAACAACAACAACAACGACACGACACGACGGGTTCTCGAGACCACTCAAACAAACAAACAAACAAACAACAATTATAATTACCTCAATCCTCGTGTGGATTCACAAACTTTTCTTGTAGAGACTCTATACCCTTTATCATCATCTCTCATTATTGTATACAGCTGTCTCAAACACACAACAACAAACAACAAACTACTACTACTACTCGATATTCCTATCCAATCATCCTCATTGTCATCCCAATTGATTGACAACTGTTTGACAAATTACACGAGAGAGATCATCGATGGACCATCCCGACATTCATCATCGTGGAAGTGTTGGTGGTGGTGTTGGTGGTGTTGGTGGTAGTTCTTCTCTTCTTCACACCACCAATAGCATCAACAGCACTGGTTCCTTTGATTCCGAAATTGATTACGAATCGGGTGAACACACCTCTTCTCCTTCCTCACTCTTCATCAATGGAGCAGTGTTTGCATCAAATCATTCTCCTCCTCCTAGTAGTCACGTCATAATGAATAATAACCATCCATATTTAACATCCTCCTATTCTCAACACCATCATCACGTGTATTCGAATACAAATCATCATCATCATAGGCCGTCATCGTCCTCTTCTTCTTCTTCGACCATTCCCACCAAATATCAACAACAACAAAAAAGATTTCTCACCAATGTGGTGATGAGTGTGGTCTTGTTGATGGTCTTGTCCATTCTTGGATATGTGGTGTACAATAAGGTTTCTAAAAGGAGCAACACTCCTTCTTATGATGAGCATGCTTTTAGACACAATCCTGATCGCTTCACTCAGACCAATCCAGATATTCTCGACAAGGTTCGTATGAGAGAAAGTGCCTATGTGAGAAAACGATACAACTCCAATAATGAGGATGAGGAGAGTGGAGACGACGGAACAATGATGGAAAGTGGAGTGTTTGTAGGTTCAAAACAACGGAGAGCTCCAAAAAAGGATGATCTTCCTCTTGTCAGAGAAGGTGACAGCAAGACTTCAATTGTTCAAGATGACTACTCGACTTATTCGGCTCCTATTGAAGAGTTTATGTGGCGTGGAATGTTTAAAGAGAAAATGAAGGAAATTTCTGATTGTCCTGTTCCTTTCAAAAAACAGAAACAATTGACAAAGGTTGCAAAAACGATTCATACTTACATGATTCAAGAACCAGGAACAGAAAATTATCAAGAAATGTTGGATGCTGAAAAAGTGACAGATAGTAGTGGAGTGACAACTGTCGATTGGTCTCAAACCTTTGCATCCATGCCTGCCGATTGTCAAACTTCAACACTTGTTCACAAACGATCGGATGACAACTATTTGGTGATCTGTCAAGAAGGAAGCAAAGAACCATTTTTCTCAATTACCAGAGATCCAGCAGGAGATGGAACTGCTCAATCTGATTCTGCATTCCAAATTATACGTGAAAACAAATTAGAGAAATTAGAGTTTGAGCCAGGATCGAAATTAATATTGGACAAGAAACAATTGGCCAACACTGAAATACTTGTAATGAAGTGTAGCAAGGGAAGAGAAGTTGTCACTCGTATTGCTCATGATGCCGAATTACAAAAAGCAGCCAATCAAGCCTATGCCACTCGTGTGAAAAAACTTGAAGAACAAGATCAAGACTTGAAAGAAAAGTCCAAAAAACCAAAATATGAGCATCATCAATATGCTGCAAATATTGAATATGAATATGAAATGATGCATCCTGTGAATGTGTTACATATCATTCTTGATGGCACATCGAGAGCTAATTTTATGAGAGAACTTCCAAGAACAGTTGGTGTTTTGGAAGATATTGAATTGGATCAAAAGGCAGTTAACTTTAAAAAACCAAGCAAGCATCGAGTGTTCCAATACTTTAGATACAATACTGTTGGTCACTCTTCAAGAGAAAATATGTTGGCGATGGAAAATGGTTTAAAGATGTCACCATCATTCTTTAAACATTATTTCTCATCCATTCCAGAAAAGAGTTATGAAGAAACAGAACCTACTCGTCAAAAAGAATTGTTGACCAAAGTTTTGGTGGGAGCAAAAGAACAAGATGGATCTCGTACACTCATCGAACATAACATTTGGAATATTGCTAAAAAATTGGGTTATGTCACCATGTACAGTACAAGTGAATGTCCATACGTTAAAATCAGTGACAAGAAATACAGAAAGAAGCTCATGGACACTTCTTCTCATCTCTTTAACACATGGCATCGAGCGGATCACAATTTGGTTTCTTTGGCATGTGAAAGACAATTATTTAAATCATCAAAAGATAGAAAATGTCTTGGATCCAAGGATTTGGCTGAACATATTTTCGATTACACAAGTGACTTCTTTGCCAAGTATCCAGGTACTGCTAGGTTTGCAACTATTCATTTAGAAGAATCAAAACATTTACGATCTCACCAAATGATGACTGGTCTAGATATTTCTCTTTCTCGATTCATTGTTTCAATTACAAAGGCTCATCCTCATACAGCAATCATTCTCTCAAGTGGAAATGGAGTTTCACATGGACCTCTCTACGTGACAGATGTCGGCCAAAAAGAACATCATTTACCACTCTTAGTGATGGTCATGCCAGAGCATTTGCAAATTAGACATGAACAAGTTTTTGCAAACATGGATGCTAATCAACAACAACTAGTTACACCATTTGATCTCTATAGTACTCTGGTTCACTTAATGCTCTTCCCTCAAGTGGATCTTCCATCTCGTTACCATTTAATTCATAAGGTTAAAGCTGAATCAGAGCATTCAGATGAGATTGACGATTTTGAAGCCATTTCCAAGTCAATTCTTCTTCCAATCTCTGATCAAACAAGATATTGTAAACAGGCAGGTGTTGATGAACGATGGTGTTCTTGCTACGTACAAAAGTCCTTAGATGTGACCTCAGAGAGAACAAGTGCTCATATTTCCACCATTTTGAAGGCTGCAGTGAATCATGTAAATAAGATGGTTCAAAAGCATAAGCAAACCTGTCAACAAATTGAAGCTACGAAGGTTTTGAAAGCGACCAAGATTCGTATGCAAACACCAGAAGAGTTGGAGAATGGAAGAATTATCCCATACATCATCTCGGTGGTATTCCAATCTAAGACCGGTGACATATTTGAAGTGGACTACTCGTTATCTGAAGAAGATGTGTTACACAGGTTATTGGATGTTCGAAGAATTTCTCTTGTTGAACATTTGGAAGAGTCAGCAAAGAACCGAGAGACATTGGTCTGTGACAAAGTGAAGGGATTTGAGGCCTCACCAGATTTGTGTATTTGTAAGGAGCTGTAATATACACACTTGTAACATAGAAGGACAGTGATTGTCTTGATAATTTTGCCAGCGGATATTTCGAATCATTTTAATAAATAACATCCTCAAACAAACAACAACAGCTGTTTACAATCCACTTGTTTGGTCAAAGATGTTCATGCGGTTGTGCTAATAATGAAATTCATATTCAGGCATGATGATTCATGATGATATTGCTGATGTTCGATGTTACAAGTACATAAATTCCCGTAATAAAAGTAATAATAGTATATGAATAATGATAATTCCAATTTATAATGAGGATGATGAATACATTAAATTAATTTGATTAGAATTCTAGAATGCCCAAATTATTGTTGTTGCTCTCGGGCAGCTCTTCTTCTCAAAACTTCCTCTTTTGCCCATGCTTGGAAGCTATAATCTGGTTTGAAAGCAAGTCCAATGACCAACATAATAATTCCTCCGTACATCAATGGGAACACTCTATATTCCCATCCTTTTGGCTTGTATTGTTCACCTGCAGGAATACCGAACAATCGACCATCATTATCCGTATATGGTTCCTCGTGATGATCATCATGATGAGTATCGTGCTCTCCTTCATGGTGGTGTTCATCGTGTTGTGGCTGATGATGTCCTCCTCCTCGTTGAGCAACGCTTGTATGATAACATTTCAAGGAAGAAGCTTGTAAATTTCGCCAAGCTGATGCCGATGAAATACGAGAAAGGGTTCTGATAAACATTTTTTAAAATAATGAAAATTGAATTAAATGGTTTAATCCTTCAGCTGATGAGCTTTTTTTTCATGAATTGTGCACAGCGTTCAATTGGTCAAGAATGAAAGAGAAAGGGTGTAAACAATATATTCACTAACGTTTTAAAGATGATAGAATAGAATTGTTCATCTTCAACCAATCAAATTATTAAAAAAATGCTCAACACCACAACACTAAATTCTTCGAATCCTCCTGCCCATCCGCAGGTCACGATTAATAAGAAGGAACATCATACACAATATATTTATGGCGAAAAACTTACAGTTACTCCTCTAGGTGCAGGAAATGAAGTCGGAAGAAGTGCTGTTCTTTTACAATTTAAAGGAAAATCAGTCTTGTTTGATTGTGGTATCCATCCTGCTTTTAGCGGAATGGCTAGCCTTCCGTTTTTTGACGAGATTGATCCTAGCGAAGTTGATCTTGTACTAGTCACACATTTTCACCTGGATCATTGTGGAGCATTACCCTATTTTACGGAACATACAAATTTTCAAGGAAGAGTATTCATGACCCATCCAACGAAAGCCATTTACAAGTTATTACTTTCTGATTTTGTGAAAGTTAGTGATGTTCATGTGGATGATCAACTTTTTACGGAGCAAAACTTGCTTGACTCTTTGAAAAAGATTGAGCTTATTGATTATCATCAAGAGATGGAGCATAATGGAATCAAATTTTGGTGTTATAATGCAGGACATGTGTTGGGTGCTGCCATGTTCATGGTGGAAATTGCAGGAGTTCGTGTTTTATACACTGGCGACTTTTCTAGACAACCAGATCGTCATCTTTTAGGCGCTGAAACTCCAACACTCTCTCCTGATGTTCTAATTGTTGAGTCAACATATGGAATTACAGTATTCGAAAGCCAGATAGACAGAGAAAGACGTTTCACTCAAATGGTCACAGAAGTTGTGAGAAGAGGAGGACGCTGTTTAATTCCTGTCTTTGCTTTAGGAAGAGCACAGGAATTGTTATTAATATTGGATGAATATTGGGAAACACATCAAGAATTACAACACATTCCAATCTACTATGCATCATCTCTTGCAAAGAAATGTATGACCATCTTCCAAACGTACATTAACATGATGAATGACAAGATTAGAAAACAATTCGATATTCACAATCCTTTTGTATTTAAGCACATAAGTAATTTAAAATCAGTCGAGGACTTTCAAGACAATGGTCCATGCGTAATTATGGCCAGTCCTGGTATGCTCCAGTCTGGTCTCTCGAAGGAATTGTTTGAATTATGGTGCCAAGATGCAAAGAATGGTGTTATTATTCCTGGTTATGCAGTTGATGGAACATTGGCCAAAAGAATTATGAGTGAACCTGAAACTGTTACTTTATCGAATGGTAATACTGTGCCATTGCGAATGTCAGTCAAGACTATTTCATTTTCTGCTCACTCTGACAAGGCTCAAACAGAGGAATTCATCAGTACTGTGAAGCCTCCACACATTATCCTGGTTCATGGCGATGCAGCAAATTGTCATCGTTTGAAGCAAGCGTTACAAACCAAATTCACAGAAAGTAGAGTCTATGCTCCAAAAAATTGTACATCGGTTCAGATTATGTTCCAAGGTGAAAAAAGAGCTAAGGTACTTGGCCAACTTGCTATGAAGAAGTACGAAGATAACGACGAAATTAACGGTATCTTACTGCATCATAACTTCCAACACTTGCTCTTGAATGAGAAGGATTTAAAACTTTACTCTGATGTGTGCTGTTCTGGTGTAAAACAAACGCTGCTTGTTCCTTTAAATGATAACGTGCCATATGAAAGCTTAATTAGAAAATTGTTCCAAAATGTGACAGTTGAATATCGTTCAAAGAATGGAGAAGTGAAAACAGAGCAGGGAACTGACAGCATGGACACCACCACAGACGACACATCTGTTCAAACATCCACTTCCAGTCACACAAAGAAAGCTCCAATAGACTTTGCAGATGATGAATCAACAATTATTACCATTGATGGAGTAGTAAGGCTCGAACTAAAATTGAAAGAAAAAACTCCATGTGCTTTGATTGAATGGCCAAGTAGCTCTGCAAATGACTGTATTGTAGATGGTATTTGCAATCTTATTTTATATTCTGATCGTACACTGCATGAAGATATACTCGAAGAAGGAAAGGATGAACTGAAAATGCTCTATTGTATTCAACAAATGATTAAGGAACACTTTGGAGAATGTGTATGTAGACTTTCAGAGGATAAGGAAATTGAGGTCATTGATCCCTCTCAGCGAGTTCTCCTCAAAATATCGAGCATGGGAGAAATTACCTTGTGTGAAGATGAGAGAATGAGAGGCTTTTTGGAAATTGTCATGAGGAGAGTGTTCATGACAATGTTCCCACTCCCAACAATGATGGGATGTCTTGATGATTGCGATCATACGCTTCACACGCACTAATTAATGAATTAATAATAAATAAATTTACTATATTAAATAAATTAAACTTAATCCAATTTTGTTATAATTGTCATATTGCACACCCAACAAAAATGACCACAACGTCATCAGACCACACAACTTTGATGGATACATCAGGTGCACCTTCAAGCATCACAACAACAAACGGAGGAACAAATATAGATTCATCATCATGTACTTCTCGGACTCATAAATTATCTAAATTTTACAAATGGTGTCCTCATGATGATTATCTTTTAGTAAAAGCTGTTGAACGAGGTATGAGCGCCGAGGAAATTCGTGGTACTATTAAATTCGAACGACCTTTCACGATTGAAGAAATAACGGAACGTTGGTTGGCTATTTTGTATGATCCGATGATTGCACAAACAACTGCTAGGCATCTTGTTGTTCTACAAAACCTTAAAAATTATAAGAGAGTTCCTTGGTCGTCCGAAGAGAATCAAATCATATTCAAGGAGGCTGAAATTCATCAAGACGTTCCATTGAATTTCGAATTAATTTATGACAAGTATAGAGATTGTTTTCATCCTTCTAGATGCCCAAAAACGCTAGAGGCTCATTATCAGAGAATGAGACGAAAAGGAATCATACGAGAGTATTTGGCAAAATCCGGATCTTCACCTAGCTCTGTCGTGAGTCAAGCAATTTCAAATACAACTGCCAACGTTGGAGACGATATGGATGAAGACTTTTATGAAAACAAGTCCTTCTCAGAAGTGGAAAAGGAAATTTTGAATGCTCCTCTTTCCAATGATTTGGAGATGAGAGCACAAAATATGTATACTATTGAAAATAAGGTAGCAGAAAAGAACGAGTTAAAGAAAATTCACAAATTGGAGAAGGAAAGCGACGTTGATGAAGAGGTTAAGGAGACTAAGAAGATTAAGTTGAATTTAACAGAAGAAGATGTTATTGCTGTATTCGATGGTATGCAAACAAAACTTCCTGTTCGTAAATCGATATCAATAATTGGAAGAAAAAATTCGAGTCATCCTGTTGATATTGATCTAAGCATGGAATCTGAAGATATTGGAAAGATATCTAGGAAGCAAGCCGTTTTAACTCTCACCTATTCCATCGAAGAAAAACCATCTGTAAAGACAATTGTGGCAACAGGACAGTCAGACAATAATTTGGAACGAATTGCAGAGGTTGAAGATTTGTCAGGCTGTGTAGATGAATCGAACAGTAAGCGCGTAGTGTTCAACTTTATACTTAAAAATGTTGGAAAAAGAAGCATCTTAGTGAACGGGCAACCAGTTGAAAGCGGCTGTGAAGCTCCTGTTCCTCATCAATCTCTTGTTCAGTTTCCTGGAGGATTGAAGTTTGTTTTCAAATGGATTACTAGCGGTTTTGAAAGATGGTATCAACTGAATAAGACCGCACTCGAAAGCAGCACAACACATGCAATGCCAACCACTACAAGCGAGGACAAGATGATTGAATAAAAACAACAACGTGAATTCGTTTGATTGAAAACTTGTTAGCCGAACTCTCCAACTTTTCCTCAACTTGGACGAATGCAATAAAACCTGAATTTTAGCGTTTTGTGCGTTTTTTTGCGTTTTGTTTGTTTTTTTGCCGTTCATCGAATTTGATCGGAATTTATGAATTCTCGTAAAACATCACAAAACGTGATAAAACAGAAAAAATCGTAATCAAAACGACGAAATCATCATAAAACAAGTAAAAAGCAAAATTTATCTTAGAGGCATCACAAATTCGTTAACCAGACCAGCACAAACAACCCACACCTTGTTATGTGCTTCTTTAGATTCGTCAATATTATGTGTGGAAGACCGTGTAAACACGATATAGTATTTTTCTCTATCCAAGAAATTACTTTCTTGAGTGGAATCATTAATAGGAGGTGGATTGTGTTGTGATGAATTACCATTACCAAGAGAAGAATGAACCTCCAATAATTGGACTGCTAACAAATGAACTATCGATGGATAATCTATTTGTTAAGATGTTACTAATCACAAACAAGTAACCAAGGAGTTATTAGATTGAGGAAAATTATCCAACAAAGAAATCAAATTGGAACATTCTTCAAATTTTCTCTTTTTGCATTCTCTTTCAATAATATTGATGGAGTGTGAAGTATGGTTGACATGATCAGAATCTTTTGTTTTTTCCCACAAAAATAAGCAGTCTTGTGTGGCTCAATAATACGCACACGTTGCCCTTTTCAAGACAAAAGGGGCAATTTCTTTCAGTGCTGTTTCAATTGGAAACAGATATCTGTTCCATACGATCTTCAAATTGATTTAACATTTTTTTCAATGTTTTTTAATTTTCGTCCAATCTTCAGCAATTATTGAGCAAAACATGAGTGAAACATCAAATTCCGCACCAACACAAAAGTGAAACATCAAATTCCAACTTGATAAATGCTAATTGTCAAATCAACATCACCATTAGAATTCAGAGACCAGGTGGTAAAAAACGCAAGAATGAAACAAAAAAACAACGAGAATGCGGTGGTTCCGTCAAAAAACATTATATTCGACAAAAACGTTGGACCCTGAGAAAAGTTGTTTCCTCCATCATCAACGTTTTTTTTTCCATCATGGTCACAATTTTTTTGAAAAAAATTTCCGATGAGACGGAATCGAACCGCCGACCACAGGATTACTTGCTTGCTACAGTCCCATGCTCTACCAGCTGAGCTATCATCGGATTATGTCTTTCTATTTAAAATAATTATAATCAATAAATCGTTCGTTGTTTCTCCTTCCCACAAAAAAGACGTTCAAAATTTTTTTCAAACCCGCCAAGCAAAAAAATGAAGGCTCGTCAATCACTCATTGCTTTCATCATCAATCCTAATCTTACACACACCACAAAAAGAAGAGCAAGCAATTTCATCACGTCCTCTCTCGTGATCGCTTCCTTGCTTATACTGGCTACGTTCACTACTATGGTATTTTCATTGAGTCTTGGTAAATGGGATGAAGTTCATATAAAAAAGGGTGCTTTACCTCTTGAGAGGCCATTCCATGGCTGTGATTTACATCCGTCAGGCAAGCGAATGATCGTATACGGAGGAAGAACAGGAATTACCACGATGGGAAACACCTTTCATAGCTTTTCTTTCCAAGAAAAAAGTTGGACCAAGTATAATGTTGAACCTGTCGATATGAAGGCTGTGCCATCATTGGCTGGACATTCTTTCACTACAGTAGGCGATAAGATTTACATTTACGGAGGAAGAAGTGGTTTGTTCCACTTTAGTGATGAACTCTTTGTTGTGGATACTCAATCAGATACCATCAGAAAGGTCATCACAGAAGGAGAGACTCCGTCTGCTCTTCAATCTCACTCTGCTTCTTCTTTTGGAGAGTGTATCATTATTTATGGAGGTAGTGATGGCAAACGCACAAAGAATGATTTATTTGCTTTCAACACCAAGACCAATGCTTGGAAATTGCTCCGAACATCTAATCCAGGACCATTCATTGAAGGTCATAAGAGTATCCTTGCTGGAAACAGACTTTTCATGGTTGGTGGTGTGAATTCTAATAATGACCAACAATTTAATCCTGATATTAATGTCTTGACACTCCCACAAACTTGTGATGAACTTTTTGATGGTAGTGCTGCATTAACTTGGTCAGTCTTGAGAGTAGGAAGTAAGCCAAGAGCATTCCATTCAGCAAGCTTGCTAGATGACAAGATTTATGTGTACGGTGGAATGAATTCTCAAGATACTCTTCAAGACACCCAGGTGTTTGATATTAAGAGAGAAAAATGGCTGGACGATAGCACCATTGAGAATGAACCATCTATTCCTCGTAGAGGACATTGTAGTGTTGTTTTTGAACATAGTATTTATATTTTCGGAGGAAGTAGTGATTGGAAAAGAACTTACAATGATGTTTGGATGTTGAACACTAAACCAGAAATTACATTCGAGCCTGTGACCTTCGATCCAAAGAAGGATTTATCAGAATATATTGAAGACGCTCTTTCATCAGTTCAACAATTGTCATCCATTGATATTGCCACTGAGGAAAATGAAAGATTGAATGCTGATATTTTGAAATCAGAGAATGAATTGAGACAACTCATTACAGCTGACACTGACGACTCATCATTGAACGATCTTGTCAAACGTATTGCACAATGGAAAAAGATTGAGACATTGTTCTTGGAGCTCCAACAAAGCAAGTCAAAGGTTCAAAACATGACTGAAAATATCAAATTTGACTTTGAGGACATTGACAACCTTGTTAAAGAATACAACAAACAGGTTGAGATTTTGAAAAAGAGCAGTGAAGCATTGACTTCTCGTCTTTCCACTTTGAAAGAAAAGGAAGACAAGGTTTCTTCTGAAGAAAAGAAGGTAAAGGACATTGTTCTTCAACAAGAATCTGTCTTGAACACTGTCCAAGCATTGGAGGCCGATCTCGATCAACAAAAGACTCTCTACAATAACAAGAATAGGCTCAGAGAAAAGATTGTGAAGGAAAGAGAATCATTGCATGAAAGATTGAATCAACTCAATACCATTCTCAACACAGCTGACGATATTCAAAAAGAATCACAAGCCAAGGAAAGTACTCGACTTGCTGATCTTGAGAGAGTTCGTGAACAAATTGGAAGTATTAGCTCTGAAATTGAAGACTACAGAAAGCTTGTTAAAACTCTGAGCCATGAGATGAGAAGTATTGACAATCGATTGTCAAAGATTAATGAACTTACCAATGAAGCTCAATCGGTCAAGCTCAAGTTTGCTGAACAATTAAAATACAAGTATGCCTATGAGAAGAGTAAGGACGACTTCCTCTCCAAAGTATTTGAATTGGAAGAAGAAAACATTGCTGAAAAGATCCCAAAGAAGACTGAAGAAGAAAAGAAGAATGATGAAATGAAAGAATTGGACAATATGATTGAAACTTATAGAATTAAATACCAAAAGACCAAGAGCGCCAAGTCCATTGAATTCCAACAAGCATCCGATGAGCTCAAGAGAAGAGAGGCCAAACTTAAAGAACTCAAAGAACAAGAAGAAAAGATTACAGCTGAATTGAGTAGCCTTCGTGAAAGAATTGCATCCAAGAAGAATGAAAAGGAAAGCAGTCAATTGGAGAAGGACAGAATTGAAGATGCATGGAAAGACAAGTGCTCTGAGGCTGACACTATTGAAGTTGAAACCAATCAATTGAAGAATTCTATTGACGAACTGCAAAGCAAGTTGAATGATGAGAGAAAGGAAAGCCAAAGATTGGCCTCTGAACTCGAAGTACAACGTTCTGCTTATCAGATCGCCAAGACAGATCTCGACAATCTCAATGCTGAACTTAAGGACAGCTATGAGAAGGTTGTTGCCTATAATAATGGTATCAAGAAGTTGGGATCTAAGATTTCAGCCATGAAGAGAGCTGTGAGTGTCAGAAAGTCAGATTATGATGATCAACGAGCTGATTTTGTTAAATTCAGAGATGCTCTCAACAAGGCTATTGAGGATGCTGACAGAGTGTTCTTGGATAGAATTAGACATCTCGAAGCACAATTGAGCTCCTTCACTGGCAAGCCATCATCTAATACTCAAACACCAGACAATCAAACCCAAGCTCCAGAAGAGATTGTACAAACCACACCAACTACCACTGTAGCTGAAGACACCTTTTAATATCCTTCCACTCAACCATCACATGTAACACCTCTGAAATATTTATTAAAACATTAATTTTCATTTATTCCAAAGCTTCTCGGTATAGTTTGTTCAATTATTTTTTGAAACCAAAATTGTTGTTTGCTTCATTCGCTGAATTACAAAACAACCAAACAACAGTCACACTAAATCCGAATGATGAACAATCTAACAACAGACAAGCATATATCAGATCCTTCGGGCCTGACGACCAATTTATGACTGACTTTACGGAATTAAGAGTGACACAAGGGTTAGAACTCATGACAAACTTTCTTGCGAGTTTGGCCTGTTACATTTTAATTTCTTAAAGACTTTGATAATACTCAATCGAGATAAATCATTCACTTGTGATTTTGAAAAAAATGGCTCATCAGTCTCTGTAAAATATATATCAGCATCATCAGCGATGATTTATTTCATCAATGATCATCATTTAAAATTCGGATTAAAAGAATCCATTCGGAGAGAAAACCTTTAATGAAAACTCCATCTTGATCAAAATAAGGTCATACGCTTCGATGCGGTCACACTTATATTTTAAAACACGATAACCGTGAATATTTTTGTACCAAGAGAGGTAAGGGGAATGATTGTCTGTTCCTCAGAGTCGAACAACGGCACTTCTATCTTGTTTTTTTCTATCAACTCGTTTTTTATCCAATTCTTCACCTTGTCACGAGCATCCTTGTCATTTTTAAATACTTCTTCCGTGATATCATTGAGAGTCTGTTCATTTCCACTTTGTTGAGCCTTCTCGAACTCAAAGACAATTTTTGAGAGAGATTTTCCATCAAAATCTTCATCGTACAAAGGTTTAGTTTGATCATTGCTTAATCCAGCCCCTCCTTTTAGTTTTGATCGACACAATGCATCCTTTGTTTGATCTTTGTTCCACAGACCAAAAAGTTTGGGCATCAAAATATTCTTCACCCAATTTACCACTGTTGAACAAGTTTCAGACATTCGAATTTCAATCATCCCATTCTTGTCCTTGAACTCATCTTGTAACAAAGAAGCAGCAGCTAGCCTTCCGACCTCTTTGATATTCTGAACAATGTTATCCAGAGAGGTTCACAATTACAAATGCAAATTTGTAAAGAATGGATGTCCTGAACTGGAAGCAACGCAACAAATTTGTAATTATCATCGTTACTCACAACGCTGTATTTGAAAGAGCTACATTTAATTTACCTTTGTGGAGGTGATTTACAAGAAGTTTGAAGGAGTTTTACATCTCTACAATTTCCTCTTGATTGCCTTTGGGTTTATACTAAATTAGAGAATCTAGAATTGAACGTTCGATTTTCACAAAGAGTCTCAGAGAGAGTAATGGATTATTTCTGTATCTTTAGCGAAATTAACCCAAATCATTATGGACTTTACTGGTCAGAGCTTGTTGTATCTTTATCTTGCAACAATGGATCAACAGATGATGTGCTTTGAGTGGTTGGACTCACAGTCACCAAAGAAGCAGCTGAATCCTCCTCATGATCCTTTGCTACATTAACCAACAATTTGCTCAATGATTTCTTAGTGTCAAGGACATTTTGAGAATCTGTTGTCGCTGACAACATGGTCATTGTGTTGGTAGTCGTTGTTGTTGTTGATTCATCAATCTTTTGAGAAATTGTTGTTGCACTCGTCAACGCTGTAGTTCCTGAAGAATTCGAAACTGTGATATTAGGCAAGACATCCATTTTGGACAATTTGTTATCAGAGTTATTTGTTGCTGTTCCTGCTGAATTACTTGTGATTTTCGAAGTAATACTAATCGAAGGAGAAGTTAATAAATTAATTTTAGAGGCAGCAGAAGAAGTTTGTTGTTTCTTCTTACTTGGAAGTCTCCCCTTAAACGTTGTAAATCCTCCATCATCGTCATCGTCATCGTCGTCCTGAATATGCATTTTGGTTTTTTGTGTTTTCATAAATGCCACAAAATCCAATTCCTCTTGTCCCTTTTTCTTTTTGGCAATCTCTTCCTTTTTTGTATCATCTAGATATGGAATTCGAAAAGTTAAATGATATTGTTTAAAGAGACTGTCAATATTCTCATGTTTGTGTTCCACATCGGAATCAATGAGTACAAAGTACATTTTCCCTTCTCGTTCATCTTTTTTTCTTCTCACCAAATAATGGAATGTTTGTTTGTTGTCACTTGTCAATAAACTGTCAAAATATCCAAAATTATCTCCATTATCTTCAACCACAGATGCATAAAACGATCCTGGTTCTGTTTCACAAAATCTCACAATAAATGTTCCAGGTTCACACTTATCAAGTAATTCCTGAGCTTCAATCGATGTCAAACTTCCCCAAAAATGTTTCATTTGTAAAAATGCATCAATAGGATTAAAAAAGAAACTCGAAAATGGTCCAAACCATTTGAGAACAGTTCTAAAATCAATAATAGACACAATCGAATCACAAGTAGGGTCAATAATGTCATTAATTTCTTCGACCCAAGTTTTCCGATTTCTCAAATCTTGAAAATAAGTATCCAACACATCGAGAAAACATTCCTTATCGACGGAAAAGACATTTCCTCCAAAATTAGTTTTCCAATATTCTGCTCCAAATTCATCCAAGACATGGGTGATATCGAGTTGAGCTTGTGTAGAAGGATGAGAGTAATCGAGACCTTGTAATTCAGCGTTGTGAATGACAGATGCCAATTGTTTGAATGCTTCAATTTCTTCCAAGTGGTGACTTGTTAAAATTTCAATTTCATCCTTAATTTCGAAATATCTCTATTTGTTGTTCAACATTAGAGAATAATTGTGTAAATATTTATATTCAAGTCACAGTTTTAGTGAATATATCGAGATTCAGATTGGAATGATTCAAACAATTAATTTTCAGTCCAAACCGAAATAAGGAAAGAGATTCAATGGTCAGCTCGAAAAATTAAAAGTCATGAACATTTCACACACGTACCTGTTTGTTATCCAAATTTGACCAATCGTATCCAGCAGCTTGTAAATTATTTGTAGAGGCAAACATGGCACTGGCAGATGATACAGAATTTCGTTTGAGACTTCTTCTTGCATTTTGTTCATTCAGTTCCACCAACTCTTCTAATTGATTCTTAGTTTGTAAAATATGTGTACTGATGGCATCTGTCATCATGTCAAAAGCATGTCGATTTTCAGAATTAGTCATGCTCGATGACGATGAAGAAGCTCCTAACAATAAATTATTATTATTTTTCCCATTCATGGTATATTGTAATTGAGTCGTTTGTTTTGAATAATTCGTAATGATCTGATCATACAATTTCATAATTTCTTCGATATTTTTCACAGTCGTTGTAAAACCTTCTAAAATTCCTCCACTCGATGGTTTAATAATGTCCAATAATTGTCGACAAGTTAATCGAAAGGAATTTGTATCGATCGATGCATTACCGATATTTCCCATGAGCATCATACTCGCACTGGCTCCAATTGATGATGGAAGCATGTTCGGAGTGCTCCGAGAGTGAGTCATGAGTTCGACGTGGTCGGCATTGAAGATGTGTGGTGTGACTAGTTTTTGCTTGTCACTTGCTCGAAGATAAGAATTATTGGATGTTGTGAAAGGGAGGGATTGTTCTTGACCCATTTTTTTGAGAATGACAAGTGTTGGACATTTTCAAAATTTTTGGAATGACAGGTAAGATTACAGTGAATAAAGCAATTTACTAATGGCTGGTTGAAAATTGTGGGTGGAGATGGTAGTAGATTCAATGTTGAGTTAACGTTTCCTCATCATTGAAATTTAATCAGCAAGTTTTTGATTAGTATTTCCATGAGTGCTGACAGCAGAAAACGTTGCTTGCTGATTCAACAGACCAGGATTGGTCATGGTTGGTGTATATTGTTGGAATGCTGATTGGTAAGAACCAAATTGTGGTGTTCGATTGAAGGTGGCTGTTGTTGTTGGTGTGGCTCCTCCTGATGATGGTTTCACAAATCCAGACAATGCAGAACCTAACACAGAAGTACCAGAATTTCCGTACGACTTCTTTCCAATTGTAAATGGCACATATTTGTATTTGATCATGTGTCTAATTTGTTTTCTCAATGTAATTGCTAAAAGCAAGATCCAATATCCTAACAAAATTGGCCAATAAACTGGAATATCTAAAATTCTCGTTGATGTCAATAACAAACAAATAATGACAGCCTTTGTAAGAGAGTACCAGAATTTGAATTCTGGAAGACGACGAACAAAAGGCTTTACTTCATCGGGATCGACCTTAGGTTGGCCAAACATTCCTCCTGCAGAAAAATTACGTCCTACTGATGTGTTAGGGAGGGTTACATTCAAACCATTTTCCTCATCTTCTTCCTCTTCGCTCTCTTGTGGCTTGAACTTTGGAGTAATGAAAGCAATGAATAAATTGATAATGTAAATACCTAACCCATAGGTCACAATATACCATCCATGGAAGTATAATACTCTGAAGAGGAAGAGAGCAAAAAGAAAGCCCAATACTGTCCAACGAAGAGCAACTTTTCCATTGAGTCTGATTTAGTGATGATAAGTGATCATTCAAAATATTGTTTTTTCAATAACAGCAGATTATTTAAATTCCGCAAATAAGATTTCATGATTACGATCATGATTTAAATATTATTAAATGCACGCATTGACGAAAATGATGATGATTGTTTGTTGTTCCGCACATGATTAAATTTCATTCATTCATCCACATATTCACCACAAATTTCATCCACACATTCATAGTGATCATTGTCCGAATCATTGTCCGACGCAATATTACCATTAATTCATATCACCACCACCATTCAACAATTCAACACATTCTCATAGAACACAAACCTATCCAAAAAAGCCTGATATTTCATACTATACGCACGAAAGGTACTTCCACCCGTGCTACTATCACTCTCAAAATCCATTTTTTTATCATCAAAAAATTCTAAACTATGATGACATCATCATAGAAGAGATCGTCCCCATTAATTGAGAGTGAGTTTCTCTTTTTCTTCTCATCTTGACGATTGCTGTAAATAACTTCCTCAAGATGTGTGTTTAAAAGGTAAAGTACCCCTTAATACTTGAGGTTAATCACAAACCCCGAGGTTAATCAGCCCCATCTTTACATGATCCTTCAAATAAACCCTTACAAAAAGGAGCGATCTTCTCACTCGGGAGCACTAACAACTGAAAGTTCATCGCTTTTGATGAAATACATTCAGTTCTTTTGGCCAATTCATTTAAATTAAAATCACCACCCCGCAATCAATAACATCAACTCATCAAAAAACAAAATTACAACATCTCCTTCTCGTCGTCAAAAACCTTTAAAACACAATGACTGGCTTCTCTGTTGATCATATTGCTACTGGGCACGCTTGGACTGAAGGCTCAGGCAAGACTTGGAAACAAACTCAAACCGGAGCTGCTACTTTCCAATGGGTACAAGATGGAACAGGACGTGTTGCTCATGGAGTTGCTGTTCAATCCAAGAAGGATAAGCAATGGCATGTTCATATTACGTAAGTATCTCTGACTCTTTATACTCATCTAATGATCAATGTCTTTTGACCACAAATATGACAATCAAATGGGATGACAAACGTGGATGATATCAATCTTCTTCACCAACGCTTGACAATCTTCTGGATTGAATGTCATCACTTACATTCATGATCAACTCTAAAATTAATTACCACCTCAACACAACTAGTTTCGATGGAAATACTCATTGGAAGCTCACCCCAAGTGCTGATGGAAATCAATTGCAAGGACCATCGGATACCTTCACTCTTCACTCCTCTGGAGCAAAATCTACCTTTGAAAAGAAGGACAAGATTAAGCCAAAACTTGAAGGTGCTGATTACACTGAAAACTCAGGAGCAGTTTGGCACGTGACTCATCACAAGGGTGGTAAATTTGAAATGACCAATCAGAGAGATCAAAGAGTGTGCCACGGCACTGTTGGTAAAGATCAACAAAAGAATCACTTTGTGGTTTATTTGGAATTCCCTGGAAATGTCACCATGAGAGTTGAAACTGCAGATTTGGCAACATTGAATTTACCTAATGGTGATGTCTTTAGAAGAACCAGTGAGGGAAAGAAGAAGGACAAGAAGGAAAAGAAGGACAAACATTAATTGGCTTGTTTATGAGTGAGTGGATTGAAAAACCCCATAAAGATGTAAAAATTATGTACATGATGCGTTTATTCACTTACTCTAGACATTTCCAAAGCCACGTGGTTTACATAGCGTCTTTAATGTCCATTATCATAATGGTCGCTAAAACAAATTTAAGCATGATGGATATTTATGGTAATCCTACTTCTTCTCCGATTGAATTTCAATTTTTCATGAAGACTCTGCTCAAGGTAGAATGAGCTTTCATCCAAGTTATTATTATTATTAATATTCTCTCGATTCAACTGTGTGGCTAATTCATGTGTTATTCATCGTTCATAAATCATGTTTACCATAAATGTGTAAACTTGTTCTTGATTTTCAACAAGCGAGTAATTGGAGTTTTTCACAAAATATAGAATGAAACAACTCTTTTCAGTTGTTTTCTGAGCGAATTAATGGTTGTAACTGTATTTTCATGATGTTGTTGACGGTTATGAAGATGGTGATGATGATGACACTTGAAGGATCGTTGGCAAGTGACACTTTTCGTCATTTCAGAGTACTGGTATTACACGAGTTGTGTGGAACGTTGTTTTTTGGTTTGAGAATGAGCACCTCACAACGAGATGGTGTTTGTGCAAAAATGGTTGCTCTGTCGTGCGATTTATATTTCTTCTTTGGGTTTAAATGTTGCGATTTGTTTTCATGTCCAGCAAAACCAAATTTTAAAAGGTAAGCGTTGAGTGATTTGGTGATTGGAATTAATTTGAAAGTACACTAAATGAGGAAATGATTGACTGTGGTGACGCATTGAATGTTCTGAAAAGAACGGAAGTGTTTTGTAACGAAAACAATAAGGTTGACTGAAAGTATGGCTAAAAAATGTCAACAAATCCACAACCAAAACAGCTCTCTAAAGAGCAAACTAATACCACTACTGCAGCTTCCCAACAGTCTGGCACCACAACAACACCCTTCCCTCCCTCCCATTACGTTTAGAATTCAACAACACTTTGTGTTGTATTAACTGGCTTTTTCCTTATTTATCATTGATTTGCTCAGTGATTTTCTTTGACACTTTTGTGTCTGCTATTGGCTTTGGCCTTATCATCGATGGGTTCTCCCACGATCATTTTTAAATTTTATCCGTCGTTGATTCGCTCAACGATGTTTCCGTCGCTTTATTGCGATGTTTTTCAAGGAACATGGTCTCTATCAATTTCTTGTTTAAAATTTTATTGAGCTAACCTTTTTTTTATGATCATTTGCGGTGAAGTAGACATGAATATTCTTGATTTGTTTCAAAATTAACAATTTGTTTATGATTTGATTGAATAATTCTAACAAATTTATTTATATGATCTATATTCGTCCTAGAGCTATTTATCCATTCAATGTGGTTTTTCTCAAAGCAATTTGAGTTTTTTCATCACATTCTAGTATCCATTTCTCGGGACAACTGTACAACAATAAAGGTTGTTGGTTGACACTCCATCTCCAAAGAAGTGACACTTCCTGGAGAGGAGACAGCAACTAACCCATTGGTATTAATCTATTATTGTTTGAAGTTACATAACATTGGGAAATTGCTGCGCCTTTCCGAATATGAATATTTGTGAAACGAAATGAAATTGGGAAGGTCTTTCTCTCAGAGCGAAATCAACATGTTGTTTTCAAAATCTGAGCAACAACATTCATTGATGGAAATCATACTGCACATGTGAACACTTGTTGAAATTTTCTTGTTCTCCATTTTGCTAAAAAAGGCTTGTTCTCTTTGAAAACACAAACACGTTCCTCCTTTTCTTCTTCAACACACGTGTATCTGTTTTGATCAAGTTTAATATGAATGTTAAAACTCATTTGAAAGATCGTCATCACCCTTTAAAAAAAATGTCCAAATTACTGAACATGATCGGAGGGTTGGCTCTCATCGCTCCGTTGATGTACATGTTTCTCACTCATGAAATTTTGAGAAACAATACCATGATCCAAATGTCCATCTTGTTGAGTATTGTTGGATATTTTGTTACCTTGTTCATGATCCCTTCGATCAAAGGCTTATGCGAAGGAGCAGGGTTGTGGGGAAAGGACTTGAATAAGGGAGAGGCTGGACAAAAGATGAAAATTCCAGAGTCGTTGGGTATTGTTCCCGGAGTGGTGTATATTGTGTGTGTTTGTTTTCTTCAAGAAATGTTTCAAGATAAGACTCAACATGATCTATATATTGCCGGATTATTTTGTACATGTTTCATGTTATTCTTGGGATTTGCTGATGATGTATTAGAATTGAGATGGCGTTACAAATTGATCCTCCCGACATTAGCCTCTCTTCCATTACTGACGACATATTCCGGTTTGACAGCTGTAGTCATTCCAAAACCACTCCGAGCCTTTGAATTTTTCCAAAGCATTGCTACAACAATCGGAGACAATATTTGGATGTTGGAACTAGGAATCCTTTACAAAGTCTACATGCTTTTGGTTTCTGTTTTTTGTACAAACACAATTAATATTTTAGCTGGTATTAATGGATTGGAAGTAGGACAATCGGTGGTCATTGGACTTTCTATTTTATTGCACAATTTCATAGAGTTTGAAGCTGGTAATGAGCAACACTTGTTCTCAATTGTTTGTATTATTCCTTTCATTGCTGTTAGTTTTGGATTGCTGTACTATAATTGGTATCCAAGTGAAGTTTTTGTTGGAGATACCTTCACATATTTTGCTGGGATGACTCTCGCCGTCACAGGTATTATGGGACACTTTAGCAAAACTTTGATGCTATTCCTTATTCCTCAGTGGTTGAACTTTTTAATTTCACTTCCACAATTATTCAAAATTATTCCATGTCCAAGACATCGTATTCCAAAATTCAATCAACAAACGGGTCTTCTTGAGAGCAGTAAGAATTGGACTCTATTGAATTTAATTTTGGAAATTACAGGACCTTTGAAAGAAAGTACATTGACTTACATCATGATCGTCTTTCAAGTATTGTGTTGTGCATTAGGATTCTACATTCGTTATATTTATAGTACCTATTATTATGATTAAGCTAACTAGTTTATTCATTGTCACCATCTCATAAATTTAATTAAATTTGTTGGAAGCCGAATGAATGTTGTATTTTCTTTCAATCCACTCAATATCTTGTTTTGCTCTTTCTAGAATTTGTTGTGTTCGTTCTTCATTTTCAGCTTTGTGATTTTGAAATTGCTAATCAAATAACAAAATTAAATGCTTTTCGGAAAGTGAAAAATCGTTTCGTTGATCATACCTGATAGGCATAATTTCGATAATAGCCTTGTGCATCAACAGGAAGTTTTCTCACACTTCGAAGCACACGCATGAAAAGTTTCAGCGATTCTTTGTTTTGCATTTTTCTTTGTTGATGGCCATCGAATAATGAAGGATTTCAATTTTTATTGATGTGAATGTTCACATCATTCGAATGAACGAATGATTCAAGTGAACCCCTCACAAGGCAAAACCTTGCTTGGCTCTTGGTGACAAAACCAGTTCATAAATAATTACCTTATTGTTTTGATCGTGGATCCATGATTATCTGGGTGCATCTAAAGGTAGCCATTAACTTTCCAGTGTCAAGTTCGTCCTCAAAAACCAATGCATCCCAAACTTGTGTGGATTGGCCTGCATGAATTAATTGTGCTCTACAAACAACCCTTTTTCCAACTTTTGAACTGCTAATAAAATTTGACTTGAGCTCGATGGTCGTGAACTTGTGATGCACTGATGGTAAATTTGCATAGCATCCAAATCCACATGCAGTATCTAAACATTTGTCACATTTGTAAAATATGTCGTGATGAGTGAAATTCCAAACAATGTTTGTCAATAATATATTTATCAAAATTATTTGATAGAATATGTATCAACTTACCAGCCAAAAAGACGATCGAAGCAGCGTGCATGTATTGATTAGGAGCCATATGATTAATGGATGCTGTGAGTTCAGCAATTAATTCTCCCTCTTTTGGCACATCCACAATTTTGAATCCCATGTGAGAAATAATTCCATAATTTTGTCTTTCACTAAACAACTTCAACCATTCCTCTCGTGTTCTATTGTAGAAGATGGTTGTCAATTTAGTTTTCTTTCCAAGAGCTGTTGTTGCATAATGTACAGAATGATGGTGGTGATTCGATTCCGAATGTTGCAAAGCCTCATGGATGATATCATGATGATATTCAGATGTTTGCATCCCTCCCAATTTAGGAGTAATTTCAACACTGAAATTATTCAAAGCCTTGTTGCTGAGGGCGAATGATGATTTTTCGGAATGATGATTTCTGCTCAAGACTCGAGAGAAGGTTTTGACAACTTGTTTTTTCATTTTTCTTTCACGACCACACACACCCATTAGACACACTATCGTCGGACAATTGAGTACCTATAATTTGTTTATTTTTCAATAAACCCATTCCTGTATTTTTCTTTCACGACCACATATTCCAAACTCATCGTTCACCACTTGCAAAACAATTACAAAAACAATAAGGTTTCCGTTCCCACAACACCATTTTCATCATTTCCAAAAACCATAATCCCTACACGGGTTTCCAAAGGCATTTTATTGTTTCCCTCCTTTGTTTTTTTATCCCGATTGGGAATCAAATGATGATCCTTCATGGCAGTCCTAGTGGAGAGGAGGCGACAGGATGAACACCCTATCATACCCTACTCTCTGCAGAGAATGAAAATTCCATGCTTGTCTGTTTCCCTCATGGAAGGGAAATGGCATCTGATTCAACCAATTCAATTGAAAAAGCTTTTTTGATGCAGATCTAATTCTTTCCTTTTCTCTCTCTCCTTGTTGCAAAAGTTCATTCATGAAATCCATCTCTGATGAAATTGGCTTAAGCGAAAGAGAGAGATGATCAAAATAACCAAGAAAACTGCCAATCGATTAAAAAACAGCTGATCCCTTCTTAACGTCTAATAAACCAAAATGAAGCAAAAGAGCATGAAAACATCGTCCTTTCTCCAGGTACCTTATATTCCGATCAACAACAAGAACCAACAACAACAATCTTCTTCTTCAAAACGCTCCCTGACTAGTGGTGGTTCGCCTTCTAAGGAAAAAACGACCAACCATGAAAAAATGCAAAGCAGCCTCTCGACGACCCTGGATCACTCACCAGCTCTTCCTCCTCAACAACCTTTTCAAACGGAAGAGTTTAGTTCGGATAGATCCTGGTCGGAGTGTTCATCGCCTGCATCATCATCATCATTTTGTGTTACGAATAGCAATTCATCCTCTTCTTCACGAATAGAGGTTGTTTGTCGGTTTCGGCCGCTTAATGAGATGGAAAAAGAATATGATCCCGAAAGCTCAGTAATATCATTTGAAGATGGAGATGAAAGCACTTGTATTTTTAAAGTAAATATCACTATGATGAATTCATCGAAATATATTCATTCTTAACATTTTGGGTAGTCAAAACGAGTTGTACATAATTTTACGTTCGACAAAATATTTACTCCTAATTCAACACAGGAAGAAATTTTTGAATTTGTTGGAAAACCAGTGATAGAGGGTATGTGGAAGATTTCACTATTAATTTTATAGTTTAAGGCAATTTCACAACTACTTGAAATAGATGTTTGTAAAGGATATAATGTATGTTATTTAAAAAACTTATTCAATCATTAATTGAATTTCACAACAATTAAGGGAACAATTTTTGCCTATGGTCAAACAGGTTCTGGTAAGTGGACACATGTAATGGCTATTTAGTTATTAAGAATGATGAATACAGGTAAAAGTTTCACAATGATGGGCGTGGGTGAGGACATAAAGGGGTTTTCTGATCATCCTAAACTGAAAGGAATTATTCCTCGATCTATTGAATATTTATTTCAAGTTATTGAAGGACATTCAGACATATCGTACACAATTGACGTCTCCTTTATTGAGATATACATGGAGAGAATTAAAGATTTACTGGAACGTACGTATTAATCTTCGAATGAAGAACTTATTTTTCTCACTCTTAATTAAGCTATTCAAAAACAACTGAAAATTGAAAGAAAGGAACCAAAAGGAGTATTCGTGAAAGGAGCAAAGGAAGTTCGAGTGCACTCAAGCAAAGAAATTTTTCAACTTTTGAAGAAAGGAGCATCCCATCGAGTAATTTCTTCAACAAGTAAGTTCAACCCTATTTGAAACATTCTAACTCGACATGGTTTGAAAGGAATGAATTCTGAAAGTTCTAGGTCTCATACAATAATTATTCTTTCCCTATGTCAAAAGAACATCACAACATCCGAAACGAAATATGGCAAACTAATATTGGTAGATTTGGCAGGAAGCGAAAAAACAAAGAAAACGGGTGCCGTGGGAACCACTTTGGAAGAAGCCAAACAAATTAACAAATCACTCTCAGCATTAGGAATGGTTATTTATGCGCTATCAGATTCTGGTGGAGTAAGTAGATAATCACTATAAATGATGTTTTTTACACCTTGATAGGGAAAGCATGTACCCTATCGTGACTCTAAATTGACAAGATTATTGGAAGACTCGATAGGAGGAAATTCAAGAACAAAGTTAATCATTAATTGCTCAATGAGTCCTTTAAACGATGAAGAAACTTTATCAACATTACGATTTGGGTCAAGAGCAAAAAGAATTCAAAACAAGGTGAAAGTCAATCGAGAACTGTCACAAAAGGAACTGAAGGCAATGTTGGATAAGGCAAAAGAAGAAGTGCTGCAATTGCGACAAATAATTAATTCTCTCAAGGTTCAACAAAAAGAAGATGAGAATATTGAGAAATTAATTATTCGACAGGAAATTGATCAAGTATCTAAAGAAAAAGAAAAACTGCAGGACTTGTTGGAAGATCTTACTGAATTTGCAAAGCGAGGAAGTGCAGAAGTGTTAAAAAGCAAAGTTTTGCGCTCAGCCTCAATAGTTCACCTGCACAAAGGAGACACACCACCGCGAAGGAGATCGATGATTGGCCGTTCGAATCGAAGCATTGACGGTCTTGAATGCACTTCACCACTCGGGTTTTACGACAAGAACGAATGCTTTTCTGAAACGTCCTCAGTGACTGACGATGACGAGATACAGGATTGGTCAGAGTTCCAGGAAAGTGTCGACAAAATGGACAAGCTGCAACTGGAGTGTTCGAATCTGTCTTATCAAAACAACAAACTAGAACAGCAAGTTGCAGCACTAAAAGATAGAAATAAGGCTCTTGAACATCTGTTACAACAAACACAAAATGAACGAGATATGTGGAAACAGGAAGCTTTAGATGTTTCTGACGTGTTGAATCGAACACTTCAAAGCAGAATCCAGGACTCCATACGAAATCAGAACACGATGAATGGCAATGTTAAGGCAATAGAAATGCTAACTCTAGAGATGAAGACTCTTCAAAGTCAAGTTTCGTTTTTTGACATTTCATCTCGATCAACACTTAAAGAATGTGGTGCTTTGATGTTTACCCTGACAAAAGCAGGATTTTTGAATAGGGCATCCGCTCCAGATCTTGTGCCTGCATCACCTACTAGCAAAAGTCATCCAAACCTGCGAATCGTCAAGCTGTGACACGTATTTATAAAAACATCATTATTTTATTGTCATTTACAGAAACATTAGAAATACATATAAATTAAATTTGGGTGTCTTCCATTGACTGTTCTGGAGACTTTGTTTTGCTTGTGTGGTTGCTACCTTCATTAATTTTAAGTTGCTCTGTTTGAGATATCAGACCTTTAAAGTTAGAATCCTCTCCTTCTTCTTTTATCTTGCTGAAATTTCGTTCTTGCTCCTCCAGTGACAGCTTTGCTTGAAGAGCAGCTTTCTTCATTCTCTGTTTCATCTTAACTATCAAGAGAAGTCTATCTTGTTGTTTATGTTCAGTGTGTTGCTCAGAAGGAGCAGTGGGTGTAGATGGTGTGCTTTCTTGTTCTGAAACAGGAGTTTGAGGAGTGATCTGTAAAATAGAGTCTACTTCATATTGAGCCTTCATCCATGGATGGTTTTTAAAGTTTTCCAAAGAAATTCTAGTATCTGGACTTTTGTCTAACACCTTGTACAACAAATCTTTAAGCAACTCGTCTTTGTCAAAGGGTGGAGGAATTACTAATTCATCATTTTGAATGCTATTATACATTTGCATATATGAATCTCCTTTAAAAGGTGTGGTATTATAAAGCAATGCATATAAAGTAATTCCAAGTGCCCATGTATCGTTCTTGAAGCCACTGTATGGCTCTCCCTTGCATGCCTCAGGTGACAAGAATGCAGGAGTACCAGCTGAACCTTTAACAGTATCATCATTTGTTTCACAAATATGACTGACACCAAAATCTGAAATTTTTACGTTATAATTTCCATCAAGCAAAATATTGTCTGGTTTGATATCTCTGTGACAAATTCCTTTTGAGCTAATTCACTTGTTAAAGATAAATGAACATCTATAGCGAATACTTACTGAAGATATTGAACTCCTTCAATAGCTTGTGTCATATATTTTCTGATTTGGTTAAGTCTAAATTTACAAGGTTTAGGATCCACATTCTCTGAATTTGTTTCGGAAAGAGATAAAAGAGCTCCATTTTCGGCATATTCAATAACAAGATAGAGTAGTTCGGAGTTTCTATCGTCCATCACTTCATATAATCGTACTACATTTGGATGTGACAATTTTTTCATAATGGCAATTTCACGCTGTACGTCCATAAGAAGGTTCCCTCCACCAGATTTCTTGACTCGTTTCAATAGAGTCTTATTCATAATCTTAAGAGCAAAAGGTTTGTTATCGTTGTCTAAAACCAATTTAACTTTTCCATATGAACCTTTTCCTAAAGTTGAAATAATTGTGTATCCATTCACAAGCTTGTTTCCTTCTTCATCTGTTGATAACGTTATGGTATGAGTAAATTTGGTGACAACTGGGCTATTTGGATCGCTGTTTATGATGGGTGAGTATACTTCACTGTCAACTGGTGATTCAATTCCTAAACCTCCACCTACGGATGATGATCCAATTTGCAACTTCGATGAACTATTTTTATGAGGTGAGTTTGGTGATATAGAGGGTTTAGTTCTTCCACTGTTGACATACATATTTGCAAAATTGTCATCATCCTCCCTTCGGCTTGAAAACAGTGTTGATATTGGGAGAGTTGAACTTCGTGTACGTTTGATTTCTGGTGGTGACTGAGTGTTGGAGCTAGTAACTGATAAAAGTTGATCATTCGGCAGGACTGCGCTCCGTCTCATTGATAATCTGTTGGTTGACGTCGTTGGTGATGGTTTGCTTTGAAGTAATCCCATGATGATTTAATGATATATGTATTGATTCAAAATGGAGAGATGTTATGGAGGAACAGGAATGTTTCTATTGGGTGGTGATTGATAATAAATTAAAAGAGGGGAGTGAAAAAGCTAGAAAGAGGAAAGAAAGAGTGGTTTCAAGGGTGTTATCGTTCAAAGAAAACGTGGTGATGTTTGTTTCATCAATTTTTTAAAAAAGTTTTCACTGATGATGAAGATGCTGACAAATTGATCTTTTTGGAATATCCCTGACTATTCAATTACAAGGTATTCTTTGGAGAATTGAATGCTCGGAAAGGTCTAAACAACTAAACAACCGGCTGAAAACAAAGACTCTCTTCAAACAAGTCTTTGAGAGCGTGTATAATGAGAAAGGCTAGCAGGATATTTGTTGTTATTCGGTAGGTGTCGGTAGGTTACACAAGTACTACAATATAGTAGGAATAATCTCTGAGACTGATGGAGTTCCTTCTTCAAGGAGGCTCAATAGGTTCTGATGATGATGATCGTCGTACAATCAAAATCCGACACAACCACAATCGGAATGAATCAATAAAATATTATTGCAACCACGCCGCGAAAAATTCCTTCCGAATTTTTTGTTGTTCTTTTTAATTAAACGTGAGGATGATGATGAAAGTGTGATACATCTTTCAACTCGTGTCAATCTCTGACCTCCATGGAGGGAGAGCTCATTCGGAGGTCATATGGAGAGTGTTGGATTCATCCGTCGTGGTTCGTCATGTTTCTCCGTTATGGGAAATTTGTGTTTGTGATAGAGCCACTCGTTAACTTGCAAAGTTAAGTGAAATCTATTCATACCTCTCACGCACAACAGAGCATTCACCGAGTTGGAGAAGATTTTTCTGACTCAATGGTGTTGTAGTCATACTTGTGCTCATTAATTCATTAGGTGGTAATTCGTTGAGAATTGAAAGTTGTTGTGTGTGATTTTTAAATGTTTCAATCATGCCATGATGTCTATTTTGATAAAAGGTTGATTTAGGATTGAGAGAAAGCGCTTTTTTGGATTCCTCAAGAGCTTCAACAAACTTTCCTTGCTTAAAATTCATGGTGGATAAGAGATGATGATAATGTGCTAATGAGTCATTCTTGTCTTCCTCCAGTGCAGAGTTGTTTTCAATATGGTCAATCAACTCATGAACTATTTTCTTTCCTTCTTCAATATCAATAGCTTTAATTGCAACTCTGGAAAGTAAAATTGCGTGATATTCACGAAGGAGAAGAGAAAGCCTGGGGTCCAATTTCACACGAGATGAATTCTCTAATTTCGTGACGAGAGACAGAGCCAATTCATTTCTTTGTCTCTCTTTTTGTTGTTGCAAAGAAAGAGTGATATAACGAGCTTTAGTTTGTTCCTGCAAAGAAATGCTAAATTTCTTGTTTAAATACAGATCAATAAGCATCCATTTCACTTCATCACTGTCCTCAAGTAATTTTAGCATTTGTAAGAGACATTGTTCATACTCCAACATCAATTTTCTGTCTAATAAATTTCTTGCAATTGTTTTCCAAATTACAAACTGTTCAAATCGTGAAAGATCGGTTCGATGGGTTAATAAACGAACAAGTTTTTCAATGGGAAATAAGGTGGATAATCCCAATTGACCACTCAAATAAAGAGCTCTAATGTCCATTTTGATGTTATTTTGATCATCATCAAGTGGTATGTTTTTAGAAGAATTTTCAGTCTTTTCCATTTTCATGAAACGATTCAACCTCTTGTTCAACAAGAATAAAGCACTCTTCCAATCCCTTTCACTCAAATAGTAATCCATTAAATTCAAATCTGACAAGTTTGGAATGACATGACTTTGCAAGATCATGATCCTTCTTAAGAACACTCGTGATCTGTCCTTGAGGACAACAAATTTATTGTTTGTCCAATTCGGAGGATTCAAGTCTTTGGAAGTGGACATCATCGCGAGGCAAGTGGACAATCATTGCTTTAATATTTTTTGTTGTTTTTAAATTTACAAAAAACAATTTTCATCTCTTGTTCGCTCGTAAGTGCGTTTGGAATACCAACTTTTCATATACGCGATAAAGCATCCACCAAAAGCAAAAACAATTACCACCTCCTCTTCTGAAAAGAGCTGCTCGAACAACAGCACCTCGTTGACGCCTTCATTGATGAGAAGATATCTTTAGTTGAAGTTTAAGAATGGTTTGGAAGGTGAGAAAGAGTCAAGCTTAGAATCGAAAACCTCGACCACGATAGCATGGTCAGGTTATGTTCACATATTGATATTGATAGCCAAATGGAGTGTATACATACTGATAGACAGTCACACTTGAAGCAGCACATTTTGTTGTTGTTATTGTTTGAGAGTCTTGGCTTTAATTGCACATAGAGAAGTTATTTTTGATTACTGGCAACGTGAAATCGTGGAAATGCATGAAAGTCACTTTTCATAACTTGAACGTGAAAAGGAACTCTTTCAAACTCAATGTACACTCTCGTTCATCATTCTTGATGATCACCACTGCACTATAAAATTGCATTTTTGGCGCCAAATTTATTTAACGGTGAGTCTCTCTACAATTTATTTTAATTCATATTTAAAAATATTGAATGATGAGCTCAATGCGCTTGATATCATCAGCCGTGATGAGAAATCCATCATTTTACTCTTTGGATGAGAGGTATCCGAGTAGTGAAGACGAGTATTATGATGATGATGAAGAAGAGGAAGAGATTGAATATGAATCTCCGAGAATTACGTCTTCATTATTTGCTGCCAAAACTGGAACTGATTTTTTGTTGGGACCTCATCCTTTGCATCTCAACTCTCTGAGTGCAATGCCGGAACCCACCATGGAAGTAAATTCAAATTTGGTTAACAAGATGATGTTATTGGATGCATCAAGAATGAGTTCTTCAAAAAAACCATATTACAAAGTTGTCTATGATTGTTTTGGATTAGGATTTGAACATGAATATTTTGATGAAGAAGCAATGAGTAGATTCTTAGAGACTGATATAATTCCAATTAGTGTTAGCACACCGTCTAATAGACAGAATCTTCCAAAAGCAAGCATTGCCCCAAAAGAGGATACCCTCATTTTCGAGTCGAGATTTGAAAGTGGCAACCTAAGAAGAGCAATACAAATTTTTGATTACGAATACGACCTTATTCTAAAGTTTGATGTAGAGACCAGTGGTCACACTCAGTGGTTTTACTTCTCCGTTAGAAATGCAAAAAAAGGGAAAAAATACAAGTTCAACATTGTAAATTATTTGAAGCCTGGTAGCCTTTTTAATCAAGGTATGATGCCTTTGATTTATTCTGTACATGATGCAAATACAAAAGGAAAAGGCTGGACCAGAGGGGGATCGGATATTTGTTATTACAGAAATAATATCAGAAGGAAAACTGGAAATTTCTATACCCTTACTTTTACGGTCGAATTCGAAAATGACAACGACACTTATTTTTTTGCCTATTCCTACCCTTATACATACACAAATTTACAGAACTATTTAAACAATCTTGAGAAAGACAAAATACGAAGTCAGTTTGTACGGAGAAGAATATTGTGCCAAGATGTTGCCGGTAATGCATGCGATGTGCTGACAATCACATCCTTTGCATGTGATCCAACAGCGCTAAAAAGGAGAAAAGGAATAGTACTAACAGCTAGAGTACATCCGGGTGAAAGTAATTCCAGTTGGATGATTAAGGGAGTTATTGATTTTTTGACAGGATCAAGTATTGAATCAAAAGTATTAAGGGAAAATTTTATTTTCAAAATTGTACCAATGCTAAATCCAGATGGAGTCATTAACGGCAATTATCGTTGCTGTCTTACAGGCTCTGATTTAAATAGAAGATGGCATGCTCCCAATGAAAAAACTCATCCCACTATTTACCACACTAAGAAAATGATTCTCGAATTTATGAAGGAACGAGAAATTGCGCTGTTTTGTGATTTTCATGGTCATAGTCGAAAAAAGAACATTTTCATGTACGGATGTACTGATTCAAAAACAGGTGTAGAAAGACTCACTCCAAAAGTATTTCCAAGATTGTTGTGGAAAATATCGCCTCACTTTTCATTCAACGATTGTCAGTTCGGAAAGCAAAAAGGTAAAGACACCACCGCCAGAGTAATCCTTCACAAAAGTGGCATCAAAAATTGCTTTACACTTGAAGCTTCATTTTGTGGACCAGATAATGGCATTCATAATGGAAAACATTTCACTTGCAAGCATTTCGAGCAGATGGGACACTACTTTTGTCAGGGAATTTTAGAATTTTGTAACCCAGAGAGAACTCAAGTCACTCTTATTTTGAAAGAGTTAGATTTATTGTTTCCAGAGAAGAGTGAAGAACCTATTTATTCAAAAGAGTAAGTTTTCAACTGGTGAATCAAGATTATTCTCAATTCTTTTGATCATTCAATTACCAACAGATCGTATTCAAGCTCAGAAGATGAGGATGAACCGATTCCATTACCTTTAGAAACATTGAAAAAGAGAAAGACATCACTCTCAACTCAATCAACCTCCAGCAGCAGAACATCCAGTTATACATCGTCTTCCACATCGTACAGCAATTTAATTGTCAACACTCTATCCAAATCAGTGATCCATAGTCCTAGTGTTGGTAATAACGAGAATTCAAACTCGAATACTATTCCACAACTCTCCCATGTCATGAACAATTCCAACCTAAGAACAAAACCCACCCCACCATCCAACACACCTCGATATTCTCAACCTATACCTCCTAATACAGCACCTCCAAGTACTGAGAAGGTACGACCTCAGAGGCTTAAAAGAAGTCAAAGCTTCTCCAAAGAGGATATCAAACCCAAATCCACTACCACCACTCAATATCTTCCTGGAGAGAAAGCAAAACTTGAAAAAAGCAAAAAGACAACAACAAAACCACCTCTCCCTCAACTTTCCACACCCTCAGCCATTCCTATTAAAAGTCTTTACAAACCTCGAGCCTATACTCCACCCTACGTGGATATTAATCCATTCACCTACGATGCAGATAAATTGCTTGAAAGTTTTAAAGATTGCAATCAAAACGGAGACGGCTTTGTGGATTCCACCTTGTTGGACCTGATTGAGAAAGTTCAAAACATTCAAAACATTCGAAAGGAGCGAGACCAAGAACGAAAACGAAGTATTCGCCTTCGACCCATGAAGTCCAAACCTCTCAACAAGCTTCCTCTACCACCCACCCTTAAACTCGAAGACATTATCAACATTTATAGCGCAAGAGGAAGCAATAATAATTCTCATTCCAGCAGCAGCAGCAGCAGCATGTTGCCACGACTCGGTCCTGAACAACAACAACAACACTCGACTTTAACAGCTTTGAATGGAACGAACAAAAAAAGATAAAAATGCTCTCTCGCCATTCCTTTGTGTAGGTTTTTTCGAATCATCATTGCCATACCAACATCATCATTGTGTCGTAAATTAATTCTTTTCTCTAAAAACTTCCTACTTGGCATATATTCATGTATTCATGGGTGGAATTTTATGAATTTTCAATTCCTAATTATTTAAATGCGAATTTCTTCTTCAAATTGAATTGAAATACACACCGAAAATATAGCCAAAACAGCAACAACAAGAATCTGAGCACTCTCGTGAGAAGTTTTATCAATCATCAAGTGAGATTCAAGAAAACCTATGCTGTAAGTTCGTGCACATCCGAAGAATACTCTTGAATATCATTTATCATTTCTTTGAAACAAATCCTATTGTTCATCCTCTCTATTTTGATAATCATTATTTCATCTTGAAAATAGGTTCCTTTCAAAGGAAAAGAAACTCTTCATGATAAATTGAGAGGAAGTGGTACAGCAGATGTAGGCTTTCCTGTGAACGAATCGGTATGTTTATCTACATCGGCAATTTCATAATATTCATTGAATCATTGAAAGATGTCCGTTGCTGTATGGGCAAAAGGATATACCAGAATCATACAAATCAATCGTCCTCGTGAATCCAATAGAATTACATCTGAAGTTTCCCGAGATATGTTACATCAGTTCAAGGTGAGTTTGTTTAAATTGAATGACAAATGGATTTGAATCACTGATGTAATCATCTGTGATGTTCAACAACAGGTCTTGGATACAAACCCAATGATTCAACTAATTTCATTCACTGGTATTGGAAATGGATTTTTAAGTGCTGGATATGATGCAAGAGAACTTGACCACTTAATGGATAAGGGAGATTATGAAACAATTTATTCTTTGATTAGAAATTCTCACAAACTTGCTTATTATGCAGGAAATTGTGAGACCACCACATTGAGCGTCATTAATGGACTTATGAGTATGTATATATGAAACTAATGTTTATTGACAATCAATATTAATTTTAAATTTTTGCTGAAAAGTTGGTACTGGTGCTTCCATTGCAAGCTCTGCCAATTATGCTGTAGCCACTCCAGGTTCAATTTTTGCTGCTCCAGAGGCCTCCTTGGGTTACTTCCCAGATTGTGCAATTACTCGCTTGCTTTCTGAAATCAATCAAAAGTATGCAGGACTTGGTACTTTCCTTGGTCTTACAGGTGCTCAAATTAAGTCTTCTGACTTGATGTATGTTGATTTAATATTTTAATTGATGTTCTAATCATCTTTTAGCCACTGTGGTCTAGCTAATATTTTTGGATTAGAAAGTGTTGCTCAATATTTAGCAGATCGAATTCTTAATATTCAGACTAAAGTGACACAAAAAGAAATTCATGATTGTATTGTTGAATGCACAGAAACAGTTGTGCCTCCATTATCATTTGGATTTGAATTATACAAGATTAAGGAGCATTTCTCAAATAAGAATAGCGTTGAAGAAATTATACAATCACTTAAAAGTGCTATGAATGATATTAATAAGACAAAGCCTGAAAGAGAATGGGCAAGTCGTATTTTGGCCACTATCGAACAATTATCTCCACTGAGTTTAAAGATAATTTTCAGAGCTATTACTGAGTGTGACAATGGTTTGAGTGTCAATGAAACCTATCAAAGAGACTATCGTATTGCATCTCGATTAGTCAAGTCTAAAGATTTCAAACAAGGTTTAGGAGCAGTGTTGAGAGGTATCGAGCCTGTGTGGGAGTATGAATCAGTGGAAAATGTTCCTGACAGCGTTGTTGAGTCTTATTTCAAACCTTTTGAGTATGAACACGATAAGGACTGCGATTTACAATTACCTGAAGAAGTATTCCTTGAGGACCAAATCCTTTATCAAATCGCCAAGAGGAAGTTGGTAGAAATTGCTAGAAAGTAATTTATGAACTAAGTGTTGAAATTAAAGGATATTTGCCTTTTGTTTTCAATGGTTCCGTTAGATTTTGTCAGTGTCTCTTCATCGAGTGTGAGTTTGAAAAGTTTGGATTGCAGAGATTTATATCTTTTTTCTGTCGGCATTGTTTCGATAAGTAGAGACATAAAATTGAAGAAATAGCAATAGGAAGGATAAAATCACAGCCACCCCAAGCCATAACACTTCTTCACTTCCTCCACATTTCACTTCAGCAACATAGACATAATACAGATAAATTTGAGGTACCACCAAATCTAGCACAAATTGAGCAATTTGCAAAATTGTTAAATATTTCTTCCAACTGACATTCACACCAACAGCAGCTTGTGAGTAATAATAATACATCAAAACATGAATATATCCGTTAGTCACTACAGCCACCCATTGAAGTGACATCTTGTCACACAGTGCAACATAAACTAATGCCAATGTCACAATGTGATGATAAACGTGCAGAAATGACAGCGGTCTTCGTTTAGCAACCATCAGTAAGGTATCTATTAATTCGTAATATTTCGATAAATAGAAAATATATGTCCAGAAATTTAGAGGGCCTCGCGTCGTTATCGATTTTGGGTCACAAAATATAGACTCTAAGGAAAAATCATTTTTGATGTATAACCGAATAGACTCAATTAAATTTCCAGTTGCCATGCACATGCTAAGCAAGCACAAAAAAAGATTATGTAAATAGGTAAAGATCCGCAGTTCAAAACCCTTTGGGCGAGTATTTTCAAAAATATTCTCTCTCGGATACATGTAGTTCATGAAATATTGAAATGCATATATAATTATAATATAAGCTACTAATGAAAAGAATGGAATCATCCAATGGCTCATCGGCGTTTTTCCATATTCAAAAGAAAATTCTTTAACAAAATCGGGATATAGGTCATCCATGTGATTCAAAAGTTCAAAGAAAGATATCGAAAGTGCCATTTGTATGAAAATGATTATTATTGGCAGAGGAATTTTGGTGAGGATAGAACGGTGAGTGGTTGTTTGTGATTTTACAAATCTATATCAGGAATTTTTGTGGAGGAATGATGATGAATTAAAGCTTGATGATGAAATACGTATTGAACAAGAGGAAAGATCAACTATTTGATGATCTAATCTGCTCGGGATGATATTAAATACCCCAATCAATCAACAACAACAAGTTATTGGTTGCTGATAATGAGACCGAGAGTGATGATCTTTCAAAGATTTCCCACGAAGCGCAAGTGCGAAAGTAACGAAGAAATTTTTTAAAGAGAGGAATACAAGTTGTTGTCTTTGAGAGGGGATTGAATGAGTATTTCTAGATGATGGAAATTGTAGTAATGGAGACTGAATGAGCAATCCGATCCATCGAACAAGGTTAATTCAATAGTTAAATTACCTCAATGGAGAAAGGAGATCTCAATCTAGATCTAACCCATTTCCATATTTCCATTTATTAAGGATTCATCAATAGAGAATTTAATTACTACGTTACTCATCATTTCAACTTCCAAAAAGAGATTTTCAAATAAGCATCATCTTGTGATTAAAAATGATCAAACTGAGTTTGCAACAAGTGAAAGCTCTACACGGACGAAAAAGCAAACAGCCTTGTGTGGTCATATCGGGAAAGATCATTTCAGTGGAGAAATTCAAAGAGGAACACCCAGGAGGAGAAGAAGTGTTGATGGAATATGCTGGACTGGATGCAACGGAAGCGTTTGAACTGGCTCGTCATTCCGAGAGTGCCAAAAGGAAAGTGTTGGAGTTGATGATCGGAGAAGTTTGTAGTAGTATTGAGAAACAGGAAGAACAAAAGCTACCACCATCATCAGCAGTAGGTAGGAGTGATTTGAGTGGTGGTGATGGTGGTGATACCAGAAACCGTACTGCTGATCTGAGCCAAGAACAAGACGAGCCCAACCGGAAATGTTCTTTACAATAATGAGAGTTATAAATAAGAGCAATGCAATTTACAATTAACAAGGATGCAAAAATCGAAAGAACACTGAAGTGTCAGTCGCCATTCTCTTCCTTCTATTTATTCCCTATGATACTATTAATTTCATTTCAACCTCAAAAACAAACAGTCATATTTGTAAATACATGAGTAGTCTTACCGTCTCATCACCCAACAACAACTTTTCGTGTCGAACAAAAAAATGAGTCAACAAGCAAAGACAAAGGTAAGCTTTTTGTGAAGATTCATCTTTATCGGATAACAGGTGAGGCTTGATTTGTTAAAATTCATCATCATCATCACTATTGCTATCATCATATGCATCGCATCATCATAACAATAATAATTATTATAGGAAGCTCCAAAAATCCAAGAAGCCAAAGGTACCGCTAAAAGAGATTTCCTTCTTGATGTTGAACAACAAGTTCAAAAATTCTGGGATGAAAATCATGTTAATGAGGCCAATGCGGGTGATTTGGATAACAAGGAAAAGTTCTTCGTTACATTCCCTTATCCATACATGAATGGTAGACTTCACTTGGGACATGCCTTCTCTTTGACCAAGGCTGAATTCCAAGCTCGTTTCCAAAGATTGTTGGGAAAGAATGTATTGTTCCCATTCGGTTTCCACTGTACTGGTATGCCAATAGCAGCTTGTGCCGATAGATTGAAGAGAGAAATTGAAGACTTCGGAAATCCTCCAAAATTCCCAGAAAAACAAGTCAACAACACTGATAAAGAAGAAAAAGTTGAAGACGAAAATGCTGAAGTTAAGACAGGAGAATATCAATGGAATATCATGAGAAAGAATGGCTTGCCCGATGAAGAAATTGCAAAATTTTCAAATGCTAAATATTGGTTGGAATATTTCCCACCACTCGCAAAGAAGGATCTCCAAAAGTTTGGTGTTATGTGTGACTTCCGTCGAAGTTTCATTACAACAGATTTGAACCCATATTATGATTCATTCATTCGTTGGCAATTCAATCGTTTGAGAGAACAAGGTAGAATTAGTTTTGGAAAGCGATACAGCATTTTCTCACCAAAAGATAACCAACTCTGTGCTGACCACGACAGAGCAGTCGGTGAGGGAGCCAAACCACAAGAATATACTGTCGTCAAATTGTTCTTGCAGAAACCGTATCCTGCAGTTTTGAAGCATTTGGAAGACAAGAAAGTTTATTTGGGAGCTGCCACTCTTCGTCCAGAAACCATGTTTGGTCAAACAAACTGCTGGCTTTTGCCTGATGGTGAATATGGAGCTTTTGAAACAAATACTGGTGAAATCATTATTTGTACTCCAAGAGCTGCTAGAAATCTTGCTTGGCAAGAATTGAGTCCTGAGCTTGGAAAAGTTGTTCAACATGCCAAGTTTTTGGGCGCAGATTTGATGGGAGCAGCTGTTGAAGCTCCATTGTCACCACTCAAGACAATTTATGTTTTGCCAATGATGTCTATTTCAACACGAAAGACAACTGGTGTTGTCACCAGCGTTCCTTCTGATGCCCCAGCTGATTATGCTGCTCTTCAAGATTTGAAGAACAAGCCTGAGCTTAGAGCCAAGTATGGTATCAAGGAAGAATATCTTTTTGACCCAATTCCAATCATTGAAGTACCAGAATACGGAACTTTGTGTGCACAAGCTCTCTGTGAAAAATACAAGATTAAGTCTCAAAATGATAGAGATGCCTTGGAACAAGCTAAAGATGAAGCTTACGGACAAGGATTTAACAAGGGTGTTTTTGTTATTGAGGGTGAATTTAAGGGTATGGCTGTGAAAGAAGTCAAGAACAAGATTCGACAAATGTTGGTTGATCAGGGATTGGCAATTCCATACGCAGAACCAGACAAGGAAGTCATCAGTAGATCTGGTGACAGATGCGTTGTCAGCTTGACTGACCAATGGTATTTGAAGTATGGAGAAGAAGATTGGAAGAAGATTGTCACTGAGCATCTCCACACAAAGTTCCACGTTTATAATCCTGCTACTCTTAACGAACTTGAAACAACTGTTGATTGGTTGAAGGAATGGGGCTGCTCACGATCGTATGGATTGGGTACAAAACTTCCATGGGATGAACAATTCTTGATTGAATCTTTGAGTGACTCTACAATTTACATGGCTTTCTATACCGTTGCACATCTCTTGCAAGGAGGTGTTTTGGATGGTTCTGGCGAAAGTCCACTTGGAATTAAGCCTTCACAAATGACCGATGAAATCTGGAGTTATCTTTTCCACGGCAAGGAACCATCTTCTACCAATGGTATTAGTCGAGAGGCCTTGGATACTTTGAGAAAGGAATTCTTGTACTGGTATCCTGTTGATTTGCGTGTCAGTGGTAAAGATTTGATCAAGAACCACTTGACTATGTTCCTTTACAATCATGCCGCTATTTTCCCAGACCTCATGCCAGGTTCTATTTTTGCTAATGGTTATGTCATGGTGAATGGCGCTAAGATGAGCAAGCAAGCTGGTAACTTTTTGACTTTGCAAAATGTTATTGATTTGTATGGTGCTGATGCCACTAGATTGGCCCTATGTGACAGTGGTGACACTCATGATGACGCCAATTTTGAACAAAATAATGCTAATAGTGCTGTTCTTAAGCTTAACACATTTGTGGAATGGATCAAGGAAACTCTTGAAGGACCCTTGAGAGAAGAAGACTCTGAATATTTGTTTGCTGATAAGACTTTCGATGCTAGAATTAATTTGTGTGTCGAACAATCCAAGAAGTTCTATAATGACATGGTCTTTAAGGAAGTTTTCAAATCTGCTTGGGTTGCCATGCAAGATTCTCTCTCAAAGTATATTGAAACCATGAAGAGAGACTCTGAAAAATTGCACAAGAAGCTTGTTTTGAAGTTTATTGAGATACAATCAATTATTCTTTCTCCTATTCTTCCACATATTACTGAATACATTTGGAGAGAAATCCTCAAGAAGGATGGCTCTATCGTTAATGCAAAGTGGCCTGTAGTCCCAGAAGCTGACCAATCCCTATTGGCTAGCGATGAATACCTCAGAGATGCTCTTCATTCATTCCGTCAATCCTTCCAAAAGGAATCCAAGAATAAGAAGAGACCTCTTAAGGCGTACGTGTACGTCGCTGACAAGTTTTTGGATTGGCAACTCAAGAGTTTGGAACTTCTCTCAAAATACAAGGACTCATTTACTGGTGAGAAAGAGAAGGAAGAACAAGCCATGAAAATCATTTCAACAGAAATGAAAGACTACATGAAATTCAAGCCAATGTCTTTCATTGCTGCTAAGAGAGATCAATACAAGAAGGATGGTATCAAGGCTTTGAGTCCTGAAATGCCTTTCAATGAATTTGAACTTCTCAAGGCCAATGTTAACCTTATTAAGGCATGCTTTGGAGGCGTTGAAACTGTGGAAATTTATTGCCTCTCACAAGAATATCCTGATCCACTCAAGAGAGCATTGAGAGCTCAACCACTCGAGCCTGCTTTTGGTGTTGAATATGAAAAGTAATCCATCATGATATCATATTTTAATAAATATTCGAACAGTTCCCGCTTCTTTTTTGTGACTGTCAATGACTTGCGAATGACATTTTCAAATATGTGTCAAAATGACGTTAAGACTCCACATTCTGATTTGAGGTTTGTTTTTTAATATCAAATTGTATTTGCTTGCGAAAAAGAGGGTCAAGACATGTCGGAAAATCCACGATTGTTACATTTTAAGTGGATTTCTGTTTAATATTATTGCAGATATCAAAAGGCCACACCAATTACACAAGACTAGCTCATCATTTTCAAACACTGGTATCATTTTCTCAACAAATGATTTAGTTGGATTTATTTTCAACTTTGAGGAAAACGGGGTAATGAAAAGTATCACTTTAACTGTTACAGTATAAATTTGTAGCTTTATGGAAGCTCTGTGATGAAACTTTTGTGTGCCTTTATTGTGATTGTACTCATGAAAATTGTAATACATTATTTGAATACAATTTTAGTTGTAGAAATATTATTCTTGAAAAATACCCAAAATTGATGGAACAGGTTGTAATAGACGTTCTCCATGCAAAGATTCGAATGGTTGGAAATATGCTGGTCAAACCAATGCTGAAACTTATTCCAAATGAATATGAAGCAATCAAAGATGTCATTCGAAAGATTTCCCATCCTTCTCAAATTTTGAAATATTGCCTTCTACAAGAAACAGTTGGTCATGTAATCAAATCAACGTTTCGTCGAACCACCATATATCTCAAAGGAAAAAAGCTTGGTTCCCTTTTTACTCAATTTTGAGAAAATGGAAGCTTTTCAAGGATCGTAGAGATGAAAAACTCCTTCAAACTTCTTGCAAATCATCTCAACAAATCATTCATAATTTAGATAGAAAATCCTCGACTTACGTCTGTTTAAAATCGGAATCCAACGATAAAATCGTATTGTAAGAATTTGATTGGAATCATCTTTAAAAAATTAGCATCATTTACAACAGAAGAAGTAGTGCGAGAAGATGGACATGATAATTAAGAGATTCCCAAGCAGACTGTTGGGCAAACTTCTCTTTCCAAAGCAATTCAGATCGGAAGTAGTTTTTGGTAAGTTCATAAGTTTTAGGAATGGGCACTGGTGGGTAGTAACGAATTAATTAGTACTAATTAATAGTATCAGTGACGAGTTGGAAAAAATAATTAACTAAGGTTGTGGGTTACTCTTAGATACAACTACTGTATGCGCAATCAGTGGTTGGAGGCGTTCAGAAGAGGGCATTATTTTCCCTTAATTTCAATTCTTTCTGAATGGGCAGAGTTTTTGGCGTCATGGGACGTGTTTTTCACTCTGTTCTAAGGGTACCAGTATGAGGTCATTATTGTGGAGGAGAGTTGAGATTGGATCTAATGGGTTCGCATTTGTGGGACGCATATGGATAGCCAAGTTAATCATTCTCGTGAAACTTTAATGTCTGTGACATGTTGCTTTTAATAAAGTGCTGTCACTGGGTGGCTTTGTTGGTTCCAAAAGTGTCATTGTTCAATGATTACTTAGGAACAGCAAACACTTGCAGAACATTGATAGTTTTACCGGATGGTGGATTCCTGAAGGTGGTGCGGGGAAAGACCAATGTTATGACCTTAATTGTCGTTTATGTTTCTAGTAGTAGCATATATAGAAGTTTATTCATGGCACTACTAGTATATTACACCAGAATGCGCCTGGTGAGAGAAATAGGAGTTGGTAGATTGATGCTAAGATGTTTGATGTATCCGATGTGCGTGTGGTAGAATAAACTCAGATTTCTAGAATCGATTTTAATTGTTGGATTACTCAAACTGAAGCATTTCCACATCACAAACAAGTGCACATCATTCTTTTCTGTGGAGTTGTTGACGGAGTACATTTGCTAAATAATTAGAACCAACACATCTCAATATTATTTTCCCTTTGTTTCCCATATCAAAGCGTCATTCTTCCGCAAAAGGAGTTAATATAAATCTCATCAAACTTAAATTTCACAAATGGTGTACAATCTCTCTATGACGCTCGTTTCAAAGGAACCTCTCTGGATAACATTGTTCAGAATATCAAGAGACACGACGTAGATTTTGCAATTAAAGCCATGACTCAAAGCAAAGACTTTTCTCATGTTTCTGAAAGTACTTGTTCAACAGTGGTAAATTGGGTGAAGAATATTTTGATGCCCAAACTTTTTGGTCTGTGGAACAAAGATCAAACAAAGGATGCATTGTGTCGATCAAAACTAAAAGGAGGGGCTGGATTAAGCAATGATCAAACTAAACCTTTGTACGATGAAGATTTTGATGGAAAATCTCTCTCAAAAATTGTCTTTGAGTTCGAGAAGGCTCAACAAAGTGGAAATGAACAGACTCTCAATGATATCACGGAAGAAGTATTTAAAAATGACAAGGATGCTCGTGACAAGGTGAAGAATTGGATAAAAAACGAGTTGATAGAAAAAAACAAGATAGAAGTGCCGTTGTTCGACTCTGAGGAACAGACAATCATTCCCCTTACCTCTCTTGGTACAAAAATATTCACGGTTATTAATTCACAACGGGACCTTTTACAACTTATACAAGCCCATATTGGTGTTACCACTAATAGAACACTGAAACCTGACGTTTTAAATGCTTCAAAAACATTACTCAGTTCTTTTGGATACAATTTTGAGTTTGTTGATAGGGAGAACAGTGTTCAGGTAATTTTGAAAGAATTTGAAACATATGCTAATTTTTATGAACAAAATGAGAATTTGGACAAACAGAATATTGTACTCCCTTTTATTGCAGCAGCTCCTGGAGTTGGTAAATCAAAGCTACTTAAGGAAGTTGGGTTAAAGTTATTCAAAGAACACTTTAGAAAAGACACATTATGTTTTCCTTTCTTTGTTTCTTATGGAAATGGTACAAAATTTGATCCTGAAAATGAAAAGAAATCAGTTGAATCGTTGTTAAAAAGAATGATATTATCCTTTATATGCTCTTGCACTTATGAAAACCACGTAATGATTTTTCAAAAGATCAAGGATATCATATTCGATCACATTACAATAGCAGATGTATTGAATTGCATTACTTATTTATTGGGAAACCAAAAGATAGACTTTTTTCTTGCTATTGATGAAGCTCATGAAGCCGATACTAATATTAATGACAAATCTAATCCACTGAGAATGATTATGTCTGCAATTGGACAATATATGCAACTCAAGCAATTGAAATTATATCCTGTATTTGCTGGCACATATCATACAGTCATTGAAGAGAATTTAAAAGGAAGCACTTACTCTCCTCAATTTGTTCCAATTAACGCATTGCTTTCTTATAACAACTTGGCCAAAATATTTGATCATTTAGCCGGTAATGAAAAATATAAGGACGACAAGATGAAATCATGGAGAACTAATGCCGAGTTTAGACATTACGTTAGACTGTTCGCAGGATTTCCAAGAGGAATTGAATATTTCCTTTATAATTATCTTACTAGAGACTGTACAATTAGAGAAGCATGGGAAAGTGCAAGAGCTGAATTGGGAAGAAAATATAAGATTGCGATGCCTATGAAAGATGCACTCTTAATCTTAGCATTAATTTTCACAAGAAGAGAAGTGAATAAGAGCATGTTAGTTGGATCGGTATCATTGTCCTATCTGGAAGACAAAGGTTATATTATGATCAACGAGGAAAAAGATGGATGTTTTAGAATAGTATATCCTCCCATTTTAATGTCTTCCATGATATACGATTCATATTGGAGAGGAATTTTTGAGGAACTGTTTTTTGTGATGCCATCAATCAAACTTTACGGGCTTAATTGGGAAGATGTTGTACAAAAATACCTCTTTTTGAAGTTAACATTTATTTCTCAATCACAGGATAGAATTGAAGGATCATTCATATTTAAGGATTTATTTCCATTCGCAAAAATGAATCACAATACTTCTAATCTCTCTTTGAAGCCGATACCTAAGAACGTCTATTTAGATCAATCAAGAAAACAAATCCAAGATGAAATCTCTTCATTAGAATTGGGTAGCCTTTCATTGAAAATGAACTCTATTGCCGACTGCTATATAGTCAAAAATGCCACCGCAGCTCAAGCAGGAGATATTATTATATTTGGTTTGCAACTTGGAAATGAAGACTTGTTACTCATTCATGTTCAATGTAAATGGTCAGACTCTGCCAAAACTTCAGAATCATATGAATCATTGATGAACGAACAAGAAAAGAATGGCAAATGTTTAGTATTGGACAAAAAAGTAAGAAATATTACAGTAATAATAACTGGAAAACCAATTTCAAATCTTCCAGACGATAATGATTTGCCAGATGATATGATAATTATTTGCAAAGACAACTTTTCAGAATATTAATTTGGAACATTTTCGGACAACATGAAATTCCTTTGCGCCAAACATATACTGCATATTAATGAATGCACTTTAAATGATTTGCAAAGTTTTCCTGACATTGGAGAAACAATAGCCCAGTATATCATTGACATTCGTGGAGACAATGGTTTCATAGATTTTGCTGACATGGAAACCAAAATACTCAGCTCTAAAATCCACAAAAAAAAGAAAATCATTCGGACACTGAAGAACATGGAAATCGTGTTTTAAAATATAAGTGTGACAGCATCGAAGCGTATGACCTTATTTTGATCAAGACGTTTGGGAACAAACTATGAAATTCTCAATGGTTGATTGTATCGTCAATGAATTAACAGGAGAATTAGTTTGTGACAAGTTCAACTCAAGAATACAATTTAACAAGTAGAACAAGAGGCAGAATCAGCTCTGCGGTCAATTTTTCTCCAGCTGCAAATAAGAATCAACCTATTACTAACAATAACTAATATTATTAATAACGTTATTTATACGTTAAACTCTCTATTTGTCACTTCAAAGAGGAATGAGCAAGTGAATGAATCCATTGTTGAACAAGCATGTATTCATTTCAACTCGAAGATACAGAAACCAAATGATTCACCTTTCCCATAAACAAAACACTCTGCGTAGGAACATGACTCAACACAAATGCAAAAGGTCGATCCAAAACAAAATCAATTTCTGGCTCAATATCAATACTTGTGGTCCTTCCAACGATAATTCCAGCTGTAGCTGCAGCTGCCTCCGTTCCTTGTTCATCCACTTTCAAATAGGCCTTATGAAAGATTTTATCAATCCATAAACGATCTTCTCTTAAAATGGAAACTTTTGAAAGCATGTTTGTGAAATTGGCTTTCAATTTCTCAAAGGAAGTGGTCATGTTAAAAGGAGCTTGTTTCAAGACATTGGATAATTCATTCTCATATTCAATTTTGAATTTTGGAATTTGAACAAGTCGAAGCATGAGTGAACTCGTGTCAAAAGCTTGTGAAAGAGTTTTCACAGTGAGAGAACCCTCTGAAGAATTAGTGACAGGGAATGCATTCAAAGATATTTGATGAGAAACCCATTCCTCAAATTCCTTCTCAGATTGCTCTGAAAGAGAAATGCTTGTTTTTGGAACTATGAACAGCATTTCAAAATCTTGAGAACTGTATTGTCTTCTCAACCATTTATATTTTTCATTTTGACCAAAAAATTCTCGAACTTGGTGACGTGACATGTATTGGACATTGACTGATTCGACTGTGAGTGTGGATGATGTATCATCTTGTGATTTTTTGAGTTGACTAAAAGTTCCAGTGAATGAATCTTCCTTATCGAATGGAATTCTCCATTTACCTAAAAAGTAAATGGCATTGACAAGCACTAATTTCGTGTCGGCGGTAATGGCACCAATGGGAATGAGATCGTTAATGAGATTTTTAGTTCTATTTGAAACCCATTGATTGATGGATCTTCGCTCGGGTTCTGCATGGTGAACAAAGTCACAAGATTTCAATTGTGAATGAAAATCATTGGAAATGGTATCCATGTAGGAAGAAGATAGTTTGAAAGACTGTTCCGTAAAGATTCCATTCGCTACTGAGAGTTCACTCGAATTCACAGAATGGTCAATGAGTTGGCTCATTGAGGTTGCAAAATCTCCATGAGGATTGAAATTAAACACTTGAGAACCTTGACGTTGATAATAATCCAAGGTTAGGGCATGGGCCAATTCGAGTTGTGTGTGACCTTGAGCTCCCACAAGCATCATGGAGAGAACCATAAAGATGGAGAAGGGAGAGAACACAACATTGGAGGGAGTGGAAATCTGTTGTTGTGGTTGTTGAGAAGAGGTTGGTGGTTGAGAAAGAGATTGAAAGAGATGTGCTGAGAAGGATTTTTGAGAGTTTTGAATGGTTTGGATCAGGGAGGAAGGAGAGGCAAGGTTAAACTCACAACTTAAGAGAAGGATGAGAACAATGGTTGAGAAGAGTGTGACGATGATACAACATGTTGTCGAAGAGGTTTTCAAAGTCATTTTTTATAGGGTGCTATTGTTTTTCAAAATCTGAAAAGCATTTTAAACTTGGAAAGCTATCTTCCAAAAGTGGCAATACTATTGAAATGGAAAATCATCAAAAGGAAATAAAAATTGGATGATTTATCTTCTATTGTTACAATGTGGTGGAGTTGCAAACTCCTGGCAATAATTCCTCGAATTGTTTCAGTCATATTGAGGGTGATGATTCATATGCTACTGCTCCTTCTGCATGAGCTCCAAGTAATTTCGTCCCTTATAAGTAAACTCAACATTGTACTTTCGTTCATACTCTGAGAGTGTTTGCAAGAGAACTTCATTGATCCTCTTGAGCTCTTTTTCAAGCTCTTGTCGTTGTTTTTCTTCCTTCATCGTTCGATTGGGGTCTTGATGAGATCGAGAGTCTCGCGCTTTCATGGTCTCCTTGATTCTCTGTTTCACAAATTCTCGTCTTGTAATTGTTTCCATGAGAGGTAATTGATCGGTGAGTTTGCTAATTTCCTTCTTAAAAGCATCCAATACTTCTTGAGAGAACGATGCTTTGGATTCAACTTCCCATAAAAAGTTAATCCTGTTGCTTGGATCAGTTTCTAATGCGGTCCATAATTCTGATAAGCGTTGTCTGTACTTTTCAAGCTTCTCTTTACCCTTCAAGATTTCTTTTTCTTTTTGTTCTTCTAGCATCTTGTGTTGTTGATGTTCAATAGCTATCAATTGAAGCTCTTCTTCTTTTTGTTTATGTTTACGAAGTTCTTCTTCTTTCTGTCTGAGTTCCTGAGCTAATAATCTTTCTTGATCCTCTAATTGTTGTCTTGCAAATTCTTCCATTTCTCTCTTTGCCTTTAACTCAACCTCCGTCATGAGCTTTTTGAATTTGTTAGTAGTAGTTTTGTGATATTCTAATTTCCATAGATCCATGCTGTGTTGCATATTGGACAGCAGTTGTTGCAACTTTACAATTTCTTTCTCTGTATCTTCTTTTTTGGCTCGTTCCACTTCGAGTTGTTTGATAGTTTCTTCGATTTGATGCTTGCAGTGATCTCTGATTTCTTCTGTTTGCTTTTCAAATCTCGTTCTAATTTCCTCTTCTTTTTCAATTCTCATTTGTTCGAGTCGTCTCTCTTTTTCTAGAGAGGATAGGTTCCTTCGCTGATCATCTTCCAAGAGTAACTTTTCTCTTTCTTTTAAGAGATCTTCCATTTGTTTTTCCTTTTCCTTAAGAGCTTCATTGTATTTCTCTCTAACGGCAAGTTCATAGGCAATCCTGTCTTGCTGAATTTGCTTCTTAATTTCTTCAATTTCCTTATTTCTTTCTTCGAGCTTCTTATCTAGAGTTGCTTGCATTTCAATAATTAGTTTGTCGTATTTTGTCTTGACTTTCTGCTCATATTCCAGTTTTGATAGTTCAATGTTGGATGTCTTTTCTTGATATTGCTTCTTAATTTCAGAAACCTCCAATTCAAACGATTTCTTTATGGCATCTACTTTTCTGTCGTAACTCTTTTCAATTTCAATTTTTTCTGTATGAATAGAGTCTTTCACCTTTTCAATTTCCATTTCCAAACGTTGTTGTAACTGATTTCGCATATCAGCCTCGCTTTGTCTAATAGAGTCAATTAAGAGTTGCTGTTCATCGTAATATTCTTTTTGTTTCTTCTGATATTGATCTCTCACAGACAGTTCGTACTGACTTCTTTGTTTCTGCTCCTCCAGTCTTTGTTCTCTACACTCATTATGAATCTTAATAATTTCTTCTTCGTGCATCTTCTTGAGAATGTTAATCTCATTCTTCCATCTTTCATCAATGCTATTTAGTCTAGATTCAAATCTAACCTGAAGCTCTTCTTCGTACTTTTGGCGTTCAATTCTAGAGTTCATTTCGGCTTCCCTTATTAAATCGTCAAACTTTGTGTTGAGATCTGATCTAAGTTGCATTTCAGTGATGGAATATTCTCTCCTAATATTTTGTTCCGTTTGTTCAAGAAGTTTGGCATACTTTTGTTTCATTTGCTCCTCAATTTCGTTTCCTAGTTGGGTAATGCGAGACTCGTGTTCTCTGATATGATCATCCAGCTTGTCCTTCTCTGCTGAAAGGTCTTTATCTTTTTGTCGGAGTTTGTTTTCGTAATCTTCAACAAGTTTCTTCATCTTATCCTCATAGAGCTTTCTAGTTTTATCCTCAAATTCTGTCATTTGATCTCTTAGATGTTGTTTTCTTTCCAATTCTCTTTTGTCTAAATTATCCCTTTCTTCTTCTACTAGTGCTTGCATCTGAGAAAGTCGTTCCATATGTCTCTTTTCTTGCTCTTCAAGTAGTTTATCGTATTTAATCTTTGTTCTTTGCTCAAAAAGTTCTTTTTCAGAATCAAGAGCTTTCTTCTCTTCAAAGCGAAGCCTGTCTCGATCCTCCAAGTCAAGCCTCATTCGTTCCTTTATAGAGTCTTCCATCAACTTGATGCGCTGTAGCTCTTCCTTCAGTGACAGTTCGAATCTTTCCTTCATATACTCTTCATATTCAATTCTGGAGAGATCTGCGGCAAGGATGTTCTCTCTAATTGCTTGATTCACAATTTGAAGCTCATTTCTAAATTGTTCTTCTTTTTGGTTAAGGGCTTCAAGGTGCATAGCTTGGAATTTTACAATTTGGTCTTCGTTTTCCTTTCTATACTGCTCCTGTAGCAACAGTAATTGTGCATCTTGTTCTTCCTTCCTCTTCATAAACTCGGAAATAAGTTTGTCATGCTCCGAGTTAAAGTTATCAGTAGCTTCTAAAATCATATTCTTGTAGTCATGTTGAGCCTTCTCCAGAATTATGTTGTACTTTTCTCTGACCACTTGTTCATAGTTAATCTTATGTTGCTCCAGTTGTTTCTCTTTTTCTGATAGCTCGAGCTTTTCTGCGAATCGTTCTTCGTTCATCTTTTTCTCAAAGGCCTCCATAAGCTCTTGGGATTTTTGTTTTTCCAAGTCAAGTAACTGCTCGAGCTTTTGTCTCATTTCCTCTTCTGATTTCATTCTATGTCTGTGTACTTCTGCTTCTCTCTCAACAAATGTTTGTTCTCTGTTTTGCCATTCAATTTTTTCTGCCTCAATTCTCTCTTTGAGCATGATAGAAACGTCATCTTGAACCTTTTGAACAAGGTTGTTGTACTTCTCTCTAATTTCAGCCTCGTAAGCCATCTTTTCTTGCCTTAATTCTTGAATTCGATCTGCAATCGCTTGGTTAAGCATTTCTCTTTCTTTTTCAAGTTTTTCTTTCTCATTATTCATCTGTAGCTCCAATGCAGCTTGCTTGCTATCAAAAAGATTTTGGAAGAATTCACGAGTTTTATCTTCAAACTCAATTCTGGCAAAATCGTTAAGATTCATCCTTTCTTGTTCTTTCTGGAACCTTAAATTCCACTCCTCTTCAAGATGTTTTTGTCTCAAAGACATAGAATGGAGCAAAACCTTTTCTAACTCTATATATCTTTCTTCGTATTGTTTTCTAATGTTATCCTCGTGGGCAATTAGTTTGGATTCAAGCTCTGCCTCCTTTTCAAGGGCGGTTTTCTGTAGATCTGCTCTTTCTTTTTCGACAGACTCCTTTAGTTCCTTAATAATGTTGTCGTAATGCAACCAGAGTTCTCTTTTTTCTTTTTCAAAGTTAGATTTGCATTCTCTCTCATATTTTTGATATCTTGCATTGAGATCTCTCTCCTTTTCAGCTGTTTGTTGCAAAATAAGTGATTTTTCTTCATCCAGCTGATTCTTGAGCTTTCTCATTTCGGCTTGAGTCTTATTAACATGATCTGTTATTAGTAGTTCATATTTGTTTCTTATTTGATCTTCATATTGCATCATCTTGCTTTCAAGATCTCTTTCTTTTTGAATCCATTCTTCTTGCTTCTCTGACCATTTCTTTTGATCCAACAACCTTTGATTATCATATTCTGAGCGTAGTTGGTTTTCTTTTTCGTCAGCCATTCTCATGTACTTAGAACGAATGGATTCTTCATGATCTAATTTTGATTTCTCAAGTAGTCTCAGCTTTTCGTTAAATGTTTCTATGTGAGTTTCAATTTCCTTCTTGAACTGTTTCTCCATAACTGCCTTGTCTTTTAATATTTCGTTTCTCTCTTTTTCTAAGATCTCTTCATACTTTCTTCTTGTTTGTTGCTCATATTCAAGCCGTTGTGAATCCATCATTTTCAAATCAGTGCGTAATTGATCAACTTGAGATTCCAACTTTTGTTTTTCCTTCATGTATCTGGATTCTGCTTCCTCTATTACGCTCATATATTTTCCTTCAAGTTCTCTCTCGAGTAGTGCAAACTTTTCTCTCAACCTTGCTTCGTACTCAAGTTTTTCTCTCTCCAGTACATCTAATTCTTTTGATTTCATCTTTCGTAAATCTTCAATTTCTGTTTGATATTGTACATCCTTATTCTTTAATAGCTCTTTGTAGCGTTGTTCTAGCTCTTGTTTGAGTTTATCATAATTTTCTCGAATTGACTTTTCATATGCAATAGAATTGATTTCAAATTGCTTTTGAAGTTCCTGATTTTTCTTTGCCAAAGCTTCACGCTCTTCCTCAATTTCTTTCTTCAACAACTCCACACTCCTTAGATGATCTTGTTCGTAATTGCTTAATATTAGGCTGTACTTGGCACGAATTTCTTCTTCAAAGGCTTTTTGCTTTTCTTCGTACATTCTGATTCTGTTTCGTTCGGTGGTTTCGAGTTCCATCATTCGCTTGTCTAGGTCTTCAGATTGCGATTTTAGAGAATTGTTGGCTAATTGTACTCGTTGTTGCAACTCTTTCTCCATTTCTTCCCTTAAACGCCTTTCAAACGCCAGTCTATCCTCTTTTTCCTTTACAAGTCGATCATTAGCCTCTTTTAACAACCGATTTCGTTCTTTTTCGAGAGTCTCTTGTACTTCTTGAACTCTAGCATCGGTTGCTTTTTCTAATTTGATACGTAATGTGTCATAATTGTTTCTAATTTCATTCTCTTTTTGTCTAATCTGTTCATCAACTTCTTGCTTGTAAGCAATCTTTTCTTCTTGGATCTTTTTGATTATATCGTTGTAATATGTTTCAAGTTTTTGTTTCTCTTTCTTCGAATCACCTTCCACTTTCTTTACCATCTCCATTGCTCGATCTCTTGCCTCTTGTTCGAACTTTCTTTTCTCTTCTTCCATTCTGGTAACTTTTTCATTCAATTCCTGCACTTCTTTTTGCCTAGATTCCCGTTCTTTCTTTTCTTTTTCTAGTAACTCTTGCCTTACTTTGATAGTGTATTCATGCAGTAATTGGGTATATCGTTGTTTGGACTCTTCCTCAAATTGCATTTTAGCAAGTTCCCCCTGTCTTTGCAACTCTAAATATTTCTCTTCATGTGATTTCTGTAATTCCTTTTCCCTTTTCCCCATTGATTCAATTACCCTTTTCTCTTCTTCAATTCTCTCCTTAAGATTTCTAATGATATCATTGTAATGTTTCTCTGTTTCCTCTGCAGCCAAAACGAATTTCTCTTGAATTCGTTGTTCCAATTTAGCTCGTTCCTCCTCTAATTGTTTTTTCAATTTGATTTCGTGTTGAAGCTTTCCACTCTCGAAATCAACTTCTTGTTGCATCCTCTTTTGGGATTCGCGTTTAAAGTCCTCATTGGCCTTCTCGATAAGTCTATTATACTTATCAGCCATCATCTTTTCTAACTCGTCTTTCTCTTTTCTAAGAAGCAACTCCGATTCGTGAAGCTTGTTTTCATATTCTTCTCTTTGATTTTTAAGGGTTTGCTTTAGAGAGTCTAATTGTTGTAGGTAATATTGTTCTTTCTCCCTGAACAGCTTTTGATAGTTTTCTCTAATGGATGTTTCAAATTCACCTATCTTTGAATCTTGGCACAACAAATCATGTTGAGTTTCTTTTCGAATTTGTTGAACTCGCTCTTCTGCTTGATTGAGAATTTTTTCCTTCTCCTCTCTGAGCTGTTTTTCTTTTTCTTTTATGATCTTATCAGCTTCTTGTCTCACTCTTTCTTGATACCTCATTTTGTCTTCTTCAAGCAACTTTTGAAGTTCATGCTTTTCTTGCTCATGCTTTCGTCGCAATTCAATTTCGGCATCTTGATACTCTTTCTGTCTCTTTTCAAATTGAAGAGTAATATCTCGTATTCTATTCTCATAATCCTCCCTTATTTTTCGTTCAAAGCTCAATTTGTCAAACTCAATTTCTTCCTTCATTTGTTTAAGGTCACTTTCCTTCTTTTCCAAACTACTTTCGATTCCCTTTTTAACCTCCTCCAGTTTTTTGTTATATTGTTGTTCAATTTCATTCTTTTTATCTATCAGCTTATTTTGAAGCTCTTTTTCGAGAGATCTCTTTTCATCACTAAGCTTTTGTACTTTCTCTTCGTAATCGTTTTTAAGTTTAGCCTCCAACTCTTGCTGGGCTTTCTTCATTTCGGCAATCTCTCGTTTGGCTGCTAATTTGGCTTGATTTACAGTTTCTTCATATCTTAATCTCATATCTTCTATTTCACGTTGGTGCTTGTCTTTTTCCTCTAAAACTCGTTTTCCTTCTTCTTTTGCAATTTTTTCCCACTGTGCATACAGCTCTGCTCGTAATTGTTCAATGTGATTAATAGATTCCTGTATCTTCTCATGCTTGATCGCATCAACTTTTTTAAGCAGTTCTCTTTCTTCGTTATGAAGTTTTTCTTTTTGCTCAAGTTTCAACTTTTCAAGCTCGTCCTCCTTTCTCTTATATTCTAAAATCATTTCTCTCTTTTTATCTTCAAACTCTTTGTCGAGAGCTCTCTTGTAATCTTCTTTATACTTTTCAAATTTGTTCTTTACTTCTTGCTCAAATTCTCTTCTTTTTCGCGTCTCTTCTTCATTACGCTCTCTTTCTCTTCGAGTTTGTTCTTCTAAATCTTTAATTTTCTCCAAACTTGTTCTCTCTGCTTCTAGCTTCATCTTTTCTTCGAATTCTTTAACGATGTTCATAGCTTTTTCCACAGCCTGTCGCTCAAATTTGGATCTCTCTTCCTTTTCGAGTCTCAGCTTGTCTAAAGCATCCCTGGAAAGGTTTGATATTTGCTTCTTTTGATCATCAGCGATCTCCTCTCCTTTTCTCTCGAGTTGTTTCTCAAACTCAGATATCATAGCTTTAGTTTTCATGAAAATGTCCTTCTCGAATTCTTTCTTTTCCTCGATAACTTTTTGAGTAAGATCTAGCCTAGTTCTATCTAACTCTTCGCGTAACATTCTTTCTTTTTGTCTAAGTTCCTCTTTCTTAATCTCAAAGTCTGTCTCGAGTTGACTTCTCATCTTTTCATACCTAACCATTAGGGTTTCTTCAAAAACTCGTTTGTCATTTTCTAATTTTTCTCTAATTCTTTTTGTTTCAAGGTTATTTCTCTCTTCAAACTCAAGTTTACTTTGCTCAAGATCTTTTTTCAACTGCTCGTATTCATGACGTAATTCCTTTTCTTTCTCATTAAGAAGATTCTCTTGTTCTTGACGTAAAACGAAATCTTTCTTCTTGATATTTAGATTATATTCTCGTAGTAGTTCATCAGCTTTCTGTTGAGCCATTAGAGGTAAAGACTTGTTTAGAGAGTCAATCTCGCTTCTCAGTTGCATCTCCATAGCATGAAATCGAGACATTTCTTGGACAAGCTTGGCCTCAGTCTCTTCAGATTTTTTTCTATACATTTCAACTCGTTCATCCGTTGTCTTGCTCATTTCAAGTCGTTGTTGGTATAATTTCTTTTGCAATTCCTCCACTTGGGCTTGGTACATCAAGATTTTTGATTGGTAGTCGTCTGCAAGTTGCTTTCGAAGAGCATCAATTTTCTCATTGCTTTCTCGATCTTTTTCAAGTTTTAATGCCACCAACTCGTCTTTCAACTTTTCAACCTCCTTTCCTGCAGCGGCTGCCATGTCTCTGTATTTGTTCATGAGCTCTTCAGCTTTTTTGTACACTTCTTCTTGAGCTCTTTGAGATTGTTCCTTATGTTTGGCAATGATTTCCTCAGCTTTTTTCATGATTCGTTGTTCAATCTCAGCTTTTTCCATCTCCTTCTGATTAATAAGCTGCAAATGCCTCTCCTCTGACTCCTGTTTCAATTTCTCTAATATACCTTGCATTTCCTCGTCTTGTTTTTGTTTGTTATTATCATACGTTTGCTTTAGCAATTTTAGAGAGGGAGAGGAATCTCTACTACTCTTGTTAGATCTCATCACTCGCTTCTGAGTTTGACTCGAAGGGCTCATTACACTAGGAGAACCTATGGAATCTACCATTGCTGTTGGTGATGCTCTTCCTGTCATGTCCAATGAAGGATGAGATGGGGGCGGTGAATCTCTTCTTACCATGCCTCTCTTTTTGAGTGTTGGTGTAATTGCACTACTACTCACCACCACCGGCGAGAGAGCCTTCACCAATTCCTCTTCAAAGCCTTCCAGATCATCAGCAGATGTTGTATCATATGAATCCGATCCAGAGGTCTGTTTTTTGTACTTTTTATAATGTTCCAATCTCTTCATCATGATGGCTTCTCTGGAAGGCGAAGAGTCTCTTCTCTGTTGTTGTGATTGTTGTTGGGTACTTTCCTGCTCTCCAAACATCTTAATGAATTTGATCTGAAGAAGAGTTGAATGATCAAAATTCCGTTTTAGCCTTGTTTATGTTGAAAGGATGATGAAGTACTTTTTGTGTTACTAGAGCCTGAATGATGATACAAATAGGGTAGAGTGTCGAGGCACAAAAACGAGGTAAGGCTGCCTACGGTTTTTTTTGAAGTTTGTAACGGCGTTGAGGCTTCTTTGAACACAAATATGGCGATGTGTATTATATCCGGTATTATATGCGTAAATAATAATAATAATAAATTGTATGAAAATACAGTATTATGATATTGAAAACATTACAAAGAAGAATGGGAGTGAGCGGAGAGAATTACAAATGAGGAGGTCAAAATTGGGTTTTTTCAAAACGTAAGGTACATGTCGAGGAAATCTCTTAACTTGCCACATCGAAAGAGTGATGTAATTCATTGAATGATATATCATCAATTTGAGAAGTTATTCTTGAGGTTCCTGTTATGGAGGTTGTGGCTGTTGTGATTATTGTTGTTGAGGAGGAGAGGGAGAACTTGAAGCTGCTGCTGCTTCATTTCTGTACTTTTTCACTTCCTTAATGAGAAGTCGTTTGTGGTGGGTGAGTTCAGCATTCTCTGTTTCTAAATCTTGAATTCGTTGTTTCAATTCTTGATTTTCCTGTTCAAGTTCATCAACGGTTTCTGTAAGATGTTTGGTTGTTTCATCCATCGATGAGTTTTTGAATTGAAGCTTTTCAAACAGTGAAGATAATTCATTGGAAACTTTGTCCATGGTCATTTTGAGACCTTTCAATCGCTCTACAGGATTCATCAAATCGGAGACTGTAGATGGAGCAAGAATAACAGTAGGATCAAACGAGGTACGAACAGTGGAAGTGTCTGTCTCTTCAGAATCACTTGTGTCAAATCCTGTGTCACTGTCTTCTTCACTTGAAGAGGTTTGATGAGGTTTTTGAAGGTTGTTGATGTTTTTCTTTTTTGGATCAGGATTTTCAATTTGCTGAGCTTCCTCTGTTGTTGTTGATGAAGAGGAGGAGGAAGGTTGTGTCTTAAATTTTTCCAAGCCTTGTTGAATTTCCTTTTTCAAAAGGTTTGTAGTGGATAATAATTTCACAAATGTCACATCAATTTGTTGCAAAATATTTAAAGCTTCATCCTTTTGTCGTTGTAATTTTTCAAATTTTTCCCTCTCGTATCCATTCAGATTAGTGGTGCCACCAGTGTAGGTTCCACTCGTCGTCGTTGTCGGTGGTGCTGTCATGTTCGAAGAAGAAGTAACAGCAGAATGGAAATTCCCATTATTATTCTCCATCGACGAGGTGGAAGAACCTTCATTCGTGATGATGTGAACCACCACTCCACTCGAGGATGATAAAGTCGGAGAAAGAGGCTGTTGCGGTAATGACGATGAAGGTGATGATTTGTTCACATCATTATGATTCATTGCCGTCGTCGGGGAGGATGACATGATCACTTGTGTGCGTTTCCTCTGTTGTTGTTGTTGTTGTTGTTGTTGTTGTTGTTGAACAAGTGCTTTCTCTCGAGAGGCACAACATGTAATGACCTTGTCAATGGCTCGACACCAACTTGCTTTCTCTTCACTCGACTCTGCAGCTAACAAGAATCGTTTCGATCCAGCTCGTATGGTGAATCCGAAGCCAACGGTTTCTGAAATCTCGGCATTCTTGTTAAGAAAGGCATTTGCTTTGAGATAAATGATGCCTAACGGATGATCGAGATCTGTTTTGTCTTTGTAATAGAAGAGAAAACCGTCTGTGTGAAAATTTGAGTATTATGTGGTTGTTGTTGTTTTCGTTGGAGAGGAATTAATTTTGAAAGTGGGTGAGTGAAGATGATGATTGATTGTTGTTTATCATCGTCGCCATGATTTGACATACCTTGTAATAAAACGAAATATCTTTTCTTTAAACTTTTATACTTTTGACCTCTCTGTTATTTATGAGATGGAACAAATGACAAGTGGCAGGAGCATCACGATGAATTCTAAAATAATAACACAAACAATATTCAGGCATACCTTTATCAAAATTCCGGTTTTAATACAGTCCGAATGTCTATCTATTCGGTCATCATCCAGCAAAATGTTTGAATCAGAATCTCCAGCGCTATTAAACATTTTTTTATGAGATGGACATTTGAAGCGCAGAATTCAATGAAACAAAATCACTTCCTCACTTCTGGCCTTATAATCGATTATAATTTGTATTCCTTTATAAATCCAAGGTTCAACCGATTTGCAAAAAGACAATCTCAATATTTTGTTGAAGGGCAGGTTGAAAATTGGTCCTTTTCACGAGAGTGGTTTGCGTTATCCAAATATTGAGTTGCGCCTCCTTAAATCTTAATTGAAAAACCTGAATCGTCGATCGGAGAAGTTTCAGAGAAGCTCTTATTTGAGCCTTTCACTCGATCCACGTCGCTCTCACAAAATCTCTCAACTCCAAAATAGTCATGTCGTAAATTATTTACGTCAACTGAGAGAGATAAAGTCCAGTAAGAGAAATTCACAAAAAATTGGTTGCCTTCGGTTGTGGGTTGTCATCGGAAGTTGGAGAGAGCTTGTTAATAACGTGAAATCGCAACGTGGCCTTCCGCAAGAAATTGCTTTTGTTTACATCATTCTCAATTTTGTTTTGTTCTTAAATTGATAAGGAATCGGAAACACCATCTCTGTTTTTATTAAAGAGTTGCAACATACAACAACCTCATCATGCCTGTAAATCCCTCAATGTTGAAGAAGGAGAATTACCATCGTGAAACATACCGAAATATTTTCGATATGTTTGATAGCGATATGGATGGTTTATTGGATGAACAAGACTTGCTTCAGGTATTTTCAAAGTTAGGAAAAACAGAAACAACCAAGAAGGATATTAGTGATCTCATTAACGATCTGAATGCTTCATCAAAGAGTGATCAAGGTGCAGGGATAACATTTGATCAGTTCGTAGAGTTAGTCGGAGAGAATGATGAGGAAGAGAAGGGGAGAAAAATTCTCTCGTTTCTCACCTCAAAACGATCAAAGAAAGTAGCCGGTATTCATACCGAACAAGATTTGAAGGATGCCTTCAATTTAATCGATGAAGACCACGATGGAGCAATAACGAAACAGGAATTTAAAAACATGGTGATCAAGCTTCAAAATCTTGGTTCTAATGCATCAGTAACTTCTCCAAGCGCTTCCATGACCATTTCAGATGCTGAAATCGACTACCTCTTCAGCATAGTAGAGTCTAAAGACAGCTTAAACTTTGATCAATTTGTCACTTTATTCACAAAGACAATGATTTAATTTGGAAATAAACTGAATCTAACTTTAATAATTGTAGCAAATTGAGCGATTCTTCTCCTCACCCAGATTAAGCAAAACGGAATGTCTTCAACCGAGCATTAATAAGGCAAGGCTGTTACTCTGTGGATGGCCTTGTTCAATTCAAGGAACAATTCTATTAGAATTTGTTGTTTCGAACTTCCAAGTTGTCAAGAACAAGGCACAACAAATTGATCATGTGGAGAAAGAAACAAATTGAAAATAATGAACAGCAACAACAACACCCAGCAGCTGCAGACGAAACTCCTCAACGGGTATCACCACTGAGAAAACCCAACCTTCTACCAAAATTCAAATTCAGGAAATCAATGACCTATAAAAACAAGTTTCATTACTCATTGATAGACACTCAGTGGCTGATGATGAAATTAATGGAAGAACTCTCATCGACTGTTCGATATCTTAATCAAGTACTGGAACTACGAACTACTGTTTGTATTATTTCACGTTTCTCCGAGAATTCTTTTGATTGGTCTGAGAGCCAAACATCATTTTCCCGACGTAATTTGTAGTGTTGACTTTTTGAAAAAGTATTTATTGGAATCTCAGCTGCAACAAAAATGTCTCAACAACAACAACAAACACTTTTAGGACGAGAAGATGATCATGACAAGTGAACCACCAATAATTTGTAGTGAAATGCAACTCAATCAAAAAAAAACATCACAAAAATGCTTCAAAATGTATTCCTAAAAGGAAAGTTTTGTGCTTTGGAATTTATTTGCACCACCGAGAGCACCAATCACGGAACGATCATGATGAGGCATGCCATTCCCTTTTTTCGTAAATTTGATACTCGAACAAAATCAAGATTATTAGGAAAACCATTCATTGAGGGATTTTGTGCCGAATATGTTATGCCTCAGGATGTTTTTGTTGGATTTTGCGAGAATGAATTTTTAAAATTAAATAGACAAAAAGTTACGGATATGTATCATGTAATGAAGAGGGATGATACTTTCCAAACAGATGAAATTAGGACAGACAAACCAATTACTTATTTTGATTCATTGGAAATTATTCATGAAGACGATGATTTATTGGTAGTTTCAAAACCCGAAAATGTTCCAGTGCATGGTAGGTATAGTTCTTGGAGGAGGATGAGTAGAATTTGGAATGATTCATGCATGAAATCACATTTTTTTGTTCAATTCATTGATTTGGAATTTAAATGCTAATAATAATAATTTTAACTAAATAATAATTTAAAGCAACCAGTCGATATTTGAAAAATAATTTAATTCATATTTTGAAAAAGGAATATTCAAGATATCATCCTTCCATGTTACCTGAAGAAGATTTATATCCTTTACATCGATTGGATCGACGCACTTCTGGAGTCTTACTTTTAGGAAAAAAGAAAAGTGTCGCTGGTGAATTTTCACACATGTTAAGAAACCATCAAGTCGGTAAACAATATCTTGCACTTGTCAATGGAATTTGCAACTACGATACACATCAAGTTTTTAAAGTGAATTTTCCAATTATGGCTGTGGATCCACTGCATGGAGTTCATCGATGCGTTCACTCTGAAGAATCAAAAGAATTTATTCGAGCTCACTACAACGATGGAGACAAACCACTGGATTGGAACAATGCAAAACATGCTGAAACTCTCTTTCAAGTTTTACATAAGGATTACACAAACAATCGAACAATTTTGCTGTGTCAACCTGTAAGTAATTTTTTTGTGTTAATTCAATTTCATGCTAATTGATGAGTTTAAAAAAGATTACTGGAAGGACTCATCAAATAAGAGCACATTTGCATGCAATTGGTCATGGAATTGTTGGGGAACATTCAGAAAATTACAACAAGGAAGAGTGGATTGGTAAGTGTCAAAATATTCAAAGCAACCATGTTTTTTGATGACGATCCACACTAATCACACGTTCTCTTAATAACTTTGAAAAGAAATGGCACATCAATCATGGAGATGGAAATTAGACAAGCTCATTAAACATGGTTTTGGAAGCAAAGCACTCATTCAAGAAGCAATCGAAGAGAAAATTCATGGTGTCACGTATCAAAAACCACCCTCTCTTGGATTGTTCTCCGTTCGATATCGATATAGGAATGACATCTTTGAATGTGCAATTTATAGACCTGAATGGATGCAAGATTATTCGTATTCTGATATTTACTATAATATGAGACATTCGGAATTGTACAAGATGGTGGCGGATCCATCTCTCAATTTTTCGAGCTTGGAAAATGATTAAAAATTTGTTTTTCATGTCGATCAATATGTATCTAACGTGATGAAAATGAATATTATTTTTGTTATTATTATCGGTTTACATCAAAATTTGTTGTAGATGTTTAATGGTCACACCTGGTCGTCATTTCGGAGAGGTTTATATTCTTCATTTGTGCTGTTGTCAGAATAAACGTAGTAGCCAATTTCTGTGTCGGTGTGATCACTTTCGGAATCATTTTGTTGATCTTTCAGTTCGGTAGCCACTTCACCAGCTTCTTCAAGACCTTCAGAACATTCTTTCTCAATTTGTTTTAATTTTTCCATCAACAAGTCCATTTCAGTCAACCTTCGAGACATTTTTTAATTGTTGAATAAAAGTGTTTTTAAATTTATTTTCGAATTCACTCATCTGAGATGCCACCTTAGGACAAACCCAGCAACAGCTATCCTGTTGTTGCTGCAATTTATTAAATGACAGTAAATCACTTGTTTTTCATTCACGGTCTATTCATTTTCAAAAATGGTGAAGGTGGTTCATAGCACACAGACATGCTCACTGAAATTGGTGCCTTACATTGCCCACACACAATTATAAGTTCAACATCTATTGTTGACTCCAAACATGTAATTTTGCACAAGCACACCACTCACAGCACACCACCTCCAGTAACATTATCTCCACATTGCAGAACCAGACATTACAAACGTTCCGTTCGTAGCAGCTGCCTCAACAGTGACACTCAATGAAGCAAATGGATAAAAATTAGTAACCAAATTTGTGTTTCCTGAAATATGACCTCTGTTAACAATTGGATCTACCATTTTCACTGGAATTGAGAGTGAGGACTTGTAAGCATTGTAATATTGAAAATCCATGGGATTCCAATTCCAGTTGTTTTTGGAGATGTCAGGTGTGTAATAACCAGTGTAAACAAGTGGAAGTGCTCCTTCTCGGACAACACAACCATGGTCATCATGATCACTGCAACCAGTGTGAAGAGCTTGAGATTTTGAAACATTTTTTTTTGTGGAAGGTGAGACTGAACTTGGAAACATTCAAACGATCGTCTAAAAGTGTGCATTTGGAGGGTTACACTCGCTCATGCGAAACTTGAACCCATGATTTGATTATTACAATGGGAACGGATTGCAATGAATTGATGTAAGGCCCCACGTGAGGATGGGAGCTCAATAAGGATTAATTATCGATCGCTTGCTCCCACCACTTTCTTCTTCTCTCAATTTCTTCTGCTTCGTGGCTGGTGAATACTTTTTCAGACACCACATGTCTGACTTTTCTTATGGTCAATGAGAGACGAGTTGGACCTCTTGGAATGAGTTGTGCATGCTCAACATTTGCTTGACTCATGTTCATACATTTGGAAGCATCAATTTCATCTCTATCAGAATCTCGAACGCCATGAAAATAATCTGTACAGGCCTTTCCACAAAATATTAATAAAGATCGAGGTTGAAGAAATACACTGCATGAAATATTTTCTGGAATTTCCTCGAATTCTGTTTTTGGTTTTTCTGCATAGAAATCAATAAGACATGTGGATTGAAGTGATAAAACGAGAGCAACATCCAAATAGAGAGGACCATCCTTGTGAGGTCGAATTCCTTTTCCACATTGATATTCGTTTAAAAGAACTTGATTGTATCGAGCTGTTTCTTTCAGATGATGACTTTGATTGTAGAGTACTGGATGGACACTATCCTGTGATTCCATTAATGATGGTTCTTCATCTTGTTGCACAAATTGTTCAATATCTAATCCACTTTGATAGAGCACCTTGTTGAAATCATGAATATATTTTGGTAAATTTTCTGAATACATGCCACTCGGGTGAGGAACTAAAGGACAAACACAAAATTTAATCCAAATGATCGGTTTTAGAATCAGTAATAATACCATCCAGGACAGTAAATAATAATATCATTTTCTCACTCGCATTACATACCTCCTCCTAAATTTTTCAATCTTCTTTTGCTCAGTGAAACCCAAGAATTTCTTTTCTCCATAATTTAATTCCTTCTTCCCATCATCATCATCATCTCGATAAATGGCATCCACTAATGCCTTTTCTTCCTCTATCGAAATAAACTCTCCGATATAATAAATAGAATCAATTCCTATGTCCAATTTATAGTTTAATAAATCAATCTTTTTAATCCTCTTTCGGAATATACTGCTATCACCATCATCACTCAAAGGCTTGGATGAGGTGGAAGATTCGGAATTTTTCTTGTTGCTCTTCTTGATCTGAGCGAATGCCTTCTTTCTCTCTTCTTGATACAACGCTTCAAAATTAATGCTTGTCATTTTTTCAAGTTTTTTTAAAGCATTAATCTCTTTTATTTTGGACAAGGTTAGAGAAATAGATCAAAAATGGTCTGTTCACGGATGGTGATTTTGAACCAACTACAGTAGAGAGTTTTTTGAACAACAACTCATTGTGAAGATCACATCCACATTCTCAAGCGATTACGAAATCCATTAATTGAAAGCAGTCATGCAATATCCATGATGGTTTGATTTATCTGACTTCCAAGTACGACAATCTTAATAGAAAGTTAAGGAGATGAAATGAATGTAGAAAGTGTATTTGAATCTCATCAAGGATGCGCATTGCAAGTATTAAACAATATTACTTAAATGGAATGGAAGAGTCACGATTATGACTGCAATATTAGAGGTACTGGTTTTGCAAATTGAAAAGATCTTGTTCCAATTCTTGAATACGTTGCAAGAGTTGTACTTGTCGCAACGATTTTATATTCTCCTCGATGAGTCAATTAATTACAAATGTAACAGCGAATCATCATGATCATCTGATCATCATATAATTGGTTTGACTTCTTCATCTCCAATTTGAATTTTTGTAATTTTGAGCCTAAAATATCCATACAATAATTCAAGAACACTCAACCGGTTGAAAACTGCTTTTTGAGAACGAAATAAATTTCAAACTCTTTCTCAGCCACCCAAAATGGAATATGAACGGGTATGCACGACTAGAGCTGACTTGACATGTGAAAGTATTGTCTTTGGTAAATTTCCAGCCAACCTCAGAATTGGTGTTGCTGTGAAATAGGGTGTTCAAAGGATGGAAGAATTGGCTTTTTCACTTTTCATAATATTATTAAATCCAAAAAATCTCAGAGACAGCATGTTCATTTTTGCTTTTTTTCTTTGTCCATAGTTTCAAGTGTTGGAAGAAACTTGGAAAAAAGTATCTCCTTAAAACCTGAACCTAATAATTTCTCAATTTCTTCTTTGCTACATAAAAAGGCAGCATTTTCGTAGTTTGGGTTGAATTTTTTTGGCTCGAGAGAAATGTGAGGATGTATAATAATTGAGAGCGAATGGTTAAATATCTTCATAAATTCAGTATAATTTTTTGACCACCATTCATATGACTTCGGTACTGATAAGGCTTTTGATACAATAATGTCTTCATTTCTGTTAAGCTTTTCTAGTGATACTGACTTATAGTTGTCAAAATAAAACAGCTTATGATGAGTGGATTTATATCCTTCGTCTAAATGTAAATCCTTTCCAATCAAGCACTTAATACTGACTTTCAACATAAAAAGAGAAAGCTTATTAGATTCGTCTTCAGAAGGTCTTTCAAGTGCTAATAAACAATCCACATGAGCCGCGTTACTGGGTCTGAATAATATGTTCACAATTCTTTCAGGGTAATCTTTTGCATAATTGAAATACAATTCTTCCCCGGTGCAATCTGATTCATCCCATCCTTTTTCTTTGCAATATTGTTTGTATCCATTTGATGTCAATACTCTTTCGCATGTAAAAATTATGTCTTCAATATTTTCGTTGGTTTTCAAGTTAGAAAGTAATGTACTCAATTTCATTCCGCTACGATTTAACAGCATCAATGAAATAGCATATTCCATTCTATTTGCTGAATCTGTTTTGATTGCAATATGTTTTACCATGTCAAATAGAGAAGGTTTTAAGTTAGACAATTCTAAAAAAGTTTCGGCAAACTCAAAGCCTAAATGATCCATTGCTTTAAATTCTGTCACCGAATTGCAGAAAACTGGGCATGCAACGCCAGATGTTAATAATGACTCTGCAGTATTGTTATCTGATACATAAAAAGAGTAACCTAAGACATCATGGAACCTGTAATGGAGAATATAGTACATCAAAGAATCTTTGTATAATTGTGGTGATGAGATTGATGAAGAATGAATTAGTTTGGTTACAATGGTGTTGAGTTGTTGCAACAAAAGTTGTTGGGCCGTAATAAAAGATGAATAAAGTGGTGCAAAACGATATCCCTCATTATCTTCTGGAAAAGGTGAAATCATCAATTCCAAACAATATGCCGCTTGTCGTATTCTAATTGGAAACTTAAATTCATTCATCTCACTTTTCTCTTCTTCACTTATATCAATATGCATGTTCAAAAAGTCAAAAAATTTCTTCTTATCCAAATATTCAAACTCGCTTAATCGAATGCTAA